CCCAAGTTTGCCAACAAAACAACCACGAATCGCTAGGTTTCCCAACCAAACAACCCACAAACTTTGCCAAATTTCCCTGACCAGCCATGGATCTCCTTGGAATTTTCAGGATCCGAAAGCTTAGAGTCAGCAGGCTACGACAAGATTACAGGAAGATTACGGGAAGACGACCGGAAGAGCACTGTGCGTTTCAGGCCCGGTTTTGCTGGAAACGACGAACGATGGAACGTTTTCGCGAAGCCTCTGCGAAGCCCCCGCGAAGCCCCCGCAAAGCCTCCGCGAAGCCACCGCGAAGCCACCGCGAAGCCACCGCGGTCCAACTTCCATGCTCCGCCCTTTGAGGCCCAGCCATGTCCCCTAGTCCTGAAGCTCAATGCCTCTCTTGCCGCCTTTCATCGCCCCCTTTGGCATGGACTCAGCTTGATTCAGCAACATTGGAGCGCAAACGTCAGAGATGCTTGTGGAACAAACATCCGCGAAGCCCGGCAAACCCACTCCGCGAAGCCACAGTCTTGCCACGAAGCCTCGCGAAGCCAAACCCTTCCACAAATTCCCCGCGAAGCCCCCTGCGTAGCAGCCCCAGCAGTGTATAAGCCTTGAACCCCTAGAAAAAACAATGCTCAAATAAGCCCTTGATAAGACCATGAATTTGAGGGCTCGTTTGGGCTTATTTGGGCTCCCTTCTTCCCTTCCCCCCTCCCTCCCAGCCCCCATGACCAACAAAACGTCTAGTCTTCTTTGTGGTCGCAAACCGCGCTCATGACCAAAATTGTTTTACAAGTATCCTAGAACCCCCAACAAAAAAATTACGCGTTTCTTGTTTCGGTCAAGATTCTTTATTGGGCTCCCTCCCCTCCCCCCAGCCCATGACAAACAAAACGTCCAGCCCCAGAACGTCGCTTTTTTCAGTCCAACCCCCCCCCCCCCTCCCCGGGAATTTCAGGCCGGGCCCACCGGGGCTTTCCCGTTTTTCACCCGGGAATTCCTCCCCCCGGGGCGTTTCATCTCAGGACGCGGACGCGGAGATCCCGGACATCGGCGAGAACTTCGAGGAGGTGAGCAAGCAGTGAGGACCCGGTGCCGCCGCCGTTTTTTTTTAGCCCGGTCGCACCGAGGGAAAGCCATCGAAAATGATGGTGACGGGTGCAAATTTTGCCAAGGGATGTTGGGACTTTAACATGTTTTTCGCCAAATGGGTTTTCCGGATTAATCCACAGGTTATTCACTTTTTAAGCGGGGCTTCGCAGAAAGCCACCGAGGACCGTTTTGATGTTTTTATTTTTTCCGGTGGAACGAGGGGGAAGAAAGCCATCGACCGGGATGGGTACCACGGGGCCCTGGGCCGGGGTTCCCGGGAAAAAGAAGACGAAATCGGGAAAGCGTAGATCTTTTGGGTGGGGTGGTCCAGGTTTCACGGAAAAAATAGGCGGATAAAAGGAACCCGTTTTTGGGTGGGGGTTGTTTTTTTAAAGAGGGAAACCAAAAGCAAGCCACCTGCGCTTGAGGTTTCTCAAAATAACCCATTTCTTGGTTGCGGGTGTTTTTTGGAGGGAAACCAAAAGGACACCACAACCACTCCCAGCAGCCATCCTCAGGTAAGAGATGCTCTGGGTCAGGAAGTGAGATCATGTTAACCCCGGAACAGACTCTTCCCAGAGGCTCTGGCTGGAAGACACCTCCATTAGACACGGGGCTCTCGAGGTGGGAAGGACCAAAGGGCTGGCAAGCCTGGAACCAAAAGGAAACTGGGTCGAAGGGAGGCGAAAAACAGGTTTTGGGGGGGATCCACTGGAAAGGAACAAGTCTGACTTCTCAGGGTCTCGGCTCACCTTCTGGTTTTTACCCCGTTCTTTCATTGCCAAGTTTGCAACTTGGGGTGTAGCCGACTTGTAGGTCCGTGCAGTGGAGCCAACCTAGTTGTCGGCTTTTAACATGGGCCAAGCCCTTAGCTTGGCTGAACATGCAAGTAGGCTCCGCAGAAAAGTCCCAGCTGTTTTAACCAAAAAGTTGTCCAGGCCAAGATACGTTGCCAAATGGCCACAAGGTCAACAGGGTTAAATGGAAGCTACCACTAAACCATCCTTGTTGTTTCTCTTACCATAGGTTCATTCCCAAAACCTTCGACTTTCCGACTGAGAACCAGCAAGATCCGGTGGTAGTAGGTGGCTCTCTTCCATTTGCTTAAGAATGTGACTGGTTTCCACCTGCTGGTTTTAAAGGAAATCTATCACTGGCTGGATTTAGTTTTCTTCCCGGGGACTTAAGCAGATGGAGGTTTTACTACCAGGTTTTTAATGGGGGTGTAGCAAGGCCAAGACGGATGTTCGCGACCATTTCGATCCAACTGTCAAGGGGTTTCGGTCACCGCTCACATGGATTCCCAAGCAGGTTCCGCAGAAGGAGATTCCTGGAACAAAGGCTTCTTGGGTTCGATGAACGGCTTCCGCGGGGGAGTAGTTTGAGTTCCTGATGGACCGTTGAGACCTCAAGAGCAAGTCGGACGTCGGGGTGTATAGGCAACCTTGCCTTCTTCATGTGGGGGTTGATCAATATTTCTGGATTCCTGGCCCTCAAATGCCCATGGGTAACTTTTCCTATTTAGCGGGAAAGATCATCTTAGTGGTTTCCCCCAATGATCATGCCATGTTTACCGGACCTTTTGATATTAAACCCCAGGATCCTTAGACTGCAGAAACACAAAGCGAGCAGCGCCCAGCACGCCCATGGTTCAAGTTTTAGCTGATGGTTCTACCAGCTGTAACAAGGGTAGTAAGGCCCATGTACCCTTCCACGGACTAACATGGAAGTGCGCAGACCCCTACTTTACTACGTTCCTGGAAAGGGGCTTTGTGCACTTCCACGTTAGTTGGTGGGAGTAAACCTTTTGGCAACCTTAGTAGCACCAAGCGTCAACTTGTGTTGGTCGCTGCTCCAGTGTGTACTCAATTGACCACAGCGAATCGATGGGTCAGATACCAGGTTCTTTAGCTTTGCTCTATTGTTTGTCAAGATTCCCAATGGTTATATACCCGTTTGCTTGCAGCTCCTTTGGGCGAGCGCTGCTTTCCACAATTGGTGAACAAGCAAAACGTTGCAATTGGGGAAGCCTAAATGACTCCATGCGCAAGATGGCGCAAGCAACAACGCTTCAACATGCTTTGACAGGCGTTAGAAGAAAGAACCAGGTCAGGTCAACCAGGGCCATCGAGTTTCTACCCAAAAGAATAGGGTTACTTCCAATTCCATTCTTTCCAGGGATCCTTCTTTCCAGAAAACCCCCCCGGTTCTTGGAAAGAACGATGGTTGAAAAGAATGGACAAGGAATCAACCCCTAGAAAAAGGACACCTTTGGGTAAAAGGACACCTTTGCTTCCATTTGGTTAAGAATATGTGTTATTTCCCTTGATGGTTTTACAGGGAATCGATTTCACTACTGGAGCTATGTGACGAAGAAGCAATTGGGCACCTTTGGGTGGAACCCCCGAAGCCTAACCAAACCGCATCCTGAAACCCCCCAGAACCGATCCCAACACTTTTTCCCAAAGAGACACCTATGGTTCCAGCCTCGCGAGGACATCAGTCTTGCTTTGAGATGCGATTTCTGCAGTATTTATAGCGCAGCGAGATGTTCAAGCACAATGCGAGCAGTGGTTTGTACCACATCCTTCCGCATGTCTCATTGCAACCTGATTTGTTCTCCTGTTTTCTGTCAACCTGCTATGTCTCGGAAAACTGCGTTTTCCATGCCTTTGCAGAAGGTCGGGGAAGAATCTTTTGGCCCTCCTTGCCAAGTGCTCAGCCCAAAGCCTTTCTTGTCTGACAAAATCCTGCAGTTGGTATACGTAGATGGTGTATCTCCGATTCAACTAAGGTTTCATCCGTGGGTGCAAATCTGGACACCTCGATCGGCCGCATACCTACCTGATTCGGCCGTGGAACAAAACCAAAGGATGCACATTCGGGATCTAAACTCTGATTTGTCCCAAGGGTCACTTCATGTTCTTACACCTATGTTGGTTGCAAGAAGGGCAACGGCTCCGACTTAAAAAACATGTTGGGAATGACCTCCAAGTTGGGTTTTCCGGATTAAACCCACCAAAAGTTGAGAGCACTTCTTGCAGAGTCGTTACAGCAAAGAGAGATGGGGGCCTTTGGCATTTAAGCCGGGGCCGAAACATCTCGCTGCCTCAGCCCTCAGCTTTTCGTGTCACACGGATCGCGGATCCGGATCGCGCGGTGAGCGATCGATGGATCGAATGCGGCCACGAGGAACGTGAGCGCGAGCTCACCGATTCGAGCAGTACTGCTATTGGGTTGGATCTTTAGACTTGAACTTTTTGGATTCTCCTCAGTTTTCCTTTTAACCAGCAAAATTTATTCACTTTTTGCTGGGGGGTTCTACAGCTCCCAAGCAAGGGTTTCATGACTTTACTCGGTTGTCTTTGTTCTGCAAGTGTTGAAATGACTGTAACGTTTGCAGAATTGCTGGTGAACTCACCGATCGGGGGTACACCGAGCGATTCCGAATAGCCCAAGATGGAGGTTTTTTAGTATGAAGACCAGTTATTTGGCCAAATGAATGTGGGTCCCAAACCCCAAACATCACTTTCCCATGATGCAAGCCCTACAATTGCCAAGAACTCATGCGATTGCTGGTGCGATTTCCTTTTTTCGCTCGTTGGTGCCTGGCAAAACGGAAATTTCAACTGCTCATGTGTGAGGCTTAGCACCTGAAGCACAACCAAAACGGTCCCCCAAGAAAGTGAGCCGATGGGCAAATCAAAGACGTTTCTTTGGTGCATTGTGCCAAGGGATGTTCGGACTTTCACTTTTTGCCAACCAATGGGGTTGTCCATTAAACCACTAAGAGTCAAACTTTTAGCAAAAAAACGAAATCAATCGAGAAACGTTTGGTTTGCTCTCCCTTACCTGGCACAAAGTGTCTACCCCTCCGATCGAGTCTCTAGAGCAAACCTGAGAATTTGGAATGCAATGACCCAGTGGCAACCAGGGGTTTCCTTTGTTGTTTTTGGGAAGGGTTCCCCTTTAGTCTCATCCAACCAAACACGGATGCCCTTTTCGTTCCCTGGCCACTGCGCATCTGAGATATGATGAGTAGTATGATAGAAAGCGTGTGATATATCATATGTGATGTCAAAGCAGCCTGGCTGCTCAACATGAGACATTTGGATCGCGATGTTATGCTTTAGATCTGAGTACAAAGGATTCGCTGGCGCCCTCTGCTCGCACGTTCGCCGACCGGCCGCTGGGTGCCGAAAGCGAAGAGTTCACTGCATCTCTGCGGTAGGATGAATCGAACAGTGGCGACAGGAGTTGAAAAGTTGGAAGCTGTGGGCATCTCTGGGCCCCGTTTTTCTTCATGGACCTTGAGGGGGGCGGGGGGGAGGGGGGGGTTGTGGGGAGGGGTGGCGTCTTACTTAAGGGCTTATCCTAAACTTCTCCCGGCATAGCCCTCCGCGGTAGCAACTCCAGGATTGCTGGTCAGTGGGGAATCCGTTGAATGGGGAAGAACCGGAAGGGGATCCTTTGCGGGCAAACCCACCGCTGGGATGGTTTATCAGGAAAACGGTCTAGATGTGGCTGTTGGGGAAAAAGAAAAGCGCCTTCAAGCCGTTTTCTAGAGTTTATGACGGACAGAGGCGCGCGCAACAAAGCGCGATGGTTGAGGCGACAACTCCGCTCGCTGGATTTTGTTCCTTGGCTATCTTTGTCTCCGTCTATGAAAGTGGCCCCAATGTTGATCCGATTTTCACCTGTATTGCCCAGGTTTATTTCAGGTGGGCATTTTTGGGCTACACATGTACCCTAAAAGGGGAGAAGGTGGCTCAAAAACTGCCGAATCGGGAGGTGTTTTCACCAGTGATCCAGATCCCCTCTAAAAATGGGTGGACCTGCTCTGACTTGTTGTTTTCCCTTTGGTCCATTTATAGTCATGGCAGCCCAAAAGGTTGCCAAAAGGTTAGCCTGTGATTTCTGGGTTTGTTGGGCAAGTGAGCTAATCCTGAAATCTCAGTACCTCATGTGGAATTGTTTTGGATTCCCTAAGGGGAACTCGCAGAGATTTGCAGCCCTGCAACAGGATATTCCATCGGTTTTGAGAGGTCGAAAAGCGAGGTGTTGTTTTTTCCATTTCTCAAAAGGGTTCCCTCTCTCCCACAAACAAATCGCAACTGTGGGCGGGTAATGTTGGCCCCCTATTACTCAACCCTAGTTTATTAATAGGGGGGTAAGGCGTGTTCCCCTCCAAAAATAGTCTGATTCGCACATTTCACCCAGGGAGAAGCACCCCCCTATTCATAAACTGGGGTCGATTGACTCAGGGGGTCAACATTGCCTGGAAGATCAATTTCCTCTTGACGGGTGCCAGGTGCCAGATACCATGGAGGGTACCCCAAAAATACATACCCAGATTCGGGATCTCTGTCAGTCTGGAGGGTAGAGGTGCTTCCATGTTTGGGATCTCCCCAAAACCAAGCCTGGAAGGGTACTTGGACCCGTCAACGGAATCATCCTGTTCGGCAAAACTCCAAGATGTCAAAGACTGACCCCTGAAAAGTTGGAGGCCTCATGTTTTCGAGGCCCACTCTTCCCACAGCCATGTTCCCATTAAATTGGTTGGTTTTCCTTGTCCCTTGAAAACCCACCAAACAAAGGTATCCCCCCAAAAAGAGACGCCCATACATATGCAGGTCAGGTACGGATGCCTGGCACACGGCGGAAACCAAAAAAGCCGGGTTGTTGAGTGTACCTGTCGGGTGCGCTCCGCTGTGATGTGAGCAGAAAGCCACGTGAAATCAGCCATCTTTGGTGTCCATGAAACGTTGATCTTCAAATTCCTTTCATGTTTCTGGACCCTCAAACTACCCTTCTTATTTGGTGGTTTGGAGCCCGATGGTTTGGTGCTGAAATGTAGGGGTTTCCCATTTAATTTCCCTCCACAAGGACCATGGGTTCAAATCCCCGAACTTCCAATCCAAACCGCCAATACAGGGTTATCTGAGTTTTCCCAGGGTGAGTTCCCGGAAGCATGTTTTCGGAGCCCTGATAAAATGCAGGCGGGAGTGGTGGTTTATCAGCCGGTATTCATTGGGTTTCATTCAACGAAGCACGGCAGGGTCAAATGGCCGAGTTTTACCATGGAACCTGACGGTTGCCATGTCTCGGGGTTGAAATTTAGGTTTCCCTCCAAAAGGAATGTCCAAAAAAGTCAACTTGGCCAATAGGTGATGCTAAACCCGGCCTTGGGAACATGCTTTTTTGGTGGACCCTGTGCTTCTCTGGGTTTGCTTCGCGAGCAAACGGGACTGCTTTGTCCTCTCGCTTGACATATCTCGCTTCGCGCTTTCGAGCGAACGGCCGTTCCGCAGCTAACCCTTTGGCCTTTGAGCGGCCAAACAGGCCAATCCGGGGATCTTGGGCCAGACGCCCCGGAGCTGGGTGTCCTTTTGATGGGTGAGGTACCGGTGAGTTTGATTAAACATAGATGGGTTCCACTGGCTTAGACTGGTTTCATTCCATTTACCAGGGCCATCTACTTTTCCAAAAGGCCAATGGTAGCTGCCCTTCTCAGTGTGAAGGCCCCTATGAGTATGTGTCGCAAAATTGGGGTACCCCGAGAATGCTTGCTACCCTTTAGTACTGTGGAGGATGACGCAAAATCCATCCAACGCACAGTTCAGAAAACCTAAATACCAAGCAATGATTTCAACCATGGTTCCAAAGTGGTGTGAACGGATTTCACAACCATCCACAGAAGGGTATGGGTGACAGGGAAACGAGCCGCTTTTTTAACTAATTACCCCATCAGTGGTTGATTTCCCCCAACGGGAAACCCAAGGGGAAAGGAGTCTTTAAGAACTATTGGGATTTCTCTTCCTTGCCATGACCAAAGGAATTTGGCCCGATTTTGCCCGTGGCACAGATGAGGTCTCTTTAAGGCCCTGAGAGGGCTTTACACAGCAGGGCTAGATGTATGTCCACCAAGGAGGGTTTCCCCGTTGCAATTCATATAGCGAAACTATTGACAATGACTATCAATATGACCTTGGAACCCCGACCTGTTAGATTTCAAACAATCAATATTTGAGCGGTGTGCCTGTTGTTAGTGTTTGCCAATGATGAAGGCTGAATCACTATCTAGCAAAGGGTGCATTTGTCGCAGGAGATCAAAGACACGCCTGTTCGTTGCGTGCCCCGCGCGGCTGTCAAACATCATTTGGCGAGAAACATCGGTTGCCCCTGCTTGAAAAAATGGGTATGGGTCAAACTTAAGCAACCAGGGGACCGCGAGTTTTAGTCCATGTTTCCATTTACCAGGGCAACCCATTTGGGGGTTACCCTATTTTTTTACCCAGAGCCAAATGACATTTTCCACGAAAAGGAAGCAATTTCCCAAAAACGGTTTGACCAACTAAGGGACCAGTTGTGGCCAACACGGTGGGTATCCTTCTGGCCACGCGCGCCTGTGCTGAGGTTAGTGACCACTGCGGGAGGCCTAGCGAGAAGAGACCTGCAGATTTGTTGATACCTGACAATCCCATGTGTGCCATGGTCAAAGACCGGTTCCTTTGCTTGAGGTTTTGCCGGGGATGGTCATCCATATGGTAGGATCCTTAGCAACAATCAAGGGAGACATGACCATAGGCCAAACAAACGGAGTTTTTTGCCATGGCACATATGGGTATGGTCAAAATGTCCAACACTCGGGTCTCCTTCAAAACAAATATATATTGGCAGTTAGGGCAGGCTGAATATGAAACCTAGTCATCACCTTCTTTTTTTTGTGCGGATACGGGGCAAGAACAGATATTATGATACCACGTTGTTGTCCTTTTGTTGTGCAAGGGGGGACACGCTTTAATTCGAAGTGCGACGGGAAGGTCGATTCGAGCTTGTTGATGTCACAACCTTCAGCCTGGCGTCTCAAAATAGCTTTTTTCCTTTTCTGGGGTCTCCTCCAGGCCTATTTTACAGGATGGATGATGGCTGGATGGATGGGTGGACGGATGGACGAATGGACGGATGGACGGACGGACTGACGGACGGATTGGTGGATCTGCTCGGATCTGCTCGAATCTGCTCGGATCTGCATGGATTTGCATGGGTAGATCTGGATGGATCTGGCTGGATGGATGGATGGACGGACGGACGGACGGACGGACGGATGGATGGATGGATGGATGAGGATGGATGGAGCGACCGGGGTGGTCGGCCTCACACCATGGTCCGTCCCCTATGTCACATATTTAACACATCAAGAGTTAGTCACTTTTTGCAGGGGATCCGACAACGGAGAGCCCACAACAACCTCTGTTGCCAAGTGGATTCCGTCTCTTTCTCCAACTTTTTGCTGGGGAAGGGTTCCGATTCCTGAACACTCAGCCAACAACCAAACATCGTGTGCCGATTCTTGTGTTCCCCCTGGAAATCCCCTGACCATCTGAGACAAGCCACGGGGGGCCAACCGCGCGAACGAAGAAGCGCGACCAGCTCCGAGGTTTCACGGCGACCACGATGAAGTTAATTCAAACGGTGAAGCGCCGAATGGGCCCGGGACTCGGGGCTCGGCACCTGGGCCTCAACGGGTCCCACAGAGGGCAAGACCCGCGAAGGCGCGCGGTCCGTTGTAAATGAAGACCATGGTGCCCCAAAAGAAAACAGGTCTCCAGAAACAAACCAGCGGCGCTGCGGTCCGCGTTGGTTTCTTCACGAAAGGCTTCAATAGGGAACACTGGTGATTCACCGGAGACGACTGGAAGTAAAGAAGAAACCCACGGTGGCGAGTAAGAAACCGGCCTTCGTTGTTGCTTCTTCTGGCTGCCGCACGTTTCCGAGGGCTCAGGGTTGCTCCCCAAACATGGAATCCCAAAACCACCATTTGCAGAGGAATCTCCCTTTGGGTGCCCTACTTGGGTTCCTTCCGTTGATTTGTAGGGGAAAAAGGAACCCGTGAAGCGAGAGGGGGCGTATGGACTCCGGGAACTTTTCTTCAGGGTCCCTTGAAGGATACCAGCAGGGCCAGTTAAAAAGTCCCCCCCCCCCCCAGAGCTGATTTCGAGCGTCCGAATCCTTGTGGTTTTGAATGTATCCTTCTGAAACCCTCGCCTGCCGCGCAAGTACGCCTCTTGTCACTAGAGGAGGGCCCCACTATTTCCCTAACAAAAGTCACCAGGCAATCCCAGGCCCCCCTCCCCAAGAAAATCAAGATGAAGAAGAATAGCCCTAGCTTTGGCCGCAGCTTTCGCTTTGTCAGAATCAGGCGAGACCTGGGCAGTAGGATCTTCAGGCGGCAGTCTAGTGCGAACAGTTTGTTTCTGCTGTTTCTTTCAGGCGAGCGGTTAGTTACACGATTTTCCGCTATACCACCGTGGATTTTTCTTTGGGACATGTTCTGAGACCAGTGAAATCAGAAAGTGACATTCCATTCTGAGACGGGAATCAACCAATTTGGTATCACAGAAAGAGGCTAGTCGCCTAGTCTTGGACACGGAACGCACGGTTTGACCTCGTAGTGGCACTGTGACCTTTGCTTGGTGCCTTCTCGTTTCGACCTGGGAACTAGGTTTCAACATGCTCGCAAGTTGAACGAGTGGAACAACAGCCCAGGGCCGAAAATGCCCAGCCTTTCCTGCTAGTCTTTGACATTCAACTCACTAAGAAAGCTATGGTAAGTGGGACACAGGTTGGTCCCGTCGCTGATTGGGCCATGTGCTGTACTGTGCCTGTGACTAGTTGGCGTTGTTCATACTGCAGACATTGCCAAAAGATCCTGTCCGGTCAACCACGGATCGGATTAAGCCTATTCCGAGTGGCAGGTTTGGGCGGGGGACGGTCAATTCTCACATGCTTTTAAGTTTGATTGTTCTGGTTCTGATACTCATGAAAGGTTTTCCAGGATCTGAAATTGATCGCACACACCGCTTAGATTCTAGAAGGGAAGGCTGCGCTTTTGAGATGATTGTTTGACCTCAAAAGCAATACGTTTGGCCAAATCAAAGCCTGAATAGTTCGGGATGGTTTATTTCCCCATTCTTTTCATCCATCGTTCTTGTAAAAACCGGATCCGTTTCCGGAGGTTTTCTTTGGAAAGAATGGAATTGGAAGGTAGCACTAGAAGTTCAGATCTCGATCCAGAACACCACCAAGGTAGTTGGAAGGTAGCACTAGAAAGTTGTCCTCATCCAGCTGTTTCGTTGCGAGCTCCTAGCTCCACGGCCGCGGAGGCAACGACGGGGACAAGAAGACATCGACCAGCCGCACTGGCGCCACCAGCAGCGGCGGCAGCGGCTCTGGCTTGCAATTGGCCGCCGTTGTTCCGTGCTCTGCCGAGTCAGGGGAGAAAAAAAACTAATATATATATATATATAAAATTAGATATATATAATTATATATATAATTATATATAATTATAATTATATATATATATATATATATAATTATGTATATATAATATGTATATATATATATATATGATACATATATCAATTTATATTTATACATGGAAACCCCTGGTCCAAGAGGGGTGGGGGGGAGGGGTCCGTATGGAACCCTACAAAACCTATCCCTGGAAGTCCTCGAACGTTTTGTAAATGGTCCATTCGGAACGACCGTTTTTGGCCAGTAACAGCCGTTTGTGTAATATAGCATGACTTTTATAGCCCTCCTGCCAATAAAATGGCTCTTTGGCCTCAAGACAGTCGCCTTAGCTATGATATTGAGGGTTTTGGGGCAGCGCTGCGAGTCAAGTGTTTAAACATATGCTTGCTTTACAACATCAAGTTTATAGGGCAATTAGTGATGTTTGCGCTGATGCGCATCTGTGACAGAATCACAGCTGAATCCCAGCTCACCCGACTTTTGAACTCCAATATTTCGAAGGGTATCATAGCTGAGCATGCCCAAGTTTGCATTGCAAAATAGGTACCAACTGAACGATCGTACAGTAGTGTATTGAGCGTAAAAGCCCGAAGCAATTTGCAGCGGATAGTCAAGAATTCAATATCGTTATTTGACGACTGCAGCAGCCATCCTTCTGAACATATTGCGACAATAACTCGTGATTGAAAATACCTTGCTGGGCTCGAGTATGAACAGTCCTGAGAAGTAGCGTGAAACTATCGTGAAATTGCCGTGAAACTACCGTGAAACACCGTTTTTGGCCGTGAAAGACCGTTTTTGGCCGTGAAAGACTGCTTGTTTTGGCCCCAAAAGCAAACATGCCAAGTAGACGCAACAAAAAGCAAAAACTATACAACTTCTGTTTTGATAGTTTTGATGTTGGTTGGCGGTGGCCTCAGGCAAAGTAGTTTTGATTGTTGGCGCATCAATTGCGTGCGCAACTGCAAGGCAAACAGCCGATGTGGATGTTTTGTGTAGGCTCAGTTAGGCTCCAACTCTGTGCAACAGGCCCTTCTTAGCTTCTGCACCTGAAAGCTGGTTGTTTGGCTAGCTCACAATAAATTCAAGCTTCATCGTATGGCTGGTTTGTTCTGTCATGTTGGCATTAAGCAAGTTGGTCCAAGCTCAAAGCGTGATATATGATTTGTTGCATGCAATCGTGCAAAAGATTAAGCGGCTTAGCCGAACCCAAACTTAATATTGGGCAATGGCAAGGTCCACGCCTCTACCTGAATTTGGCAGTTGTGCTTTTGCCGCAAGCTTTGAACCACAAAACACATCCTCTTAGAAGAAACTGTCTTTCTGTAAAACACCGCAATAAATACCGCCTTTGGAATCCCAGGGCTATGGAAACCCACAGGAAATTTGGGACCTTTCAACTACCCACCTTGTTTGTGATTCCATAAGGGACGTTAAAAGAGTTCTTCACAAAGGGGCCACTGTTTGCCATGGTCTCGAGTCCAATTTCTGCGGGATCCGGCCATCCGCTTTCCAACAGCCTGGATCCAACCTCGCGAGTTCCGCCCGGACCGCGCGAATTCCGCGCGCGCGAATTCCGACGAGGCAGCGGTGGCTCCGGGGACCTGGCAGCTAAGACCAAGGCAATGGCCCGGCGGGGGACAATGTGTATTTTGTTTGTGTTTTGTTTTTCCTCGATTTTTTTTTTTTTTTTGGGGGGGGGGGTCGGTTTTTGTTTTCGGACGGCGGCGCTCTAACACAAAACACGAAGGGGCAAAGATTGGTTCAGGGCACCTGCCTGGAGGTTTCCTCAACTTACTTTCAAACATGGGCTGGCCCAACATTATGGTTGGTGTGGAGAAACGATTAGTTGAGGGACAATGGGGGGGCATGACTAATGGGGGGCATGGTAATTTTGTTAGGCGGGGCATGACTAATGGTTACCATTGTTTAGTTAAGATTAGTTAAGGTTAGCTGGAGTCTCCCTGAGCCACTTGCTCAACACCCGGGGATTGATGAAGGTTAGTAAGGGACAATCCCCTCGCCATAAATGGCTGCGGATATCCGCCTCTTAATTCTTTACATGGCTCTGGGTAGACCATTTTTGTACTGGGCTTTGATTATGACTCACCTGGAGTCTCCATTACCCTTAAACAATGGGGGGGGCATGACCCAAAATAAAAGGCGACCATTTTTAAAGAGTCATGGAGACTCCAGGTAGTTCGTTGCACCCCTGGACCCAACTGCGGTCTTAAAATGGCTTGCCCAAAAATTATGGTTGGTGTTTCAGTTGTCCTTTTAAGTCAAGGGTTCGTAGTTTGAGGTTCCAGGTCGCCGTGTTCCCCATCCATCATGGTTATGGGAGATCCGGTTTTGGCGGGTTGCACACGTAGCTGGGAGGTCTCCGATCAGCCCCCCCCCCCCCTGGCTCGGGAATTGTGGGAACCGGTGAACCCCAGAAAGGGATTTAAACATATTGCGCCCGTGGGCAAGGTGTGGTATCCAAATAATAGAGTATTTATGTTGAATAAAGGTATATTTCCAATTATGGTATCTAATATCTATGTTGACTACCAATCATAGTCAACTACCGATAAAGGTATGGTATCCAATTATATATATCATTATAGTATCTATGTTGACTATATTTGTGGTAGAGTGGGGATACGTCTTCATTACTCAGATTCAGGGTAAAGTTATGCGTCACGAAAGCGCTTGCTGTGGAATATATGTGTTTAGGTTGCTGGACATGAAGCACACCATAGACCAATTTTTAGCATACAATGTTTTGGGATCTCAACTGGGATTAGCATGCTCTCCTGCCTCACCCAAACTTCATCATTGCCAGACTTGGCTCACGAATTGCTGATATTTATCTCTTGGCCTTGTTGGCTTCCACCATGTTGCTTGGTGGTTCCCAGCCATCTCCCGAGCTTTTTAGTGCTGGTTGGATTTCCATTCATCCACTAAAAGTTAGTCACTTTTTTAGGGGATCAGAAAATGGACGGCCCAGGTTACCTTTCACCCAACAAAAGGTTTCACTGTTGAAGGGGGCCTGAGTCTGGTCAAGTTACGACTATGACCGTTATGATTCACGTGCCATCCGCGGGAGTCTTTGAGATGCCCTGCATGGCAAAGCGGCACGCAAGCTTCCATTTGCTTAAGAATGTGTTTTGCTTTCCTTTAAAGGGAATCTATCACTACTGTTTTTGTTTTTTTTTCAGGGGGCTTAAACAAATGGACGCAAACATGGATGCAAAGCACAAAACGAAGACGTGCCTTGCAGAGTGATACTGGGTCAAAAGGAGTTCAATCACCTCGGGTACCAAGGGACTCTTGGGGACTTGGGGTGTAACAAATATAACTCCTCTCAAGACGTTCAACTCGCAAAAGTCCACCCAGCAGAACGACGTGTAAAATCTGAGCCGCTAAAGAGGCCACCAACACGGCGCCGCCAAAGATGGGTGGCCGGCCTTCGGTTTCGCTTTTCGCACAAAATCCAGCAATCGCATTCAGGATTCTGGGGCTATTGTCACCTGAAAGTCTCCTTTTTTTGTTGGTGTCCAGGACATCCAAGCAAATGTCCCCGCTTTTTCTAAAATTCAATGAATCCGGCGCGCAATTTCACCCGTCTTTCCAGTTTTGGGTGCTGGAGCACATTGACCGCAGCCGGCCGGTGCCGCCCGACACGACGGAAGTAAGCGGAGGCAGTTGCAGCCGTGCAATTCCGCCCGGGCTGCTTCTGCCAGCCGGGCCGCGGCTGCGAAACGGCCACCAAGTCCCGTGGCCGCGGCGTTTTCGGCGGAGGAATACCTGAATCGAAGCTGTGCGGTCTCGCAGCACGAACGCTTCCGATGGTCCAGGCGGCGGTTGGTGGCTTGCAGAGTGTCGCCTTCTCATGGGACGTTGTGTTAACCTAACGCCAGAGAAGTTCAGTGTGATTGCCGCATCGAAGCCCAAAAACGTGACCAACGGGAAGGAGTGGAAACAGTTCATCAGAGGTTGGTCGGGGTTGGTTGGAAAGTTTGGGAGGAGACCCATTCTGCACCTGCTACGAGCAAGGAGGTTCGTACCGATTATCTATTCGCACATCCGCTTTCCTCAAACCAAATTGGCATTGCCTTGCCACGGGACACCCAGGAGAAACATGCGCATCGATCCAAACTTGATGGCTCCCATTAGCCTTTTATTGTTTAGTGGGGTTTTCCATTTCGCCAAAAGTTAAACTTTTAGCGGCGGATCTGAGGACAGCTCAGCAAACACCACGACGCCAATTCGTTGCCCAAGCCGCAGCGTCAGGCCACCACCCCGGCGAATTCCACGAGCAGCCGCGCGATGACTGCCAAACCCGCCACCGAGCCCGGAGACCAAGCCACCCCGTCGGGTGCTGTTTCTCCGGAGCAGTTGGGAAGTTGGCAGTCTTCTGAGGACGAGTTTTTTAGCCAAGAAAACGGCCACGAGTATTGTCTCCTCACAAAACATACGTCATTGCTTGTGGGGGGAAATATGAAACAGAGCTCGAAAATCTGGTTTTATGGTTTTCCCCGGAGCCAAGTAAAGGGCAGCCGAGGGGTTGTAGCATGTTACAAAAAATGTTTCGAGACAAGCCCATGGGGGTCGGTCGACATGTCGGGACGGCGGCTAAACTCACTGCAGGTCAAAAAACCACAAAACTTGGATTAGGAGCAGGCGAGAGGGGGAGAGAGTTTTTGTTTGTTCTTTCTTGGAGAATGTCGTTACTATTTGGTTGGATATCAAGGGCGGGCTCAGTCGACAATGGCAATTGTTGCACGTAGCCTTTTTGGCTATTAGCGGATCTCTTAGTCTTTTTTCTTGTTTGGTTGAAATTAAGTTGGTTTTGCACTAAACCCACAAAAAGCTGAGGACTTGTTGCAGCAGGGCCTCTCCAACCAAGAAATCCAATGGGACGAGCCCTACAGATGGGTAAAACCGGAAATCCACATGATGTTTGCATTTCCTGTCTCCCTTTCTATCTCAGCCGGTCATTCCAAGTTCATCCGATCTCTCTTCTTGGAACCCCAAGGTGCAGTTGGATCCCCCCAAAGTTGGCTCGTTGTCCATGTGGGAACCCCCGGTAAAGCCCCGAGAAAAAGAGAAAAAACAAACAATAGGTCCCCTGAAAACACACACACATACCCATGTATGTTTGTTTCTGTCGTATCTGGTATTGACCATTGAATGCTATAGCTTCATCTTGTTATCTTCTTCCTCCGTCCAACAAAACCGGTCCCAAAGTGATGGTTGGGCGGGAAGGGAGAGATGAGATAGTGATGGTCCTCTTGCCAAAGCATGATCATATTAGCACATTTTTTTGATGACCATCCCATCTTTTTCTTTCTTTTTTTTAAATCTCATGCTTCTCGCCTATCATCGTTTACATGTTTTTGGGTGAGTTTCTATGACAATTCCTTGGCGCCACTTTCAGAATCTCCCGGACACAACCAACAGGCTCCCGCCATTAGCATGGAGCCTGACAGGAGGTCCCTGTTAAAGAAAATGGTCTTCCAGGACCCCCCGAAGGTCAGGTTCCATGTTAGTTGGTGGGAGGGTAAACGCTACCATCCTCCTCGCAGCATCCCCAACTCCCAGATGCCTCGTGCGCGAAGGTAAAGAGAGGACAGAAAAGATTGGGGACCTGTCCTCCAAATATTGCCGTGGGACTCTCTCGCTGGCACTTGAACTCGTCCCATTTTGAAGACGCGGGTGTCTTTCCAATTTTGGTACAAGCCCCAAAACAATAAACAAATCAACAAATCAAAATAAGCAATAAATAAAGTGTATATATATATATATAAATACTCCCCACAACAAAAAAAGGAGAAAAAAAAACGACAACAACAACAATGAAACCCAAAGTATCCCCAACAGCCCCCCAGCTCCCCGAATCCTGCACCGAACCCTGCAGAAACTTGGTCAGTCGGGAATGAACCTAGATTCCTCAGATATTCCGTTAAGGGACACCATCACAGGGGCTGGTTTTTTTTTTTCTTCGGGGTCATTCCATTTCTTCGTGGCTCCCAGCCATCCGGTTCTTTAGCTTTTTGGATCTGTTGAGTGTTTAGTGGGGATGTCCATTTCATCCACCAAAAGTTCAACTTTAGCGGGGGATCTGAGCACAGCCAAGATTCTAGGGGTTGATTCCTGGTCCGTTCTTCTCAAGCATCGTTCTTTTCAAGAACCGGATCCGTTTCGGGTTTTTATATGTTTTTCCAGAAAAGATTCGGATCCCTGGGTTCAGGATGGAATTGGAAGGTACCCCTACCTGAGCTACGAAATCTCAGCTCGCCGGCTGAGGTCCTCGAGCTTCGCCACAATACCCAAGTTGCGTGAGGCATCGGCCGTCCTTCTGTCCGGGCGGTTTTTGGGTGTTTGCTCCTATTGGGTTGTAAAGACCCGGGGTTAATCAACCTGAGAAGTTGCTGATGGATTGATTCTCGATGGCTAGTGGGCAAGGGTTTCTTAGACTTTAACTTTTTGTCTTTTCTCTGACATGTGCAATGGGTTGGGGAGAGGAATCGGAGCTGAGAGAGAAGCAAAGCAACTCTCAGTGGAGCCACAATCAAAACCTGGGTAGCTGAAGGTTGGTAAGGGCCAATCCCAAAAAATAAATAGCTGCGGATATCCGCCTTCTTGATTCTTGAAGCATGGTTCTGGGATTACGACCATTTTAGTACCGGGTTTTGATGACTCAGTAAACCAGTGGGCTCGTCTTTTAGCAGCCTCTGCTTTGCACATGTGCCTTGAATTTCCCTCGGTAGCCCAATATTTTTCTGACTGTTCCTGGCACAAATCCGGATTTGGCAAAGGCTTCAACAACCAACCCCTGCTCTCATTTTGGCCTAAAGTTTAAAAGACATTGTTTTAATGGCAGTTTACACATTTGGCCCAACACAAATACGGGACATGTACTGCAGTGTTTACTTTCTCCAAGTCGAGGCTATGCTGCTCTTTTTTTTTTGCCACAGGAGAGACACTGGCAACCGGTTGTTAATTAATCAACCTGCCCCACAAAATATGATGAATTCTTAATGGCTATTTGGTTGGATCTTTGGATTTTAGCGTTTTGAAGTGGGAGTCAAGTTGCCACAAAGAGTTGACAACTTTCTGAGGCCCCAGTCGGAGGAATCCTTTCGCCCATTCGGCATAGTGTAAACTGCTCTCCCGAATGGAACTCTGCGTAACCTTTGTTATTGTTTTACAGATCGTCTGAGGCGATTCGCTGGTCTTAAAGGGGGTCTATCACTCTTGGATGTGTTTCGCGTTTTTCAGGGGGACGCATTCGCAAATGGAAGGCAATGGAACCCCCGAACCCCCAACAGTTGAGCGGAGTCTGTCTCCTTTTGGGAATCGGATGCCATGGCCCGCCTCATGGCAGCTCGGGGGGAAGACGAGTTGAGTCTGAAAACTCCGGAACCTACTTCCATCGGATACTCAAAAGTAGGATTCGCCCCAGAATGGGTTGCCCTGGTCAAACCCGCGGTGGCTCTTAAGTTTTTTGAGCCACACCATGTTGGAAAGAGGCTAGAAAACCCCTTCCATAGTTGAAACTGATCCAGGTAGCCTCCCGCAGGTGCCCTAAAGATGCGCTAAAAAGTTTGCAAACCGACCATACTCAAACACAAAAACAATACCACGGGGGAGAAGAAAAACAACGCGGGTGACTTGGATGGGTTCCTTGTTCACTCACTTGCAATATGTAGGGCATCGGTACTGGGATGTTCGTTGCCAAGTTAGCAAGTGGTTAGCTAGCCACTTGGGGAGATAGCGCCCTTACAGCAGGGTTAACCCCACTTAGGGGACTCCTAAGTAGGTTAAAGCCTAGGTTACCAACAACCAGCCAACTTGGCCGAACACTCCAGTTTTGTTTGTGCGAGGGGTCAAAACTGCCCGAGTTCTTCTTTTCCCTGGCCGCTGACAGGCACCACCGCAAGAGCGGACAGACCTGTTCCGCAAGAAGATGGAGGCGGACCAAACCGATCAGAGCAAAAGATTCCCTTGCAAAGCCAGGAAACTCGGGGAAGCTCGGGACCCGGTGTTTTCTGTCGGGGGAAATGTCTGAAACTCACTCCCTCAGTACCGTTTCGGACTTCATCGTCACTTTTGGGGAAGACCAGTTGGTAATTAATGCTAACCCCGGATCAATAAACCCCTGGTTGATTAATAGGGGGTGTCCCCTTTTGGCGGACATCACTTTTGGAGGGAGCACCCCCGAAAAAATCCTGGGTCAACATTAGAAAGCTTGGAACTCATTGACCATTCCCAAGAAAGACCCCAGAAATGAGAGGTGCGCGGCGACCAGAACCCCAGAGGTCTCCTGGATCGAAGTACTTTGGACAATTTAACCCGCCTGAACCTTCCGTTTGCTTGACAATATATGGGTAATCTTAAAGGAATCCATCACTGCGGGGCATATTTTTTTACTTTTTCCAGGGGGCGAAACAGAAAATGGAAGAAACCCTCCTGGCTCTGCCAGGGACATGCGGAGAAGTCATTTCGATTGATCTGTCGAATGACGAATGGGCCAGGTTTGCGCGGTGGTCTTCGACTTCCACAACGACAATAACCAGAAGGCCGTCTCTCCAGAACTTTTCTTGGCTTTTAAAACCAAAACAACTGAGAAAAGCCGATTTTGCATTTGCGGGGACCTGACATATTTTGGGATTTGCGTCCATCACGGCTTTTCCTCGGACCCGATGCGATGCAATCTGGTTTTTTTGCCGCCTGTTAAAAAAGGATCCGGGAAAGGGCCCCGAATTTTGGCACACACACAGACCCGTCTAAACATGTCCACCCCCCCCTCCCACCACCCCCCCAACCCCCCCCAATTGTCTAAACATGTTTAGGGGTAGACGAAATATGGCTGCAGGTTCATTTGACCTCAGCACACACGTTATATGTTCTGCTGTATGTACCCCAGACTTTTCGGCCGAGTTCCGGGGTTGCCCACTTTCACGTTGATTTTATCAAGGCTCCACCAGGCCATCCTGATGTACTCCCCTAGACTCCGAGACAAGAAAGTAACGTGGAACCCAAAAGGGGGGCTCGATCCCAGGAGCTCGCGCATGGTGCGTGTTATTTGGGTTCCATGCTCATCTGGGGAGCGCCGAGTGCCAAGTCCACCAGCTTGCCGCTGGGGAGAGCTTCCATTCATGTTGATTCCCAGTTTTCAAGCGCGTGACGACAAGGAAGAGACATCATGAGGCGCTGGAAGGCTGAATGGGAATTTTAGGGTAGATGTCTTAGATCTAGACCTGCGTGGCCATGCTTGGTGGCTGGCAGCCATCCGATTCCGCGTTTTAGATCGTTTCAGCTGGTTTAGTGGTTGGGGTTCCGTTTTTCAGCCACTAACCATTGGTCACTTGTAGCAGGGGATCAGAAAACGGACAGCCCAGGTTAGTAGAGCAAGAAGTGAACTGAAAGGGGGAACCTTCAACTGGTTTTGGGCATGGTGCAACCCCCCCTCCCCATGGTACTGTTCATTTTTATAGCCCTGGCTATGGGAGTTGTTTTTTTTGTTCACCCCTGGAAAGGGTGGGAGGGGGGGGGGCAAACCAACAGAATGTCTTCACCCACTCCAAAGAATGCTTGAGCTTTGGCCACAAGGGTGCTTCCCCCCCACCCCACCACCCTATGTGGATACCGGCTCCGGCACCACCCAGTGCCCTCTGGGAAGAGGGTGGAACATGAAGCCCATCAGCTCACGTTCGCGTCAGGAGAAGGAAGCCAAGCGCCAGACACTGCTGGAAATTGTGGAGTGCCCAACTGCGCGTTGACCCCCAAAAAAAACGTGCCCTGTGGTTTCCTTGAAGGGAATGGGTCATTCCCTACCTATTGCACCAGCAAGTCAAAGCTGGAACATGTTGACAGATGTAAGTAGAACCCGTCCTAATACGGTGGTTGTCGGGCCGCCAAAAAGTGATCCGGAGTCGCACTATATAATTAAAATGGGACAAAACCCATAAATCAACCAGGGGTTCTACGATCCGGGGTGAACATGTTGACTGTCTTTTCGATCCAGCGGGTCCCCTTTCTTTCACTCCCAGAGGCTTTGACGACGAACTTGGGGCAGGAGGACCAGATGAGGGTAAGGGCGTTCATCGAGATGATCAAAGACGAGTATCAAGGGAAGCAAGTTGTTCGCAAGGGCGAGCTGCGACAAAGATGGGAATGGAGTCCAGCAGTTCTCGAGGTGGCGAAGCATTTTGATACAAGGGACGATGGATCACATCGTCACGATCGTGCTTACGAAGGCGTCCACGCCCACGATTCGCGAGTTCCAGCACGACCCCACTGGGCGTGACCGTTCGCAGAACAAGCTGTGTCACTGACCAACTATGTGTTGGCAGGCTCAAGGGCACCATATTGTTTGAGTTTGGGTGCGGGTCTACATGAAGGAAGCCTATGACCAACTTAAGTACTTGGAGCCTCCAACTAGCCACACAAATGGGGTTGTTGAGTTGTTGCAACCCAGCACTCTAGGGTGAATTCCAACTAAGGGGAATTTCGAGGGTCCAGGTAATGATCGCAAGAGAAGAATGTGCGGTTTGGTTTTAGCCGCAATGTAGCTCTTACTTTAGGCTGGTTGGAGTTTGTTCTTTTGCTACCGGCTTCAGCAAGACAATAATAATGTTGCAGTTTGTGTTAGATCAAATCAATCGCAGCAAGGATTTCGAGCAAGAGTTCCGTGACTTGTATTTGCGTGAAACGAGGCAAAACGTCAGGAATAGCAGGTGTCACAAAGATACCGATATGGAAGCAGCCCAAATGTGATGCGATATTGCCATTCCATCACTTGTTTGATTGCACCAGTATCCCTAGGGTTCAACCCCCATTAAAAGAACGATTACCCCAAATTGGATGATGACAATCTGAACAGTAAACAATGGTGGTGAATTATATGAACCCCTATTTTTTAAAAGCTGGTAGCTGAACCCCAGGGTATTGATTTCGCGTTTCACAAAAACGGCGAACAAGAGGCGACACAACGGTCAACCATGGTGAAATCTGAGCCCAGCCTCGATGGCCTGCCTGAACGGGGTTTTTGACCAATTTGGCACGGGCGGTGGTCCTTTAGATGGTCCCGGGGAGTTGTCAAGCTTAGGGGCAGCACCCAGGCTGCGAATTGTGACTAGGTCCCCCAGTAGTTTCCTTTCTCACCAACTGCTTTGGGGGAGGGTTACCCCACGAAAATAGACTACAGAAATAAAGTTGGTACCCTTCTTCTAACCTCTCTACTAGAGGACCGAGTGTCAAATCCATATGCTCGAATTCGAACACTTGAGGGCCCCGTCAAGTTTTGAGACCCAGCGGCGACTCCGGGCTGGAGGTGGAGGTGTTTGGGTCTGAAAGCCCCAGCCCGCCGATGGCTGCGCCTTTTTTGGCGAGCCCCTTTTGGGTGCAGGTTTTAAACGGATCAGGTAAGGGACCCTCAGGGCGAGGGTTTTCACAGGTTCGGTTCTGCAGCTGATCTGCTGATTTGGCAGGTTCCTTGTCGAACCTGCTTTGCCAGGTACGTGAACAACACCCGGAACTGTTTCAACGAAGCCCTGATGCAGGACGTCGTCAACATGGCGCCGTGCTCAGACCTTCGCGTGTTTAACTTGCTGCTTTTCCCTAGGCGCTCAGCGCGCGCGCGCGCCCGGGTCTTTTGGGGCACTTGGGGAGTTGGCGGGGCTCGAGCTTTAGGTCGCGAAAGATGACAGCTACAGCAAATGCTATATGGAATTTAGTCCAATGCTCGCGTGTTTGATCTAGTTCTGGTTCTACGACCCTCAAAACTCCCTTGTTTGAGGGAGTTCAGTTCACCCTATATTGTTTGGTTGCAATAACCCCATTTGTATGGGTAGCTGGAGGCTCAAGGTAGATATTTCTTTAGTTGGCCTCGAGACAAAGGTTGCTATCCGATCTTGGGAGTCTGTCAATTTGGAGCCTCTCCGGACCTCAATCGTCCATTAGGGTACCCATGCTACCCCTTTTTGTAGTGTGGTTTTCAAGGGAACCAAAAAGAAAATCACCATTTATGGGGTCCCCTAACAAAAGACTTGACATACCCATTTCCGTTACCTCCAAAAGTGGCGGATTCGAAGGGACCCCGCGAGGGAATTGATCAGCCTGGGAACTCCAGTTCTTTGGACTCAGTCGGCCCTTCTGGTTGTCCAATGCCGGAGCTCAAGAGCAGTCCTGGAAATCAGCCCGAGCTTGAGTGAGTGCCAAGCTTTCATGTCCATGAACGAGTGAGAGAATTTTCAGGTCTCGGGTAGACTTAGGATACATTATACGGTGGCTCAAAGTGAAGCAAACAATAACACATACATTCTATAACTGGGCTCAACTCTAACCAGGAGATGCTGAGCCTCAGTTTTGTTTGTTGGTGCCTTCGATCCTGGGCGAAGGCTGCTGGAATTGATTTCGGACTGGATTTGGTCAAGTTATGACGACTTGTAAAAGACACCACCAAGATTAGAAGGAAACATCATTAAATGAGTCTTGTGGTCAAAGACCTGCTCGCGTGGGTCCACCTCCCCCCTTTTTGGGTTAATGATCAAGGGCAAGTAGGGGGATGGCCAGATGAAGTTGTTTGTTTGCGGGAGGGTGGGCATCCCCAATTTCACGACACACTACATGAGTACGTGTCGAAGTAGGGTGGACCCCTGGGGCGCTTGGCAAAGGCGGCGGACCCGATGTGTGCTTCACATTTCAGGGAAACCAACTAGCAGGGATACAGGGGGAACCAGGGATACGGGAGGATTCCCCCTAAATGCACCTTGACTAAGTTTGATATGGGAAATGGCGCCAGGGAATCCCCCCATATCCCCGTCCGTATCCCCGCTTGTTTGTTTGTCCAAACATTGCAGGTGGGTGCGAACATCTTCCGAGCGCTGCAGACTCGCAACAAGGCGCTCTCAGCTCGTGACGAAGCTTTCCCAACGCATCCAGCGTGATAGGCCGATGTTTGACTTCAAATGAAGCCACACGGGGACGGGTCGTTGGATGTTTGTTCCAAAGCCCCTATAGTTTTGACCTAAGTTCCTATTTGAGGTCTAAACTAGTGAAGGTTTTAAGGCAGACTAAGTCCAGTTGCCCTTTAAAGCCAGCCAACCAAAAAAGGATGCCAATTGCCACTGGGCATCTGAGTAAATATGCCACACTATCGAAGGAATGTGCTGTGAACCTCAGATGTGCGCCAAGCGTTTTGGGCAAAGGCGACCTTTGCCCAGTTCAGAGCCGAAAGCTTAAGTTTTTTGTTTTGTTTTTGTGTGTGGTTACTGAGTCTTCCGGGTCCCGAAGGAAATAGAGAACCCAAACAAAAATGTAAACCCTAGGGTTTTAATTCCCATTAAAAGACAGGTTGGCCCAAATCGGATGATGACAATGAATCCTGAACGGTAAACACGGGTGGTGATACAAACGGTAGTTTGAACTCCAGGGTAAGGGTCACCTACTTAACGGCAGCTTGCCGCGCCCGTGGGGTGCGGGCGAAAAACAACGGAATCTTATGAAGCAGAATCCGAACATGAGTTCTGTGTATAGCAGCTACGAGCCAAAGACTGTTCCTCGCTGGGAGAGTTCGCGTGTCCGGTTTGCGAAGTGTAAATTGCCCAGATAGATGGCAAACAGGGTTGGGCAAGTGGGTTGAACAAGGCCACAGATTTAACACAAACAATGCACGAGGTTAGTTCGACTCGGTTCGCCAGTAATTTTAGCGAGATAACTCATAGGAAGAGGTGCTACATGTGCCCACCGACTTAGCTAATTTCTTGATTTACCACTAGAGGAAGCCAGAAGAGGATGGATAAATTCCCTTAAGCAAGGAAATTCACCCTAGAATTTTGGGGCAAGACTTTCCGGGTAGTTTGAGGCTCCAGTTATATACCCGAGCTCTAGGTACCTCCAAAGCTCCAATTCGGGAAGTCACTCGGGTGAGTTAGATGGCATGATTCTCCTTTGGGGCCAGCCCCAGACAAATCGTGCTTGAGAGGTAGCAAGCCCAGTTCCGGGGATTCACCGCCGTTTTTGTTCATTGTGGCCAAACCCGGGTTGCTGGTTGGTACCAACTTTAACTCTTGAACCTCTTAAACCTCTGGAACCAATGACTAAGTTCCAAGTAAAACCAACAAGTTAAGCCTTTCGCAGGCCTCCCTTGCAAGGTTTTGGCCACCCTTCTTCTGTGTTTCCCCCTTAGACCGCCTTTGGGCTGTCGATAGAGGGTTCATCCCACATCCGAGGCACAAGCTCATTTGCGAGGTCCACGGTTTCCCCATCTGTGGGTTGTGTTTGGTTGGTCTTTCTGGTTGAAAGAGAGCAACACCCAGAATCAACCTGTTGACCTTTTGGTTTTGCCCTGATTTGGTCCATTAGTTGCCAAAGGTGATCACCTTGATTTTTTGGTTCCCCCATATAAGGGGCAACTCAGAAGGGGGCTATAAGAAGTCCTCCACAAACTATAGAGGAGTTGGTGCGTAGAGCCAAGCGTCCGCTGTGTGATGTTTAGTTCCATCCCCCGTACCCTCCAGCAAACCTGGGTTTCTCCGGTGTAAATACCTCCTTCACTCAGGGTTTGCAATCATTTCCCCATCACTCCAACTCAAAAACATGGGCATTGGGTGTAGGGAGTTTGCCTCCCCATCCACCCCCAAGGGTTTTCAAGATGCAAGCTGGTTCTAAGAAATATTCCCAGCCGTCTGGTTCAATGGTGTTTCTTCGTTGTGAATTCGTTGGTTCAGTGGTTGGGTGTGTGTATTTTACCCACTAAAAGAGTGGTCCAGCGGTTGGGTTTCCGCAATTTACCCACTAAAAGCTAGTTGTTTTTTAGTTTTTTTTTGCAGGGGATCAGAAAACGGAGCGCCGACCCACTTCGAGTCGGGCCAAGCCAGGACCCTTTGGCCTTCTCCGACCCCGAAGACGCGCGGAGCCCGGCAAAGCCACCGCGCGAGGATTTTTGTTTGAGGCGGTCGTGCTAAGATGGAGCCAAGACGTGTCGTCTCAAAATGAGCTGCCTGGAATCTCAAGTTACCCTAGGGGAAACATGCCGTAAGGTTCTGGGCAGGCAATTGCTTCAGGTGTTTGGGGAAGATCCAGGTGGACCAGCCTCTTCAGGTTGGTTTCTTCGCGGTTTCTTTGGGAGAACGTCCAAGAAGGGGAACTAGATTTTGAGAAACCTTGGTTGAGCCACAAAGGCTCCCGACCAGGTTAAGGGCTGTCAAAAGGAGCTACCGGAGTCTCCTTTTACCCTTAAAGAGGGGGGTCAGTACACAAAAGAAAGGGGTCAGTCGCCATGTTTGGTTCGGGTCAGAAGGAGACTCCAGGTATTCCAGGGCACTTGCGAGCTTGATTGCTATTGTGCAACGGATCTTTAGACTACTTTTTGGTGGAAATTCAAGTTGAGTTTTCAGGACTAAAGCCACACAAAGTGAAACAGTGGGTTGTTGCAGCAACCAAGTTGTAGGATCCTTGGCTGGCCTGGAAGTCGGGCGGGGGTCGAGCCATTTTTGGCTTCCAGCGCGGGAATACGGGGTATGCGGGGGTGCTCGTTTCCTTCGCGCGTGGAAACCCACCGAGGGTTTGGGTTTGAAAGTTTGCTGTGAAGATAAGTAGGGGCGATCATGATGAGTACCTGTTTAATCAGCAGGCGGAATCATACTCTCCAAAGCAGAAAACAATGAAACAAGTTGCAACCTCACCAAGGGCGATCTCGGGCCACTTTCCGCGATACGGATTCCGAATCCCTTCGGCGGAAGTTGGTAGCAGCCCATGTCACGGCACTGGCTGGAAATCCCGGAGCCAAGTAGAACCGCAGGGTCCTGGTGTAGTGGGGATTCATGACTATTGGAAGGAAATACCCTATTAAGACGGGTTTATTGATCCGCGGTCAACATTATGCCAGATGGTGTTTCCCGGCTTGTGGGCTACTAGGAATGAAGGCTCCAAAACCTGATCCCACCAATTCACCTGGGAACCCGACCGGGATCCCTTTAACAGGGAAATGATCTTCCAGGACCCCTCAACAAGTTTGGGGGGTCCAAATCCTAAAAAAATGACATCCTTCTGTACAAATTACGGAGGGGTTTTCTTGACTGTGCGGCGAACATCACAGAACACCACGGAGTTCCGAGACATCTCCTTTTGGCTTGGATGGGAGGGAGATTGATGTGCGAGGTATACATGCAAGGTCAGGTACCTTCCCAATTCTGCCTAAACCTTGGCAACTTGAACCCTGGAAAGGCAACTTTCAAGTTCGCCAATCAGGTTTAACCCTGTATTGCCCAGAGATTCGGAGAGTTTCGGAGACAGTTTTTGGATGGTGCAACTGGAACACCTTCAAAGCAGCCATCCCTTTGGAGAACGCGCTTGGTGTTGACACTTGATCTGAGATCCACTTGATGGGGTCGAAGCTTTATGGCTATGGAGGGCTGAGGGGTCAAAGGCGCCCTTGCGGGCTGTTGTGTCCGGTGACTTTGTTGGCGGTCGGTTTTAGTGGTGTAGCATTGTAGCATCCTGCTTTCCGACGTGTGTTAGAAGCCCTTCAAATTCTCTCAAATCACGGAATCAGGGTCAACGAAATCAAGGACGTGGGTGTGTGTGTGTGTGTGTGTGTTGCATTCGACAAAGTAGGGGGACCCCCGAAAAGTGCTCACTTCCCTTCAAACCACCCCCCTAAAGTTCAACCCCCATGAAAAGAAAGGCCTTGGGACCCAATTTGGATGATGACAATCCTGAACGGCAAACAACGGTGGTGAAATATGAACCCAACCTTTGTTTTCAGGGTGGTAACTCACCCCAGGGACCCTAGATGGAATCCAAAAAAGGGCCAAGGCAGCGTAACGCACCAAGGATGAGCCTTCTCTCGAGCGCGCGTGGCCTCACCTGTTGGGACCTCACAGACCCGAAAATTCGATTGCTCAGAGCAACACAGGAGGGGCACTTGAACAATGCCACACTGCACTTATTTAGTGGGAGGGGCCACTTGTTCAGTGGCAAATTAGCACTACCATGGCGAAAAGTTTTTCCTTGGGGGCCCCTTCGGACATTGGGATTGATGTCCAGCTCTGATTCATCGCCATATGGGCTCTGGCGAATTCAAAAAACCGGAAGTCCAAAATGGGTTGCCCGATCGGTAAGTGGAAACATGGACCAAAACCTGCGGCTTGCCCTCCTGTTTAATTTTAAGCCACACCCATGTGATCATAGCCTGAATTGTTAATTGGTTTTATACTACGCGCAGCCAGAGCCCCATTCAGATTGTTGGGCCCACCCCAACGGGGTTCCGTTCTCCGCTGGTTCGAGAGACCAACATGTAAATGCGCATGTCAGTCGAAAAATCCGGACTTGGACCCCCCGAAATCGGCGGGTTGTCAACTTTTGCTTTCCCTGAAGACAGCTATCTAACAGGGATACCAGAGCCTCAAACTGCCTATAAAAATGGGTTGTTGCCCAAAAACATTGGTGTGAATTCCCTTTTTAAGGGAATATTGAGGGTCCAGGTGCCCACAGAAACACGCGCTCGATGAGCAAGTTTTTAGCGGTGCCCTTTTTGGGTTGGTTTTCAGAGGAAAATAGCAGGAACGCCGAAGCCATTTTGGAGGTCCACGAAAACATGATGCACCCATATCTCCTTTTCTTTCGAAGCCAGGTCTCCCATTGGGGGTGTTGGCTCCGCGCCGACGGCATGTGGCTAGCCATTTACGGGTGTCTCTCAAGCTGGGGACCCCGTAAAATCCGTGGTTTGTTCCGAGGTTGGATTCAAATTCCATTCTCTTCACCCCTTGTTCTCTTTAGAAACCACAAACATTTCCCAGGTGTTAGGATCCCTGAAGAGAATGGAAAAGGAGGGTACAGCTCAACTTGTAGGTAACCAAGGGCTTGCCAGCCTGGAAAAGCCAAAAGGAACATAGCCGGTGATGGACTATCTAGGCTTGTCTGGGATCCACAGGGTTTGTGTTTCGGCTCTTTGCCCTTTGCAACAAACTAAACGTGGATGACCAAGCACAACAATGAGATACACAGATTCTCTGCATGGCAGTGCACAGACCCCGCTTCCAAAGGGACTGTTGTTGCACTTCCATGTTTGAAGTGTCTGCACGCGTGGGATCTGTGCTCAGAAAAAAAAGAGAGACGGGGCGTGTTGTTCTCATAGGTTGATTTTTAGGCTAGTTTGGTTGGACATAGATTGGTTTCACTGGTTTAGGTTTGTAAAAGACGCATGCTGCGCTCTATCTCGTCGCAGATCAGTATCCTGGTGGTCGGACTACAGCGTCTTGAGGGTAAACAACGCCATCCACAACCGCCGCTTCCACCTGCGGCGCCTGGCGGGCAACCACCACTGCCGCCTCCATTGACACCGGCACCTGCATCTCCGAAAGCCTCATCGGTGAGACCGCCTCACCCAACAGTGCCCATCACGCTGGTGGCCACTTCCACCAACCGGATTGAGCCGGCCGATCTCATTGAGCCGGTGAGTGACAGCGCTTCCAGGGATGCCGTGAGTGGTTTCCAAACGAAGGATTTGGGCTGAAGCACGCAAAGGGAATATGTCCCTCATTGACAGGGGGGTGTTCCCCTCCAATGATGAGTCCCCACTAAACCTGGGGACACCCCGCTATTAATAAACCGGGGTTGATGAATCTGAAACTCCCATTACATCCGACGAGATCTCTCCAAGGGGACAAGCTTGCTGGTGAAAAAGCGTGCAGGTGAGCAACCAAAATGAGCATGCCCATTCTTGCGCCGCTTGCCGTACGAGTTTGGCAGCGACGCACGCAAACCTGGCGTCTTCTCTTGATTGCTATTGAGTTGGATCTTGAGACTTTAACTTTTTAGGAAATCAATGGCATTCCGTGAAGTAAACTTTTTGCAGAGGGGTCAACAGCAACCGAGGTATGATCCGGTACAGGAGAAGGTAATCATACTGTAGGACTGACGGAATCTTGGCAAGGCAATCACCAAGCCAACGCCCAGGCAGATTGTGTACGAGTTTTTCCTTCGGTTCGTAGTGTCCAACGACGTTGACCCGAAAATCGCCGGGCCCTCAGGCTTTCTATAGCACATCGAGTTGCAACATGTTTGAACCAGCTAGTTCTGTCCGCTGAACACCATTTGCGGATGGGAAAGACAAAGCCCAAAACCGTAAATATTGGCAACCAAGGGTTGCCCAACCCTTTCGAAATCCCTGGCCGTATACTGTTGGCATGCTACGAGGACAAAATCTGTCCTGTCCTCAGCAACATTGCCCACAAGTCATCATGATCTTGTTTTCGATCTCGCTTTCTAGCGTCTTGGTACACGGATCTTGTATTCATTTGAGCTCTCAATCGGACAGCAACGATTTTGCTCCCGATGCTCGGGGTGTAGCCGTTGGTTGGGCTTCGGAGTTTGCCTTTTCTGGTTGCCGGATCCATGTCTCGTTTTCCCAGCGCGCCCCTATCGGCGCGCTCGCTGGAGCCATTTTCCAATTTGGAAACAAAGTGGCAGTTTCCATGGAAACCACCAGTCAATTGCAACTTTTGAAGGGGAAGTCCAGTGACTCAGTGACCCTTGTCATTTTAGGAAGTGAGCTGGGTTTTGCGACGATGAGGTCACGACAGCATGTGGAACGAAGAGGTGACTTCCAGTAGTGAAATCGATTCCCAAATAGTATATATATATATATATTAAAACAAAAAAGACAGCAGGGGAAATAAAACATACTCTTAAGCAAATCGAAGGTGATGAATTGCATTGCACGCTAGAACGGCGTTTGGACTCTGCAGAATGTAAACTTGGGCAACCAGGGTGTCCGAACGGGGTTTCCTTTACAAGAAATCTGGGAGAAGTCCTAATGGGTATGCGTCAAAATGAAATCACCAGGAATTGGCAGCGCAGGTTCTAGTCCTTGCTTCCATTTACCAGGTTTCCATGCTGGGTACCGATTTTTCAGCGACTGCCAAAACATGCAACAAACACGGTCAGGTACTTTGACACCCAAGCACAATGAAAACCCAGGTATATCTCGGGGAGGACCGTCCAACCAGAAGGTCCGGAAATATTGTTTTTCTCACGAGTTCAAGGGGCAGACCCCTTTAACATCAAGTTGTGATTTTGACTCATGAACCCTCTGTTTGGACCTTGCCTGGTTTTCGAGGGAAAGAAGACAAAAAGGGTCGTCAAGTTTGACAATCTTCCGACTTAGGATACCATTTGCATTTCACCAGTGACTCAAAGTGAATCACACAATGACTCTAGGGGTACCTTCTCCATTCTTTCCAGGGATCCTTCTTTCTACAAAACCTCCGGAAACCCAGGGAAAACGGCCGGTTTTTGAAAAGAACGATGGTTGAACATAATGGGGAATCAACCCCTAGAACGACATATAGATTCTACAATTGGGCCTAACTTTAAGCATGCCAAGTTTGTGTTTGTGTGTAAAACATTTGGCATATTTAATCTCACATTGAGGCAAAGCGGTTTGTGGACCAGAACTTCATGCTGAAGCTGCTTGAGCTATTTGACTCAGAGGCGCTTGCGTTTTTTTTTGTTTGGCGGGGTGTGGAGAGTGGGGGAGCTTGCCTGGTTGTTTCTGCTTGCTGGGAGGGGCGAAGAGGGAGGTTGCCAGCTTGCGTCGACTTGCTGGCAGACTGGGTAGGCCCCAGACTGCAAGGTTAGTTTGGCAACTGCTTACCAGGGAACCATGTAACTGTTGCGATAGGCCGCGACACGGGCGTACTCGCTCAACAAGTCAGCCACAAGTCACAAGGGTACCTGGAGTCTCAATCTGAGCCCTTAAACCCGGTTGCCCAGTGGTGCCATTGTTTCCCTTTTTGTTGGGACGGGTTCCCCTGTAAACTCAATCAACCAAAAATGGATGCCCTTTTTTTCCCATGGCCACTGGGCATCTGAGCAAACGTAGAGTCATGCCCCCTTTCCTTGAGTACCCCCGCAAGTTTACAGGGTCAGATTTGGACTGCAGGTCACCCATGTGTCTATGCCTATTTTGACCGCTCATGGCCTCGTGTCGGCTTCAAAATGGTGGGTGTAGGGTTCCTTGCCCCCATTTAAAGAATGGCAAGGAGCCAATTTGGATGAATCTCCTTAGGTAAAGCATGGTAGTTAGATTAAAACCCCATTGTTTTACTTGGTTTACATGGAGTCCATTTGTTTGACCACAGAGATGTTTATCCTTTGGTTGCTTTTTCGACGATCCCCTCGCGCTTGCCATCCACGAAAGGGTGCTCGTGAGCATCGTTTTTGGCTGCTCGAAGGGAATCCTGCATACAGGAGTGACACTGACAGGCGTGCTATTCCTTGGATTTTTAGACTTCAATTGGAAATCAAGGGCTTTCCATGAAAATTCGCAAGTCAAACTTTTTGTAGAGGGGTCAACAGCAACCACATTTTACGTAGGAGGAAATTAATCTTCCAGGTTTGCCACAGGTGCAGTGTCTCATGTTAGTAAGAGGGACGGAATGTCATCAGTTGTTTTCCGAACAGTGTCAACAGGCTTGTTTTGCTACAAACAACCCTTTCTGTAGGGCTCGGACAGAATACCGAAACACCAGAAGTCAAATATTATAAGTTTATCAATATGTGGTGTTTGTTTTGCCTTGGTTTGCTTCAACACCCCCCCCGCAAAAAAAAGAAGAAGAAGAAGAAGAAGCTATCCCGCCACCCCAAAAGAAGCTGCCAGGGCAGCAAATGTGATTTCCGTCTTTGTTTTGGGCCGAGCGGCTTTTCCCCAACATCAAAGTTTGGGGAGAAAAACAAAAAAACAAAAAAAACACAACGAAAATCGAGAATCCGTCGGCTGGCTCCAGGACCCGCGGGAACGAGACTACCTGAAGACCATCTTGCACCGTATCTATGGCCGGGGCCTGAGAAGGGGAGGCAGACGAGCAGACGGGCAGACGGCAGGGCGAAGGGGGCTTTTTGGAACCAGCCTGGGCGGTTGGGAGGCCAGAGGTGAGGGAGACCAGAGAAAAATTCATCAATCCTCCGGGTGAAAAAGGTTGGTTTAAGTTTAGTGGCTGGTTTTCCGAAGTTGCCGTAACAAGTTGAACTTTTGAGAAGGGTTTGGAGGGCTTGGTGGGGAAGGGGGGGTGTTCAGGGGGTGGGGCGGGGTTAGGGCTGATCCTACGCCGGGCTTCTCCTTGGCATGTACTGAGGCGTCGGTTTGCATTCACCTCCAAGAAACCAATCCGCCAGGTTGATTCTGGGCAACATCAGGAAATATCAAAGCCGGGGTTTAGGGTTGAATGTATCCCCAAACGTAAGCCAAAACGGGACATGTGTAATTGGTGGGGGGTGATGGACGCTTCGAGTCTGCCTGCATTCTGGCGGCCGAAGGGGGGGCAAGGCAATCTCACAAGGAAGGTCCTATGCTAATTGTGCGGCCAACCCCCCAAAAGGAATGTTCTGAAAGAAGGTGGTTGCAAAATAATTTGAAGCGTTTCTCAAAGGATCCTAGGGGCTGGCCTGTTTCGAACCATGGGGCTTGGAAGTTGGGGGGGTTGTCAAACATATGGCCCCTTTGGTGGATATCAAAAGAGGGCCCCTAATGTTCTCACTCCCTGAGTTCCTAGACTTTCATCTTGTTGCGAAGCCGATTTTGGTGGTAAACAGAAAGTTTGCTTACTCTTTCATTTGGTTAAGAATCTTTTATATTTTCCCCTGCTGGTTTTAAAGGGAATCTATCACTACTGAAAATATTATATTTTTTCCAGGGGGCTTAAGCACATGGAGGTACTTGTTTGGACCCAATCCACTCGTTCGGAAGTGAGAATTTGGACAACCGCCCAGAAGATTTGGAAGCCAACCGCCCAGAACAGCCCAGGAATGACAGCGGTCACCGCCCCTAACCTCGAGCGTCGTGAGGAAAGTTCATGGCCCTACGGTCCTTCATCCGCCGTGCTATTCAGCACGTCTTTTTCAAGGCCCGGCGCCAAGCGTCGAAGACGTCACGGGCAGGACCAAAAACTCCACCCGTTTTCGGTGAGGGGAGGGAATTCGTCCTGAACGGAAGAGCACTCCCTGAGTTCCTGGGCTTGTTTGGCAAATACACTCAGGAAGTGAGGTGTCCCTTGTGGTTTTCAGCGTTTGTTGAAAATAGAAGGAACTTTTCTGGTTTCAGCTTAGCTCTCTATTTTTGTTTTACCCGTGAAATCTGTCAGCTCTCCAGCAGGACACTGGATTGGACCAGGTTCTAGGGTAGTTATATCCCTTGGCCACCCCTTTCGGACCGTACAGTACAGGCCTGCAAAATATGGCGCGCGTGCGTCACATGCCCTGCTTTCACTCAGCTTGGGCCAAATGGTGCTGGTAGAAATCGGAACCCTTTAAGGTTGGTTGGCCATTTTAGCTGAGAACTCGCCAACCAAAACAAATGAACCGTGTTATCCTCCGTGGACACGATAAGGCCTTTCTGCTGTTCAGTGGGCTTTCCCCTGTTTTCCAACCAACTTCTAACTTCCAGGCTTATCAATGGTCATATATCCCGACCAAACAGCTAGCAACATCCTGCAACCCCCCAATCAATGCTATTTGGACAGTACTTGGGATTTTGGACATGGGAAAGCAACAATTGTCGGAAGGTGCTAGATATAACCTTACTTGACATAGAAAACCCTTTGCATGGCGCGGACGCTACAAAGGACTCTGCGACCTGTGCTGCTTTCAACGGGAAAACACTGTGTTTAAAGACCGTCCAAATGCCCTCTCCGGATTATGTTGCCAACTTTAAAGCTTTGGAAAGTCCAAGGAAAATAGAAACGCTGAAGCGGGGCGGCTACGTTGAAAGTCCTTGGTAATGATTTGTGTAGCTCACTTGGGCTCATGAACGACGTTTGCAGGAGGGTTCCGGAGGATATATCAGGCTTTGAATCATTCAAACATCTCGCGAACAGCAATTGATTTTCGTGTCCTCTGGACCAAGCAATCGTGCATTTTGATCCTCATAGTGCGGGGGTCCGCAGTCAGAGCGCATGATCCAAGCCGAGGATCGATCAATTTAAGGTCGCCCAACCAGGAAGGTCAGCCTGTAAACCACATGCTCGCCTTGGTTTAATATTCGTTGGACAACCTGGTTTTCCAGGTTAAACTGGGTGTAGGGGTCTAAGTCTGAGCACCTGGGCCCCAATTTGTCCCTGACCCCTGACAGCTTGTCCCATGCCCCGAACATGCCTTGCGTCTCAGCTGGGCGCGCTTGGAGAACCTCCGTTCCATGGTACTTGGGCGATTTTCTTTCGCGAGCGAAAGCCGATGAGCTGGGGTTCCAATTCTGAGTTCGGCTGTTGGAATTTTGATGAAATGCCCAGATGTATGTTCTGAAGGAAGTTCCGAGGTTCCGGGCAGGAACGCTTCGCAGTGGATGCTCCGGCCCCTCATCTCACCACTCCCGGGTCGACCGGTCCCTGAGTGCGTACTTTCTCCCCTAAACCCCGGAAAGGCATCAGCTCTAAGGACCCAAGGGCGACCTTTTCTGGACGGTACCTTTTCCCCGAGTTCAAAGGGGTTTCTCCACGACACCAACCCATTTTGCTCAGCTTCAGGTTTCCTTCCGGACTCAGGAAGTTCCAGCCCGGAAGGAAACCTGAAGCCGACCCCGCTCAGGTCATCTACGAGTCTGAGACCCACAACGGTGTCGGCGAGCTGCTGGAAATCCTCGGCAGCATCATCAACGGCCTCTCGACGAATCGGACCAGTCGACGGGGCCGGCACATGTGCCCGCCGAAGAAACAGCGCTTTGACGGCGGTAGGTGCCGCGGTTTAAAAAAGGGATGCCAACACAAAAAAGTCCCCCTGAGTTTCTTTTTTCACTTCCTGAGTTAGGCTTCGGAGTCGATGGTCGCTTTTGGGCGTTGGTTGCCATTTTTGTGGTGAATACTGTAATAGTTTTGTTTTGGATCCAATCCACTCATGAAGTGAGAACCAGGGCCAGAGAAGATCCCTGAGTTCTTGGGGCAAGTTTTCACAGGATGTTTCAGGCACCGTCGATGGTACGCAAGTCGCAAGGGTCCAACAACCGGAGACGCATTCTGTTGGTGGTCGCCATGGCCACAGGTTTGGGGTTCCTGTGGATCGGCGAAATCGATGCTTCTCGCAGTGATGGACGATACCCTATGGGACGACAACTCGAATGCAACCGGTGCAGGAACATGGTCCATCAATATGGCACCTAGGAACCGAATCAGGGCGTGAAACCCTTTGGGACCTTGGTCCTAGCCTTGCCATAATTTCATTTAGGTTTGGGAATGAGCCGGGTTTTGCGATCCTGTAGGAAACCACCAGATGGTGCGGTTTCATTCATCCTCCCAAAGAGAACAGTACACTTCCCTTATGGCTACAGAGCCTTACTTGCCTCAAAAAGACAAGAGGCATCTTCAAAACGCGTGGTTTTCCCTCAGATCGGTTTCCAACAACCAAACTTCGGGGACCTAAAAGGGGAACAAGGGTGCTAGACGTTCCCCAGCAGCTGATTCATTTTTGGTTGCACGATCGACGTTTTGTCTGATGTCATGCTTCGTTCATGGGGCAATGTCCAGTCTATGGTTAATTTGGGAGGGACATGGGGCTCACGGGTTGCCTTTTGTTCGGGGATTTCCAGTTTGTTTGGACTTTCAAGCGACACCAAAAGGAAATCGTCCGCACTTTGGGCCAAGCACTGTCTCCATTGGCGAGAAACCTTCCTGGACTAGTCCTCGAAACTTGGAATTCCATCCATAGTTTCGGGCCATAAACCTATGTACCCTTGGAACTTGGATTTCCCTCCAGTATTGCGGGGCAGACGCCCTTTTTTTTCAACGGTGTTTGCGGGTCCTACCCGGACATTCGGAGCAAACACTCCCTCCCCCCCCCCGCAAAACCCGCCCCCTCCGGCGACCTGCCCCGAGGCTTCGCGCTCCCCTTGAAGGAGGAGCACAAGGACTTCCTGATCAAAGCCCTGATCCCGCTGCACAAGGCTCGATGGCCCAAAAGTTGGGGTAACCATCCCCACCCCCGGGTCCGAAAATGGGGAGGGGGACGTCTGATCATGTGATTTGCATTTTCGCCCCAGCCCCCACCCAAACAAAAATGTAAGGGACCCCAAGATGGACTCCTGGTGAGTGAAAACAAGGACTAGAACCTGCGTCGAAATCCTGCTGGCTTCATTTGGACCCATCTACCCTTCTCACTCCCTGAGCGGTTCGGCTTTTAGCTTTTCGGGTTTGGATGTTGTTGGCCAATCCACTCGTTCGGAAGTGAGCATTTTGTGTTTGCTTGTCAGGTGAAGTCTTTGGCCTCGTTCTACCAGCAGCTTTCCTACTGTATGGCCCAGTACGTCGAGAAGGCGTGCTGGGAATCGTGAGCCACGCGTTTTGCCACGGCCTCAAAACGCGGAATAGGAGAACGGAGATCTCCACGGTTTTGGGTACGTGAACCCCCAAACCACCCTTAAAAATGGCACATCACGCCATTATTATTTGGCGATAACCCATGTTTATGGGTAGTTTGCATGGTTGTGAGTAGGTCATTTTAGTATGGCTATGACTCAAGTTCGCTTAACATATGGCTATAGGGAACAACCTCCAATGTGGTTGGTGGATGTGTGGATCTTCAGGAAATCTTGTAGCCCGAACGTTTGGCTTGGATCAATTCCTGCAGCTGCTTTCTGTGAGGGTTGTCTCCATTACCCTCTCCCAGGCGATTCCATGGAAGCTCCCAGAAATTTGGGAGACTTGGTGACCCATTTGTGGCCTGCTGGGAGCTTCCTTCTGTTGTTCTGAGGGAGTGTGAACAATGCCTCCGAAGCAGCTTTTCTCTACCTGGAGTCTCCATGACCCTATAAAAATGGGGTCACGACCCCTTTCTTTTGGGTAATGACCCCATTTTTAAAGGGTCATTGAGACTCCAGGTACATGTTCAAACAGTTAAACAATCCCCGGAAGTCAAGAACTTGCTGGTGCGATAAGTAGGGAATGAGAAATGGAACGACCCGATAAAAACACCATCCCCCATGGTTTCCTTCAGGGCATTTGCAGGTTCATTCCATTTCTCATTCCCCACTTCTCGCACCAAGAGAATCAGAGTAAGACACACCCATAGGCCCCGGCCTCGATCGATTTTACAGCAAACCTGTGGATGCCGTTGTCATTTCTCTAGGGGAACCTTCCCCATTCTTTCCAGGGATCCTTCTTTCTAGAAAACCTCCGGAAACCCAGGGAAAATAGCTGGTTTTTGAAAAGAACGATGGTTGAAAATAATGGGGAATCAACCCCTAGAATTTCTCAAAAATTCAGGCACTTGAAGCGAACGACCCGGAGACCGAAATCCCCCCAAAGACCAGGGGGCGGTCGGATGTTCCCATGAGTTGTCCCGGAGATGACCACAGCCTTTGTGGATTTCTATGCAGAAACTGACCAACCCAATGAGCTTGTCTGACCAAACAAATGGTGTCCAATGGTGTCCAAATTAATATTCACTTGCTGGTGCGATAAGTGGGGAATGAGGGAATGAACGCAGGGTTTTTTTCTTAAAGGAATTCACAAGGGACGGTTTGTCTCGGGGTCATTCCATTTCTCATTCCCTGCTTATCGCACCAGCAAGTTCAGCCGCGCTGAATATTGACCATGGCTACCATGGCTCACATGCTCATTTTTGCTTCTGGCAATGCGAGGTTTCGGATGATCTCATCCCTATATAACCATCCTCTGAAAGATAGAAACGTTTTTCCAGATCTGGCACCCCGACAAAAAAGGGCGTGAAACGGAAAGATAGAAACTCTCCCACAAAAGGTCGCATATGTTCTTCCTGGTGGTTTCCATGTTGAGTTGCTCCTTTCCTAAATCAACATCGCCTTTTCGCATGTGTGACTCAATCGGAGGACCCGCGTTTGGCATACGACATCATCACCTCCATGCTCCGCTACTGGCCCGTGCGGAAGCCCGGAAACTGGCAAAGACCACACGAGTTCAGGGTGGCCTTTCCTTTTATATGGGTCTCTGTCAAGATAGGGGGAACCCCCTCAAACATGGTTTCCTTATGGTTTCCTTGTGGTTTCCTTTCTATCCCCTCTCTGTTTTAGTGGATCTCCTTGTGGTTTCCTTCAAACATGGTAGGCCCCCAAAAATCAATCCCTGAACATTGGGATGCATTGCCTGGTGTGTTGCACGAAAGCCTCACACGACAGGCAGAAATTGAATGCACCAGAGCCGAATCCTGAAGGATACAGGGGTAGACTTAGGGCACACTTTATATTTTACCAGAGACTCAAAGTGAAGCAAGCAACGACATAAAGATTTTACTGGGCCCAACTCTCATCATGGATAGCAAGCCACTAGAAAACCCCGGACCTAGCAGTGCAGGCATTTCCTTTTTATGTGTTTGAGGGACGTTTTCCTTCGACATTAAACTTCCATTTGCTGAAAGGAATCATTTTCATTGTTGCCCCTGTTAGTTTTGAAGGCAGTCGATTTCACAGGAGGTCAAGAACCTGGCTTGCAAAGTGCTATTCCATCAGCCATGAAGGAGAAGCGCGCTCTGCCGGGGGAAGGTTGTCCAGGTACTATCGAGTGGTGGGATCATTCTGTCGCTTCACCTGGCATTCTTGAGTTTCGTCCGGTCGCTACTGTTTGAGGATGGTTGGTTTGTTTTCGGACGCTCAGTTTATCCCCAGGAAATCCGTTGAAGGTTGTTTGCAGACGTTGTGTTTCTTGCCTGAGAGGGGGAATAGCCTTTTCTTGGTGCGCGGAGGTGCGGTCGCAAAATACGCATTTCCCAGTTGTTCAGTGTCGCTCTTTCCCCTTTCCCGTGTTCAAATCGCCCTTTGCCAAAACCTCCGCAGCAGCTGAGCCAACTGAAGTTCGTAGGCACAGCCCGGCCCTTCCTTATGACACCCCGAGCCTTTGTGCCCTCACAAAGGCATTTGAGGTATAAAGAGCTCGTTGATCTTAAGAGTAAACAACAAAAAAGATACCCTCCCACCAATTAACATGGAATCTGACAGGGGGGGTCCTGGAAGACTATTTTTCTTGTAAAGCAACCCTTTGTCAGGTTCCACGTTGATTGGTGGGGGCTAGCCACAAAAAGGAGCCCGAAAAGCAAGGAGGATGCCTAGCCCCCCCAGTAGTGCCCTTTAACCGTTTCTTTTTTGGAGGGAGGGAGAACCCCCTACTAAAATAGGCTAAACTGAAAAAAATCGGGTTCCCGTATTCTAACCTCTTTCTACTGGAAGACCTAGTTATACAACCCCAGGGCACTCCATCCCTGGAACCGGGCGGCGGGGGCTACCGCGCGATCCCGAACCGTTGAGGTGTCCATCACCTCGAAGCAGGTCCTCTTCCTCAACGAGCTTGAGGAGCTCATGGGAGGGGGATGAGGGGAGGGGAGGATGGGGGGAGGGGAGGGGGGCGGGCTGATGGGGTGGGGGAGGGAGGGGAGGGAGGGGAGGGAGGGGAGGTGGTTTTTTTTTGTTGATCGTTTTTCAGGGTAGCGCTTGTGTAAGGGATAATATGTTTTGTCTCAAACTGGAGCTGGAACCCACGATTTGTTGTCTCACTTCCCCAGCTTATGGACTTCCTCATTGAGCTGCAGTCACGGAACCCTCTCCAAAGTTCCCTTGAACGTTGGTCCCACTTGCCCAGTGGATTCCGCCCTTTTTTCCGGCGTTTCCTGGGGAAGGGTTCCGATTCCTTGAAACACAACCAACCAAACAAGGATACCGATTCTTTGTTCCCATGGACATCCGCTGGGCATCTGAGTGGTTATTGCCAACCAAAGTTATGGTTGGTGACTTATGGGTAGGTTTCTCGGGCCCAGGTACCCTTTTGGGGTGAGTTCAATGCTTGGTTGCACAAATGTGTTCAACAGATTGCCGCCCAAAAGCCAAAGGGACGCCTGATTCTGATTGAGCATAGGTCCTTTTTGCTTGTCGAAGACAGATGGCGCTTCCTGGTTGACCTGGTTGTTTCATAAGGGGCCATCAATTTTCAAGCAACCGGACACCTATGAGACGTGGTTCAGCTACTCAGTTTCCGAGTTCCTGGACTTTGGCCACGTTTTGGAAGACCATGTTGGTTGTCTAGGTCCCCCAGCAATTGGTGCCCTTTCTCACCTTCTTTTTGGGGGGGAGGGTTCGGGATCCTACTAAAATAGACAAGACTGAAAAAAAAAGAGGGTACCCTTGTTCTAACCTCTCAAATCTGGAGGACCTAGTTGTCAACCACAAACAACCGTTTTTTTCTCTTGGCCCATCTGCGCGTTGGGAAGTGTGGCTGCTTTTTGTCCGGTGGCAAACTCCTTCGGAGCGAGATCCGGGAGCTAGGCCTTGCAGCTCGGTGGGAGGGGTTTTTCGCTGGAAACCCGACTCCGCTTTGCATTTTTCAGAAGCCCAAGACCCTAAATATGAGGGCCAAAGCGACCCTCAAAGGCCTCAAATACTGAGGTCTTGGAGGTTTGCTGAAGAATATGATGCTTTTTTCAGTTCCCCTCGGTTTAAAGCGAAATGACTACCGGACATATGTTTTTTCCAGGTGACGCGCTTCAGCACATGGATGTTTGTTGGGTTTTTGCACTTTTGGAGGCTCATTTGGAGGGGCCTGCGGGCCCCAAAATACTTGTAGGACGGGTGTATCAATCTTGTTGGTTCTCAGGGAATGAGAGAATGCCCCCTATAAACCATCCTCTATGGTTTCCTTTAAGGGAATCCTTAAACCCGGGGTCAACCTAAGCGACAAGATTGTAGGGCCATGTGCTTTGTCCTTCGACCGCAAATAAAACCCGGGCTTAGTGTTTTTTAGTTTCGAATGTCCGCAAAGAAGGAGAAACCGGGGCCCACGGGTGAGGTTGCCCTCTTCCGGCACCCGGGTCTCAACGGGTCCGCTTGTGGGTTTCCGTGCCGGGGGGATTTTGGACATGCTGGAAAAAACAGTTGCAAGTTGGTTGCTGGTTGGTTTCCCGAGTGTGGCCTGAAACACCTGGTGGCAACTGAAGAAATGAAAATGGAGGCCTTGAGACCCAACATCCGAACCAAAACCCCACAACCGGATGTCCGGTGGCGCTTTCTGCGGCGAAACTGGCCTCGTCCATGCATTTTTTGTTGGCGCCGAAACGGGTCCAAGAAGGACCACCGTTTTTGGGGTTCAGTGTTTGGACAAGGAGACCATGGTGGCAAGCCCTTTAAGGAACTTCTCCCGTTGGCGCTTCCTCTGATCAGTATATTCTGCTTCAACTGGTTGGTCCAACTGGACCGCAGAAAGTGCTCAACTGCTGGTCAGTGGTTGGAAACTGTAGTTCGGTTGTTGCTTTCGACCATTTCGGTGGAACCCAAAATGCCTATAGATGCACTTGCCGCATTTGCTTGCCGAAAAACTCGCGTGCTTGAAAGGCTCTACCGCACAGGTCTATTGGGATTTATTCCGTAGTTTTTCAAGAGTCCCTCACTTCAAAAGGGCCTATTGCTGGAAACCCTGAAGATTTGAACACCTGGTTCTTGTAGAGGGTAAATGGGAAACTAGGGTGACCAAATATTATATATATATATATGTTATTTTTGTTTTGAGGGGAGGAAGGGGGGGGGATTGTCCATTCGCTGTAGCATCCTTGCCTGCTGAGTTGGCACGCTGGTGTCGTTGTCATTTAGGTCACCAAAGTTGGTCCACTTGTTTGACCAATCAATTCGTGGCTACGATTTTTAGTAGCTAACCCATAAACTGGACCCTGATTTTGGGAAGTGACCTGCAACTCGTACATTTGGCTATCAATTTTAAGGGGGAACCCCCTCCAAGGTGGTTGGTGGACATGGATCCCCACCTAAATGGGTGTCCACCGAAGGGTGCCTAATTCAAATTCAGACCCAGGTCAGCATCAAAGCTCAGTGTGCTTACCTTCGCAAAAACAAATCAGTCACCCGAGGAGACGTTGGAGCTCACGCAACCGCCGGAGTTTCACCGCATGCAGGCGGGGCAAAGAAAAGTACACGTCGTGGGAACCCGAAAGGCTCCCTTGGCACACGAGTCTCGAGCTTTTAGTTTAAAGTTCAACCGGGAGTTCAAAGGGTGGCGAGTTTGACGGGCAAAGCCTCGTCCTTTTTAGACCCTCCAAACACTAAGAGCTTCGTTTCCCCTTTGTTTCCCTTGAACCACTCCAAAAGGGGTGCCAGCATTTGAAAAAGAAAAGCCGAGCTTGTAAGGGACCCGTCTTTCTGTGTTCAAGAGCCCTCCGCTGCCCGGCTCCTGTGTCCTTCCCAAAAAAGAAGATACCTGGAGCCTTCAGCTTTCCACGAAGAAGATTGTTATTACAATCCACTTGGGTACCCATTTGTTATTACAACCCACATGATTGGGTACCCACAATTTAGCACTAGTAATACAACCCACTTACAATTATGTACATCATTCGAGTGGGTTCCCATTTGAAAGGCATCTTCGGGTCCAGGTACACATTTGGGATCCAAAACGCCCACCTTGCGAGCCGATCGCGAAGCCGGGTGTTCGATCGAAATCAACTCGGTTTCTGCCGATTCTTGGGGTGCCCATATTTTGCCCGCAGCCCCGAAGAATAACTCAAGCCAGTTGAATTCCCGTTTTGTTAAGGGAAGGTTGAGGGTCCAGGGTGACATAAATCCCCATTGCCTTGATGGTGGTTTAAACCCCAAGGTATAGTCATGCAGAGGTCCAAGGATACATTTGGCATGCGGTGAGACTGAAAGCAAGACTCAAGCCGAGCGCGAGCTAGCCTGCTGACCAATCCACGACATGGACAAGGGTAGATTTGGCCAATGTTAATTGTTTCCCTAGTGTTTCCTCGTGTTTCCTCGTGTTTCCTTGTGTTTCTTTGTGTTTCCCTGCGTTTCCTTGAGTTTGTCCTAGTTGTTCCTAGCGTTTCCTTGTTTTTCCTTGTGATGTCCTTTTCCGGGCCTGTTGTTTTTGTGGCCTTGTGGTTTCCTTTTCCGGGGCCAATGTTTACAATGGCAAATTTCTTATTATCAGGTACTTGCAATTTGGTTGAATCTCCTGAGTGAAAGTCGATCTATTGTGATGCTGGGGGCGAAATCGCAAGAGCTAAATGGGTGAAACTACCCGGAACCGCCACCGCCTGCCTCCAAACCACCAAGTGGGTCTTTCTTTTTTGGAGGCTACCCCTTTTTGGTTGTAAAGGAAAGCCACAAAAATCGCCGCTGCGCCTTGTTTTGCCCAGAGGCTGGGGCTTTCAATAGAAGACCCAGACATTAGACACCTTAAAGGTGTTTGGGGGTCTCAAAACTGGCAGCTTCAGGGCCGCATTTTGAATTGGAGCGTCTGGGGGGGTGTCTCCTCAAATTGAAAGATCGGGCAACTCTTAGTTGGTGGTTTGGGGCTTGTTCTTGCAGAGGGCAAATGGGAAACCCCTCCTCAACCACAAAACCGGTCTCCACACCGCCCTTTTCGAGGGAAGCTTACATGGTTGGGAAACATTTTGATTTGTTGAAATCCAAATCCACTGAGCTGCTAAAATTTGATAATTGTTGCTCCCCTTCCAACGTCAGCCAAGCTGAAAAGACGAGGCCATTTTGAGCTCAGGATGTCCTGTTCCGCCGCTTGGCCCTGTGCATCACCTGCCCGCACTTCCAGGCGCTAGCGAGATCCTCCCCCGTTGGTTTATATATATATATACGTATACATATATATATATATATATGGTACCCCCCCCCCCCAAAGATCGACCATTTTCTGTGTTTTATCTCTGGTGACACATCCCAGAATCTGCAAGGTCTCGGGCTTCTGGCTTCCCAACTTCATCTTGCATCTGCCTTTTGGCTGCACAGGATGAACATGTTGAAAAAACCTGAAGATTAAAACAAAAAAAAAAACAATCAGGGTCCTGGGATAGAATGCCCAGGTCAGAATCTCGGAAAGTGAATAAACCTCGAAGAAATCAAAAAAAAAAAAAAATCAAAACAATCAAGGTCCTGGAGCAGAATATGCCCAGACCCAGTGACTATCTCTCTCAAGGCCTTGATTTTTTGATTTTTTTGATTTTCTCGAGGTTTTTCAGTTTTCCAGGTCAGAATCTCGGAAAGTGAATAAACCTCCAAGAAATCAACAAAAAAAACAAAAAATCAAAAAAAAACAAGGTCCTGGAACAGAATGCCCAGACCCAGTGACTATCTCTCTCAAGGCCTTGATTTTTTTGTTTTTTTTGATTTTCTCGAGGTTTTTCATTTTTTTAGGTCAGAATCTCGGAAACTGAGTAAACCTCGAAGAAATCAAAAAACACAAAAACAATCAAAAAAATCAAGGTCCTGGAACAGAATGCCCAGACCCAGTGACTATCTCTCTCAAGGCCTTGATTTTTTTTGATTTTTTTTGTTTTTTTAATTTTCTCGAGGTTTTTCACTTTTCCAGATTCTGACCTGGGCATTCTCTCCCAGGGAGGACCCTGAGTTTTTTGTGTTTTTTTTGATTTTTTTTATTTCTTCGAGGTTTTTGTAGCTTCATGGGTTTCTTGCCCTTCGCCCCTGAGTGCCTTCAGTGTTGGAGCCTTGCAGTTTGGATTTTGCAGCCTTGTTTGTAGTTTGGCAGACCTTGCAGCAAGTGGCAAGCCTGCAGTGTTGAAACTTTGGCAGGTTGGCAAGGTTGGCAAGGGCCGTAGTTTTGCAACCCTGCAGTGTTGGAGCCCTTGCAGGTTGGCAATTTTGCAACCTTGCCAGGGCCCTGCAGTTTAGCAGACTTGCTTGGAAAGTCTTGCAGTGTTGGAGCTGGCCTTGCAGTGTTGGAACCTTGCAGGTTGGCAATTTTGCAACCTTGCCAGGTCTGTAGTTTGGCACCTTTGCTTGGGCAGTGCTTTGGCAGGTTGGTAGGGGTTGCAGTTTTGCAAAGCCTTGCAGTGTTGGAGCTGAAGCCCTGCCAAGTCTGTTTTGCAACCAAGGCCTGCAGTGCCTGCAGTTTAGCAGACTTGCTTTGCCAGGTCTGTAGTTTGGCAGCTTTGCTTGGGCAGTGTCTTGGAAACTCTTGAAGTTTTGAAACTTCAGGTTGCCAGGGGCTGCAGTTTTGCAAAGCCTTGCAGTGTTGCAGCGCTGGCAGGTGCGCAATTTTGCAACCGTCCTCAACAACACTGCACTTGAATGTCGACCCCAGCATATGCACATCTGTTTCTTGCAATAATGCACCGCATCTTTCTCAAAACACAGAAAATGGTCGATCTTTGGGGGGGGGGGGATAGCATATATATATATACATATATTTGTGAGGGGACCTCTTTTGACGGATGAGGTGGTTTTTTTGTTGTTTGCCTAGGGCAGGGTTTGTTTTGGGTTTGAGAAAAGTACGAGGGCTGGTCCCCTGGTTGGTTTGGTTGGTTGGTTGATTGGTTGGTTGGTTGGTTGGTTGCCTGGCTGGCTGGCTGGTTGGTTGGTTGGTTGGTTGGTTGGTTGGTTGGTTAGTTGGTTGCTTGGTTGCTTGGTTGCTTGGTGGCTTGGTCGGTTGGTTGCTTGGTCGGTTGGTTGCTTGGTTGCTTGGTTGGTTGCTTGGTTGCTTGGTCGGTTGGTTGGTTGGTCGGTTGGTTGGTTGTTTGAAGGACCTCTTTTGACATGAAGCCACAGGGGGTGCCACATGGGACATGTTTGGGTGTGCCACAAATATTGACCAGATGGAAAACTACCAGCTTGACAAACATGGTTTGACGTCATTTCACAGATGTAATCGGGGCCAAGATGTAAAGATGTTATTTCGGTCGGGGGCGACAGCTAGCTGGGGTAAAAACTTGGGATGGACTGGAAGGCATGATCAAAATAGGGATACCCCCACACATCGCGGCTTTTCCTTGGGTTCCAACCCCACACAGGGTACCCTTCCAATTGCTGCGGGAGACTAGGGCACTGAGGGCAGCAAAAGAGAAAGGACGGGAGGGAAGCAAAGAGAAGGCAGGAGAAGTGGAGCATGCCAACATTACATATTCTGAGCCAACGATGTCGTGCTTCCTGACAAGCCAGTAGTTTGCTTTCACCCTTGTATTTGTTTGTCGCACAGGCCCCACTTGCAATTTCTATTCTCGCTGAGGGAGACATCAAATGAAGGGTCACTTTCAAGTCGTTAAGATCTAGGGCTGTCTGAATGGTTGCATGTCCGTTCGGCATTGCCTGCAAGCTGAGAACTGTCCACTAGTCTGATTTGAGCAACCGCCAATTTGAATCGTTATTGGGTGGGATCTTTAGACTATCCTTTTAGGAAATCAAGGGCTTCCCGTTAAACTCGCAAGCAGTTAAACTGTTTGCAGAGGGGTCAACATCGCGGTCTTTTGGGGGAGCATGTATGCCCTTTGAGAACGCAAATAATATTGCCTCATTCGACATATGCACATGTGTGTCAAGACAAGCTGATGTCCTGTTGCCTTCATGTAAGATTATGGACGTTGGCATGAATTCTCAGGGACGAAAGTTAAATTGTAAATTTGCTGCTGAGATTGTCTGTTACGCTGCAGGCGCCCCAAAGCTATGCATGTTGTAAAAGATGCAGCGGCCGTTTTCATGGCACACGCATATTTTTTTTCGGAGCTTTTCTGGACGAGGTTCGTATTATGTGAGCTGTTGTCATACTCTCCACTTTGGTCTCTTGGTTTGTGGGTCAATTGATGTGTTGGGTATGGGTGGCCTGTTGAGTATGGGCGGTCTGTTGAGTATGGTTGGTTGGTTGGTTCGTTGGCTCGTTGTCTCGTTGGTTCACTGGTTCGTTCCTCCGTTTGTCGGTTCGTTGGTTCATTCGTTCCTTGGTTGGTTCCTTGGTGGCTTGGCTGGCTGGCTGATGGGTTGGTTTGTATTTAGCTTTCCCTTTTACACCATCGAAGGGTGGACACAGGGAACCAATGTTACTTGCTGGCGCGATAAGTAGGGAATGTGGGAATGAACGAATGAACCCAGGCTTTGGTCCCCTGAAAGGAACCCACCAGTATTGTTCCTTGTCGGGGTCATGAGCGATGTATCATTCCCCAGTCTACCTGGTTTTGTAGGTAACCAAAAACTTGCCAAATCAAAAATTGGGTAACTGGGATCCACTGGGCGTGTTTCGGGTCCCGGGCCCCCCGGCAGAAACAACAGGTGAGTTCAGCCTGCCAACCCCCGGACCTCGATATCAGGTGGCCGAGAGGACTCTGTTCTTTTGGAACACAGCGCCTTGCCGCAGAGAAATCAGAGACTGAGTCACTGAGGGCCCTGGGTCCCGCATCTTCCTGACATTTTTCCCAGTGAAGATATCTTCCAAATCGGTGGAACCCATGGATTTGGTAAGGCCAATCCACAAAAACGAGCTGAACTTCCTGTTGGAACCAACAAAAAATCCACACTCCAAGTTGCAAAGATAGGCTCTCATGTGAGAGCCCCGAAATTTCGGCCCCAAGTAATCCATCGGGACCCCGAGGGTACTCCCGTGAGCCAAGCAACATCGACGGTATGAAAGAAGGTTGCTTCTCAACGGCTCCAAACACCCCCGTTTTCCACCCCTCTCTATGTGGCTGACCTCCTACCGTACAATTGTCGCGTGGGTTTACCTTTCCCAGAGCCACAATCAACACCGGTGGCAAGTGCAGGCTCCCCGATGTTCCATGCCCCTCTCGACTCCGCCCCCGCCCCATTTTGCCATCAGGTTTGAATTGACCCCTCCCCGACCCACTAATCCGCCAGGTTGTGCAAACATCCAGGGTGGTTAGGGAGGTAAGGAGGTAGAGAGGTAGGCAAGGTAACTGGACAAGGTAGCTGGGTAAGGTAGGTAGACAGGTAGGTAGGAAGGTAAGTGGGTGTGGGTCAAAATTAAACCACCAGGGGACCGCAGGTTTTGGTCCATGTTCCACTTCCCAGGGCAACCATTTTGGGGTTGCCCTCTTTTTGACCCACAGCCAAGTGAGGAAAGTAGGTAAGGTAGGTAGGTAGGTAGGTAAGGAAGGTGAACTCCACCCCCGAGGATTACATCGTGAAGCTCATCAATTCGAACCGTCAGGCGGGAAGCCGTGAAAGCTTCGGAGAGTACTGTTGGTCCGTGCCTGGACGTAGGCACTTGGCTGTGGGTTTAAAAGCAATGGAATCCCATTTTGGGGTAGGCGCACCACCCATTTTAGGCTTTATTTTAGTGGGGATCGGGATGTTCACTGGGGGTACGGGAGTTTGACCCATGGCCACTTGAGCTTGTCACCCTTTGGACTCGGTTCTTCCCTGCCCTATTGCACCAGCAAGTTTTGGTTGTCCAAGTGAGGGCCTGCGAATTGACAAGCCCAAAGAGGGAGTCCCCAAAAAGCGATTCCTCTATCCAAGACGCTTGAATTCGATGAATTTGGGGCCCTACTGCCAGGTTTTGAGACAAACACCGGGCATGGAGGGTCTGGGTCTTCCATTGAAAGCCGCAGGAGCCTCTGGTAGCGGTAAGTACCCAATTTGGTTCCTTTTTGTTGGCCAATCACTGGTTCGCAAGTGAGTTCAGTATCCAGCTGACTTGTCTAAAACAAAGCTTTGCACTGTCCAACTTGTATTGGTCTTCATTTGTGTGGCTGAAACCAAATAGACGTTTAGACGTTTGAAGCCTGGGGATCTGAAACAGCACAACGGACACAGTGGGATGGTCGAATTGTTTTTCTTGAATCATTTTGCAGTTGTCCTTGTTGCCATGGAATTCCAGAAGGATGAGCGGTCTGTTTTATGTGCAGCAACTAATCTGAAAATGGTTTCCCCCCAAAGCAATTTTGATCCTTGATCTGGGGCTCAGTTGCCCCTTAGGAAACTAGAAATATCAGGTGATCACCTTTTGGAAACAAACGACATGACTACAAAGTGTCAAAACGTCGATTCGCTTTGGTCAAGCGGCGCGGATCGTGAGGGGCTTTGCGGCATTGTGTTTCTTTTCCTTCAGCAATCCCACCTGGTGGTTTCCTTTAGGGGAATCCCCTTCCAGTTCATTCCCTCGTTCCCCTTCCCCAGAATTAGCTCCCCTTTTTTACTTTTTGCTTTTTTGGGGTCCCCTTTGTTTTCCACTCACCGGGCAAAAACTGTCTCGTGTTTTGCTGGGGTCCTGATTCCGGCCAAGTCCCTACCGATCGCAGCGATGGCAAGTTTCGCGCACGTCCCTTGTGGTCCTTGGAGCCACGGGACACATCCGACCGCCCCAAAATGACGGGCAAGGTTGCCCGATGTGTTGTGTGGCTTTCCTGCTGGTCATCCCATGTAAAGGACCTGTTGATCAAGCCCCATCTCATGTAAACCAGCTGCAGAAGTGTCTGCTTGTAATTTGACAAGCACTGAACAACTGAGAACCTAACCAGAGCCCCCAGTCTTGAGACACCGGAGTGATCCCTACACCTCCGATACGGCCAAAGCGCCCAATGGGTGCCATGGATGAATAAATGAATTCCGGATGGGAGGACACCATTCTCGCATTTTCAATCTGGGACCGTAAGACGCAAGGGCCACGTTTAGGGAACCCTATCCCTGGGGTTCAAACAATGGGAGTTCATATCACCACCATTGTTTACCTAAGGATTGTCATCCTCCAATTTGGGTCCCAAAGCCTTTCTTTTCATGGGGGCAAAGTTGAAATTTAGGGATTTTTTTCCGGGCCTCGCAGGAGCTTTTCCCCATCATCATCGGTGCCTTGTACAAGAACTCCAAGCAGCATTGGAACAGCGCAGTGGGAGCCTCAGCCTTCGTCTCCGTTGGTCCACGGCTTGCGTTTGCCGGAAGTGAGAACCCTCGCATCCTGAAACCGAACACTGAGGTCCTGGACAACACAAGTTGCCTTCAAATTCAACCCCCTCGTAGTCCATGTTAGTGTACCAGAGGGAATGTAGATTAGTTTTCTTTGTGTTTTACAGGTCTGAGTACCTTTCGCAAATGGGACGGTCTTCGTTTTCTCTTTGGAGCTGTTGCGAAGGAGCGGGTTGAGCGGGTTTCTCAAGAACCAAAGAAAGGCGGCCTCCCGAATGCCCAATGGATGATTTCGGATTTTATTTTGACGTAGAATCTGAGCGCCTGCCTCAAACATAGGGGTTAGAGCAGGCCTCTCCCGGTTTCCACCCTCTAGGCGTGGTTGTTGTTGGGAACATTTTACATGATTGCTTATTGTGGTTTAGTGGGAAATCCCCACTTAACTGCTAAAGTTTAAATTGTTGCTCCCCTTTTAACGTCAACCAAGTAAATCCCTTTGCGTTTGGGTTCCAGTTTGAAGGATTTCTCTCGCGGGCAAGCCTGTTGTGTGCTTCATGGTCTTCTCGTTTGACTGGGGCATTGTACGACGGGTTGATGAGTCCGAAGCTTACCCCACGCATCAGAAGGGACAATGGGAGATGCGAGGACCTGCACAAAATATGGGTGGTTTGACAAATTGAACCTCTGGTTCTTGTAGAGACATTGGAAACCCACCTCGGAAGACCACCAAAGCACCGGTCTCCAAACCAACCAAGAAGGAGGGAAGCTGATGCAAGGTTTGCGCGTTTTCTCTGGGGCCCTTTGAGGGAAGATACAGCAAAATACAACGGTTTGTTCGGGTAACTCTCCGAAACATCAACTGGGTACCTGAACCGAACCCTCTCCAAATTCCCTTAAACATGGATTATTACCCCCAAGATTGTGAGGTGACTTTCCCTTTTGTATGGGTAGTTTGAGGGTAACTCTCCATTTGCTTGAGCATATGTTGTATGTTTCCCTCTTGGTTTTAAAGGGAATCTATCACTGCTGGAGATATAATTATTTTTCCCAGGGGGCTTAAGCAAATGGAATCAATCTGAACTTGAACTCCTTCTTGCGGGAAGCCGAGAAGCTGAGGGAAGCTGAGCTGTAGCAGTTGCGATCTCGCTCCGGCCATTTCGACACTCCACTCGCTAAATCATATTGAACCTGACAAACCTGTATTTTAGCATCGGGATCGTTTTGGGGAACCCTTTTTTGGGCTCCTTCCGTTAATTTTGGCGTGTCTCTTTTCGAGGGAACCCTGTTTGGTTGGTTTGAAGGGAAACCAGCAGAAAACCCAACCCTTTTTGGGGTACTCTTATTTTGAGACGAGCCCTGTTTTTTTTCAATATGGGACCCCCGAAATGGTATGTTTCCCTTTGGTTTCCCTTTGAAACCACAAAAAGAGCACCGACTAAAAAGAAGACACGCCCATGTTAATGCTTGGCCATCCCCATAGCTTTTTAGTGTTTAGTGGGGGGGATGTCTATTTAACCCACTAAAAATTAAGCTGTTTTACCTATAATTTACATTCAACAAATAATACGAACATTATAGACAATACTAGTTATATGAATAATATTCATTTTTGTTGAATACTTGGTATAGGATACAAGTAGCTTAATACAGCTTTAATACGTAACAGCTTTGGTATTATTTGCATTACCAGCTTTAATACCACCAGCGACGAGCAGGGGGAACCAAGCGCTCCTCGGGGCCAAAGGTGCACGGCCTGACCTTCAACGTGCTCAAGCTGCTCATGGAGGCGGGAGACCTTTGGTCGCCTTCGAAGACCCCCCAATGGCTGGCAAATGGTCTGCGGAATGACCTCCCAATGGCTGTTTTGGAGTTATTTGCCAGCCATTGGGGGGTCCCGTTGTTTTTTTATAGAAATTGGTGACAGGGGGGTGTTGCTTCTTCATCTTCTTGTTGATTTAGGGGCGGTGTTTCTACTTCTAATATATTATTATTATTCTTCTTCTTCTTCTTCTTCTTCTTCATCATTATTCTTCTTTTTGTGTGTGTGTGTGTTTTTTGCCAAGTGTCGCGATCCCTTATTTTGAGACAACTCAATTGGGGATTTCTATCAAGTATCCAAGCTCTCCTTTGGGTGCGTCTTTTTCACCACAAGGAAAACCAGCCTTTTTGTTGGGGGGTCCCTAAAAAAGACGCCACATGTTCTGTTTTTGTGTAGTGGCTGGAACCAAATTGGCAGTTAAACAATGTGCAACCCCGGGATGTGAACGCGGTGTCAGCTCCTTTTCCTTTGTGACCCCAGGGAATCCCCAACACCATCATCAGCAGCAGCAGCAACACCACCGCCACCCCCATCACCAGTACCATCAGTACCATCACCACCACCATCACCGTTACGGATGATTCGCAAGGCAATAACACTGCTTAAGCTGGAAGCCCAACTGATTCCCAAACCAACCGGTGGGCAAGTGAGCCACAATCAAAACCCGGGTAGATGAAGGTTAGTCAGGGACAATCCCAACCATGAATAGCTGCGGCCGCCTTCCTAATCCTTCACATGGTTCTGGGGAGACCATGTTACTACCGGGGTTTGATTATGACTACCGCAACACTTAGGGCTCCTTCGGGGACCGAGCCACCCTCTTTTTTCTTTCTTCTTTGTTTTGCGTCTCCAAGAAGCGGAAAAAAAGCAACAACCGCATTGCCACTTTCTGTCTGTCACTTTTCATCTGAGACGGATTCGGTTGCGATTTATCGCTGTGTCTTGGTTTGATGGGACCTTTGGTTGGTTTTAACCGGAAACCAAAAGGAAAACCACCCGTTTGGGGGGTTCCCCCTAAAAAACCGGTGGATCCCCCTTACCCATATAGTAGGTCACCAACCCTTTTGGTTTTGAAGTGGCAAGCCTCCAAAACCAGGTATAGCTGGTTCTCAGGAGAGAATGAGGGAATGACCCTTAAAAGCCATCCGACTGGCGGTTTCCTTTAAAGGAATCCCCTGGGCTTATTCCAACATGCACTACTAGCACCAGCAAGTAAGTCCCTAGGGTTCAACCGATTCCCATTCAAAGAAAGGCCCAAGACCCAAATTGGAGGATGAGAATCTTGAAAGGTAACCAATGGTCACCATTGCCGGTGAGTTCCAGGAACCCCCATTTTTTTTTATGTTTTTTTCTGGTGGTTTGAACCCCAGGGTACAGGTTAACCCAACATCTCCAACTTCCCTCCTCCAACCATTGGTGGTGGTGACATGGTGGTAAGTTATATGAACCCAACTATTGTTTAAATCGTGGCCTGCCTGAACCCCTGTGAAATGAACCACCTCAAAAGTGAGTGGTGGACATGAATCCCCAGCGAACTCTGTCCACCACAGGGCCCCTTGAAAAAAATATCATAGCCAAGTAAGTTGCCTTTCGAAATGAATGCGGGTGGAACCCTAGGGGACTGACTTTCTGGTGCTAGGGCACGGGGTGAGTTATATGAACCCAATTGTTCAAATGGTGGCCTGCCCGACCCCCAGATGGATCTGGGAAAGTGTCTCCGCCCATTGGTTTCTGGGTGGCTCCCAGCCATCCGGTCCCTTAGCTTTGTAGATCCTCTTAGTGTTTAGTGGTACCGTATTTCACCCACCAAAAGTTAAACTTAGGTTTTTTGTTGAATTGGTGCTTGGGTTTCCCTATTTCACCCACTAAAGGTTAGTTAAGCTTCTCGCGGGGGATCGAAATGAACCACCTCAAAAGTGATTGGTGGACATGAACCCAACCATGGTTTAAATGGTGGAACCCCAGGGAAATGGATCTGGGAAAGCTTCTCCGCCCAGTGGTTTCTCGCTCGCGGCTCGGCTCGGTTTCTCGCCGTCAGACCGCAGGCCGACCCTGGGCTCTTCGACGAGTGCTCCGCCAAGCACCGTGCGGACGAGGAAGAGGAAGGCCGCCGCGAGCAGGACGGCCTTGGAAAAAAAAGTAAACAAAACAAAAAAAACACGGGGAGGTGAATTGGCGTCAGATCTTTGGGTGTTTCTTGCTTCTTTCTTTCTTTCTTTCTTTTTTTTTGGGGAGGGGGGGAAGGCACGTTATGGCTACCTGGACCCTCAAAATTCCATTAACAAAGGGAGTTCACCCCAGAGGTTTGGGGCAATAACGCATGTTTCTGAGTAGTTTTGAGGTTCTAGGTAACTGTTGGGTTAACCTTGTTGAGGGGTCAACAGCAACCAAGGGCAGTGTCAGATATTTGGCGGTGTCGATTTCTCTTCGGGCCCCGAACATACCTGTGTCCCTTGGTTTCTCTTTAAAGCAACCAAACAAGGGCTATCCTTAAAAATACACACCACTTCGTTGTATGAGACCCCCTTCAGAAGGGTTTGTTTTCCTTTTCGTTTCCCAAAAAAGCCCACACTTTTCAGCCTCGGCTATGGAGCGAGAAAGCACCGATTTCTATTCAGGTCAATTTTCATTACCGCTACGAGTCTCCTTTGACGATTTGTTTCGCTGGAGTCCATGAACGGATCTCGGTTCGCACTTGCAAGCGAATGGATCGACTGTTTACGTGTTGGTTTTCCCTTTTCGGTCCGTTATCCATAGCCCCCAACAGGTGGTTGCCTTTTATTTCTAGGTCCCTAAGGGGCAACTGTGGTTCGTCTTAACTTCTAGTGCATAGTAAAGAGTCCTCAACCAAAAAACATATCGGGGGTCAGAGTTCGGCCTCGAGGAGTCTCTCAGGAAGTACTGCCTAGTACTAGTGCTTTTTGAGTTGGCCCAGTACTGTTTCGAATTGGTTTGGTATTGGTTGAGTATTCCTTCGTACTGGTTTACTGGCCCAGAGAATTGAGGTTTCGCAACTTCCTCCCCTTGAACAACTATTAGTATTAGCCGTTTGGGGCTTCCCTGTACCGCCTTGAACCTATTGGGCGGCTGTTTAGTAAAGAATGTCACTTTGGCACTTTGGCTCTTTGGGGGAGTTGGTTTTGCCGGCTCCGGATCGGCTTAGTATTCGTTTTTGCATTGGTTTGTAGCTGGTTTAGTATTGATTCGTATCAGTTTAGTATTAGATTAAGCCAGGGTTTGGGATCATGTTTTTTTCTCAGCCCCGGATGGGCAGTCCGCCTTGCCCGAAAGAAGACACTCTTCTGAAAAAACCTCCTTTTCTTTCCAGGGCGGGGAATGACCTCCCCTTTGACTATTCGCTCTTTCCGAAGTGCCGAGTTCACCGCTGCCAACGGCGAAACGGAAACCAAGAGCTCCAGTCGTTTGGCTGAAAGGTGCAAACAAATTTCGGAGAGAGTCCGTGCTTCGCCTCAAGTAAACTTCAATCGCGACAGCGTCTTTCGAGCGAAAAAGATGGACCCTGAACCCTTGGATCCTGTGTCATGTGCAACTCCGCGGCTTGTCCCACTGGCCCTGATTGCGATCGCTTCGCCGACCCGTTTCTTTTTTTAACCCTGGGGTTCACCCCACCACTCGAAGAATTGGGGTTTATATAACCACCATTCACCTATAAGGATTTGCATGCTCCAAGTTGGGCCCCAAGGCCCTTCTTTTCATGGGGCTACCCTAGGAGTCAGCTCCAAGTTCAGGGAGGGTGAAGGCCCACAGCTCGAACCTCAGGGCCTGGGAGCGGATTTTTTTTTTCTCGCAGGAGCGTGCGAGGAAGTGGCAGGTGCTGCAGGAGATGCACGATGCCAAGGTGAAGGCGTGAGATGGATAGGCGGGGGAATCGGAATCTGGGGGAAGCGGAGTTGTTTTTTGTTCTTGGGGTTTTTGGGGTTTTTGGTGGACTTCGACTCTGTTTCAACCAGTGGGTTGCTTCCTTTGTTGGGGGTCTTGGGTTCCGATTCCTTCAAAGTCAGCCAACCAAGAAAAGGTGCAGAGCCTTGTTTTCCCATGGAAATCCTTTTGGCATCTGAGTAGATGCTCTGGGACTTGGCGATCGCAATGGCTGGAGCCCAGAAAGGGGTGCCGAGCCAGGAGCTTCGGAGGCGAATCTCCCGGTCCCTTGTTCTGGGCTGCCAAGAGATGTCCACAGAAAGCCCAACAGCGAGCAGCGCCCAAAACCGATTCCCATTATCCAGGTTTTCCCGCAAGCGGTGCGAAGGGTTCCTCTCAGAGCTGCAAATTTCACCTGCCAACTTGACCTGCCAACCCGAGAATCGCTTGCCCTAGGCTCTCCATGCTTCATACATGGTGGCAATCAAAATTTTCACCAGCAGGGGCAAGCCGCAGGTTTTGGTCCATGTCTTCACTTGCCAGGGCAAGCCATTTGGGGAGCCACAGCCACATGAATGACTGCGTTCCAAGGCTTGTTGTAGCCAGGTTGGACCCCACTAGCTTGAAGCACTGTGTCGTTTGCGCCAACGGGCCGACAAGAATGCATGGATGGCGAAAGGCGGATTACAATAATAAAGTGGGAAATATGCCATATGGATATTTTGCCCAACCAGGATTGGAGTTTTTGTTTTTCAAAAAAATATCCTTGGAACATAACCGAAATCAAAGAGATGTTAAAAAGCGGTGCGCAAGTTCTCTTTATGTTGAGTATGTTTTACGGCAGAGTTGCCTAAACCCCAATCGAAAGACCAAAGGAAGAAGACATATATGAATAGTTAGATATTGTTATAAATAAATATATTTAAATAATATACTATGTCATATTGCAAAATATTAAATTCCTCCCAAATTAAACACATATAATAGATTCGGACGCAACATGCGAATAACCCAACATCCTTATTTCTATCATCGTATCCTGTCCATCCAAATCCAAATATAAGAACTTTATTAAACTCAAATATATGTCGATTTGCAATGCCACAAACCACCAACATTAGTATAAATACAATACATATTTATCGCTAACCTATTCATATACATACATACTAGATATATAAATATATGTATATATAAATATATATTAGTCATATCCAATCCAACAATTATTGTAAATCATCAAGTGCAAATTCAGACCGGTAAAATGCCAGCAAAAAATGTTCAATCAACAGAACAGCTATATAAATATATATATATATATGTATACAGCATTTTTCTATATCCCAACATATCTATACATATATATATATATATATATATATACAATATTATTCACAACCTCAAACTATTATTGAACATTATAGTTGTTTAATCAACCTATTTATTACGATATGTATGTATGTATAAATATATACATATATATATATATATATACATATATATGGTCCCGTGTTCCGTGTTGCTCCCCCCCCCCCCCCCCCCCCATATGGTATGGGTCTCCCCAGGACCCCCCCCCCCCAGGCCCGAGACCCCGAGCCCCCGGATCCTGGCACCCACGGTGCCACCACCCCGACCCCCTGAACTCAAGCCAACCCGCAACCAACCATAAACCAACCCTAAACTAGCCCTAAACCAACCCTAAATACACCCTAAACCAAACCCTAAACCGTAGACCTCTAAACCTAAACCAACCCTAAACCAGCCCTAAATCAACATAAACCAACCCTAAACCAACCCTGAACCAACCCTAAACCAACCCTAAACTATATAACCCCAAACCAATCCCTAAACAATAAACTCTAAACCTAAACCAACCCTAAACCAACCCTAAACTTTAGAGCCTCCGGCTCAGTCCGCCGACATTGTCCTCTCCCTTTTCTCCGTCTTCCTCTCTCCCTTGTCTCCCTCGTGTGTTCTGTCGTCCTCTCTCCCTCCCTCTGCTCCCCATCCTCCCCATCCCCCCAAGCCTCTCTCTCCTCAATCTCCCTCAGCGCGCGGACATCGAGGCAACTCAGGGGGGACGTGACGCTGCAATGCAGAGAGATAGAGAGAGACAGGGAGAGAGCGGGAGAGAGACAGGGAGAGAGAGAGAGAGAGAGAGAGAGAGAGACAGAGACAGAGCCAGAGACAGAGCCAGACTCAGAAAAACAGAGAAAGAGACAGACAGAGAGAGAGAGAGAGAGACAGAGAGAGAGAGAGAGAAAGAGAGAGACTGAGAAAGAGAGACACAGAAAGACATAGAGAGAGAGAGAGAGAGAAAGAGAGACAGAGAGAAGGAGCGAGAAAGTGAGAGAGCAGAGAGGTTCGAATTAGGGTACCCTTTTTCTGTAGAGGGGCGTGGACAGGAATGAACTGTCATCTCACTACTGGCTTTCCCCTTGATTTCCCCTGCATGTCCTTTTCACGTTTCCCATGATGTCCTGGTCATGTCCCTTCCATGCCTTTCAACTCCCCCTTCATGTCCCTGACATTTTCTCGGTATGTCCGCTTCGTGTTCCATGTATGTCCCGTTCTTTCGTTGCGAGTCATTTCCCTACATCTCCCGTCGTGCCGATTGGTTTCCTTGTGCTTTGTTTCCCTTTCATTCCCCCTGCACTCCCCTTGTTTTCATTTCTGTCCCTTGCATGTCCCTTTCAGTTCCCCTTTGTTTCCCTTTCATTTCCCGCTGCTTTCCTGTCATGTCGACTTCCTATTTCCTCCCCTCATTTCCTTGCACTTCCTTGCATTTCCCCTTTGCTCCCCAATATTTCCCGCAACAAAAACACGGTTTTTCCAGCGTTTTCGCAATTAGGACATCCAAAAACACAGAGTTTTTCCAGATTTTCGGCAAAAGGAGGCAAGAACCCCAAACCAGCAAAGAGCCGGCAGGGGGAATCGAGCCTGGGACCCCTGTTTTGCGACTCCTCCTCCTCTCCAAATGCCACATGGTGGCGTTTGGCACATCTTCAGCCCGGAGGTCTCGGATTTGCTTTCGAAGACCATGTCAGCAAACAAAAAGTTTGAGCTTGGGCCAATCCAGGCTTGGTGGCTCCCAGCCGTCCGGTTCTTAGTGTTTAGCGCGGATATCTATTTAACCAACCAAAAGTTAAACTTTTAGCAGGGGATCTGAGTTCAATCCAGCAAGTAACCTGGAGCACCCTTCGTTACCTAAATTTCAGCCCTTAGCCCAAACGTATTGCAAAACCAGGGATCGTCACCAAAATACGGGAAATGTACACTTTTGCCTGCTTCGAGCGTTTTTCCCAAAACCGGGCTGGTCGGTCCTCCAAGATGATCGGTCGCTGAATTTTCAAAAGGAGTGAGCAGAATTCGAAGTGCAAATATCCCCAAAACGAGCGCAAATATCCGCACACGAGTGCAAACAAAAAACGTAACAATACCCGCCATCCTCTGCATGGAAGAAGGGATTTGGTCGAGCGTTTTTCGGGGTGCGAGCGTTTTTTTTTTTGGCGGGGTCGAGCAGACATCGGTAATTCTAGCGTTTTTTGCTCGTACCCAAAAAAAAAGGCTTTGAGAAGCGGATTTTCCCGACGTTTGGGGCCGAAAGCGTCTCCACTGCTTTGTGGGCCTGGCCGCGCAGATTCCTCCACACTGCGCATGAGCCGCGCGTGAGATCTTTCGGCCTTCCCGGGTCAGTCAGTCTTTGGGAATCGGTAGGTGGACCTGGTGAGGTCTCATTCGTTGAGGCACTGAAGGCGTGCGTTTTGTGTTTGGCTCCAAGCCATCCGGCCCCTTAGCATCCCTCAGCATGTTTTTGTTTAAACATTTTGTTTTTTGAGGGTGTTTAGTACAAGTTAAAACTTTAGCGGGGATCTGAGGACAACCCCAGTTTGGTTTTCTGTATTTCTTGCGGAGAAAGGCAGAGCGAGAGGAAGTGTATATACATATATATATATACACATGTACATACATGAATGTATGCATACATGTATACTTGCATGTACACGCAATACCGCTTACACACAGAAACACATCAATGTTCAAACACGTGTGTAACGAAGATACACGAGAGCGTCTCTTGATTAAAAGTGTAAAAACACTAAATGAAAAGGTAAATAAATTGCAAGAAGAAAAATCTGATAAGATTTTTTACAAACTACCAGCGGTCAATCTGTGCTCATATTCATTGTTTTAAATTATTCATATCAAAATCAGTAAATATTATTTATTGAAAAATATGAATAATTTTTACTAATAAAACTTTGTTTATCATCATTGATTTTGTTATAGTTCTTTTTCAATCGTAATGAAATAAAATCACTTTATTACGCATTGTTTTTTTATATATAGTATCCTTTTTTGCGTCATAAGTTTATTATATTTAAATAATAACAATAATAATAATAATAACAATTCAGCTTCGTAATCATCTTTAAGAGTGTCTCTGTGTCTCTGTGTCTCTGTGTCTTTGTGTCTCTGTGTCTCTGTGTGTCTGTGTGTCTGTGTGTCTGTGTGTCTGTGTGTCTGTGTGTCTGTGTGTCTGTGTTCTCTGTGTCTCTGTGTCTGTGTGTCTGTGTGTCTGTGTGTCTGTGTGTCTGTGTGTCTGTGTGTCTGTGTGTCTGTGTGTCTGTGTGTCTCTGTGTGTCTCTGTGTCTCTGTGTCTCTGTGTCTCTGTGTCTCTGTGTCTCTGTGTCTGTGTGTCTGTGTCTCTGTGTCTCTGTGTCTGTGTGTCTCTGTGTCTCTGTGTCTCTGTCTCTCTGTGTCTCTGTGTCTCTGTGTCTCTGTGTCTCTGTGTCTCTGTGTCTCTGTGTCTCTGTGTCTCTGTGTGTCTGTGTGTCTGTGTGTCTGTGTCTGTGTCTGTTTCTGTGTCTGTGTCTGTGTCTGTGTGTGTGTGTTTTTGTGGTGATTGATGTTTTTTTCTTTTGTTTTCAGGGCTACGGTAGTGAGGCGTTCTCGCCAACCGCCGCGGCCCGCGGCCCGCTTCGGCTCAGCCGGCTTCCTTCGGCTGTGTGGCCGCGTCGCCGGCCATGGCTCAGGCCAGTCGAACCAAACGCTTGCTGTGGATGGTGGCGAAATCCACTTGGGTGTGGCTCAAAATTTTCACCAGCAGGGGCAAACCGCAGGTTTTGGTCCATGTTTCCAGTTCCATTTTGGTACCGGTTTTTTGAGCCACAGCCACTTGGGCCACTGGCTCAAGAACCCGGCTACTTGAAGGTTAGAAAGGGACAATCCCAACCATAAATAGCTGCGGATATCCGCCTTCTTAATTCTTTACACTTTTCTGGGTCGACCATTGTAATACCGGGTTTTGACTGTGACTCACTCGGGGATGGATCAAATACTAGGCTCCCATTTTGGGGTTGCCCTATTTTTGACCCGCAGCCACTTTGCACCGTTCGGAAACCGTTAGGTATAAAAATGGTTGACCCATAACCATGTGTATACAAAGGCGGATATCCGCAACTATTTCAGGCTGGGACCGTCCCTAACCTCGGAATGATTCAATTCAACGCAAATGCCAAACATTGTCATGGTTGTTGTTGGGAAACATATTACATTGTTGTTTATTGGGTTTAGTGGGAAATCCCACTTCACTGCTAAAAAATATGTTTTGCCCCCTTCCAACGTCAACCAAGTTATGGCGACTCCATGGTGACTCAGTTCGTGGTGCAGGATTCCCTCCAAAAGGCTACCTCGCGTTTTCTTTTCTTTGCGGAGGGGAATCTGAATTTGACGAACCTTGAGCCAAACCCAAAGCCGCAAATACTGGTACCAAATAAAACTCTGGGAAGGAACCTTAGCAATTTTGGGGGTCCCGAGTTGGAAAGTCCACTTTTTTTCTGGGAGACTTTGTGAGTTCCTTTTTCTTGGACCACCGCCTAAAAGTAAAAGGATGTATCCACCAGTACTAGTGTTTCATCCATCACTGGTGCGAAATGGATCTTGTCAACCAAGTCCAGGTGCTCTCAACGAAAGTGGGCACTGTTTTAGAACTCGCCCCCCCCAATAATTTGTTGGTGCTCCTTTTGGTTCCCTTAAAACCCCCGAAAACAAGACGGGTAAGCTTCAAAACAAGAAAATCAAGAAAAACAAGACGAGGCCAATTGTGACACGGATAATCCAGCGGATGGGCTCCAAAGGAGCCGGAAGGATCGTTTTTGGCTCCGGAAGCTCGTTTCGCGATTTTGGGGGTAGGCAGAAAGAGGGATTATGGAGTCCCTAAAAGGTGGCAGGCAGAAGGGGTGGGGAATTGAGAGCCCAGGGTTCCTTACAGTTCCTTAGGGAGCCTTAGAATCCCCCCTGTGGACCACCGCCCGTTAGCTGTTGGAGGGACGTTCATTTGTGCAAAGTTTTTCGATCGAGCGAAGAGCGGGGGTAAAACGAGCCGGAGAAAAAACAAAAAGCAACTCACTTCCCGAGTTGGACTTTAGTCACTTTTGGGGGTTGGACTGTTTTAGTGGCAAATAAATAGTTTGGTTGCTTGTTCTTTGGCGATCCACTCAGGAAGTGAGATGATGAAGGTATCTTACTTCATTTGCGCAGGTTATTTGGTGGCAAACAAGCTGATGTCCACAGGGAAGCCACCAACTTTGGGGGCTGGAGCCATGTCGATTTCCTCAGAAACAAGAGACAGCTTGGTCGGTTCGAACCAACCTGTTCACTTTTGGAGAAAAGACTGTCTCCCCACTACCTCCCCTGTTATCTTGCTGGTTCTCAGCAGGGAATGAGGGGATAACCCCTGTAAAGCAAATCCCCTATGGTTTCCTTTCAGGGAATCCCCAAAACCCGTTCATTCCCAAAACGTTGGGTCATTCCCTGAGCACCAGCAAGCTGTGTTGCCTTCTGTTTGGCAGGTTGCCCACCGTCTGGTCCATCTCAAAGACACCCTCTTACCGGGCTCACCAGTGCAAATGGGAGCTCGTTTGGGCTCATCGTTTGAGTTGGTGCCCCGTCTTTTTGTGGTTTTTAAAAGGACACCGACGGGGAAAGCCACAATTTTGGGCGGGTCCCTAGAAAAAGACACTCCCAGAGCTGTGGTCCCTTTTAAGGAAAAGTCCAAACCAGGACCCTTCAAGGTCAGGTTCCATGGCACGTGGACAGGGTGCTGTGTGGGTCTGGGCCATACCTTCTGACGCTTGACAAGTGGGCTCAGTACCCAAAAGGAAGGGGTTGAAGAAGGAAGGAATGGACGTTTGACGTACCTGGAGTCACCTTCTGCCCCTCAAAAAACATGGCTTGGTCACCCAAAAGAAAGGGGGGGGATGTTGAGGGGTCAGGTCCCACACGGGCCATCCACTTTGTGAGACGAGCCGATGCCGCTGGGTTGGCATCGCCGCAGGCCCGGCGATGCGGAACTCCATTCCTGCGAGCGCCGGGCTTGGGCTCTTTTGGGTTCAAAAGAAGTGGCTTCCCCATGTTTCATGTTTTCGCTGTTTTGGGGTCCATTTTTTTCTAAGGCAAAACATATCTGGTTTTTTGCTGAGGTCCTAATTCCTGCCAAGTTTTTTGGTTCTCAATACTGCCTCATCTTTTCTTGATGGCTCCCGAAGGCCGTCTGGTTCACCTTAGGGTTTGAGCTTTGGTTTGGTAGGGTTTCCGTATGTGACCACTAAAAGTCCGAGGACATCCGAGGACAGCCCAGTGTTCTTTTTTCAGAAATCGGACCCCTCCCAAAAAAATAAAACAAACAATGAATACACCTCAAATTAGAGACCAGACTTTCACGCCGAGAAATCGCGACGGAGATTTCAGCACTCCTAGTCCTCCCTGTACACAGCACCCAAAGGAGGAGATTTCAGCAGAGGGCTCTTGCCAGCAACCAAGTTGTGGAGTCATTATTCCTTGGTGCATTTTGCTTGGATGTTAGGACTTTAACTTTTTTGCCAACTAATGGGGGTTTTCCATTAAACCACTAAAAGTTAAACTTTTAGCAGGGGAGCAGAAAGCAACCGAGTATTGTCCTCCCCCCCTCCCTCACTCTAAGTGCTCTTAAAAAGAACCCTTCTGAGGGTAGCTGGCGCATCCAGACGGTTTTCTAGAATGGAAATGACCAAACACAACCAACCTAGACCCAGGTAGTTCGAGGCTCCAGGAACTGACCCGCAAGCATCAAAGGGGGCTGAAAGGCCAACATCTGGCTGTTACATGCTGCAGCTGGTTGTTGTTCTTGTTTTCTGTTTGGTTTGGGACGTTCTTTGATTTTGGGATGCAACAAGAACACGGGATTCCGCAAGCGCAAGCGCAATCGTTTGCAAGTCGCAATTGGAGAAACCTCCAGCGCCCTTGATTCTCTTTGGGGGGTCCTTTTGAAAGTAACAAACAAGCAAAGATATACCTGGAGTCATGACCCTTTCTTTTGGGGTAATAACCAATCATTTTTAGTCGGGTCATGGAGACTGGCGTGAAAACAGCAGGACCCAACCAGAAAAATCTGCGGCTGTCCAGTGGGTCCCCTCTTTGAAACCATCCCAAACAGGGCACCCCCCCAAAAAAAACACACCGCCGCACTTATGTCTTGGTGGGCGGATCTTCCCCAAAAAAACGCTCAAAAGGAGCCTCTGGAAACAACAGGCTGCATCCGTTAAACCCACTGGTTAGACCTTTTGCTCAACGAGCAACCCAGTAGGCTGGGGCCGCAACAACGGGGTAGCACAAAGCCAAGTTACCTGAGATGTGTGCAATTGTTTCGCCACATCGGGTGCCCGAGCTGAGGTGATTCTCATTACGTGCTTTATTTCGGCCTGGACCTCAGGTTGAATTGAAAGGGGCCGTCAAAGGCCTTGCTGGTGCTCAGCAGGGATTGTGTGAACTACAAGGGAAGGCCGAGAATGAAGCCCATTGTTCCTTACCCTTTCCGTTACCCAATGTTGCCTGGAACATCAAATTCCCCAAATCGAGTCGAGCTTTTGACCTTTTGGTTTTCCCTTTGTGGCTTTCCCTTGTTGGGTGTTTTGTGGCGCTTGCTTCTTCCTTTTGGTTTTCCCATTTGGTGGCCAAAGGTGATTTCACCTATTATATTTCTGGGTCCTTGGGGGGTCAGCTGTGTTCTTCCAGGTGCTGCTTTTGGTTCCGTCTCCGTCCGTGTCTAAGAACGGGGTCTCCTTGCATTGGGAGCCTTATGTAAAGCTGGGAGATAGACAGGGCGAATACACAACTATGAATGGATTCGCGGGGATTCGCGGAGCACTCTGAACCACACATTTCATGATCATGGGAAGGTAAGGTTAGCAATCATTTGTGTTGCTCCTATATGAGTATGGGTCAAAATGAAACCACCAGGGGACCGCAGGTTTTAGTCTTGGGTTCCACCTACCATGGTTCCATTCTGGGGTTACCCTATTTTTGACCAGCCATATGTTCGCTGCATGTCCAACACATGTGATGTTCCAGTCGAAGTGTGTTTCGAAGGATGGTGTTTTTCCTCGATTTCAACGGGCGCCTGGTCTTCACGAAGCCTTGTTCCGCTTCTATCGGAGTGGCATTTCTTTCTCCGATTTGCCGCTGCTTTTGTTGTTTGTGTTTGTTTGAGGTACCCATTCTGGGGTTGTTTTAGCCGAAAGGAACCTAGCATCTGGTTTGCACCATTTTGAACCTGTGCTGAAAAGGGTCCGGAAACCGGGTTCCATATTGCGGAACCGTGCGGCTAGTGACAAGTCTGGACAATCGCGACGTCAAGATTTCGGTTTGGTACCTCAGCGAAGGAGCGTTTGAACGGGAAGAGGGTTTCAATTTTGGCCAAAAACCTGAGAGATCCTTAACCTTTGAGAAAAATGAAAAAGAATAAAACACATTCTGAGACAAAGAAGACCCCATGCCCAAAGAAACGACCCGACAAAAAATGGGTTGCAACCCAAAATCATGGTGGGTGATGTCCCTTTAAGGGAAGTGTCTTTCCAGCAAGACCAACAAAAAGAGCTCTCGAACCGTCCAAATGCTCAAGAATATATGGCCATGGGGCAGAACCTATGGCTCCATTTTGGGGTGGATGAACATCCGTTTGCCACCTATTTGGATGTTCACCAGGGGTACAGGGTTTTGACCCACAGGCCATATGTATTCCTGTTTTTTTTTGTTTTTTTTTTTTTTTTTAAGGGGAATCTATCACTGCTAGAATTTATGTTCTCATTTTTCCCAGGCGAAACACCAAACGGAAGGAACCCGCAACAATCGCTCCCGAAGGCGGCATCAAATCGAGTTGGATCGTTTTCCAGGCCCTCAAACTACGAGTCTCCATGACCGACACTTGAATTTTTACGCCCATGACCCCTGGATTTTGGGTCCATGACCGGTCATGGAGACTCTACCAAAATGGGTTATTGTTCACCAAATGGGGTAAACTTTCACTTGTTTGGTACTTTTCTCCAGCGAGTGGTAGATTCACAGGGGACGGCCCGAGCTGGCAGTTGGGTCGGAATCAGAGACCCTGTGGCTTGGAAAAGCCATCCCGCCCGAAAAAATGGGGAGATGGGTGACTTCGGATCCCCATTCACGGCAACCCATTTTCCTTATGAAGGTCAACGACCTGCGGGCAGCATTTCCCCTGCTAGGTTGGCACAAGGCACACCAAAGAAACATGGGCGGCTGATTCCTTGCTTTAGGAATCCGAACCCCAAAACAAATTGTTCCTGGTTGTCCCTTTCTTTTTCTTTCCCTTTACCACCCCCTAAAAAAGGAAAAGGTTCCTGTGTTCCTTTCTTCCTCCCCCCCCTAAAAAAGGAAAAGGTTCCTGTGTTCCTTTCTTCCTCCCCCCTCTAAAAAAGGAAAAGGTTCCAGTGTTCCTTTCTTCCTCCCCCCCTCAAAAAGGGCAAGGTTCCTGTGTTCCTTTCTTCCTCCCCCCCCTAAAAAAGGGAAAGGTTCCTGTGTTCCTTTCTTCCTCCCCCCCTAAAAAAGGGAAAGGTTCCTGTGTTCCTTTCTTCCTCCCCCCCCTAAAAAAGTCAAAGGTTCCTGTGTTCCTTTCTTCCTCCCCCCCTCAAAAAGGGAAAGGTTCCTGTGTTGCTTTCTTCCTCCCCCCCCTAAAAAAGGGAAAGGTTCCTGTGTTCCTTTCTTCCTCCCCCCCCTAAAAAAGGGAAAGGTTCTTGTGTTCCTTTCTTCCTCCCCCCCCCCTAAAAAGGGGAAAGGTTCCTGTGTTCCTTTCTTCCTCCCCCCCTAAAAAAGGGAAAGGTTCCTGTGTTCCTTTCTTCCTCCCCCCCTAAAAAAGGGAAAGGTTCCTGTGTTCCTTTCTTCCTCCCCCCCCGAAAAAAGGGAACGGTTCCTGTGTTTCTTTCTTCCTCCCCCTAAAAAAGGAAAAGGTTCCGGTGTTCCTTTCTTCCTCCCCCCCCCTAAAAAAGGGAAAGGTTCCTGTGTTCCTTTCTTCCTCCCCCCCTCAAAAAGGGAAAGGTTCCTGTGTTCCTTTCTTCCTCCCCCCCCCTAAAAAAGGGAAAGGTTCCTGTGTTCCTTTCTTCCTCCCCCCCTAAAAAAGGGAAAGGTTCCTGTGTTCCTTTCTTCCTCCCCCCCTAAAAAAGGAAAAGGTTCCTGTGTTCCTTTCTTCCTCCCCCCCCTAAAAAAGAAAAAGGTTCCAGTGTTCCTTTCTTCCTCCCCCCTCTAAAAAAGGAAAAGGTTCCAGTTTTTCTTTCCCCTCCCCCCTTTACCAACCAAGACAGGGGGTTCCAAAAGGACGAGGCGCGTATGGCTCGCTCGCTGGAAGTTCCGAGGCTCACGGGGCACGTGTGGCTGGTGGAGACCTGGAGGCATCCGACTGCCCGTCCGGAGATCCAATTTTTGTCTTGGGCCCCAAAAGTGGACGCAACTTGTGGCAGTTGTTGGACCAAGAAAAAGGTTACCCGAACCCAACAAAATGATTCCCTGAAAGGGAAAGCACCAAGAATAAGGTTACCATAGGTTACCCCCCCAAAAAGTTCCTTTTTGTCTTTGCGGCTTGGCAAGTGCACTGAAAGCGCGGCGCTTTGAGGGGGGTGGGGGTGAACAAAAATGATCCCCTGAAAGGGACAGCGCCAAGCGTTTTTGTTTGATAAACTTTAGTTTTATGGGGCTGGAAATGAAGATTCCCTAGAAAACACCATCCCTCTATATTTTGTCTGGGAAGCAAGCCAGTTTGGGGCTCCAGGTACCCTAGCTCGGTTGGTTTGGATGGGTGGATTGGAACTCGTTGTAGGCAAATGGGAAACCACCCCGGAAGACCACCAAACCAATCGAGGAAAGCTGGAAAGAAAGAGAGGAAGGCGCGAACCTGGTTGGTTCCTGAACCTTGCCGGTGTTGATTGTTCTTTTTTCCCACTCGGAACATGGCTCGCGAGCCCTGGCTCGCTTCGATGGCTTCTGGCACGTGATGTGGTAAAGGGTACCTCTTGTTGGCGCGGATGGGAATCTGGCGAGCTTCCGGAAAGACCAAACCCAAAGCCGGGGAACTGGGTACCTTCCTCCTTCAGCTTGCCTGTCAGAGGCGTTGGGACTGCAGTGTTTTCAGTGTTTTTTTGCGGGCCCCTGAGTCGGTGCGTTCATTTTCCGTCAATGGACTGTCCGCTGGGTTTTGGGGCTATGGAGGTGATGAACATTTCCGGGCTTCAACACCTGGTAAGTGTTTGTCGTACCTTTGCAAAAACAAACGTCCGTGGTTTCGCTTATAGTATGATGAACACCATCGGCTTTTTGAGGCTCCTGGTGCTGATTAAAAGGGTCGATTTGAAACAGCCGCCACGGCCACTGGTGTTGGTCCCCCAATTTTGGGGTACCTTGAGATTGAGAAACACGCCTATCCGTTTCCCTGCTTGTCTGAGGAACAGGGGCCGATGCACCAATACTCCTTGCCATTTGAACAGAGGCTCTGCAGGAAACCGTTCAGGTTGCGAAAGCAAGGGAAACTAAAAGGACAACTACAATGTGGGGCCCTCATTTTGACGAGCCAAATGATTCTACTCCCAAAGGACACGCAAGGGATCCTGACATACTTTCTGTGGTCTTAGGCAATATGTGTTAGTTTTATTATCATTTTTATGATATATCATGAGTATGGTTTATCATCATAATTATTGTTAGTGTGTTTTATTTTTAGAACAAATGATTTCTACTGTACAGAGTTCGCCCCAGAAATCTTGACCCTTTGACTTTGGTTTGTCTTTAAGACACAACCTTAGACGCAACCTAAAACTTAAGCCACTTGCCGAGAGACTGTGCCGCCTGTGCCCAGTCCACCCAAAAATGCCAACCTAGACTCTCCATGACCCTTCAAAGATGGGTTCACGACCCCAGTCTTTTGGGTAATGACCATATTTAAAGGGTGGAGGCTCCAGAGAAGGTAAAACGTTGCGCCAACTCCAAACCGGCAAGCCGCGCGACGGGGGTTTTGGGACCATGGCTGTGAGGAGCACAGCGTCAACGCCAGCACGCCCAAGCCGCGGACCTAGGCTTCGACGCTTCGAGAGACCCGCGGGGAGTAGCTTCCCCATTTCTGTACGATTGGGTTGGATATGGGTGTGTATTTTTTTGGGTATCCTTGTTTGGGTGGTTTTAAAGGGGAATAAAAGGAAAGCCACCATTTTGGGGGGTCCCCTGAAAAAAAGGCGCACCCATATGCTATTGGGTTGGATATGTTGGACGTTTTTTTTTGGGGGGAAATCAAGGGTTTCCATTAAACCCACAAACAGTCAAGCTTTTTACAGGGGGTCAACAGCAACCAACAGTTGGTGTTGACCATAGCTTCCTTATTGGGTTGGATATGTTGGATGTTTAGACTTTAACTTTTTGGATTCCCCTCATATGTCCTTTTAACGAGCAAAGGTTAAACTTTGCTGGGTGATGTACAGCAACCAAGCTTCCACAAACCCTGACTGTATTCTTTAAAAAAAAACGGGGGTGCCCCTGGTTTCAGTGGGGATTCAGACCACTTTGGGAGGGGAACCAGGAACACCCCAATTCAATAAGCAGTAATCTTCTAGGGGTACCTCCCCGATTCTTTCCAGGGATCCGAGTCTTTCTTGAAGAAACCCGATCGGGAAAAAAACAGATCTGTTTTTTGAAAAGAACGATGGTGGAAAAGAATGGTTACAAATCAACCCCTAGCGGTTCTTCACTTCCAAAGAAAATCAACCGAGTCCCATTCTGGGATTGATCCAAGAAAAGTTCCGGAAGGTGAAGCCTACTCACCATCCCCTTTGTGCCCACCCCCCCCCCTCCTTAAGTTTTGGGATTCCAGAATTGACCTTGTGTTTTCCCCTTGGTCCATTAGTCATGCCCCCTTGTTGCTGAACCTGTTGGGGGCCTTTGGCAGCTGAGTTGACTTGTGCCAGTGACATGGTGAAAGGACCTTGTTCAAGTCCCGGCCATGAAATCACACCACGAACCAGCTCAAGCAAGTGTTAGACATGAATCCCCACCGAGTTCTGATGTCCACCAAAGGTTCCCGCCATTAAAGTTCGTCCATTGGATATGAATCAAATAGGGTCTGGGGAGCAAGACTTCAGGATTTACTTGCCTGTGACCAGGGCTGGTCATCGGCTTCAGGATTCTACACCTCGGACGAAGCAACAGCTCTACTATGTCCGTGCTACTAGCTTGCCGCTCGTAAACGATAGCCAAAAAAAAAAACCTTTCTATAGCAAGCATTTTGACTAACTGGCTCTCGAAATGTAGGGTTAAAGAACTGGACAAATCGCCATGCGTGGTTGTTGTTGCTCACGGCGCCACAACGGCGCGGAGAACTTCGCACAGTTCTATCCCGCTGTTCTGGTCGACGCCTTGATGGCTTTGGTGGGGTGGGGTGGGGTGGGGTAATAACGTACGGGGCACAAGTTGCTCGGATGCCTGCTTTTGTGTGGTTTAGTCACAAGTTTAGTCCCGGACACAGTACCACGCAGGCCGAATTTGGGGACTTTTATATTCCCTAGCGTGCGTCATCGAATCTTGCTAATTACGACTGGTCTGCCGAAGGCTCCAAGACTATGACGTACACGTAAGTTCTGTAAGCCATAGTTCGCTGCAGTTTGCCAAGAATGTTCTCTTGCCTCGGGACCTTTGAAGGTTGGAAAGACGTAAAAAGGTGGCTGCCACCTTGTGTCATAAGAAGAAAGGCGGGCTGAATCCCGAGCGGTGGTGATACTTGCAGAATTGCAAATGGTGCTTGTAGGAAGCATCGCCGTCGCCGTAGTTATTTCATGTCCAGAAATCCTGAATTCCTTCGCGCCGTCAGTGGCGGCGTGACCTTGTTGTTGGGATTTGTTTTTCACTTTTGCTTCTTGTGGTTTAGTGGGAAATCCCTACTTAATGGCTAAAAATTACATTTTTGCCCCCCTTCCAACGTCAACCAAGTCTGGCTGCTGTGTCGGGCTGAAGCGTCGCTTGCGGGTGAGCCGGGTCTCTTGGTCAGCCAAGAAAAAGGCAGAGGCTGACGCAGGGGAAGGACCCGGTCACCTCAGGTGGATATGCTTTGCCTACAATGAGATGCTGTCCGAAGTCTTGAGCCAAGCAGAAATGGCGAGTTGAGTTTTAATGGTTCTCAGTTGTTCAGTGGCACCCTTTTTCCATTTTTTGGTGGCTGCCCCACTAAAATTGTCTTCCCCAAAAAAGGCTCCCTTTTTTCCAGGGTCACTGAACAGCTAAGGGTTTGAACCCATTCAGACACTCTTGGGCTAATGTGAATGTGTTCACCAAAAGCTTCCCAAAGCATCTGCTTAGGTGCCAAGAGACCCTGAAGGAAGGTGCGCCCTCTCCCCTCCCTTGTATGTATGGGCGTTTCCAATTACTTTCGTCGCTTAGGCTGGAGGTGGCGGACAAGTTCGGGCGACAAGGCCAAACCCGTAGTCCGCGTTGTTTGTTTTTTGTTGGGGGTCCATGGGAAAGGCGTGCGTCTCTGAGAAATGCGTGGTCTTAAAGCCACTTTTCAAGACCACCTTCCTTTTCCAATAGGAAAGCGGCGGGTTTCCTAGTGGAAACTATCTGCTGGGAAGGAACCTGTCGCCTTCCAAAGGACCCGGAGTATGGCCGGTCCCAACAACCTCTGTGGAAGGGGCTGGGTGAACAATAGGTATTGAAAGACACACATACATATATACATATAAACATAAACATATATGTATTTTATATAATATATAGATACATCTTCACATATATATATATATTCTATTTGCACAAAGATCTGTACATATATATATATATAGATGTTTACATATATATATACATACATATCTGTGTGTGTGTATGTATGTCTCTAGATACAGACGTTGCAATGCCCAACACTGGCCATTAACTCAATACCCCAGTCCTTTGCTGGGTGGTAATGGCGTTTTGCTGCACATGCGTAAAACGGCCGCCTGCTTGTGCAATCTTAATGTGTGGCATGTAATTATTCGTTTGCGTAAGACTAGTAGGAGTTGTTCAATTTGGATTCGGAAGGAAATGGTCGCGACTGAACCATCTTTTGCGAATCACCTTAAAGAAAAATAAGCAAAAGCCGGCCATAAAAGAGGGATTTCACACCAAAATTTTGGAGCAATAACCCATTTGTAAGGGAATTTGAGGGTCCCCTTGTAAACGGATCTTGACATCCGGGGTTGGTGCTGATCTTGCGGCCGTCAGGCGGCAAAACCGCTCCCCCAAGCTCTGACATGGGAATTGCAGTGCACGAAGTCCACTTAAGGCACCAGTAGGTCAACGTGTGATCGGAGACATTTTCTCACTCCCTGAGCTCCTGAACTCTTACTTTGCTTTGGGAAACCTGGAGCCTCAGATTTCCTCGCAACCAACAATGCTTCGGTCTCTCCCTGGGCCGGGCCCAGGGTAACCCGCGCAAGAGCTGCTGGACTGTCTGACTTTTGGACAAACCATTTGAGTTGGTGACTGTTTGTTGGGCCATTCAGTCAGGAAACTAAGTATGCTTGGTGAAGTCATTTTCAGGGAATTGGTAGGCGCAGGCAGGCCAGCATTTGAAGGGTTTCTCAATTTTTTGGCTGGATCCGGAAGTGAGTCTTTGCCCTCGACGTTTTTTTGTGCCGACACACTTTGACCGTTGACAAGTTGGCATTTTCAAATCTGATTGCCTGAGTTCCGCTTCGGACTTTCAGCTTTTCGGGCTTGGACCATGGTGGTAAACAACTAGTTTGGATCCGAGAAACCATCCACGCAGTATTTGCCCACATTTGAACTCTGTGCTCCAAACGGGTAAAATGTTGGAAGGGAATTCTCCCCATCATTTTGGGGGCACCAGCCAATTCTAATCTAATTTTGAGGGTCCTGTTTTTTGTTTTTGTTTTGTGTGTGTGTGTTTATTACCTACATGGATGGTGTTTGGGATTGGCGCAGATTTCCTGAAACCCGGGGTTTTGGTTCCTCTGTCCCAGGCGCAGTTGTCCAGGTGTCCAGGGGTGTCCAGGCGAGTGCAGTGAAGTGGGCACTTCAACGTGTTTTCTATGTGTTCAACACACTTAGGGTTTAGGGTTGCACTATATAGCTTAAAGGTGGTTAAGGGGCATGAACTAGAAAAGTTGGAGCAGAAGAACCAGGCAAGTGGATTCTGTACTGTGTTGTTGGCGGGTAGACCTCTTTGATAGCAGGTCTTGATTCTTTCTCACCTTGGTTTCCTTTTCAATTCATTCGAAGAGTTTGCATTTGGGCGTGTCTCTTTTGCAGGGTACCTCCTAAATGGGTGGTTTTTCTTTTGGCTTCCTGTTTAAACCTGCCAAACAAGAGTACCCTCCACAAAAAGACAAACCCATTTAGTGGTGACATTAGCAAAAGCTGTGGGTTCCGCGTCGAGAGGAGTGTAGGTTTCTGCGAATGCCCGGCTGACGCCTTGGGCTTCCAGTCGTGGGTCCATAGTTTGGGGTGATTTGAGGCGACACAACTTATTGCTTGGCCGTTTGTGCCAGCGAAACCAAACGGGTGTTCCTCAAAATTAGGGACTCTCCAGGTGCTTGGTTTACTTATATAAGGGGTTTCCCTTTAAGGCCAAAAAGGCGTCCTCCATTTTGAACAACCTACCCTTGTTTTCCATTTGCTTCCTTTGTTTTCTCCGTTTTCCTTCGGCTTGATTTCCTTCATCAAAAAAAGGAAACCACAAACACACTTTAGCCTGACCAGGTCTTCATGTGTGTGTGCTCTTTCTTTTTGTTTGACTCCCCCAAATTGTCTGGTCTTTAAAAGAACACAACCATAAGCAGTTCCAACTCCCAGCAACTCTAAGACGAGCCACCCTGATTTTGCCTTTTCCGAGGCGAGCTCTTGGAGCAAGAGGTGTCCGGGGTCTCGGACGGACAATTGTTGGGCGGTTTCGTCATTTTTTTGCTTTTGAAGAGGGTTTTGTTCCTGAACTTGGAGGAGCAGATCTGAGAAAAAGGAGCAGAACTTGAAGTTGGTGCCTTTTTCAAGTTCCTGAACTTGGACGCTTTTTCCAAAGTCTGTTTTTGAAGGATGGAGCAGATCTGAACTTGTTTCTGATGCTATTACTTGTGCTGGTTCTCATGAGTCTGACTCGCCAGAGGGGTAAATGGAGTACGTTGGTTCCCTTGTTTGCTTTGGGGTCTTCATTTGTTTTGCTTGAAGCTCTTTTTTGGCAGTAGCAGCTCTGCATGAACCGCAATCAAACGACTGCCGGCATGTTGTTTGAGTGTTTGGGATGTGGCTCCAACACAGGGCCTCTAAGCTGCTGCGTACCGAAAATTCGAAGTTAAACCTTCCTGACTGAGAATAGATGCCATGAAAGATCACACACCTCGAAAGGGCATCCTTGCTTTTCACTTTGTTTGATGTTCATCAGGCTTCGGCTTACTGCACTCTTCATGACGCATTGCATACGTGTCAGCCTGAGGCAAGGGGTAGGTCTGCTAACAAAGTATGACTTGTACGTGAGAATGCATGCCGCAGTGCCAGCGGCCAGCCATTCAATCGTGAGCACGAACACAGCTTTAACAGATTTCCCCTCAACTCGCTCGGTGAGTTCCTGGGAACTTTGGTCACTTTTTGGGAAGATAAGTCTTGGGGAAAATAAACAGTTCAGACTTGTTTGGCCAATCCGCTCAGGGAGTGAGTCAAGACCTGAAAAGGGTGCCCTTGAAAAAGAAAACCTACTTTTCTCCGAGTTTCCACTTCCTGGGGAGCTGGGGTAAAGCGAGCATGGCGTAGGTGCTGTACCGATTTTCAGGTTTTGGATTTTGATACGGGTGTCTTTTTTTAATGCACCTTTTTGGGGTGGTTTTATAGGGAAACCCAAAGGAACACCACAATCTTAGTGAGTCCCCGAAAGTGAGACACACCCTTCTAGGTGGTCAGTTTCTGGCCAAGTCGACATCCCCTAAGTGTCAAATTGGTCGGGCGAGCCAACCTATGGTCTTGAACGAGGCGCTGATGTTTCACCGGCGCTCTTTCCAAGGTTGGGGACTGTACAAGGGAATCCGCTCAGTGACAAAGGCTCACTGGGCGTGTTCCACGATGGTAACAAATTGTCATTCCGACGAAACGGGGACAAGAGAAAAAGGATAACAAGCTCACCAACCCTGTAGCGCAAACTACAACAAGCTCACCAACCCGGGAGCAACAACGAGCGCACCCGCGGAGGTCCTTGATTCGAGAGTTCTTGCTTCCATTGGTGCAACTTCCTGATGAGGGAAGCCCGAACACTAACGAGTTGGGGTGCTCAAGTTGGTGCGACCGCACTTGGCGGTTCCCAGCCGTCCCCTTAGGTTTTTTGGTGTTGGTTTAGTGGGGGGCGTCCATTCAACCCACGCCACAAATCGCTAGAAGTTAAAAAGCTTCTAGCCGAAGATCAAGCCGGTTTTGGGTGGCCTTTTCGCAACTCACCCGTGAACAAAGTGGTTGCCGGCCATCTCCCCAGTTTTTAATGCTTTTTAGGTTTTAGTGGGGGTTTCCATTTTACCCTATCAAAAGATTAGGTTTTAGCAGGGGAACTGAAAACAAACAGGCCAGTGACGAGCTCACGGGGATAAAACGAGCTCACCCCTTCCATGACTAAAGGCCAAAAGATGCACTTCAAGCACTGGAGGACACCCCAAACAATGCCCAAATGGCTCATATCTAGCCCCCTTTCTGCCGAGCAAGTTTTCTAGTGGGCCATTGCGGAACCGGGGGAGGGAGGGCAGGAGGATGATACTGGTGATGGTGATGATGATGATGCTGCTGCTGCTGCTGATGATGATGATGGTGTTGCTGCTGACATGATGATCGCTGTGACTATCATGCTGATGCTGATGATGCTGCTCATGCCGATGACGATGCCGATGACGATGACGATGACGATGACGATGACGAGGATGATGATGATGATGATGATGATGATGATGATGATGATGATGATGATGATGATGATGATGATGATGATGATGATGATGACGATGATGATGATGATGATGATGATGGTATTGATAGCGATGCCGATGCCGATGCTGATGCTGATTCGGCTGATGCTGCTGCTGATGATCATGGCGGTTCTGATTCTGATACTGATGATGGTGATGGTGGTGGTGGTGGTGGTGGCGGAGGTGGTGGTGGTGGTGGTGGTGGTGGTGGTGGTGGTGGTGGTGGTGGTGGTGGTGGTGGTGGTGGTGGTGGTGGTGGTTCTTCGGCAGGAGAGATGCGAACGCGCTGACCCTGAGACTCGTAGTGGTGCTTAAAATTGCTCGCAGCGCATTTCACTCGGCCATATAATTCTCCCTAATTTGAAACGGGCTCAAACCGTACATCTTGCAGGCTATGTTATACAGGTTCCCCGAACGTTGCAAGTGGCGAATTTGGTTTTGATCGTTTGTGCTTGATTTACTTTCAACTATCAAGTAACTTTTGAGTAAACCAGTGGAGGTAGCACTTGCACGCGGTTCCGCGTTAAGTACCCCTTACGTACCAAGGTACCTCTTACGTACCACCTGTGTACCTACAAAACGTGGGGGTCGGTCAAACGCCATTTACCATGGCTAGAGTTACCCACCATCCGATCAAGAGGCGCGCTTCGCTCGGGGAAGCGGCTAAGGCCAGTGCGAAAGGCCCAGCTTAGCCGGAAGCGCAGCCCGCATGGTTTTGCGAGGGTAATACCATGGTCTCAAGAATTGCTTCTTCACTCCAGGGCTCGTGAAGAAAGTTGGTTTGAAAGCTCCCAGCCCCCTGATAGAATTAGATCTTGCCTCATACCCTTTTCATGCAGCTTGGTTTCAAGAGCAACTCCATTGATTCCAACCAAATGAAACTAGCCATCGGACATTTGCGGAGAACGGTTGGAGGTCTCCAACTGGACAATACTACCTAGTGCTGAAACTTCTCGTTACATCGCCCGAGGCTAAAAACTCGAACAAGGGGGTTCTGGTCAAAATAGGGGGCCTGAAAAGTGATCGTTGTCTCTTTAAACGTAGGGGCCTTCCAAAATAGGGGACCTTCCCTTGAAACCAAGCTGAACAGGGTATGAGGGCTGGTTTCATTTGAACTGGATGGATTCCAGAGGGATTCCACTGATGACTATTGGACGGCATAGATGAACTCCACGGATCCAATGGCCCGGGGTTTTTCGGCCATGAAAAGATGGGCCTTGGGACCCAATTTGGATGAACATGCTTAGGTAGACAATGGTGGTTATATTAGCCCCCATTAGTTAGTGGTGGTTAAAACCCCGGGGAATGTCATATGTGTTTTCCCCTAGACACCTAGCGTTTCAGCGCTCGGTGTGGCTCCCCGATTCAGAGACGACAGCTGATCCCTGCGAGAAAAAAAAGCGGTCCCCGAAGGCCAGCGGGTCCCTTAGCTTTGTTTTTTGGTTTCTCGTTGGCTTAGTGGTTGGGTTTCCGTATTTCTCACTTCCTGAGTTCATGAACTTTAAACTTTTTGGGAAGACCATTTCAGTGGTAAATATAAAGTTTGGACTTTTTTGGGCCATCCACTCGGCAAGTGAGATTTAGCCCGCTAAAAAATAGTCACTGGTAGCAGGGGATGCGAAAGCTAAACCAGGCCCGCTTGGTTGAACTGGTTCGATCTCCGATGTTTGCTTTCCCTCCCAACAATGGAAGCTGATGGAAGGGGTTTGGACGACGCAAGCTTTCCTTTTGGGGAAGCCCCAGAACCCACTGCCACTATTGTTGGAAGCTGGGAAGATTGCATTGGGTTTGATCCAAGATTGTCCATGGTGCAATCACTTCATGGTTCCAGTGGTCCAGTGGTAGGCGTGTCCCCCCTTTGTTTGCCAAGAAACTTTAGAGCCTCCGGCTCAGTCCGCCGACATTGTCCTCTCCCTTTCTCCTTCTTCCTCTCTCCCTTGTCTCCCTCGTGTGTTCTGTCGTCCCCTCTCCCTCCTCTCTCACTCTCTCTCACTCTCTCTCACTCTCTCTCTCTCTCTCTCTCTCTCTCTCTCTCTCTCTCTCTCTGTTTCTCTGTCTCTTTCTGTCTCTCTGTCTCCTTCCTGTCCACGCCCCTCTACAGAAAAAGGGTACCCTAATTCGAACCTCTCTACTCTCTCACTTTCTCGCTCTTTATCTCTGTCTCTCTCTCTCTCTGTCTTTCTGTGTCTCTCTTTCTCAGTCTCTCTTTTTTTCTCTCTCTCTCTCTCTCTCTGTCTCTCTCTCTCTCTCTGTCTGTCTCTTTCTCTGTTTCTCTGAGTCTGGCTCTGTCTCTCTCTCTCTCTCTCTTTCTCACTCTCTGTGTCTCGCTCTCTCTCTCTCTCTCTCCCTCTCTCTCTCTCCCGCTCTCTCCCTGTCTTTCTCTGTCTCTCTCTCTCTGCATTGCAGCGTCACGTCCCCCCTGAGTTGCCTCGATGTCCGCGCACTGCCCCTTCATGACCCTCATGTGTCATCTCACTACTGGCTTTCCCCTTGATTGGCCCTGCATGTCCTTTTCACGTCTCCCATGATGTCCTGGTCATGTCCCTTCCATGCCTTTCAACTCCCCCTTCATGTCCCTGACATTTTCTCGGTATGTCCGCTTCGTTTTCCATGTATGTCCCGTTCTTTCGTTGCGAGCCATTTCCCTTTCCCTTTCATTCCCCCTGCACTCCCCTTGTTTTCATTTCTGTCCCTTGCATGTCCCTTTCAGTTCCCCTTTGTTTCCCTTTCATTTCCCGCTGCTTTCCTGTCATGTCGACTTCCTATTTCCTCCCCTCATTTCTTGCACTTCCTTGCATTTCCCCTTTGCTCCCCAATATTTCCCGCAAAAAAAACACGTTTTTTCCAGCTTTTTCGCAATTAGGACATCCAACAACACAGAGTGTTTGCAAAAGGAGGCAGGAACCCCCCCACGTATCAGATAGGGGGGTTTTCCTCTATCCTCTCTTAGGTGTCCGACACGCCGAGCAATGTCGGCGGACTTGATTGCTTTTGGGTTGCGCCTTTAGACTTTAACTTTTCGGGAAATTATGTTTTTCTATCAAACCCACCAAGGCAAACTTTTGGCGGAGGGGTCAACAGGCAACCAAGGAAAGTGTACCTTGCTTTGATTGACAGAAATGTACTGCGGGTCTTTGCTTTGAACAGACAGCAATACTTGTCAGCACAAATTTGAAAGCAGCGAGACGATTTGGAGGGGAGTCAACGCTCGATGATTTGTGCTTGTCTCTGCCCACCCTTTGCTGGATCATCGGATCTACTGACGAAAGTGTTGGTTTGTCGGTCCCAGTTTGTTCTTCTTATTCCTAAAAAGCAACTTCCTATTACTATTATGTTTATTGTTATTTCCGCAGCGCAGGGGCCTTTGGAAGGGCCCCCAGCTCTTAGGATTTTGGAAACTGCCCTGATTCGAGTTTCCTACAGTTGTAGGTGGATATTTTTTCTGCGCACGCAAGGGAAAGGTATAGACCCCCGATATGAAGTGAGTGTCCCTTTTCATCTCAGGTGGCATTTTGATCGCAAACATATCGAATCTCAAAGAGGGCCGGGGGATGCTCTGGGTCTCTTGGTGGTTCCCAGCCGCCCCCCTAGGTTGTTAGGTTTTCAGGGTTAGACCTTTAGCAGGGAACCGCCCAGGCCGCCCAGGCCTTTAGTTTGTACTTGGTCGCCCAGTACTGCCCTTCTCTCCCCTTTTTTGGGGGAGGGTTCCCCTAGAATAGACTACAGAAAAGAAGTGGTACCCTAATTATTTTTCTCTCTACTGGAGCTGTTTCGCTGTTTCGGGGAAGGGTTTGTCAAAAAAAAACACCAGTGCTGGAGGTGCGGCCCTAGACGGCTTCCTGCAACATATTGGGGCGCTTTCCTTTGTCAAGGGTAGTTTGAGAGTCGAGGTGTTCCGGCTTTCGGGTGTTGCTGCATGGGATCTTTAGACCTCAACTTGGTCGAAATCTTGAGACTTTGCCAGATTACACCCACAACCAGCTAGAACAAATCAACACTTTTTGGCGGAGGGGTCGTTACAGCAACCAAGTTTTGGCGGTTTTACAGGGACGGCCACAGGGAAACCGCCACCATTCTTGGGGGCATCTTTTGGCTTGGCGAGTCCTTCAACTCGCCTTCCACTCGGCTCCGAGGCTGGCAGCAGCAGCGGGTGCTGGCGATGCTTCTGGTGCTGGGCCTTTTCACCCTGGCGGTCACCTGGCTGGTGGCTTCAGGCGCTCGCCCGCGAGCCGAGCCAACGAGCCGAGCCGAGTGCGAGCAGAGCCAACGAGCGGAGGGCGAAAAAGCGGAGGGCAAAATCCCAGAAACAAAACCGTAAAGGACATGATGTGGCTCGTGTTTTTGCCTTTTTTTTGTTTGAGAGGCGCCGCAAAATGGTGTTTGGTTTTCCATTGGTTTCCCTTTTCCGTCAGTTTTCTCTTGGGTTGCCTTGGTGTCCGACTCTAAAACCACTATATATAAGGAAAGCTACCCTAAAATGGACACACCAACACACCCGGGCCGATTTTGATTTGGGGGCTCATCACTTTTGGAGAGCCGCCTCCTATTCATAGGACAGAGGGTTCATAAATAAGAGGTCCACATTCCTGGACCCGTGGACACTTGGGTGTTCCTTTGGTTGCCTTTTTAAGCAACAACAGGGAACCCCTGAATCCAAGCGGTTCCCTGAAAAAGAAAACACACACACACACACCCATGTGCTGAGCAACTAACCCCCAGGCCACTTTAATTGGAAAGCAAGAGCCTGGAGTATCCTTCTGACCTTTTAACCATGGGCATGCTTAAACGGTCATGGAGACTCAGGAAGAGGTCGTTTGAACAATAGTTGGGTGGGTCTTTTGTCTTTGTCCGTGGACCCCCCCCCAAACAAACAAAATGGTGCAACGGCTTTCCTTTTGGTACCCGCCCAGCTTAGGTGTAGGTCGTTGAAGCTCAAACCCGCGGGTACGGAAATACGGGAAGGGCTTGGACGAGTTGAAAAGGCATCGCTGCGGTGGGCAAGTTGTTCCGTGTTGTTTGTCTGGTCTTTTTGGTTCTCTTCATTTTGAGTAGGCTTCAAAGAGAACAGTCAGTGCTTTTGGGCCACGTCAAGGGTTGTAAAGAAAGGTCAAGGTATCTCCTCAGAACCCTTAGGGTCAACGCATCTTCTTGGCGGTTCCCAGGTTTTTTTCCGTCCCTTAGGCTTTTAGTTGTTTTTTCCTCGTTGGTGAAAGGTTGGGATTCCATTCAAAGCCACAAGCTTAGAGGATCAGACAACGGACAGCCCAGAGAGCTTTCAGAGCTTGATCCGCAAGGCTTTGCTTCACCCTCTTGCCACGGGATCTGGATCCTCTGCAAGGCGATCTCTCCCTCTGAATTTCAGGTACCACCCATTTAAACAATGGGGGGTTCATATAACCGCCATTTTTTTACCTAAGGATTTGGGTCAACATTTCCTTTAACTCTCTCTCTCTCTCTCTCTCTCTTCGAAAGGGAGCCTGTGCACTTCCATGTTGGCGGGAGGGGAATGAGTTTGTTGGTTGTGTTGTGGCCAGGTGATTAGCGACCAAGGGACATGACTCTTCTGCACATGGACGAGGAGCCCACGAAACCATGGATTTGGAGAGGAATCTCTTTGACAAGTACCTCCTGCATGGGATAAGGACATGTTTGACGCATTCTGGCGGCTGAATTCCTCTGGTTTTATGGGGTCGTTTGGAATCCCTTAGTTCCAGTGATCCAATGGGTAGGCGTTTCCCCCTTTGTTTTTGCTTGGTATGTTTGTTATTGCTACAGGGTAACTGATCCTTGGACTTGAACTCTTTTTGATGGATATTTTTTTGGGTTCTCCGGATTAGAGCCACAAAGCGTTCAAGTTTTGGCAGAGAGACGCTAGCAACCAAGTTGTAGGTATAGCCCAAGGGCTTGCCAGCCTTCAAAACCAAAAGGGGATCTGGGCGTGGTGTCCCTTGAACAAAAACAACAACGGAAAGCGCTTTTTCGGGGCTGCGTGGCTGGACGCTGAGTGGACATGGCTTCGAGAGGTGGTAAGTCCACATTTGGGGCATGTCCGAGACTCCGACCATGGTGACTCCTAAATGGGTGTGTCTTAAAATGGGGAGCCCCCAAACAAGGGCTGTTCCCGATTGAAACAACCTAGAAAAGGTGCCAACTCAAAACCAGACGTGCCAGCCAAATTTGTTATATATGTTTGACTCAGCGCAGCCAAAACAAACTCACTTCAGACTGACTCCGGTGATGTTGAAAGCTAGCAAAAGGGGGCGGAACGAGAGGGAACCCAGCAGTGAGATAGCTCTGAAATTTGTTTGAATTGGCCGGTCTGTGCGAGCCTTGGCTTTACCGGGCGAATGATTCGTAATTAACATATGCCCAGTGGATCCATTTCCCTGAGAAGCTTCCCAATTGCTGAGGGCCTCGCGACCTTTTCATGTCGGGGGCAGCCAAAAGGAACAAAACGCCCTAAAAGTTGATTCCCAGAATACCAATTTGGGACGCGGCTGTTGGGGATATCACCTGGGCGTATTCTTTGGGGGAGAGGGTCCTGACCATGTTGACACACAACCAATTCCGATTATTGGCCCAAGGACCAAACAGTTTGGTCCTGGGTTTAAGCATCCAAAGGGTAAAGGTATCTCATCTCAGTTGTTCAGTGGCACCCTTTTTTCCATTTTTTTTGTAACTCCACTAAAAATTGTCTTCCCCAAAAAGGGTTCCCTTTTTTGCAGGGTCACTGAACAACTGAGTCATATTTTCGCGGATGGGAATCTGTTGACGAAGCCAAACAGCACCAACCCCAAAACCGGACAAAGATCGGGCACTTTTTGGGACCTTCTGGGTTAGGGTGTACCCTTCCTCCCACTTCCTAGGTGCCATGGCAGGGAGGGAAATCCAAAAGGAACCAAAACGAAGTCCATGATTTCCGTTGTGCAGGCATCCAGACCATGGTCCAGACCAGGAGTCTTAGACCTAAGCCCGGGCCTTTGGCAGGCGTTCAAAGAATTTTCAGGACACCTTTGCCAGCACTCGGGACCAACCACTGCTTTTCGGACTTGTGATTTTGGAGAGACAAAGCAGTTCTTTTTGGGGGGAGTCAGGTGACACTTTGTCTTGTGGCAGTATGTCTTAAGATGGGATGCGGACCCCTTTCAGTTGGTATTCAAAGAGAAATCAGAGGGCAACGAACACAGCAACTTGAACGTGAGGTTCAGCAGATTGAGCCACTAATTGGCAAACTAACTTCATGTTTTACATGTCCTTTCTTCGTCCATCATGAGCCTCCCCTCTGCCGAATGGGTCGCGGTTGCGTTGTGAGTGCCCATGCTCCCAAAGGGCTTGCCACTTTTCGGCGATGTTTCCAAGCCACGGTGAACCCCGCCGAAAATGGGCCAAGCTGGACTTTGTTTGTCGCAAAATGCGTACCGAGCACCAACATGGGCCGTTGTCATCCGGCTTCCCTGGCAAAACAAGACATGTCACGCCCACCTGTCAAGGCAGACGACTGCAGTGCACGGATCAAACTCCCCTGGCGCCAACAATCTGAGCTGGCGTCGTTCTTTCTGAGTCTGTTTCTGGGGGGGGGGGGGGTTAGGCAAAAACTGGCTGGCTCCTAAAAACCCCGTTTTGGGGGACTTTTGGGAAACCCAACATGGTTTCACCGGGTTCATATTGGCCTTGCAAAACCGCCCTATGGAACGTTGTAGGACCTTTGGCCCTACCAAGATTGCCTCAGGTTTGGGGCACGAACTGGGGTTCTTGTAGGGGGGGAGAAAGCACAGAATTCCCCCTCGGAGCCTGGCCAATTTTAGGTTCAACTCAACCTCACCAATCCCCACAAGGATGCCATAGTTGTTGGGGCTTGGATGTCAGTTGGGAGGGTAGCTGCCGAGCAAATTCCACTCAGTCCTGCTCACGGCAGTGCTCTTGAACATCACGGCGCCAACTTAAATTGAGCAGCGCCCTGGTCATTGTCAAAGTCATCCAGGGTTGTGGGATCACTCGCGGCTTATCCCCACTGTGATAAAGGGAATCTCCCCCTTTATGATTATGTGGAGGGTTAGTCTTTGGGAAGCCCTTTCTGTTGTCACAGAAGTGGTCAAGTTTCCCACAGCCCCGAAGTGATTGAGTGATCTGTTCGAACCGCGCGTGTTTTTAAGAGTCCTGCTGGTGTTGCGCAGGGCTCCCCGAATGATACGAGTTGGCCATCCGTAACCCTCGTACCCGTTCCACCAAACCAGAAAGAAGCCAGGGGGAAATGTAGGTTGCATGTAACTTGGCGGTTCCCAACTATCCCTGAGGTTTTGAGTTGTTCAGTTGGTGCAGTGGTTGGGTTTCCATTTAGCCCACTAAAAGTCAGTCACTTTTAGCAGGGGATCAGAAAACTGGTAGCCCGGGTAACTTCTCCCCCCGTTGACTCACAAAGCTCGCGTGTGTGTGTGTGTGTTTTGTGTGTGTGTGTGTGTGTGTTTTTCTCCGTTCCTGAGGCAAGCGAGGGGTCAGTCCCATCTCTCCATCCAGGCGCTTGAGCGGCAGAGGTTGTGTCGGTGTTGGACGGTTTAAGCGAATGTTTAACCCATACTGTGGGTGGACGGAATCCGTTTGCTCCAATAAACCACTGTTTGTTGGTGTTTGCAGGGGAATCATCATTCCAGGGTTTGTGAGGCGGTGCAGGATGGTGTCCATCCACAGTATTAATCAACCCCCGTTAATTTACGGGGTGTCCAATCGTGAAATGGTGGGGAATCAGAACACTTTGAAGGGGCCCCCACCCCCCTATTTAGAAACTGGGATGTGGGGTCAGCATTATGCTCCACTTTGCGTTTAAGAGATGTTTGTCTATTTTTCCTTGTTGATTTTAAAGGGACCCGATTTCACTACTGGGCACTGGACATATTTTCACCATTTTTTGTCCAGCCTGCGAAAAAAGCAAATGGAGGTATGGTAGGTAGCCCTTGGAGAGCCAAAAGGAACATGGCTGGTGATCTATGGCTTGCCTGGGATCTGAGCTTTGGATGGTGGTAGACAACCACCAGGAATCCTCGCTGCTTTTGCTGAGATCCCATCAAACTCAGGTCCAGGTGTGCAAGGGAACGTTTGGGTCTGATTTCCTGCAACCCAATCAACTCGCAGCCATCCCCATGAAAAAGACCGCGTTGGATCACTTGCGGGGGTCGAAATCCCGAACTGAGAAGTCCTCACTGATGTTTTCACTATATATACGGAATCCCGACCTGCCATCCGGATAAGTTTCCTGGAACAATCCCCTTGCAGTCCATTCCCAGAGCTTACCCCAAAGTTGATTCGCAGCAAGTTTATGGGCAGCGAGGGGCTTGCGACGTCCGCGAATCGGTTGAAGGGCCACGGCGCTGACGGCGAAACGACTCATGGTGGACACTCCCGCAGACTATCATGGAAGCTTTCAAAAGCCTCTCTAAGTGGAAGTCAGTCTTGCAAGGGGGTCCTGGGCGCTTCCATAGTCTGGGGGAGGGTACAGTGTTGCTCTAAAGTTTGACACTTCCAGACCAACATCCGCCAAGGGATTCTGCCGCATCCTGGCTTTCCATTTTTGCTCGGTGGTTCGGAGTGGTGGTTCGGAGGTGTTCGGTGGTCTCCTACTCTACACGCCCCGGGCACCAAAAACCAAGCCACCAATGAAGGGTTACCTGAATTCGGGAGCCCATGCCTCGACCTTGCCTCACAGGATCCGATTTCCCAAATCATGAGACGACGTGGACCTCTGAACCCTTGATGCCTTGGGCGCCTCCTTTTTACCCGAACCTACCTTTTCCAGCTGTTAAGGTTGTCTATGTGTCCAATGTACCAACAGGCTTTGAGGTGTATCCTAGGGACCCCACAAACTTATGGCCTATCCTTGGCTTATCCCCAAGTCCAGGAGCGGCCGGCTGGACTTCTTGGGTCCTTTAGATCGGTTGGTGTGGTTGAGCATAGCTGGATTCCCCCCGTTTCAGTTTGGTTCGAAGCAACCAGCGCCATGCTGTGTTTCAAAAGGAGCCCAACATGGCCGCAATCCATTTCGCACCAGTTGGGATGGATGAAACATGAGCACCCCCGTTGAATTGTGGGATAGACATGTGTAAGCCACTTCCAAGTGGTGCGAAATGGATGCTCTTCATCTACAGTACCAACATGATTTGGTATTTCCCTTCAGGACCACCACCACCCCCCCGCCACCCCCCACATCACCCCCCAACCACCCCGCCACCACCCCCCCACCACCCCCCCACCACCCCCCCACCACCCCCCCACCACCCCCCCACCACCCCCCCACCACCACCTCCCCCCAGCTCTGGAGCCCTGGTTTCGTCGCCAGCTGGCCGAGCAGAAGGAGGTCAAGAAAGCACCTGGATCTGAAGAAACTAGCCAACAGAAAGGATAATTCGCCCACAATTTGGGGTTGCAATAACCCATGAAGCACCCAGACCCTTTTTTCTGCCCATAAACATGTTGCAAAGAAACCACCAGACCTTCCCAACAACAACACGGGGACCTCCCCAAGAAATTCCCAAAAACACGGGGCTTCCCCCAGAAAACACGGGGCTACCCCCCAAAAAACGCGGGGCCCACCCCCCGTTTGAAGCAACGGGAGCAGCCGTAGGCGGTGGTGGAAGCCCGGGTGGAGCTGCTCCGCAGCTTGCTGGACACGGCGATCCAGAACTCTGAGGATCCGAACAAGGCGACGGCCGGGTCTTGGGAGGGTTGGTGGGGGGTCAGTGGGGGGGTTGGTGGGGGGGTTGGTGGCGGGGGGAATCGAATCATTCGTCCTGGGGTTCAGTGACCGCCATTAAAACAAAGGGTCACCACCATGGTTTACCCTTCAGGATTGTCATCCTCCAAATTGGGTCCTTGCCATTCTTTTAGTGGGGGTTGAACCCTAGGGTAGGGTCTCGGGAGCCCGGGGGGGAGGCAAAGGAGGGAAGTCTCGAGACATTTTAAGGTGTCTTCCGGGTTCCAAATTTACCTGTTGTCCATTTCCGTTTTGCTTCTTTTTTGGAAGGAGTCGCCCCTTTTGTCCCATGGCTCATGTTGGCGTTCGGTACCATTTGATATCCGTGCCTTTTGCTAGAACGAGGGTGGAACAATGACATTAGGGGTTGTGTTCCTTTGTTGAGGGAGCCCATTTTGGTGCGGCTTAAAGGGATACCCAAGGAACACCATGTTGTTTTTCTTAGTTGGGGGCGGCCCCAATTTTAATGCGACTTCCTGAGTGGAAGCAACCGACCCTTGGGGATTGCGTGGGCTTGCGACTGCGGCTGAGACAGAAAGAGGAGAAGTCGAGTTGAAGATAGCTGTGCGTAGTACGCAAATGCAAGCGTATTGGCAAGCACACTGCACGCAAGAACCATAGGCTAGCAATAGAAATAGATGGCTAGAAATAGCTGGCAGTGGTTTAGCTAGGTGTCGTTCCATTGAGGCCGTCTAGTTTTCCAAAAGGTCGCCTAAGGCATTCCTTTGGCCTGGCGAGACAAGCGACGTTTGGCACGCGCTTTCTCAGAGTTGAGCTGCACCCTTTTGATCCCGAGCGTTCGTGAGGCTCGGTGCTAAATCCTTGCGTGCCGGCCAACATGGGTGTCTTTTTTGAGGAATCCCACCCAAAAAGATTGGGTTTTCCCGTTGGCTTTTCCTGTAAAGCCACCAAAAATGGATACGCTCAACAACAAAGGCGCACCAGAAGTCCAACGCTCAGATGCGAGAGCCAATCCTTTTGCCATTGAAGCTTTCCGTATTGAAGCAGGAGGCTTGTCAAAACCAGCCTGGCGTTTGCTCAAAAAGGCTATGTGTCAAGATGCCGTGGTCCGAGAAGCGTGGTGTTCGAAGGCAATGAAAGAAGAGGGCATCCTCAAAAGACACACACACAGGCAGCCCCATCGCAAGTGTGTGCGTGCCTTTGTGCCTTTGCGCGAGTCCCAAGAAGGTGCAAGATGCTCCGTTACGCTGATTTGTCCAAAGCCCACACTTGCGGCTAGTCGTTCCAAAGGCTCGAGCGGGCCCACCTGGCGAAACGGGAATACCAGCCCACAGGGGTATTCATGAGACATATCTAAGTTTGTTCCGATTGCAAGCTCGCGTATTTGACCTGCCTTCATTGCGATTCCTTAGTTCACCTGGGTGATTCAGAGTAGTTAGTGCATGTTCTTCCCCCGGAAGACGGCATCTTCCGGGGAATGGGTGGTTTCATGTTCCATCAACGTACCAAGCAAGCCCTGCCTTAGATTTTTAGACTTTAACTTTGTTAGAAATTCAGTTTTTTCCATGAAGCACGCAAACACTTAAACTTTTTGCAGGGGGTCAACAGCAACCAGAATTTGGCTGTTCCCCAGTGACACCAATGAATCCTGAAAGAGCCATGGACATTTGGGTCGGCGTCCCAACATGCTCGAAAGCCGAGACGTTTGAGTCCACCCAGAGGGTCCCAGCCGGTACCCACGACTTTTACGGCTTTGGGTTTGGTTTTTCCGGGTTGCGTTAATGATATATAATATTGAAGTAAGAAAAGTATATGTGATTTTATATTATATAAAATATACATACAATAGATTCCCATCCGCGAAAATATGAGGTACCAAGGCGGACACCTTCAATGCCCAAGACGTGGAAGCGAACATTAGGACCACCTATTTCTCGCTGATGGCACCACATCACAACCTGGGCAGGGCAAATGGCGAACGACGAATTTCAGCCAATCAGAGCAAGACCTTTTTTGTTTCTCCATTTTGCAGGAAGTTGGCTTCCACTACCCCAGCTGCGCCCGGAAAACGCGTTTGACATGTTCGGCGCAGGTGTTGGTAGCGCTGTTCAACGAGGTCATGGAGAGGAGCTTGAAGGGAGAGGGACGAAAGGGTCAGAGTTGGGCAAATGGGAGCCCCAGAATCGCAAACTGATCTTCTCAGTTGTTCAGTGGCACCCTTTTTCCCTTTTTTTGGTGGCTCCACTAAAAATGGTCAAGACCCCAAAAAGGGTTCCCTTTTTTCCCAGGGTCACTGAATAACTGAGTCTTACTAGCAGGGGGCTCGCGCTGAACAGTTAAGTATTTCCACTCAAAGGTGACACCTCCCAGAAATCAACCAGGGGTTCCGGATATGATGACAAGCTCACCCGACTTCAGAGCCTGGCGGGGGTGAATGGTAAAACAAGATTCATGAATGTCAATCAACTGACGTGATATTCGATTTCCCCAAGTGAGTGAATACTTCTTGTGAACCAACTCTGGTAACTTGCCTATGTCAATCAACTGCTCTCGCGTGATTTCCTGCAGAGGAACCTCTGCATGTTGGAGGTTCTTGCCGTTTACTCATTGGTTTCATCGAATGCAAGTACGGCAAGCGCACCAACTCTGATGGTATAGTCCATAGGTGTCCGTTTTGGTCGGTTTGGTGAAACATAAAGGGAGATTCCTGGTTTACCTGGAGGTTCAATTATCTACCAGTCATCGTTTTCCAGGAAGGACACTTATGGTATACAAACAAAAAGCACGCTCGGGACTTGGGTTCTAAAAATGGATCCTTTTGAGTAAAACACAATTCAAGAGAGCCATGGAGACTCCACGTAGTCCAATGTGCGGAAATAGGGAGTACGGGATCAGGTATGCAGCTTGACTACGGCTATTTTTTTGAGGATTTGTAACCCCCCAAAACGGGCTGGTTTTCCTCTTGGTTCCCGTATATGCCACAAAAAGACGGGCTACCAACACAAAGAGAGACAAAGACGAGCCACCCATGCGGATTTTCGGGTTGGCTGTATGCCCTCCATACCTGCAACACGAAAATGCGGATTGACATAGATTTGTTTTTGGCCCCTAGTTGGGACACATCGAAATCTTGGAAGAATCAGCGAATCTGAGCAAACTCAGGGCCTCGAGCCTCCAAGACTAAACACTGGGGTCAGCGTGCCTCAACGGCTGCCTGGAGCCGTATGGTGATTCGGTCTTGACCAAGCCGCTAAGGACCTTTTGGGTTTACAACTTGCGGTATCCTTGCGTTTGGTTAAGAACATTCTTTATGTTTCCCTGTTGGTTTACAGGGAATCGATATCACTATTGGACATGTATGCTTGTATGTTTTTCGCGAAAAAGCAACTGCAGGAATTCACGGTGCTTTGGGTCATTCCACCTTTGTGGGTCTCTTTGTTGGGTCCCGATTCCCGATTTTGTTTGTTCCGCGTTCATCCCCATCAGCTAAAACGTACACACATTTTCCACCCAGAGTCTCCTGGCTTCGGCTTTCAATGGAAGACCCAGACCCTCCAGCAGACAACCCGCCAGTTGACCGGTGTTTGGGGGTCTCAACACCTGGCTGTAGGGCCCTAAATTCGCAGGAGCGTCGCAGTAAAACCTTCCAAACTCAGTTGTTCAGTGGCACCCTTGTTCGTTGTCCCTTTTTTGGTGGCCCCACTCAAAATGGTCAAGACTCTAAAAAGGGGTTCCCTTTTTTTCCCAGGGTCCCTGAGCTGAGCTTAAAAGGTCGAAGAACGCTTCGAGCTGTTGAATCCAGGGGTTCGAGGCTCCAGGTGCCTGTGGTGACTAGCCTCAGCGGATCCAAAGCCCATTGGCCTGTGGTTCTTCCAAGAATACCACAGGGCTCCTTAAAATATACATATTGCAACCATTTGAAACACGGCTTTCTCAACCAAAATAAAGGTAAACCACCATTTACCAGGCAATGTTCAGGTGTATAATGTAAGGATCCCTGATACCATCATCCAAACCAAAACCGGTGGAACCTCCAGCTGAAATTGCTAAAAGGGGGTTTGGTGTGCTGCTCCCTCGAAAAAAGCATTACCAAGGGACCCTTTGGGTAATCAACAAGGGAGTGAGAACGGGCCTCTCTATATTACCCTGTTGCTGGCTTTGAACACGACCTTTCAGACACTGTAGGTTGAGTTGTTTGTGGTACGAGTGATGTTTCAAGGGGATGATCAAGTCCCCATTAAGAACATGAACATGCTCAGGGAGAGGCTGTCCATCGTCAAGGGGTTGACGAGAGAGCTTAAGCTCTTGGAGTTGCAGAAAAGGAATCTTCGCAACTTTGGCAAGTTGCCGACCATACTGAAGTTGTACGAGGTCGATGTGATGAAGTTGTCACCCCAGGTACTCCCAGACTTTGCTCGGGTGAGGGCGTACTGTGATCTTTGGTCAGCCTTCGGACCGTTGACTCTGGGCACAGCTGCCTACACAGCGGAGTTGCGAAGTACAAGGGTCCCCTCCAACTCTTTTTATATGGTGAATTCATATAAATCATAATCTGAACATTGCTTTCTACGCACCCCAGATGCCAAGTTTTTGACAGTTATGAAAGTGGACAGGTTGCCTTTTTGAGATGACGGTAGTCGTCAACACCCTCCCAGGCTCCAAACCATCATTGTTGGAAGGATGGTCTCGTTTTGTCCCTCCTCCAACAATACTTCCTGTTTTGGGCGTTGGCTGAACATGAAAGTCGAAGCGGACATGTACCCCTCTTTTGTGAGCTAAGTCTCATCCAAGTCTCGGGTATGTATCAAAATGGGGGGTCTCGAATCTTTAAACCAAGGTTAACACGGAGGGGGGGGGGGTGTTTCAGACCGTGTCCCTCGGAGGATTTGGGAGTGCAAGGAGAGCGGCACCCTGGATAACGAGGCGAGTTGCACGAGTTTGGGGTCCGATGCCGTGCCCTACACGGGTTTACTGAGTTTACTGGTTGGGTTCCCGTATTTAACCCACAAGTTACTCACTTTTAGCACGGGATCTGAAAACGGACAGCCAAGGTTTGGGATACATTTTTCGCCCCTAGAATGATGAACAAACAGCGCATGGTTTGATACCTCCCCACCCCACCCCACCCCACCCCACCCCACCCCACCCCACCCCACCCCACCCCACCCCACCCCACCCCACCCCACCCCTCTCCTAGGGGGAAACGTGAAAAGATGTGACCAGCAAAAACGCTTTGCTGAATGCCAGCTCCGGTTGGTCCCTTGTGCTCATCTTAAAGGATTTGGACCCAAAGGATTTTCTTTTGGTTTCCCTAAGCCACAGACAGACCGGGCTACAAACCAAACGGACCCCCAGCCGGTGCCTGGGCTGTGCCGCTGTTTCATCCAACTGGACCTGGGGCTTGGGAGAAGTCTGGGCAAAGCAAAAGCTTGGATTCTTCGTTGGCTCATCAAATCTGTGTCAAATGCCCAATGCTGCCTGGGTGAATGCTCCCATCTCTGCAACCAGAGTGACACGTAGAATATGGCCTCATCTGGGCCAAAGGGCCAATCCACGCGGGTGATCACTTTATCTCTGAGTCAAAGCCAGCTAGGTCTTCGGCTCCGAAAAGGCTTCGGCTCCTTTAGGTCTTAACACCGACCCTCGGAAAGAACACCCATGGGTGTGGCTCAAAATTAAGCGATCGGAGGGGCAAACCGGTCCATGTGTCCACTTACCAGGGTTCCGTTTTGGTTCCGGATTTTTGAGCCACGGCCATATATTTAGTATTCTTGGCGGCCAGGTAGAGATAGTGCTGGAGACGGCGCTGGAAAGTCTTGCCCTTGGATGCACGACTCGCAGCGATATGATAAGTTGGTTCCGCACTTTACCGGGGGTTGTTGGTTTTTTCAGGGTACCCTGTTTGGGGTTGGGCTCGAGGGAAACCAAAGGAACAACCAAAGGGAAAAACCACCTTTTGATTGGTCCCATTCCTGTTTTAAGACACCCAGAGAACTCCTGCGCTTTTTTTCTTTCTCTTTTTCTCCAACAGCTGAAAGCTAAGGGGTCTCAGCCCAGATAAGGTTTGGGGGTGGCTTGGGGGAGCTCTGGAGTCAGGTTCGAGCAAGGTTCCGGAGGTTTCGGGGTGGTCTGGTGCAGGCCAGGTCCCCTCAGGTGTAAGGTTCAAGGAAGGTTCCGGCGGTTTCGGTGTGGTCTGACGCAAGGTTCAAGGCAGGTTCCGGAGGTTGCGGGGTGGTATGGTGCAGGCCAGGTGTAAGGTTCAAGGAAGGTTCCGGAGGCTCCGGGGTGGTCTGGTGCAGGCCAAGTGTAAGGTGAAGAACTGAAGTCTGAGACGCAACGAGCAGACAAATCCTAGACCTTCAGCGCCTAGCTGTTGGGGATACCACCTGAGCTCAGTCGGCCGCTCGTAGGTTACCTCTTCATGCTTGCAGTGTTAGTTGGTGTAGGGTCTGCATGAGGTTTGGCCCGCATTGGGGGGGATTAACGGCCAGAGCCCAGGAAGCGACAAGTGTGCGCTGGCGAGAGTTTGTGCGGGCGAGTGGGTGCCTTTGGTGCGCCCGGCCCAGATGAGGAGCAGCGATGCTGTTTGGTTTATGGACAACCAAGCAGTGGCGCCACTCGGCTCAGCCTCAAGCCAAGATGCTGCACCAACGGCTCTCCGTGAGAGCTTAGCTTGAGTGGATTGACTGCGACTTCAAATCCTGCTGATGGCCTGAGCCTGGCTGGTTTAGACCCAACGTTGCGCCACAGCTGGTATCCTTGTGAAGTACTTTCCCTGCAAAAGGCACGCTGCAGGCAGCTGCTGAGCTCCTTTGTGCGCTTGGGTTTCAGCAACAATGGGTGGTGCGAATATAGGGTTTTGTGTCTAAAGGCCAGTTTGTGACTGATTGTGAAATAGGATATGCCAGCAGTTTGTCGCCCATAGCGCTGCTGTCCCTGGAACACTTGTCAGCTTTGAGCTGTGGAAAGAGTGTGTGCTGATGCCTCCATTCGTTTGACCAACCTTAAGGTTACCGGAAATGGTACTTGTATGTTCGTTGCCAAGTTGGTAAATCCCTGGAGTCCAAACCACCATTAACACAATGAGCGGTAAATTTAGCCACGGTGATTTTTCTAAGGATTTGCATCATCCAAGTTGGGTCAACTGTTCTTTTAATGTGGGTCACCGAGCCTAAGAGGACCTACCGTGATTCAATCACGTTCAGAGACCTGATGTCACACTGGGTTAGTGGAAGCACCAAGACGCTTGGGTAAGTTAAGTTCTTGATAACCGCTCGGTTTCCTCAGGTAACGAAGGCCCCCTTGGGGAGTTAACCTTGTTAGTGGGTTAATAGCACAGGCCTGAGGTTCAATGAGCATCAATCTGCATGGGGACTTGCAGCGCGGGAAATAGACATAGATTTGGGTTCCTCTCACCGGGTAACACGCAACATGTTTGTGGTTGTTGCCTCCATTTTTGTGAGTTTGTAGGTAACCAAGGAACGCTTTGAAAAACATCAAAGCAACTGGCTAGTGACCTGCTGTGCTGAAGCCCGCTATGGACACCGCCCCCCACCGCTAGCAGTAGATGATGCCACCAGTTTGCCTGTTTGCTTCTTGCCACTGGTAGCGCCTGCTCTACTTGTTGTACCGCCTACCTGACCTGTGCAACTGTGGACCAAACCCTGCACCTTTTCAAAGCTGCCTGACCACAGGGGTAAGCCAGAGGCAGGATTTGCCCACCCACAAGAATGTTGACCCCTGGCCGACAAACCTGTTTGACGAATAGCGGGGTGTTCCCATTTAAAAAATGAATCCCGGAAAACCCCATATTAATCAACCAAGGATGTATAAATTCAGGGTTCCCATTACCACCTACCCTGGGACGCACTGCAGATCACATCTTCAAACTCCCGAGCTGAGGCAACGAGCAGTGCGCCGGCATCAGCGAGCGAAGACAGCTCTGGCTGGAGCGGGTGCGTGATGGGTGGGTTGCCTAGCAGCACACTTAAAATGCGTGCGGTTGTAATCGAGCGACCCACACCTGGAGGTGCTATCCTGTTTCCTTTTGTCCCTTTTCGTTCAACATCACCCCAAACTCCCGCAATGGTGCCGTTTTGTCCTGCTGTTTCCCCACGGTGTGGTGGGTGTAAAACAGGGGTTGCCCTTTTATCCCGCTGGAACTCTGGAGGTACGGGTTAGTGGAGGAAGCGGTTCGAGAAAGATGTGATAGTACTTCTACAAGGTCCGCGGCGTTCTGAGGTGAATTGGGAATCAAGCAGGAATAAGATCGTTTGTCTAGGTGTGCACAATTGATCGTGGGTGAGACTGCGGGAACGTCCAACAGTTCCGTGTGAAAAGATGGGATGAGATCTGCTTGGGTCTGACCAAACTTGGTGGCTCCCAGCCATCCCCTTAGCTTCTAGCATTTTAGGGCTTAGTGCTTGGGAACCCGTATTTAACCCACGACAAGTTCGTCACTTTTAGCAGGGGATCGAACGAAAACGTACATCCCAGAACTTCATTCTGTCCGAGGCCGATTTTGAGCCCAGCCCAGTTTCTTCAAAAGTTTCAATGGAAGACCCAGCCACCTCCACTAGCCCCCAGAGGTTTTTTTTAATTTTATTTTTTCCGGTGTTTGTCGGGTCTCAAAGTTCTGTTGCCCAGGGGAAGGGCTCCCTTTCAACCTCAACCAATCAAAAAAACCGGGCGCCGGTCCTTTTCTAATGAACAAATCCACGCATCTGAGACAGTCTCAAGACCGGGCCCGCAATTTCATGGAGCAGCTCTAAAAAATAACGTCACATCCCAAGCCCGCGAAAGCAAAACCCTGCACCGGCGTAAGCCAGCGGGATTCATGGGAGGTTTATTTCCCACTTCCTGAGTTCATGAACTTTAAACTTTTTGGGAAGACCATTTTAGTGGTAGATATAAAGTTTGAACTTTTTTGGGCCATCCACTCAGCAAGTGAGTTATAGGGTCGCTCAATCCGAGCGTCCAGGACCTGGTGGCGTCAGTGGTGCAGCACGCAGAGGCGTCCGAGACCAAGGCCACCGCCACTCCGCCTCGACCGCGGCGACCCGCTTCGAGCGACCATCCCGAATCCCCCCAGCGGAACCCAGGAATCCGCCGGGTCAACTTGGGTTTTTGATTGGTTGTGTTTCGTTGGTTTGGTGGTTGGGTTTCCATATTTCACTCACTAGAAGTTAAACTTAAGTTTTTGGCTGAATTGGTGGGTACCTCAGGTTTCTGCTTTGTTCAGTGGTGGGTTTCCGTATTTCACTCACAACAAGTGAAACTTAGGTTTTTGGTTGAATTGGTCCCTATTTCACTCACCCTAGGCCTTTACTTTGTTTGGTGGTTGGGTGCCCATATTTCACCCACTAAAAGTTAAGCTTTGTTTTTTTGTTGAATTGGTGGTTGGGTTTCCCTATTCACCCACCTTAGGCCTTGACTTTGTTTAGTGGTGGGTTTCCGTATTTCTTAGGTTTTTGCTTGATTTGGTGGTTGGGTTTCCCTAAAGCTTGCAGTTGGTTTAGTGGTTGGGTTTCCGTATTTCGCCCACTAAAAGTTAAGCTTAGGTTTTGGTTGATTTGGGGATTGGGTTTTTCCTATTCACTCACCTTAGGCCTTTGCTTTGTTTAGTGGCTGGGTTTCCGTATTTCACCCTCTAGAAGTTAAACTAATGTTTTTGGTTGAATTGGTGGTTGGGCTTTCCTATTCACTCACCTTAGGATTTTACTTTGTTTATTTGTTGGGTTTTCCTATTCACTCACCTCAGGCTTTCACTTTGTTTAGTGGTGGGTTTCCGTATTTCACCCGCTAGTAACTTAGGTTTTTGCTTGAATTGGTGGTTGGGTTTCCCTATTCACTCACGTTAGGCCTTTACTTTGTTTAGTGATTGGGTTTCCGTATTTCACCCACTAAAAGTTAAACTTAGGTTTTGGTTGAATTGGTGGTTGGGTTTCCCTATTCACTCACTCACCCACTAGAAGTTAAACTTAGGTTTTTGGTTGAATTGGTGGTTGGGTTTTCCTATTCACTCACCTTAGGCGTTTACTTTGTTTAGTGGTTGGGTTTCCGTATTTCACCCACTAGAAGTGAAACTTATGTTTTTGGTTGAATTGGTAGTTGGGTTCCCTATTTTAGCCTTCTTAGGCTTGTAGTTGGTTTGGTCGTTAGTTGGTTTGGTGATTAATTAATGTCTGACGTCATGCTGGGATTGACCACGTGCGTGCTGAATATTCTACGGGAAGATTGCCAGCGTTGGGTTTTGTGCGCAGAATTCACATAGAAATTTGCGAAGGAGCGCTGGGGAGTGGCTACTTTTGGCTGGTGTTGCAAACGCGCAGATTCTCAGACAGGCTTGCCAGCATCTGGCTACATTCCATCAGCGCTGTTTTGGGCGCCCAAAGCGTCCGAAGTCTCCTGGGCTGCGGCATTCATGACCTATTTCGGTCACTTGCAAGAGCACCTGAAATTTGACGGCATGGAGAAGCTGTCCGGGGTGCTGCTAGACGGCACAACCCGGGGGTGAGGCACCACTGAAATCCGTGCTACCGGAAGTGCCCGCCTGCGGGACCTGAGGCACGCGCAGACAAACGCTGCCAAGCTACGGTTGGCCAGCGCAAGTATGCGACTTGTTTGGAGGGTGAAATCCAGTGGCAGTTCAGAATTTCGTCAGCATCTTTAAACTAGAGTGGTAAGTGCCAGCCATGTGTTCGCTGCCGTGTGATGTGCGCCTGACAAGCGTGGCCTGCCTAGGTTGTTCACTTTTAGCCGGGGATTGGCGGAAGGGTGTATCGAGACCAGCAATCCGTGGTTTTGCGTTGCCAAGTTAGTGCGAGGGATTGAGTGGCAAAGTTTAATTGGGGGAGGGGGTCCATTGGGTTTGGGTATGTTAGTGTTCGTTTGAGCTGGTACTGGTTCAGTAGTCTTTAGAAGTTGTTGAGTCTTCGTGTAGTACTCCTCAGTAAAAGTTCTGGCCCAGAGTCTCCTTGAGCATTTATTATTCACTTTTTGAGGCTTTCGTTTTGGCGGCTGTTTTAGTAAAGGGTATCATACACAATTTGGCTCTTCAGGGCCTCAGTTGCTTTTGTCGTTGGTTCAGTAGTGTTGGTTCAGTCCTGATTAGTACTAGCTTAGTGTCAGTTTAGAGTTTTTTTGGTACTGGCTCAGTATTCATGTGCAATGGCCCAGCCGATTTTGCTTTCTCTATGTCCTCCTCGAACACATGTTTGGGGTTCTGCTTTAGGTTGACTTCGTAGTGGTTTTTCATTCGTTGGCATTAGTATTAGTAGTAGCTAAAGCACCTTCAGGGTGGGGACAAACAATGCAGATTTGCTTCCCATTTACACATCGAGGTTCAAGCGCTTCCGCGGCTGGCAACCATTTGGCCATTTGGAGGATGACCTGTGGATGGGCATGGGGCCTATACAACAAAAAAGAAGCGCCCTGGCAGTTGCAAGTTATAAGGGTGGGAAGGAGGCTGGGGAAACGCGGTTCCACCTCATTCTATGACGTTTGGAAGCGTAAAAAGGAAGGCTAGTGTTGAGATGGCAAATTTTTGCAATGGCGCCCTTGCAAACAAAATCCCGGACCGTATCAGAAACGAGTTTGGCATCTCCTCCAAACGGCAGAAGGTTGCACCAGAGTCAAAGACGCCATCTTCTACAGTTGTTGTGTGTGTGTGTCGCAAAATAGGTGACCCCCAAAAAATTGTCGTGTTCTCCTTGGCGTTCCCTTTGAACCAACCCCAACAAGGGTAGCACCAACGACACCCATCCTTTTTCGGTCTTGTTTCTCCCATAATGAGTCCAGACCGATTTCGCAGGCCTCGCTGCTCACGGTGCTGGCCAAGAGCATGCAGCAGCAGATCCGACCCTCGGAAGGCATTGGAGCGACACGCTGACCCCAGACACTCCCATTCGATGAGTTTTTCGGGCCCTCAAGCGCAGGGTTTTGCGACCCCGAAAAGTTTACTCAGGCCCTCAAACGCCGCCAGGTTTTGCGACCCGAACAAAACAGCGGGCGGGTATGGATCTTCCATAAGCCCCAGGAGCCTCTGGGTAGCTGTAAGTCGCTAGGTCTGTTTTGTCATCGCTTTTTGCAAACAGACACGCCCTCTACGAAGAGGACGTCCAAGGTACGTGAAAGTAGTTGGCGTGCCTTGTGTTAGGGGAACCCTCCCCCTCTCCCCCAAATGATTGGGATTTTCCTGTTGGTTTCCTCTAAACCCACCCAAGCGAGGGCACCCTCAAAAAACACATTGAGGAATAGGGGGGGTCCCTGGGTTTAGGGGGGAATAATCACTGTTGGAAAACAAGGAGGACGTGTTTATCATTCCGGATCAACACACTTTCAGGTGACAGTAGGTGGCGCAATTTAGCCATTTGGCTTTTTCATACGGCCCGGGGGGGTGGATCATCGCTTAGTTGGAGAACCAGTCAGCTTTCAGCTTGCTTTTGCCGCCTTGTGTAGGATCCAAACCTCCCCCCCAAACAACAACAACAACGCCCCTCCCCTTTGGCTTCCTTTCAACAAAGCCTTAGGCGCCGCGTGCCAAGGAGCCTTGGTCAAGGAGGGCGTGATCGCGCGCAAGGCGGGCGAAAAAAGGTCCGCAGGATTTGGTCGTTCCTTTTGAAAGGACACCCAAAGGAGGTTGTTAGGCACCTCTAGGAGAAGCCAAAGGAGGTTATTTCAGTTGTTTAAAGCAGTGGTTTACACAAGGGCGATTCAAGTTGAACTGCACAAGTCGGGCTTGCAGGCCTTTTGCAGAGGTAAATTTGTTTGTTTAAAATGTGCCATCCCTCTTGCCCATTTCATTTGTAAATCAAAAATTAGTTTCTTGCGGACGCCTTTGTTCCAGTCCCCTTTGTTGTTTCTGTTTTCGCAATTCTGGATTGCTGTGCAACGGTCTGATTTTAATGCGGCAGGGTGGCAGTAGGTCAGGAGTGTTGCAAAGAAGTGTCGACCTCAACTACTAAGTTAGGGTTTGGTTAACAAGATCAATAAGTTACCTAGGATTGGTAATCTACTGAGTTACATTGGACTTGTATTGGGTGGGGGTAGCTGAGCTTTTGATCATCACAACTATGTTGATTCAGGAACAAGCAACCTCACCAAGGGTAAAACCTGACCCATAGTGAGGTGTATGGGAGCGTGCTTTGCATGTTTTTTTCCCGAAAGGAGCACCTCAACGCCCGACCTTGGCTTTCCTCCCCATCCCCTTTGAAGATACACCGATTTGCTGGAATCGTCCCAAAACTAAACCAAAAGATGACCTTGATTGCTATTGGGTTGGATCTTTAGACTTCAACTTTTTTGGAGATCAAGGGTTTCCTATTTAACCCACAACAAGTTGAACACTTTTTGCAGAGGGGCCGTTCAGCCACCAAGTGACGGGCATCTTTTCAATTTTGTCAGACCCTCCATTGATCGCACCCAGACGATCGCCTCTGAAGAAAGTTTGGACCCTTCAACCACCCTTCAAAAACGGCATATGCTCCAAAAAAGATGGACTTCCAAAATATTGGTATTCCTTTTGGTCTCCATTTGAAGCCGTGAAACATAAACCCATGTTTGCGCCAGCAAAAGACACCCATATGGTTGGTTTCCCTTCTCAGGTTTGCCTTGGTTGAAGATCGATGGCTTTGACTGGTTTAGAGGGGTGGGTTTCATAAACCGTCTATCTTACCAAAAGGACACCTAGTGTGAGACTCCACATCGAATCGAGTGCGAGGCGCTCCTGGATTTGGCAGCCTCCAGGGAAACCGACGGCCGGCCCGGAGAGACGCCCAGAGAGAGGTCTTCAAATATATATATATATATATATATGTGTGTTGGTTTCTATCATCTATGACATGTTGTGTGTTTTTGATGATCCCCTTTGTGTGTTGGATTTCCAGGGAAAGCGTTGCCAACCACCAATTGCATTGGAGATCCGATTCCGATTTGCTGTTTAACTGATTTTCTTTGTTTAAAACCAAACAAACAAAGAACACACATGACCCATGCATTGTATTTTGGGTTGACTAAATCTGAAATCGATTCACAACATACTGGTTTTGTGGTACCTCAGAGAGGCTCGGAAGGCGACGAGCTGACGAGCATTTGCTTAAGAGCATGGTTGACTTTTTTCTGGTGGCTCCAAAGATGGTGAAGGTTTATGGCCTCAACCAAAAGCCAACTGGGTCCACACATATATATTTTTGTTTGGGGAGGGAGGGCTGGGGTTCAGCCGCGATCGTTTTCAACATGTGTTGAGGGGCCTTCTTCAAAGGGAATCTATCACTGCGTGTTCTTATTTTTTCCAGGAGGCGTATCTGCAAATCGGGGGAGTCAATATTTGCAGTCATTTGGTGTAGTCAAGGGGGACAACGTTTGGCATGCCTAGCAAAGTGTCTTTCGAAATGCGGCTTACCAAAGCACAGGGCCATCTAGGCTTCACTCCAACCCCCATGTTTTTCATGAAGCCAGGCATTAGAACCACCTAGAATGGCTCCTTTTGGGATTTTGGGCTCTTCATGAATCAGGCTTTTTGGTGTTTCGGAAGCCAAACCTTCCAGCCTTGTCCCTAAAAGTTACCGCCCACATGGCTGGTGGGTCAGAACCCTGTGGTGAACATCAAACATGGAGCCATAGGTTATGACCCATGGCCACATGGAACAAATGACATGCTTATCTCAAAGCAACTGATCCGCTGGGTGTTATTCATTTATATGCTATTTATTCATATGTCTCTGGTATATTTACTCATCCCCAAGGTCAATATTTGCCGTGTCCGTGGCACGGAGCTGGTGTGGAATGCGGAGGACCTCGTGATAGTGAAGGTGATCGTGAGGTACAACATGCGGGTCCAGCAGGGCGAGGCGTGCTCGCGGAATTTCCAGCCGCAATGCCGCCTGCTGCCGAAAGAGTTGCAGGGGGACTACGTGGAGGTGCCCGTATACGAAAAGATTGCAGCAAGCAGGTGGCACGACTGTGCCCACACCCCTCACTGGGAAGAACACTACGTCCCACACAAGGACTGGTTCCTTCACATGGACTATGACAAGGTGAAGAATCTCACACTCTTGAGCTGCTGCTTCCCCTGGGCTCCTCAGCCCACCAACGTGAAGGCAAGAGCTGCTGCGTTCACCGCTTGTCAGTCCTTGTTTCCATGTTGCTAGAACCAAACGTCAATGGGTTTCGGGTGCTCACTTGGTTTTCGCCGGTTTTCAGACAGATGGCTATGAATTTTGATGAGGAACATCAAAAATGATGGGTGGGCATAATCCACACAATGGATGTCCGCAAAGGGCTCCAGTTCGAACATATTTTGGGGTGGTGTCTTGTTGAGGATTCCCTTCTTACGGTTGGTAAAAAAGGGATGCCATGTGACGCCATTTTGGGAGGGTCCCCCCTATTTGACGCTTGCCTATTCCAGTGGAGCCGGCGAAGCCGTTTCTCTTGTCTACCAGAGAGCTACTGTTTGGGGAGGACGGGAAGAAGGGACCGGCCCACCCCATTTCCACCATGTACTTGGTGGAAGCCAGATCTTTTGTCCGCTGCTCAGAACCTGATTCTTTCGGTTTGAAGTGAAGCCAGCAACTATATTGGACATTTTCAGGGGTACCCCTCCTTAGTTCACGGACTTTTGTCGCTGTTTGAGGTTGCACCATTTTAGTGGCATACAAAAACAAAGCGTTTTTGTTTGGGCCATCTCGTTCGGAAGTGAGACTCTAAAGTAGGCCTTCAAGCCACCTCGGCCCAAACTAATGGGTCCAGGTGTCAAAGTCCACTCAGGAAGTGAGGCCAATTTTTTTGAGAAGACTCACCGGCCTCAAGAAAGGGCACTGGGAAACTCAGGAAAAAAGCGAGTGACGTCTCATCTGGCTTAGGGAATCTCGGCATGGGCAAGGGGATTGAACAATTGGTGCCAATACATGGATTGTGGTTTTTTCAGAGTCGGTATTCTTGTTTGGGTTGTTTTAAAGGACACCTAAAGGAAAATAAGGAGCCCTGTTTGGCAAGGTCCTACCCAAACACACACACACACACCATATGTCGGTTTTCTTTGACTTCTGGCTGAGTTCCCTGCTGGCTGAGTTCCCTTTTGTGGGGCAGCTTCTTCAGTTGTGCAACATATATGGCAGGGGTCTCCCGAATCGACGGGTTCAGGGCAGCCCCTGAACCCCAAACCAGCGCGCCAGTTGCTTCCTTTTTTGGGGAAGGGTTCCCCTTTATATAAACTCAACCAACTAAAAGCAAGTGTTTTTCCCATGGAACCCAACAAAAGATGCCCTTTTTTCCCCATGGACATTCACTGGGCATCTGAGCTGCCGTTTTTTGTTTGTTTGTTTTTCCCGCCGCGAGGCATGCTGAATCGACAGCTGCGCTTCCTGCTGAGCGAGGAGGCCGTTTTCAAGCTGTGCCGATCGGCGGGGAGAGAATCGAGAAATCGGCTCCTCCAAGACCTGAATAAGGGTACCCTCAAAACAACACGCCCAAGTGGCCTGGCCCGCCTTGCAGTTGCCTTTGGTCAGGAAACCAAAAGGAAACCACCTTTTTGGAGACAAATCTAACGTCTTTGGGTGAATTATAACGACCTCACACGACAAAGACCCCAAATGGTGGTTTATGTGGGGAATACTGGCGAAATATTATAATTCACCGAGAAGCTTTACTTGGTCGCTCCCGAAGGCCATCCGGTCCCTTAGGTGTTTAGATCTGTTTGGCTGGTTTAGTGGTTGGGTTTCCAATAGAAGTTAAACTTTTAGCAGGGGATCTGAGGACAGCCCAAGACGCCAACATCCTGAGTGGGTGTAAATTTGAACCGGCTTTTTTCAGGATGGCAAACAAGCCAATTTCAGGTCTGGTTGACAAGAATTCCAACACTTTATGATTTGGCTACATCAAGGAGAATCTGAGAAGATGATTTTCTGTGCCCCAGATGTGGCAAGTACCTGCCAAATTGGTGCGCTTTGATTTTGGTCTTCCTTTAAAGCAAGAGAACAAAAACAGACCCAAATGGTTGGCGCGCCAAGGGTTTGGGGTGAGGTTGACTGAGGGTCAACAACTCGGGATTGCCTCTTATCTCACTAAATGTGGACGATAAACTACCCTCACACCAAGTAACAGGGCCTGGTCCCTTTAAAAGGAAAATTATCTTCCGGGACCCCCCCTTCTGATGGAAGGGTAACTGATTTCTGGGAGCAAATGCTGAGCTAGGATAGCTTTCTGAGAGGCTTTGGAGCTTAGCCTAGCTAATTGACGAGTGCTGCATGTGTCAGGGCTTTCCATGACGTAGTGAAACATTATGAGCCGGTCAGTCAAGAGACGGAAACCCAAATCATGTTGCGTTCGCAAGGATGCTCGGCCGGTTTGCTCGTTGGGGCTGGGGTTCGGGGCAGGTAAACTCACCACATCCAACCACCAAGCCCGTAAAAACCACTGCAAATGACCGGGCTCAGAGCTTGTTCTCTACTTATCCCCAACTTCTCGGGTCTTCAAATGTCTGAACATACTGGATCCCAGTTACATTGGAACCTGGTAACCTTTGGGCTTTTAAAGGCTGGCAAGCCCTTGGTTACCTACAAACCCAGGAACATGGAATACAGGGATCACTAGTTTTCTGCCCGCTTCTGGGGTGTCCAAATTAATTGAAGTCAACGCCTTGGTTGCCTGCTAGGAACGTGGAATCACTGATCAATATTCCCTTCGTCCCCACCATGGGTGGAATTTCTCCCATTTCTTGATCTATAGGCGTGTTTTTTTGGGGCTTCCTGATGGTCATCTTATACCTGGAAATATGTTAGACCAGATTCTGGCGGTTTTCGAATATAGCAACCCAACGTGATTGAATTTTGTCGGTTTTCATTTGGGTTGCTTCATTTGGGCCGGTAAATCCTAGAACCTGGGCGGTTTTCCAGCCCAAAGGACGTGGGAATTCGCTGGGTAGATATGCCAAAACCCGACCGGCAGGCGATGGGATGCCAGCCTGGAGGTGCGGCCTTGGGGATTTTTTGGCCCACGTATTTCTTTCTTTCTTTTAGTTTTTCTCTCTGTATTTTGTTTGTTCTTTCGTTCTTTCTTTCTTTCGGTCTTTCTTTCTTTCTTTCTTTCTTTCTTTCTTTCTTTCTTTCTTTCTTTCTTTCTTTCTTTCTTTCTGTCTGTCTGTCTGTCTTTCTGTCTTTATCTTAATCTCTCTTTCTTAATTTTGCCTTCTGGTGTTTTTGTGTGTTTTGTTTTTGTTTGTTTGGCTATTTGTTTGCTTGCTTGCTTGCTTGCGTGCTTGCTTGCTGGGTTGGTTGGCTTATTTTGCTCCGCGATACTATTGCCCGAAGTGCCCAATGGCACCTGAAGTGGTGCATCGTGTCAGGGCCTGTTTTTTTTGCGTGACTGGATCGCCCCTTAGACCTTTTGGTCTTCCCTTAACCTACAACGACTTGAACCTTTTAAAGCAACCCTGCTATATTGTTCAAGCATTGTTTGTTGGACACAGCAACAACTGCGGGATAAACAAAGACCGAAAAACCGGGCGGGTTCCATATTCCTTTCCAGTCGATGTGAAAGGAACTCGTTACTGCATAGTTCATGTGCACCGTTCAGAAACCTAGGAATGCATCCATTCCGCAATTCAATTCGTGGTGCGAACTGGATTTTCAAATCCGTCCATCAGTTTGAGGCGAGAACCGAAATGGATCAGGCATCTGATCCCATGTGGACGGACTGCACATTTTAAGCCCGGGAATGCTTCGATTCCGTGCAGTTTGAGAACCGATCTGATCCCAAGTTGCAGAGCTTGGGCTCGAGTCCCAGGGCCTGAGAAGTGCCGGAAGAACGGTTCCGGTCCGCGATCCTCGATGGTTTGGTGGGGATTCCGTAAAAACGAAAAGGTGATTAGAGCCCTAAAAGGGTGTTTTGTTTAATTAGCGATTTCCGCAAAACCCCACATTCATTGACTAGCGGTTTCGTTGGTTATATCACTCACTACAAGGTTGTCAGTCACCTCTAGCCGGGGATTTCTGAGAGAACCGCCCGAAAGTAGCTCCAAGCCACCGGTTCGGCTCGAAGCACGCGGATCCCAACCCGTGCCAGCTTCGCACAGGCTGCTTTGGGCTGCGCTGAGAGAGGCGCGCCCGTTTCTGCGAGCGCTGCATGGCCTGGACTCGCCTTAAAGGGAAACCGCCAACCACAATGTTGGGGCAAACTACCGTGCAAAATGAGTTGGCCCAAAACGATGGATCGTGGTTTCCCTTTTTGCTTGAAAGTCCATGTTAACAGGAAGCAACTTGTCATCTATCGCTGCTGTTTTCGTGTTTCGTTTTTGGTTTGTGTTGGTCAACTAGTCATCGGTTGTTTATTTTTCAAGCTGGCAGCGTATCTCAGATCTCCCCAAGGGATGCAATTCTTAGAAGCCCCGGGGATTTTGACGTTGGCTCAAGTGTCAAAGCCGCTCAGATTTGTGTCGAGGCCGGAATTCGGACCTCGAACCTAGGGGAACCAGATTTTGTCACTAGAATGCGCGTCTCCCCCGCAAACCAAGGGGTTGCTTGCCGGTGCTCAGGAAATGACCTTCCGGGTGTTGGGAATGAATGAACCCTTGGTGGCTTTTCTTAAAGGACACCATCTCGGAGTCCCGGTTTTGCTCGAACTCCTTCGATTTCTCATTTCCTGCGTCTCTCGCTCCGATTGCAAGGTGAGTAAAGCCATAGCCTCTGGGAACCCGGGAGCCAGATCTGTTCGGTAGAAGACCCCCCGCGCCCGGCCTATGAAGCCAGTGGTGTGATCCCGAAATCCCGCGCCAGGAGCTCGCCAGTGACATTGGCAAGCCTGGGGTTCAGAGACAGGGTGAGGCAAGCTTGGCTTTGCGCCCAGGGAGGCTCAAAGAGCAGAGGTTTAATCCTTACGGCTATTTGGTTGGATCTGTGTACTTCAACTTTTGGGAGCAGGTGATTTTGCGACCAAACGTGGCACACTTTTTGCAGAGGGGTCAACAGCAACCAAGCAATGAACACCCAAGACTAATCCCCCAGTTTTAACCTAACTCTTGTCCCATTCTGTCGGGAATCAGATCACCTTTGGCAGCTCATCCCCGGCGGAATCGGGCTTGCTTCCGAAGACTTGTCTTGGTGGCTCCCAGCCATGCCCTCAGCTTTTTTAGCTTTTTGGCTGGTTTAGTGGGGGGTTCCACGAAACCCACTAAACGTCAAACTTTTAGCTGGGGATCTGAGGGCAGCCCAGTCACAAGTCATGAAAGGGCCCATGTCCTTTTCATGCATCTGGCTTCATGACCCATGGGATCCTGACATATTTTGCGCATGCCCCTTTTTTGAGGGGGCAGTCTCCTTGGATTCTTGGGGGCTGAAACTCCTTTGACAGCTTGCCCCTCCACTCGAACCCCTCGCGACTTGCTCGCTCCAACCCGTAAGCCCGCAGCAAAAAAATGCATGCGCAGGGTTCAGAGTCTATCTGATAGAAAGGGCATACAAGTCACATGGCCATGGGTCAAAACCCACATCGTACCCCCAGTGAACATCCCAATCCCGACTAACATAGGCAAAAATGGGTGGTACACCTATCTCAAAATGGTAGCGTTGGTTTTGAACCATGGCAATATGGGAGTGTGTTTTGTTTAGGGGACCCCTCAACATGGTCGTGTTCCTCTTGGTTTCCCTTTGAAATCACAGAAAAGGTACCCTCAGAAAAAGACAGACGCATACACTTATTCCTTGTGATTTCCACCAAGGCTTCCCAAGTTATCTAATTCCCCCTTTCTTTTGATTTCCATCAAAGCTTCTACAGTTTCCCTGGGTGGTTGAACAATTTGGGTAGAACACGATGGTTCAAGAAAACATGATGGGTCAAGAAAGCATGATCGGTCAAAACAACTTTGCTTTTTGAGAAGCCACCACCCTGGCCCTTGGGATAATTTCGAGACGGCATCAAGCACCTTTTTCAAGAGACACCATTGCCAAAGCAAGGAATAGTTGTGGCTGACGGGTGTTTTTTTTTCTCACGCCGTGTGGTTTCCCTTGTCTGGTCATTGTTTTGAGTGGCCCCAAAAGGGTAACCTTGTATTTCTGGGTTTTTTGGGCAACTGAGTTGTTTTGCCTTGAACTCTAAGAAGCCATTTGCCTGGACATGTTCTAGCAAATTAGCCAAATACTAACCCAAAGATCAGGGTTTTGTCGAAATTCCTCGGAAGGTTTCCAGGCGAAGTTTTTGTTTTAGTGCACTCCCTCAGTTTGATCGGGCCTTGTTACTTGGTGGGTTTGGACCATTTGAGCCACATGGGTGCAGACACCGCTTCAAATTCCTTACATGGCCCTGGGTAGACCATTTTAATACCAGGTTTTGATTATGACTCATGCTTGTCCACCCCTGAATTTTACGGAAATAACCCATTTGTAAGGTTAGTTTGAGGGTCCGAGTTGTATTTTTACCCTTAAATTCCGGGCCCGCTATGGAGCTCATCACCAGATGCACTGCAAGGGGCGTCGCCGCGGGTGCTCTCACTTCCTTTGCGGATGTGGGGATTGCTAAAAACAGAAATCCATTTCCCTGTGTAGCAGGTAAACAAGGGAACCATCCTTTGAACACCAAGAGGAAAGTTGCTGGTTGCTAGTTCCCCCCTGGTGACAGCCGGGATGCGCTGGGAAAAGCGGGGAGTCTCCCTTTTATAGACGATTGGCGGGTTGTCCTCTTCCCGCTTTAGACATAATTGGGTGATGTGGGTGGATGTGCCTGTGCAACCAGTGGGTGGTTCTTAGTGTTAGGCAACACCCATATGGCGGTCCCAAGCGCGCTTCGGGCGATCTGGCGTGCGAGGGCAGTGCCAGCAAAACTGCCAGTGCGCAGTGCAGGAGTCTCTTCCATCTGAGCAACGGCCGAAGTGTGCTGTTGACGTCATTTGCCATTTTTTTACGGCGAACTCTAGGGGAAAACGAGCTCACTTGACAACGGGGCCTTTTCTTGCGGATGCTTTTTTTTGTGTTGGAAATGCTGTGCTGTCTAGACCACTAGGGCCATGACAAACAATACGAGTCTTGGAGAAAGAAGAACCCATCCGGAGGTCCCTTGAAAAGGATAATTGCCTTGCATAGATAACCAGTCAGGTTCCATGTTGGTTAATGGGAGATTGCCATACATGGGGAGTCCGCCTGGTGTTTGCGGAAAGAATAGTGAGTCCCACATGTCCCTCTCAAAGTGACTGAATGTCCTCATTTGGACATTTGGTAGGTCAAGAGAACAGGCTTCTGGCTCGCACAACACGGACCTTCAAGAAGGAACGGTTCGTGGTATCCGACTCTTCGCAGTGCTTAGAAGGGTCCGTGAGTGTTTGGTTGCCAGGTTGCCAGCTGCAACACCAAGGAACCCCGTTCAACGTGATAAAGAATTCCTTGGCATCCCAAAGTATTCATGGCATTTCTGAGATGGCATGGGGTCATGGGACTTCCAATTCTCAGAACAGGGTTGCACATCCCCTGTCCTAGTCCCAGCTGTCGCTTTCTTTAGTGGCCTTGGGTTGGGCTGCGTATCCCCTGTATCAGCTTCCGTGCTTTTGTGGTTGGAGCCTGGTGGGATGGTGGAGGAAGGGAATCCCCTTTTTTTCGCCACAAAAGCCAAGGGTTCAAGTCCAAATCGAAACCAACTAAGCACTTGACATTTGCCGCCGGGTCCCTGTCTTGCCTTTTGGAATTGTTTGTTTTGTTTTATAGCAGTTGCAAGTGACCCGGCTCGTTCCTCTCGGAGTGATGTTCACAGGGGATGTGGAGCCGTGAAGTGTGGGGAACAAGATGTCAGGTGGGTGTGTCTTTGTTTTAGGTGACCTCCCAAATGTTGGTTTTTCTGTTGGTTTCCCTGTAAAAACCAACCAAAAGGGGGGTCCTTAAAAAACTAGACCACGGTTGGCCCGAAAGCATAACATCGCAAGCGAGGGCGGCCATCCACGAAGCATTTGTGAAGCAAGCGCGAGACAGCACCAGGCAAGGTGCTCTGCGCAAACTGGTCGGTGCAAGTTGGTCTGCGCAAGTTGCTCTACGCAAGTTGCACTGTGCAAGTTGGTCTGCGCAAGTTGCTCCGCGCAAGTTGCTCCGGCAAGTTGGTCCCTGCAAGTGGCTCCCTGCAAGTTGCTCTGTGCAAATTGCGCTCCCTGCAAGTTGCTCTGTGCAAGCTGCTCTGTGCAAGTTGCTCTGTGCAAGTTGCTCTGCGTAAGTTGCTCTGCGCAAGTTGCTCTAGGCAAGGCGCTCTGCGCAAACTGGTCGGTGCAAGTTGGTCTGCGCAAGTTGCTCTGTGCAACTTGCTCTGCGCAAGTTGCTCTGCGCAAGTTGCTTTAAAATGCAAGTTGCATCTTGCGACGCCCGCCCGCGGACCAGGGAGGAATCGAACCCGCGACCCGCCGGTTCCGGGAGCACGAGACCAGTTCGAACAACAAAAGTCGCAAAAAACCATGGGTTTTTGCACCTCGACCCGCCGATCCCCCTCGACCACGCCGAGCAGGGTTGCGCGGGCCCGCAGAAATCGCAAAAAACCATGGGTTTTTGCACCTCGACCACGCCGATCCCCGCAGAGGGTCGCGCGAGCACCGCAGAAATCGCAAAAAACCATGGGTTTTTGCACCTCGACCACGCCGATCCCCGCAGAGGGTCGATTTTCGTGTAGTGTCGTCGGCACTACCCCGCCGCCTAAGAAGAGATTTTTTAACTCCTCGCAAGTCAATTGCACTTGACTCCTTGCACTTGCAACTTGCACTTGACTCCTTGCACTTGCAACTTGCACTTGACTCCATGCGCAGCTCGCAATGATGACTCCTTGCAATGACTCCTTGCAATGACTCCTTGCAATGACTCCTTGCAATGACTCCTTGCAATGACTCCTTGCAATGACTCCTTGCAATGACTCCTTGCAATGACTCCTTGCAATGACTCCTTGCAATGACTCCTTGCAATGACTCCTTGCAATGACTCCTTGCAATGACTCCTTGCAATGACTCCTTGCAATGACTCCTTGCAATGACTCCTTGCAATGACTCCTTGCAATGACTCCTTGCAATGACTCCTTGCAATGACTCCTTGCAATGACTCCTTGCAATGACTCCTTGCAATGACTCCTTGCACTCCAATGACTCCTTGCAATGACTCCTTGCAATGACTCCTTGCAATGACTCCTTGCAATGACTCCTTGCAATGACTCCTTGCAATGACTCCTTGCAATGACTCCTTGCAATGACTCCTTGCAATGACTCCTTGCATTGACTTTCATGATGATGATTCCTTGCAATGACACCTTGTAATGACTCTCATGAGAACAACTCAAGTGAACCCAGCGGAAGAACCCTTCGCCATGCTTTCGGGAATAAATGGCAGACTCAAGTCTGCAGCACGTCAGAACACGTGAGCAATTCGTGCGGGTTTGGGGAGGACATGGGCTGCCCCAGCACGGCCCCCAACTTTTCGCATGGGCTAGTTGGGAAGCAAGTCACTTTGATAGGTGCCTTCCTTGGTCGGTTTGGCTGGACCGGGTGGTTCAATCACCCATCTACTTTAGCGTGGGGCGTTTAGCGTGCGAAAGCGACACCGGACCTGCGCTTCTTGGAGGTCGGAGATTTCTAAGCGGCCCGAGCCATCTTGGGTATCTGAACAATGGAGCTTCCGGGAGGGGGGGTCTTCATCAAGGCGACAAGGAAAAAGCCAAGTGCCAAGTCTTTTTTCCCCATGACCGGGGGAGTTTTGGACAGAGATGGGTTCTGGTTTCAGTCTGGTTGCAAGCATTGACCAGTGAAGTCCGTTTTTCCAGGGACGCCGAAGTTCAGTGGGAAGCAGCCCCATGCTCCAGCAATCCTGCTACGTTGGTGCCGTTTTGGCTTTCAGCTCGGCTGCTTTACACGAGCTTGCCAGAGGTGGGGTGCTGATCCCGATTCAGTTGGCTCAACCCCTAGCAAATCCCAAGTTTTTTGTTAGGATTGGAAGCAGCCCCATAAAAGGTTCCAGTTTTTGCCAGTGGCCTAAAAGGTTCCCATTAAGCCGTGCAATGCTTGGATGGCAGTGTCCGGACTGCGATAGGCCAAGCAACCCACAGCCGCAGACATGCTGGCCAGACACAGCCCTGTGCAAGCTGCACGGCTCATTACTTTTTGGAGCCGTCACCGTCTGCGAGTCGCCGCCATTTGCCTGGCGCGATGCCTCCACGCAAGGCGGGTCTGGGGATGTATCGACTAGGTCCCCCAGTGGTGCCCTTTTGCCAACTTTTTTAGGGGAGGGTTCCCCTACTAAAATAGGCAAAACAGAGAAAAATCGGGTACACTTTTCCAACCTCTCTACTGGTGGACCTAGTTGAGGTTAGCCGCCCTGTCACACCCCCCCCCAGCGCCATAGTGGCGCAGACGAGAAGCTGCAGTCTCCCGGCTGCCCCTTTCTTGCCAGAAAGAGGCCTGCTAGGGCATGTGCGAAAATAGGGGGAGGCCAGATATGGCGTTTCTTCTTTTGGCTTTCCTTTAAACCCACCCCAAAGGGTACAATGCCTCAACAAAAACACACCTTGAGGGCATTTTCTGGAGTCGTTCGCCGGCATCGCTGTTGAGAGGATGCTACACATCAAGGCGCTTTCTATGAACCTGAATCAGCATACGAGTTGGCTTGTTGTTAAGATTGGGCATCAGCCTAGGGCCCGGGTTCAATGTTCAGGAGAAACAAGTGAATCAGCTGATGAATGTTACTTGCAGTGAACACATAACCTGCAGGAGTGTAAAGCTGGTGTGGGCGCTCATGCGCAGGCCCTTCTGCAATTGGCGCGCGGGGGTCTCAGAGTTCGGGTGTTGGGCGCATTATTGTGTTTAGTTGTTTGTTTGTCAATGTATATGTGTGTCCTTTAGGGGATCCCCTTTTGGTTTCAAAGCAACACCAAAGGCAAACAAACCATTTTTGCGGGTTTGCTGAATTTTGAGACAATCCCATATGTTCCTTGTACGAGATTTGAACATTCACCTGTTTGGCCATTTGGGCATAGTTGTTGATGTGGGACCTTTCGTGGACATCACTTGGGTGGAGACTTGCGTCCACCAACCACTTTTCAGGGGGCTCCCTACAACAATTCGCATCCGAGTCTTCCTTGACAGGATCTGGCCATATTCCAAGATCCGACTTTTCGTGGGTCGATGTTGCAAGATGGATTTGCGCAAGATAGCTCACGGGGGGGCGGGTGAAATGGGGAAGTTGGTTTGTGGGGGTCCTTCCTAGTTTTGGTTTGGGAATCGCAGTTTGCCCGGATGTAATGCTGCCCCCATATTCATCAACCCCAGTTTGTTAATACGGGCGGGGTTTCCCTCCAAAAGTGGTCTGATTCCCCACTAGGACACCCATATTAGCATCCAGGGGTTGATAAATCTGGGGTCAACAAAGATACACAACAGGGTGTCTGGCGAGCTTCCTCGAGATATTCCTGGACTTTGTTCCTTCAAATGTATGATTCTTCGTTGCTATTGGGCAACGGATCTTTAGACTTTTTAAAGGTTTGGTTGAGAATGTTAAGGGGGTTGCCATTAAAGCCACGACAAGTGGAAAGCTTTTTGCAGGGGTGTCAGCAGCAACCAAGCTGGCCTAAGCCAGCCATAAATTCATGCGCCAAGCTGAGCTTATGGCAGATGATCATCAAGGGTGTTGGGGAAGGTGATGCTCTTTCGGGATCAAACATGTGCTTCACGGGTGCAAGCCCCGTAACTTCAAAAGAGCCACTTGCTCAAAACCTGGGGATTGATGAAGATTAGTAAGGGGCAGTCCCAGTCTCAAATAGTTGCGGATATCCGCCTTCGTAATTCTTTACATGGTCCTGGGAAGACCATTTTAATACCGGGTTTTGATTGTGACTCAAATGCCGGTTCACCCTGGCACGAGGCAAAACGTGCCGAGCCTTTTGCCTCAGCTACATGATATCTCTTTACCCATCCCTCCCTGGCCGAGGTGTTCTCAGAACATGTGAGCTAAGCAATCTGTAGACCATAATAGAACTCCGATTGGGTTCCATGAAATCGAGTGAATTGTTGCCTAGCCGAGGTGTTCTTTGAACGCCTTGGAGTACAAGGAAACTGCACACATTTGCAACACTTCCAGAATGCTCCCAAAGGTTGAAGATGCCTGGTTCTGATCCTTGAACGTCCAGCTGGCTTTGGTTTTGTATTTCGACGTTCAATTTAGGAACAGTTCTCAGCACTGCTGCGAATCATTTCATGCGTTCTTTTTTGCTTCTTGCTTAGAGCCCCGACCAAGTCCCATCAACAGTTGACCCCAGGTCAGGAGCGTGAGCGACTAGCCTTCGAGAAACAACTCACTTGCTACGTCCCTGCTATTCAAAGTCATTCCCAAAGCCATCCTAACTCCAGCTGAATGTGTGGTTATCCTAACGTCCCATGGATTCCAGGAGATGGCTCGAACACCGCCCGTGAGCGCCGATTTGCGAAAGGCGACCGCCTGGAGAATTTCTATGCCCGCAAGGATCAGCTCGAGGATCCCAAGGCTCACGAGCGCGCGAAAACGCGGTTCCGTTTCAGGGTCCCTGAAGCTGTTCATGGGTAATGTTGAGCCCCGACCAACAACCCCGGTTTACTAAATATGTTTTGTTTTGGGCCCCGATCAAGAACCCCGGTTTATGCATATTGGGGGTGTTTTTTGGGCGTTCAGTGGGGTTCATGAATCTGGGTCAACATTAGATATCTCCTTCTTTAGGCAGGGGTTCACAATATACCTTTTTAACATGTTGATTCTTTTGAGGGTACTGAGACATGTTCACCGGGTTCTTGACCGAAGACCAACTGCGTTCCAGTTGACCCGCCTAGACCGTCGGATTGAGCCATGGTCGTCGTTGGGAAACATGTTATATTTTTGCTTATTGTGGTTTAGTGGGAAATCCAACCACTTAACTGCTACCAGCATTTTGTGCTCCCCTTTTAACGTCAACCAAGGAGTGCAGCATGTGAATCAACCTGTGCATCTTTCTACTCAATCGTCAAGCAGTCCAGCAAACCGGCCTGCGAAGCGCCTTTGGTTTAATACCTCGGTGCAACCTGGCTAAGACCGTTTCACCGCTGGTTCACTGAGTTCACCCTCCACAACTTTTCTTTTGCATTACCCTGAGAACAAGGACCTGCCGTCCTGAATGAGCAGCCAATCTGTTGGATGTGAGCGGCTATACAGCAGTTGTTCCGTTCAGATATGACCTGGGGCTGTTCAGTGGCACACGTGTTTCTCTGTTTGTATGATGGGTTCACTAAACAAGCGACCCAAAGATCAGGGGTTCCTTGTTCAACCGTTTCGGGTCACTGAGACACTGGCTTGCTCTTCTGCTTGACTTTCTACTAGATGAATTGTCCCATCATTGATGATGACAAGCTAACCCATAAACTGGACCCTGATTTTGGGAAGTGACCTGCAACTCGTACATATGGCTATCAATTTCAAGGGGGAACCCCCTGAAAAGTGGTTGGTGGACATAAATCCCCACCGAGTTCTGATGTCCACCAAAGGGTCCCGGAGTAAAACTAATTCTCATACTGCAGTTGGACGAAATCCTGCACCACGTTGAACCCATAGCAAACCATTGTTTGTTGGTATTTAGAGGGGAAGCATCACCCCAAAGTGTTTTTGGTGCAGGATTTCGTCCTTCCACAGTATTGCCCCTGATCGGATCCGATCGCATCCGGTGCCCAGAAAGGCCGAAGCCGTCTAAAGGGCATGAGCTGACCGGATTCCATAGATCAAAGCTTGACGCATGCATAAACGGTGGTGTATACCAGGGTTTATGTATCAAAAGACAGAAGTAAAGCTTGAACGGAGACGCGGATTTTGTGGTCACCAATCAACAACCAGGTTTTGACTTGGATTTAGGCTCCTTGATGCCCATCGACTCGGGCTTTGGGTCCAGGGTATGGCACAGGTTTACAAAGATACAAATTCTGGCCCCTCGCAGAGGCAAAAAGAGGTCGTTTGAAAAGGGTGTGGGTCAAAATGAAATCACTAGTGGACCTTTGATTTTTGTGATGGTGTCCATTTATTACATTTTGGGTACTTTTTTTGACCCACACCCAAACATGGCTGTTCTGTTTGCTGACCAGCCCATGTGCTTTCCTTGCTGGTACTCAGAAGGGAATGACCTTTCGGGTGTTGGGAATGAACCGGAAGGGGATTCCCTGAAAGGAAACCATAATTCCCTCATTCCCTGCCCAGAACCATCCCAACAGGATACCAACAAGGCATTGGAGTTCACCAAAGAAACTTGCTCACTCTTCGGCACTCTGTGTTTAGGTGACTCTACTGCTATGGGGTTGGATTTTTAGACTTTAACTTTTTGGATTGCCCTCAGATTTCCTTTCAACTAGCAAAAAGTTCAACTTTTTGCTGGGGGATCTACAGCACCCAAGAGTATGGGTGCGCCTCAAAACGAAATGGCTGGTCTGTTTGCAGGTTCCAGTTTTTTCCATATACCAAGGTGCCGTTTTGGGTACCATTTTTTGAGCCAGCGCCCCATGCTCAAAGGACTTGAATCGCCAACCTCGATTTATCCACGCCTTGCGTGGACAGGTGACCGATGGGGTTACCTTCCGCTTGTCCAAGGACTGGATGCATCGAACTGGTTTCAGGGGTCCCGTACGAGTTATTTCATCGGGTTCCGATCGATCTTGCGCCGAAGCCTCATGTCGCATCCGAAAAGAACCCAGCAACAGCAAGCTTCTGGCCCTAACCGGGGTCAAATGAGCCACCGCGGAGCCCAGTGACCATAGTGGGAAACAAGGCAATTTTTGCCTTTTGGGGTTCTGGTTGCCTTGGTCACCTAGAGAGGCAAATGGCACTGGCAGCAACTGACAAACCATGTTTGGGTGTCTTTCTATATTTGGGTGTTCCATCGTTGTTCCCCCGCTGTTGCACGCTTCGAGCCAAAAAAGTGAAGCGAATCGAGCGGATCCATCCCTTTGGTTTTTTTGGGTTCCTGTTTCTAGTCATGGCGCCAAAAGGCGGGCAATCGAGTTATTATATGGATCGTGATCTACATTCCCAATGGAATTCTCCAAGTATCTTTGAATCACCCGGATCAAGGGCCTGTGCACCTCCATGTGGCAGGGTAGAGACCTGTGTATCAAACGGGATGATGTACATCAATGTTGGGGGTCAACCTTCTCAAATGTGTGATTGGTTTCTGCAGGAGATATCAAAGTCTGATTGTTGGAGCTTTCCTTGCCCCTAACCCCGGCAAAATTGGTGTTTTCGAGATTTGAATGGCCGCTTTGATGAAGGCCAAAGCGGGCTTTGAACGGGGTCTGCTTTTTAAAGGAACCTGACTCGGGTGTTTTGGAAAGCCACTTTGTTCTAGAACGGACTCTGATGTGTTTAGGGAAACCAGAGCAACGGTCGCCCCACTTCCAAGCCATTCACGCGAAGAAGCTCCCAAAAGGAAGCTCACTTGCGCCGCAATCAGAACCAGTGTAGATGAAGGGGGAGTCCATGCATAGCGGATATCCTCCATGTTGATTCTCTTTGGTGCATTGTGCTTGGATGTTAGGACTTTAACTTTTTGCCAACTAATGGGTTTTCCGCTAAGCCACTAAAAGTCAAACTTTTAGCAGGGGAGCAGAAAGCAACCGAGTTCCTATTTTTGACCCACTGCCCTATCTTACTTGAAACTGAGCCAGGCCGGGGATGTTTCAAGGGCCCGACTTTCCAGCCAACGGGCGAACAGTAAGCTGATGCACGGGCGCAGGACGCCCGCACAGGACGCTGAACATCCCAAAGTACTACATATACGAATGTCTGCATGTTGGCTTCAAGCAAAACAAACAAAGCGCTTAGTTACATATATGTTCCCGTCGCCCGTCGTCCCCAGCCCCCCCCCCCCCCCCCCAATGGTATGGGTCCATCCAGGGGGGGGAACCCTGGCCCCCCCCGCCCCCCACAGGGGGGGGGGGGGGCTTGTGGGGCGGCTTGCTCCAGTGTGCGCGCGACGTTGTGGGCGCGTTTGCGGCGCTGTTCGTGTGATGCGCTGCAATGCGATTTGCTCATTTTGCAGCACGCGACAAGTTGCAGCGCTGTCGCAATTGACATTGCGCGATGCCACGACGCAGTTTGTGGTTTGCAGCGCCACAACCAAGTGCCAACCAAGTGCGCTGCAACGCGCCAGTGGCAAACGCACTTTACTTGCTACCCCAGCGGGCGGTGTGGGAACCATGGTCGCGGGGGGCTTTGCGGTCACACTGTGCCACCATTCTCCCCACCCCCCATTCCCACAGGGGGGCGGGGGGGGGTGGGAACCATGGACCCCCCCACCGGCGGGGGGCTTGTAGGGTCACACTGCGCTACCTTCCCGACTGAGCATGACCATTGGGGGGGGGTGGGGGGGGGGCCAAGGAAGCCTGGAACATATATATATATATAGATACACATGTGTATGTATACACAATGTATGTTGATATATGCTCAAAGACCAACAACGAAACACAACCTCCTCACCATTGACTTTTAACTGGCGACCCTCGGATGGACATCATAATTGGGTGGGGACTAATGTCCACCAACCACTTGGAAGGGTATTCCTCCTTAAGATTCACACGCGGACCCTTAAGCTACTCTTAGAAATGGGTTGTGCCCCAACATTTGAGGTTGGTTTGTTTCGTTGAAGGGAGATTTGAGGGCCCAGGTACATGGTTTTCTATTTCCCACAAGGGGAAATCGCGGGAATCAAACAGCAAAACTCCTCATGTCATGTTCATTTGGGTTGCCTGCTCACATCAACATGTCAACATGTCAACCCAGACAGATTTCTTTCGAGACGCGCCCTGTTGTGGTTTTAAAGGGCGACCAAGAGAAGCCACTCATTGTGTTGGGGCCCTAGGCACAGACACACCTTTGTGGGTGTGTCTTTTTGTTTCCCTTTAAACCCACAATCAAACGGGCACCCTATCCCCTCCCCGTTTCAAAAAAAATGGAATTTGGGAGGGGGGGTGAGCCTGGAATTCCATTTCCATTTTCCCTTGTGTTAGGAAGCCTCGACAAATGGCATTGGGGGACCAGGTCCCCACCTCCCCATTGAGGTAGGGTATGGTGCCCAGTCTTAAAAAGAGGGACGAGCCACCCATCAACCCAACGGTTTCAGATTCGTTCACCGCACATACCAACAAAATATGGCTCCATTCCCATGGTGACTCATGTCGTGGCTCAGAAACCCCTGGTTTCTGATGTTTCCCCCAACGTTAAAAAAAACAAAAAAAAAAACCTGAACAAACGCCCATGGGTTCCGTTCCCATGGTGTGAAAGTTTTTGTAGTTCGCGAAGGGCGCGAACGCCACCGTCCACCGTCCAAACGGGTCAGACGGATCCAATCGACCCAATCGACTCTAGGAGGACAAGAGCTGCGGCGGGGATCTGGTGCCCCTCACTTTCATGGAGCCTGGGAGCCTGGCACCGGTCCGGAGCCCTTCAGGAAATCCATTGGATGAGCACCCTCCAATCGAAACCCGGACCGGGGTAAAAAATGTTGCTCCAGTTTGGGGGGATTCAGTTGGAAGGCCCTTCTTGCCCCAAGGGGCCAAGCCTTGAGCCACAATCAATTTCTGTGTAACGGTAAGCGAAGGTTGGTAAGGGATACTCTCAAGGATGCCTTCGTCGCCTCATCTCATGGCGTTTTGGATTCACCATTTCTGTACCACGTTTTGAGTATGACTCAGATGGGTAGGGTCCCTTTGGTAGCGGTTTAAAATGAAGCCAAATGGCTTTGTTGGCCTTCAATCTAGCCCAAAAAAGGGGATTCAGCCCACCATTGTGGAGCAATAACCTATTCAGAAGGTAGGTGATTCCACTACCATCGTGTTTTCAGCAGACGCACTAGCAATGTGCTTCTTCCTGAAAATACATCAACACTCAACAGTTTTCATGCCCCCCCCCCCCCCCAAAAAAAAAGGAAAGAAGTAACACAAAGCATGGAAGGTGGTTCGACTACCTTGTTTCATGCGGGTTAAAGGACACGGTTGCCGCGCAGATTCGCAACCGCTTGTATTTTTTGTGTGTTTTTTAGAGTGGGTACCCTGCAGTTTCCAAGATTTTTTGGCAAAAGGAAGCGGGAAATCCATTTGGGGTACCAACAAAGATGCCCATTTGAAGGGGAGCTGTGCGCGGGCTCGGCGGTTTCTTTGCTTGAAGGCTTTGATTGGGATGCCGAGAGTTGAAGGTGATCAATCCCCCTGTTGGAGTGAAGGCTTCTCCTTGACATCCTGGGCACGTGGGTGTCTGTTGAGGGTACCCTTTTGGGGTTGATTTTCAAGGGAAACCAAAGGGAAATCACATCTTTTTGGGGAGTTCTCCATTTCAAGACACCCCCCCAATGTACTTTTTGGTTGGGACTATCCCTCCTCTTCATCTACCCGAGAGGGAGGGGGACTTCGACAGGTGAAGCAAAATCCCCCACGGTTGCTGAGTAAATAATAGGGTCTAAGGGCAATGCTGACCTCCCTTTTGACCCATCTCAAAAAGGAGGTCACAGTTGGTTGGCAAAAATAGACAATCGGGTGTGTTGTGTTGTTTTGTTCTGTTTTGTTTTGTTTTGTTTTGTGGGTTCGTTGGATGGGTGGGAGGGTGGGTGGGTGGTTGGTTGGTTGGTTGGTTGGTTGGTTGGTTGGTTGGTTTGTTTGACTGTGGCTACCACTACTTGCGATTCATGGCCTGCCCAAGCATAGACACGTGGGGATGTTTTGCAGTGAACAGTTGCATCTTTAACTATGGCTCCCACCATTGGTGTCATATAAACTCTTACAGCTTTTCTCCAACCCGGGTGGAGAACAGGGGGAAAAGGGGAAACAATGAAAACAGACTGGCGACTACCCAAACCTTATCCGGGTGCATAACAGTGGGAAAGGGGGGGGGCCATACGACAAAAGCACTGGCGACTTGGGCGCGAACAAGGCGCCCAAAGCCTCCCTTTGTATGAAATGTGGGTACATGTCTTGTCTTTTTCCTCAGGGGATCGGGCACGGCAGAGGCTCATACATGTTTCTCGGACGCGACCTGATGTTCTTTTCGCCGAGCCTGCAAGACTGAAATTTGACCACACCACAAGGGCAGAAACAGGACATGGATGGCTCGTCTTTTTTTGGAGTTGGGTTTTTTGGGAGCCACTGAGCAGTCGCCACGTTCATTGTTTAAGTAACCCTCAGTTGGCGGTTTGGATTGGTTTGGATTTGGGCTTGAACCCCTGGTTCTTGTGGAGGATAAATTTCCCCACGGACCACCAAACCACCAGGCTTCAAACCACCCAGTAGAGGGAAGCTGATTTTTGCGAGTTTCCCAGGCAGCTCGTTGATGGCGTGGAGCTGGCGTGGGTTTGCGGTGATGTCACACAGGAATGGAATTCAATGGTTAGCAACACCCTCCAAAATGCTTGGTAGACGTGCATCCCAATACAAAGGATGTCCAGAGGTTCCCAATTGAAGATTCCTGCTCACATCTTGCATCATGAATGCAGTATCCGGTGCGACCCAAGGTCAGTCTGAATTGGACAGTGACACAGTGCCCCTCGGAACTGCATTTTTCATTTGCCCCCAAGTAGGGACCTCCAAAACGGATGGTTTCACTTGGCCTTCCCTCTAAAACAGCCCCGAAAGTGGGTTTCCTAGAAAGACACACGCATGTGTCCTCCTCCTTGCATCCCAAAAGCAGGTTGGGGGAGGGGAGGGGTGGTCCAGGAGCGCGCCCGTTTGAGGTTCGAGGTGGAAAACGCCCGGCCCGTGGACGTGTTCAACGTCCTGATGGCAGCTGAGCCGGGAAGCACAAAAAAAGGGAAGGAGCCTTGATTGCTATTGGGTTGGATCTTTAGACTTTAACTTTTTGGTTGAAATAAAGGTGTTTTCCACCAAACCCCCGAAAAGTTAAACTTTTTGCAGGGGGGTCAACAGCAACCAAGGAGCGATTGCAGTTCCGAGTGTTACCTTTTTTCAAAGGCTGATTGGGTAGGAATCCACTATACGTTCCACTTGGGGGCTGACAAACTCGGAATGATTTTGTGGTTCTTTTAAAGGATCCCCTTTCATGAACCGATTTTGAGGGCACCTCTTCCTCTTGCGTGTTTCTTTAAGGGCAACCAACAAGAACACCAAGAAGCCATTTGGGGGGATCCAATTTGGAACGACACTGCCACATGGGTGTTCAAGGCAGATTGTATATCTTTATAAATCAACCCATGGGAGTCCACTTTGCACCCTTTGCAAGCTGATTTCCCAGAATGCCGAAACTAACGGTTAATCAACCCAAAAACTAGGGGCTCATACCAACAGGTTCACGTATGTGCGTATACATTCAGCCTGTTATTTTTTCTGAAGCTAGCCCCAAACCACCGGGGGAAATCTGGATGTCCTCATCCCAACCGTGAACCAATTGATGTCCATTGCAGCTGCTGCTTTTTTGGAGGTGCCCGAAGGGACCTTGGAGGAAACTCCGACCCACAGGGGAAACCCCCACTAAAAACCTTGTCTATCCTCAAATCCCCTGTTGGAAGTGTAACCTTGAGTGGGTTAAATAGAACCCCCCCACTAAACGGTAAAAGCCAAAACGCTAAGATGGCTGGGAGCCACTAAGAAGCATCTAAGATGGTTTCCCACCCGGATATTGTAACCAGAATGCAAAGCGTACAATCCTGACAGAGGCACATGCACTCGGTTGTTAGCGTCTCAAGCCAGTGAACAGGAGCTGCATCGGGAGACTTATGGCTTTGGGCCATTCATGTTTTTTTGTGGTTTTCGGTGTTGGTCCAAAAGTGAATCGACCTTCAAACTTTTTAGTTTTCTGATTCGGTCCATATTTAGTCCAGCTTCCGAAAGGTTGACCATTGGTTTCTGGTTCCGTTGGGAGTTCAAGGAAAGGGGCGCGGAATCAAGGTCTCTACAAGCACAGAGTGGGATGCAGTGGGTCGCAGGTCCGTGAATGGATGGCCGACCCCCGAACAAACTTGGCGGATTCATAGGATCAAAGGGTTAACCTACAGGAAATTCTACGGGAAATGGCCCCAAAACACTCTAATTTAGCTGTTGTCCTGTACAATTTCCTGCAACCCAACCCTTTGATAGGAGGGATCTTTCTCTGAACATGAATCGATCAGCTTTAGAACTGAACACCCCAGACATTCGCCAAGGGTTTTTGAATCCTGGTTTCTACATGAACAACAACACCCCCTTGAACACTCAGATGGAGCCTGCAAACCACCCCTCCACTGTCTGTTCACCCAGGTCTTTCCTTGAACCCAAACAACCTCCCAGTTTAAGTTGGGCAAGTTGTCACGCAAAACGTACATTGTTTAGTGTTAAGCCCGATTTGTTAGTGGCAAACTGGCACACCTAAAGTCGTTCTTTCCCCAACAGCGGGAAGCTTTGGGGGTCTTGTTTCCCAGAGAAGCTTCCGCACGGTTCCGCAGGGTGCCGGAGGGTTTCCGGAGTTCCAGGGCACCAGTTTTTTCTTGTTTTGGCCACAGTTAGCTTTCCCTTGCTTGGTGGATTGGGTGGTTTGGTGGTTAAGGAGTGGTTTCCCAGGTACCCTCACGAGGACACGAGGTTCAACTCCGACTCCCAAACATCCGAGCCGCCAACTCGTGAGAAGCTGGAGAACCACTAGCCGCCGCGAGGAATCAGACTCAGTGGGACACGGCGCCGAGCGAAATGAGACTGCCCGGTGCCCAAAGCCTTGCTATGGGTCTGTCTTTCTTAGAGCCCGCTGTTCTTGGCATGTTTTTTGGTTTTTTCGTCTTTTGGTTCTGCTCATTTTTACTGGGGGTCAGCAAAAAACAAAGTTTTTTGCTACCATACCAAGAGTAGAGATGTTAGAGTTGCCCACTGTTTGGCAAGGGGAAACCAAAAGGAAAAACGAAAACCATTTTAAGGGGTCCCACAAGAAGACGAGCCCATGTGATACCATGGTTGAAGGTTGAGGATTGCCCCGTGGCCGATTTCTGCGAGTGCTCAGGATGTTCCTTGGGCGGAGTTTCTGAGGTCTACTCCTGCTTGTTTTTTTTTTCTTTTTTTTTTCCTTCCTTTTTGTTTGCTTTAAATGGAATCTATCTATCACTGCACATATTCATTATTTTTTGCGGAGGACCTAAGCAAATTGAGGTGTGGATACTTGCCAAACATGTGGTTTTCCGCTTGGCTTCCCTTCAAAGCAGCGTCCAAAAACAGTCTCACTGGAAAGACTTCCATTTCCCTGTGCAAGCAAGGGAACCACTCGATAAAATGAAGGAACAACAGGACAATTGATGCATGCTACTCAACTGGCTGCTGCGTTCCACAGGGCATGTTGAAAGCTCATCTTTGTTCACTGGGCTGTGAACCAACATGCTTGTGGGTGCAGTTGTTGCTGTCAACACGAACTTGGCGAATCATAGGGCCTATTCCCTCAGAATGGTTCAATCAGAACCCCTTTGATCAGCTTCTAAGAGCCCTTCTTGGGTTATCCGCCCACCAGGAGATCCCTGTAAATATGGCTTCGAATTGGATTTCGAATCACCTTACGGTCAACATGCTTGGTTTCCTCGTATCCCAGTACATGCCAGCAAGAGATCCTACCTCTTCAGCAGTCAGCACGGTTCCCTTGTAACCAGGGTCAAACATCCAAACAAGAATTCGCTAAACATCCAAACAAGAATGAGTTGGACTGACCTGCTAAACGTCCAAACAAGAATTGGTTGCACTGACCTGCCAAACATCCAAACAAGAACTGGTTGGACTGACCTGCTAAACATCCAGACAAGAATTGGTTGGACTGACCTGCTAAGTATCTATCCAATAATTGGTTGGACTGACCTGCTAAACATCCAAGCAAGAATTGGCTGGACTGACCTGCTAAACGTCCAAGCAAGAGTTGGTTGGACTGACCTGCTAAACATCCAAACAAGAATTGATTGGACTGACCTGCTAGACATCCAAACAAGAATTGGTTGGACTCAGCTGCTAAACATCCAAACAAGAACTGGCTGGACTGACCTGCTAAGCGTGCAAGCAAGATTTGGTTGGACTGACCTGCTGAACATCCAAACAATAATTGATTGGACTAAGTTGCTAAACGTCCAAACAAGAATTGGTTGGACTGACCTGCTAAACGTCCAAACAAGAATTGGTTGGACTGACCTGCTAAACATCCAAACAATAGTTGATTGGACTTACCTACTAAACATCCGAACAAGAATTGGCTGGACTGACCTGCCAAACTGCCAAGCAAGAATTGGCTGGACTGACCTGCTAAACATCCAAACAAGAATTGATTGGACTGACCTGCTAAATATCCAAACAAGAATTGGTTGGACTCAGCTGCTAGACATCCAAACAATAATTGACTGGACTAAGTTGCTAAACATCCAAACAAGAATTGGTTGGACTGACCTGCTAACTATCAAAGCAATAATTGGTTGGACTGACCTGCTAAGCATCCAAACAATAGTTGCTTGGACTGACCTGCGAAACGTCCAAGCAAGAATTCGTTGGACTGACATGCTAAACATCCGAGCAAGAATTGATTGGACTGACCTGCTACACATCCAAACAAGAATTGGTTGAACTGACATGCTAAATGTCTAAGCACCAATTTGTTGGACTGACCTGCTAAACATCCAAACAAGAATTGGCTGGACTGACGTGCTACATGTCCCACCAAGAATTGGTTGGACTGACCTGCTAAACATCCAGACAAGAATTGGTTGGACTGACCTGCTAAGTATCTATCCAATAATTGGTTGGACTGACCTGCTAAACATCTAAACAAGAATTGGCTGGACTGACCTGCTAAACGTCCAAGCAGGAATTGGTTGGACTGACCTGCTAAACATCCAAACAAGAATTGATTGGACTGACCTGCTAAACATCCAAACAAGAATTGGTTGGACTCAGCTGCTAAACATCCAAACAATAATTGGTTGGACTCTTCCTGCTAAACATCCAAACAAGAATTGATGGGACTGACCTGCTCAATGTCTGAGCAACAATTGGTTGGACTGACCTGCTAAACAAGCCGACCTTGACCAGAACCGACCAGAAAGCATTGACAGACTGAGCTAATCTTTTTCACTTGTTGCGGTTTTCGCATTTGGAGACAAAACCAGATGCTGCCTGCCACTGAGTGACCAGGGGGAACCATCATTAGAATCATAAGCCTAAAACTCACCAGACTGAGCCTTTGTTTATATTTATTTGTTGTCCTTTTGGTTTCCTTCCTTTTCCTTTTTCCTTTCCAGAAACAAGTTCATTTTACGAGGTGTGCCTTGTCACTAGAAGGGAGCTTCGGCAGTTCAGAAGGATTGGTTCCCTTCTGATTCTGATGCCTATTTTACTTGGCAAATCACCAGACCTACGCTTCCAAAAAATTCAGTTGTTCACAACCGACCTTTTAACCTTTTGGCTTCCCTTTTCGGTCCACTTTTTAGAAAAGGTCCCAAAGGCTATCCTTTGAATTCTAGGTCCTTTGGGCAAGTGAGATGAAGCCAAAGGAAACCACTGTAAGCCGCCCTTTTGCCTTCGCTTGTGTTGGAGACAGCCATATGGCTGAAGCGGCCTTTCAAGCCGATGGGAAAGGAGAAACACCAGCCCAGAACGCGCATGTCTAAAACAGTGAACAGCACCATTTTGGAGTGGCCAACCTGTCTAATTGGACAGACTGACTTAGAACATGCGGAACAAATTGTCAGTATTTGTTTATTTGCGTAATATTTGTTTGGTTTTCCTTGCTGGCTTTAAAGGGCAAATATGACTACTGGCCATATTTATATGTTGTCCAGGGCGCTGAAGCAGATGGAAGCCTTACCAAGCTCTCCTGTCATGTTCCATTCTTAGCGGGCAACACCCAGCTCTGGCGATAGGTACCTACCTAGAGGGGTAAATGTAGTACTTTTTTTTGGTTCCCTTGTTTTTTTTGGCTCCGTCATTTTTCTTGGTTGAACCAATTATTTTGGGGTCGGAAGCTCATTTTTGCAGTAACAGCTCTGCATGCACCGAATCAAACGACTACCGGCATTTTGATTGAGTTTTTTGCGACTTGGCTCCAGCACGGGCCTCGAAGCTGCTGCGTGGTGATTTTTTTATTGTTAAATATTCCTGACTGAGAAGAGATTCCATGAAAGATCACACACCTTCTAAAGGGCATCCTCGCCTTCGCTTTTTTTGATGTGCTGGAATCTTCATGATGCGTTGCATACTTGTCAGCCTGAAGCAAGGGGCAGGAACGTTTGTTGACAAAGTATGACGTGCGCGTGACAATGCGTGCCACATGGCGAGCTGCCACCTGTGTATCACGCCACCATGTGGTGTTCCATTCAACCATGCACACAAACACACCTTTGAACAGGCACGTGACTTGCCAAAGGGTTCAACTGCATTGGCCAACGGATCATCTAAAATGAGTAGGTTGTCCTAACGCTTTTGGCGTGTGTGTGCGTGTGTGTAAGCAAGGTGCGTGTCGCAAACCGTGACCCCTGTTTTCCGACGAGCCCGTTCTTCTTTGCGCGTATAGGGTGCAAACTTAAAGAAAGGGGGCATGCTGCCAAGCACATCATCGCACAGATACTTCAGAGCCAAACACACACTTTCCTGGAGCTGCCTGAAGCGCGCACGATTACATGGCAAGTGGCCGCACCTTACCGGTTGCCAAAGAAAGCAAAAACTTGACCTGGGACCATGGGAGAAGCTCAATCACTCCGGCACAAAATATTGCAACGGAGCACAACCTGCTGCCGCCACCGCCTTAAATACTTAAAATTAGACCGCGCCAGCCTCAATCCATCAACCAGTTCATGCTTTTGGGCTGGGACATGTCGCTCTTTCATGCTCTTTCTGGGCGAAGCGCGGACCATGGGAGCAAGCCTGCCCAACACATGGCACCCACGTACGATCGAGGATACTATGCAGCGCCAACACTTCAACACCCGTTCTTGCTTTACCACAGGCTTCCCCAGGCAGCAACATGTGTCCAACAGCAACTTTCCACAGGTAAAGGTCGCGCAAGATTGCGCCGGGCAACCAAAAAAAAGCGCCGGGCAACCAGTTTTCCGCGCAATCTTGCGCAATCTCGCCAAGCGGCTGAAACCGAAACGAAACCTCTCACCCGAGGAAATGATTGGAAAACACATTGCGTTAGGTTGTGCATCAAGCAGGCGGAGGAAAGCGAGTCCCAAAAATGGCATTTTTGGACAAAGCTAGATTGATAAGCTTACACTATCTCTCAAATAGCAACTTTCGCTTTGATGCTGTTTAATTACATTGAGTCTCTATATCCTCGCACTATGGCAAAACAATGTGCCAAACGTGGTCTTCAATGCATGCCTGGAAAACTCCCATGGTGCGCGAGATTGCGCAAGATTGCGCGGAAAACTGGTTGCCCGGCGCGTTTTTTTGGTTGCCCGGCGCAATCTTGCGCGATCTTTGCCTGTGAAAAGTCGCGGTTGGACACATTTTGCTGCTTGGGAAGTGCGTTGAAGGGTGCAGGAAAGAGTGGCCACACAACATCATGCCTTAATGAGGCAACAATGGATAGCTCGCCCAGCCACTGGCTCATACATGCTGGGTGTTTGTGCGTACGGCTTGAACAGAGCTCATTGCTTGCTTAATTCCATGTGCGTTTCAGAGGTTGCTTCCTTGCATATGTGGTCAATGTTTGCTGTATCGCTTGACTGGCCGACTCATTTCACCAACAATGCCTACTACAGAACGCAATTTGCCGCGTGACTCCAGATACGTTTCCTCTCTGCTTTAGCAAACTGGATGTGCATGGATTATTGGCGGCTTCTCATTTTTAGTTTTTTTCTTATTCTGTTTTTCTACATGACGCTTTGCATACTTGCCAACCAGAAGCAAAGGGCAAAAAAACCCATCAACAAGGCCTAACTGGCAAGTGAAAACGCAAGTCACACAGCCGACTGAGACTTTTGTGCTACGTGTCGCAATGGCTTTGTCGGTATAATGAGGCGTGACACATGCGCAGTGTACGATGATGCACAAACAGGAATACCTGCCCAGTCTGCTGTATAGAGCCAGAGATTTGGTGTATCCAGTTTCTCTACCTCGCTTTCAATGCTGGCATGCAGCAAGACAATACATGGATTTCTTGGTTGAACCAATTATTTTTGGTTTTTATGGAAAAACCAAAAAATAGTGCTACATTCCGCCCTCTAGGTAGTTCCCCCAGCTAGGTTCCCTTTCTCACCCCTTGTTTGGGGGGAGGGTTCCCCTACTAAAATAGACTACCAGATAAAAACAAAAAAACAGTACCCTTATTCTAACCTCTCTACTGGAGGGCCTAGGTAGCGTGTTTGGTTTACCGTTTCGTGTTGCGCGGCTTCGCTGCGAGGCTGGGAAACTGGACGAAGTACCAGGCGCTGGATAAATCGATCGCGGTGGCTTCCGGGGCGTTGCCATGGCAAATTGTTAGCCACTCACAAGGTGAACTCACGCGAGACGGAGATGCGGGTTGCCTAGGTTACAAACAACTTATACTAACTTGGCGAATTGAACACCCAAGTACCCAAGAGTTTTTCCGGTGGTGGGTTTGGTTCGTCGGGAGGTTCGTGAACCACAGATTCAATTCCGTAAAAAAAAACGTGAACCTCTTGGTTCTCTTTGGGATACTCCTGAGGTTTATTTGCAAGGCCTTTCTTTCAAAACCAACCCACAGAAGACATGGCATAGCCCAACATGGCAAAGCCCGCTGGCAACACTTGGAGGGAAAGAGGGGCTTTTTCTTGGTGGTTAGTAACCCTCGTAGATTCTTAAACCGGAGAACCCACCCTGCACCCACCCTGCACCCACCCTAAGCCAACCCTAAACCCACGGAGCTTCTAAGAATGGCAAGCCAGCCATTGACAGCGCTCACCATGTCTTCTCCCATTGCTCTTTGCATGAAAGGGGTCAAAGAGATTTCTTTGCAAGGGGGCTTCCTCTAATCATGGTGTTGCTTGGTGTTCTTTGTCCGTACTGCTCCTGCCACCTAAATCCACCACCCCATTTGGTTCTTACTCAAGGGGTGTTTCGTTTTGGTGTGTGTGTGTGTTTGTGATTCTGCTGATTTGCATTCTTCCAGATTTCCAGTTTGGGAGTAATCTCGTAATTTGCCCGCACCTGGAGTAGATGGTAGAATTTTTGGTAGACTCTGGAACAGAGTCAGGTAAGTTCTTCTTTGCGTACCTGAAGCCTCAAACTACCCGTCAAATGGTGATTGCCCCAACAAAAGTAGGGAAAACACAGTTTTTCACGGGTCAATAGGGCGCAAACACCGTTTTTGCCCGGGTAGTTTGAGGGTCCGGGCACCCCCAAATGCCAAATGGTCCCAGAATCCCGCCGCCTCGCCGCCTCGCCGCTAGCGACGCCCCCAAACTTCGCGCGCGGGACTTTCTGGGGTCGCAGGCGCGGGGCGTGGTGGGCTTCTTCGAGGCGAAACCTTTGTCCACCCGGGAGATCTACGAGTGGCAGGCGGGGTGCGAACTTCGCTGGACGCTGCGCGCGAGAAGCTTCCGAGTTTTTGCTGGGAGTCGAAGTACCTGGAGTCTCCATGGCCCTATAAAATGGTGGGTCGCGACCCCTTTCTTTGGGGTAATGACCAACCATTTTTAGAGGGTCATGGAGACTCCCAGAATAGTGTTGACCCCAGCATTGTGTTGGCTTCAACCCACCGGTTCTTTGAATAAGGGGGTGGTTTTTGGCCCCTCCCAAAGTAGTCTGGCTCCAACCACATTTTACCGAGAAATGGACACCGGAACCCCTACTATTCAATTGGGGTGGGTCAATGTGGGGTCAACATTACCGGGGCCCTCCAAAATCGGGAACTGAGGCCCCACATTACATCCTTTGGGAGAATACTTTCAGAAAATCGAGGGGTAAGTTCATCCGGGGGGAACTCCATTCGCCTTTTGGATTGGATTGAAGCTAAAAGGCTGAACCCCTTGGCAGATGAGACATCCCGCACGAACGCCTCCAATGAAGGGTCGACCGGGGGCCGTTAAGGCAATCCTATGGATCGATCCATTGTCCGGTGAGAGAACACCAAGGCGACCTTTTGTGCACCAGAAAGCACAACAATTGCTTGTTGCAGGTGGATGGCACTTGTTAAACATACGCTCGATACATGTTGGCCAGTTTTCGTGAGACTGTGGATGGTTGGTTGAGATCGAAATCCCTTCGCGCCCCTTTGAAACCACAGTTGAAACCATTTGTTGGTATTTATGATGAATAGAATCATTCCGTTGGGTTTCTGAGCAGTTCGAAGTGGTTTTCGCGCGTCCACAGCATTCAAGTTACTATGTGTGCTTCGGACGACCTGATGACGGGGGTCATTGATTTTAAACTAAATACTCACTTCTCCAGAGTGAATCGACCTGATGTGACCAACTGAGAGTGTGGCACAGAGTGAAAGTCATGCATATTGTTCTTCTATGCACGCCAGCGCGCCAAGTTGGGTGTTAGGCTTCAAAACATTCTCCAACGGTCAAATTATTGCGACCTCTCTGACCGCGTGCTTTCCAGATTGCGCCCTTCCCAGGTTAGCTTGAAGGGAGCCAAGGGGAAAGCCACCAACATAGGGAGGTAAAATCTCATTTTTTTCCGACACATACCCACTTTGGGTCGGTGAACTCAGGCGATTCATGCATGGGTCCTTTTTGCAAAACCCGTTTCATGCGGTCGGTGAGGCCGTGGAACTCAGAAGATGAAAGGTTTTTTTCTTCTCCCTCAACCCCCATGCCCTTCAACCCAGCCTTCTTGATTGCTATTGGGTACCGGATCTTTAGACGGAACAACCTTTTTGGTTGAAATCAAGGTTGTTTTCCGGATGAAACCCACAACACGTCGACAACTTGTTGCGGGGTTGTCACAGTAACTCAGCGGTTTGTTTGGAGGGTTTCGCTTCATGCGGGAGTTTCCCCCAAATTTATTCGATCCGGCAGGTGGCGAGTGCCAACTTCACCTCTGAGGCGGGTGCCCTACTCACTTCCCAAGCCCCCGGGCTTTAGACTTTTTTGTTTTTTTAAGCCATTCTGGTGGTAAATGATTAAGCGCAAAAACACACACAGAACAAACAAACAGAAACCGACTTTGTGTGGCCAATCCATTCAGGAAGTGCGTCATGTTTGGACTTCTCAAAAGTTTGGACTTTGTTTTTGGCCCATCTACTGAGACGGAAGTGAGCCTCTGCTTCGCGACCTGCTGCCGGGTGCAGGGTCCAAGATAGGTCGATGCTACGAAGGGCGATATAGGCCGATTTAATATTGATCCCATCCCCCAGGTTTGCACCCTAGAAACCCTTGCAGCTGCGGTTGCTGACCATTTCTTATAGACTTGCAACTGGAGCCCACCAGTTGCCCAGTCACACAAGAATTGGATCCATTTCTTTTCATGTGGTTGATTCCGTTAGGGGTCTATCCAGCAAAACAGGATTTGAAGGGTGGTCCCTCACCAGCCGAGGCCGATGGATATCCACACCCCTGTGGTGATTTGTTTTATTAGGGAAACTTGGAAGAACCTCAAATCGTAAAAAAAACAATGGACACACCTCTCCCAAAAAAGCGACACAGCCACCCAAAAGGTCTGAAGGCGCCCTTGTTGAAGCCTCTTTTGGGCCTTCAAACTTGGAGAGAATGTCCAGCGACATTTCCTAGTCCATCGAATCGACCCCATTCGAAGCTGGGGTCCTTTTGCGGCCGGGATGGAAACAGTGCTTCCAGTCAAATCACCATTATGGCTAACCAAGGGAAACTGCCGTTTGCAAACCGCAGCCTCATATGCTTGCGACAACTCGAAGCTGACATTGCCATCGATTTCTTCCTCAAAGGCCTGAACCCCTGATTTATGGCTTAGTTGGCATCTTGAGCGAGCCATACCCATGCATCATGTTTGATTCTTTCAAGAGGTCCCACAAATGGCCATGGGCAATGCATGGCAATGCAACCAGAAGTTTTGCTCTCAGGAGTTCTGGGTGGTGTATTCCACTCTGGAGAACGACCCTTTAAGGCGCTGGGCGGTTTTTTGCGGTCCGGCGGCTCGTTTTGTGTGCCTCAACCGCGACTTGTCGGAGACAAGAACTCTGGCACTAAATTATGCCTGCTGCAGTTCGTTTGAAGGCGTGCGTGTGTGCTTGTGTGTGTGTGTGTGTGAGAGTCATGTTTTTGTCTTCTTGTGCCTGTGTGTGTGTTTGCATGTGTGTTGTACATATGTGAGTGCTTGGAGTGTCTGCATGTGTTTGTGGCGCTTGTTGTATTGTATGTTGCCGCAAGTAAATCGTAGCCTGAGAGCACGCGATCAGGATCCCCCCCGCCTGTTGAAATCTCGTAGCCCAATGAAGTCAGGGGTTAGTCATCATATGTCACTCAAAGGGTCCCTGCATCGCCTTTCAGTCAAAGATATGTCTTGGTAGATTTTGATCAAATGGCGGGTAGTTGCTGGCAAAGCTCGGGAATGACTCCCGCATGTACTTAGGATTTTGGATGTCGTTGTTCGTCTTCGAATGGTGTCAGTTCCCCCTACCAAAGCTGCCTCGCATCCAATGTGGAATGACCTAGCCCCCAGTAGTGCCCTTTTGCCCTTTTTTGGGGGAGGGTTCCCCTACTAAAATAGACTATACAGCAAAAAGGGTCCCTTATATTGTACTAACCTCTTACTGGAGGACCTAGCCCCTGGACATTTTTGGAAAGACCATAGTGGCAACCAAGAAGTTTGGACAGACCAATCCAGTGAGTTTTCTAGGGCTGGTGCGTGGCAACTAAACATCCATCCACAGCTTTCCTGGACAGCCCAAGCGCGACTTGGAAAATCGTCCATGCGGTAAATGAGTTTCTTACCATCCTTGTGGCCAACTGGGTGGGGTGTAAATTGACAGAAAAGGAACGCCCCCGCATTGTTGCTCGGGCTCTCATGTTTAGCAAGTTGGCCATTTCCCAAAATTTGGCCACTTTGAAGCCACCCATCCCCTTTACAAAGCCACCCCTCCCCTCAAATGTTTGAAAGCTGCAAGGCTGTTGAAACAATAGTCCCTGCCAACCCGACCTCTTGTTTTACATGATTTGGGATACCTTTCAGGTCTCCTTCTGACCCTTCAAAACAAGCCAGCGATCCGCTCTCGAAGCAATATTGCACACTGGCTGGAGAGAGGATCCAGCAAAGGGCAGGGCTGGCAGGAGGCGGTAAGTCCAAATTTGGCTTGGTTTTGTCGCACCAAAGCCAAGCCTGCTTGAGGTGTCCTTGCCCAGAACGTAAAACTATAGACAGTATATAATATATATAATATACACATGTGATTTCGTGTTCTTACCAAAGTTACCTAAAGCGCAATCTCCTGCAACACACCTTGGTATGCATCCAGGCTCCAAGGCCACCAGGGCACCTTTCGGACGGGGACACCCCCGAAGAACCATCAAAGAACAACTGGGACACCGGGACACCAGCCCGCCAGGGCAACGACGGAAAAAACTGTCTTTTGAGTCACGACCCCGTTTTTCCTGGGTCAAAGGATCACACAACTTCAGGTGGACATTTTTCATGAGCCATAAACATATTTTCTCCGGAGTAAGCTCCATGTGGCTGTGGGTCCAAATTAAGCCACCAGGGGACGCAGGTTTAGTCTTGGGTTCCATTTACCAGGGTTCCATTTTGGGCACCTATTTTTGACCCACAGCCATGTAAGGATCGCAACTCCATTTCGTTTGGATTGCGCCACGGTTTTGCCTGCGCGGCTCGCCAGGAGTGCAGAGGCACTGCGCGCGGGTTCTACGGAGATGCAGAACTGCCGGGAGCCCAAGCTGAGCTCGAAGGGGGGGGGGTTGCTCGCTTTGCTGGATCTCTGTGTGCCATTTTTTTCGGTTGAAATTTGGTGTTGTTCTTTACTTTGACTCAACTTGGATGAGAATCAACTTGATGTGTTGTTGGCAAAGGCCACGTATGAGCAACGAGATTGCTGCTTGGTATTGGTTTTTCATGCCCCCTTATCGGTTTTGACGATTGCTGGCGGTTCAGTGCTGGCTCTCTAGCTGTTTCTTGTGATCATACATATATACATATATGTATATATAATACACGTATACAACGTTTTTTCTCTGAGGACAGACCAAGGCACTGTACTTCTGGCAGACTTGGTTCTGATCATGGTCAGCATAGGGGCGCAAGAACCCGTATCACCGCGCTTCTTTGAAGCCTTTGATCCCTGAGCCTTTCCCGCAACAGCCCGTGTTTTTGGCCACATCCCTCGCGAGGTCTTTGCGCATACCGGATCACCGCGACAGCACGGGGCCCTGGATGCGAGCCTTTGGGCTTGTGAGAGATCCATCGGCGCCAAAAGAGGATCCGAGTCGATGGATTCTTTGCCCTGCTGAAATGGGCGTGTCTTTCCTGCAGGGGGCCCTTTTGGTGGTGGCTTTATTGTGGATACCAAAAGGAAGCCACCTTTTTTTTGGGTTCCCGATTTTGAGACAAGCCCAGTTTTTGTGAGGGCGGGGTCCACGAGTTCTTGGACTTCCTTTTGCGAAGCCATTTCAGTGTCACACACACACACAAAACATCGCCGCTGGGGGTCCCATTTCTTTGCATGCAAGATGCCCTGTTGGAGGACATCTATAACTCATGACCCAGGAAGGCAGTGGGATGGTGGACGATTCGCAGGCTTCTTGAGGATGCTTGGACTAGCTTGGATTGAGATGAGAGATGGTGATGTGGGAAGTGCTGAAATTGAGCAAAGTACCTTGGAGTCGCAGTTGACCAATTGCAGCTGGAGGGATTGCGCCCTGGACGAGCCAAAAGTTCCATTCGCAGTCGCCGCAGGTTTCCCAGTGGCAATTGCTAGAGCGAACCTTCGGGGAGGTGATGAGGAATGCACCACTGGCTGCGACCGTCTCTGCGAGCTGAGATGATGCACTCGAGCAGTTGCTTTGAAGGTCCCTGCGTGCCAGGGAGCCGCCAAAAAGCCGCCGGGCCTAGTGTTCATGAGAGTTCTTTCCGCCAGCAACTGGGGCTTTGATCAAAAATTCCATCAGATGCGCAACATTTCAAGCATGTTGTATTTGATCATCTGTTTCTCGTGGGTGTTCCAACCACATGGATATTTTCTCGATATTCCATTTATCTGGCCTCCAAAAATGACAAAATGCGTAACTTGTTTCCCATTTGGTGGGTGAAATAGAACATCCGATTCGTGGGTGTGCCAACCGGTGGAGTCATCCCATGTGGGCTTGGCCAACTGTTTGATGGGTTTCACCGGCCTCGAGTTCCGTCTCCGGTCCACGGACGTCGGATCAGAACCTAAGGCTTGGTCGATCGTATGTGGCAGGAGTGGAGTTGAGAGCGGAGTTGGGAGTGGATGGAGGTTGGAGGTAGTGGACTGTTGGTGGAGTGGTGGATTGACGTGACATTGGAGTGGACTCGGAGGAGTTGGAGTTGTCGACATGCTTTGTGCAGTGGCGATGATGGCAATGTTAGATAGTGGAGCCGATGGCTCCGCAACTGCGGGTGGTGATTGATGATCAGGAGTACTGAGTCGCTGTATGTGTCATTGGGTCGCATGGCAATGCCGCGCTTGAGACAAATGGGGCGTCCGATACAGATCAGCATCTCGTTTGACGCTCGTCCCAGTGCTCTAGGCCCTGATAGAATTTGGGGCAGAATACCCTTTGTCCAACAATGGAAGTGGACGATTTGGGGCTTCCCCGAAAGGAAAGCTTTATTCCAAACTTGTTCGATCGTCAGCTTCCATGACTGAAGGGAGGGTATGTCCTTTTGACATCGGGTGCTTTCAGGGGCCAAGCCCCCAGACCCGAAACCCGCATCTGGGATTCCCCACCTTTCCCGTGGTAAAGGCGTTGGCATGTAAAGTGAAGCAGGATGGGGGAGGAGCCGGAGCCCCAACTAACTAGCTCTGACTAAGCCCTGACTAAGGATTTATTGGGGTCCCCCCAGCCCCTGTGATCTGAGCCTGCCAAGAGTCCCTTTGGTTTGGCCAAGCGTGTGGCCACCGTGGTCTCCGCGCTCTGGCTTGCACTTGTATCTGGAGAGGCTTGACCCGATTGCGTGAGCTGGAGGGATTGCTTTGGAAGTAGTTCCTTGCAGTCGCCACAGGTTTTGCAATGGATCGCCCGATGATGGCAATGTTAGATAGTAGAGCCCTCCGCAACTGCGGGTGGTGCTTGATGATCAGGAGTACTGAGCCAATCGCGGATGTATACTGCTGTGCAAAGCCGTACATGAGCGATGGCATTTGGCATGCAACCTATGAGAAGCAGTTGACTGCAGGTAATTGCAGTTACGCACCAGCAGATACTCTCAATTTTTTGGGGCGCCCCATGGATCGTTTACCGCGGTTTCAACCCCCCTCCGAAAGTCGGCAAACAAAAACAAGAAGAGGAACGATTTCCTTGGACCAAGCCCCAAGCCCCAAAGTCAGTCACAGACAAAAATCATCCAGCAAGAGGACTGTGTCCTGGCATCCTTGGACCAAGCCCCAAGCCACACATCCACCAAGAGGAATGTGTCCTGAGGCGAAGGGGGTCCACGTGCTCAACACCCAGCAGATCAATGAGCACCCCTGGCCCCTCAGCGCGCGAGCCGGGGGCCCGGTGGGTCGGTGGGTCAGGCTCGGTCTGCCCCCCGTGGCCGGGGGTTTCCCTTGGTGTAGCAAGAGAAAGCAATCCCAAAACGGGCACTTTTAAAGAAGACAGACTTGCATGTCAAAAAGTGGGGGCAGTTTTCTGCCTACTCGCACGCTCAAGCCATATAGCCACATTTATAGCCTACTGACCGAGTACTTAGATTAGGCTTCAACCAGCAGACTAGCCCTTTGAGATGTTTGCATGTTTCTTTCATAATGCCAGTTTTGGAGCAACATTTATTTGCTTTGTAGTTTTTCACCATGTAGTGTATTTTGAGTTTTGCCGTGGTTTGCCAATGTACGTGTGCCTGGTTTGAGGGTTCCTTGGGTGGCGTAAGTACATTTGCTTCAAGCTGGAGACACAGGTCCTTTTTTGGGAACCTTGTTACGTTCTTGCTGGTTCTCAGCCCCCAAACTGAACCATTTCAACCGGAGATGTCCTAACCCAACCGGTTCAGAACCCCAAAGCTACGATTCACCATCGAACCGAGCGGCTTCTGAACCGGTGCCCCCGTCTTTTCACTGGACGGGAGCTGTTCTTTGGGGGCACGAAGCTGCTCCACAAGGGTCCAACATTTTGTCCATTTTGGGTTGGTGCAAAGAACCTATCCATGTTGCTTCCCCGTTTTCAGCCCCCAAAAATCACCCCAAAAACAGCCCCACTCCCAAATCCATCGCGTATTTTCTCCCTCCCCCTCCCCTCCCCTCCCCCTCCCCTCCCCTTCCCTCCCCCTCCCCCTCCCTTTCGCCTCCCTTTCGCCTCCCTTTCGGTCGCTCTGAGACCGTGGCCAACGCGGGCTGGCAGACCTCCGCGGGTTTTGGCTCGCACCTGCGGAGCCAGGGCCAGAAGCAGGCGCCGAGTCCGCCGAGCTCCCGCCTTCCGCGCGCAAAACTCCGAGGTTTCTGAGGGAATGTTCCTCTTCGAAAAGGATTCGCAAGTCGAAAAGGGTAGCCGCAGGAAAATAAGAAGGCGAGGTGTTGAAGGCGCTTGGCAGGGCAGATGGGTCTGTCGCACTAGGTTTGTTTTTGTTGTGTGAATCTGTTTGTGGTGGATGGTTTGCATCAGAGTCAGTCCTCGTGTTGGCGCTTTGAGCCAAACACGCATGGCATCGCGAATGTTGCGAGTTGGCAGTCCTGAGCCTCACCTCCCTACGGCGGGGATGGATTTTCGCCAGACACCGTTCTGAGCCCAGTTTGTTCCTTTAAGCCCAGTGCCCTGAGGGTGAAACCAAGAGGTTGAGACAAGAGTGGTTTGAAGATGTTAGCGCAAGGGCTACTTGATTGCTATTGGGTTGGAACCTTATACGTTTAGCTTTCTGGTTGAAATCAGGGGTTGTCCACTAAACTCACAAATTGAACACTTTTGGTAGAGGGGCCAACAGCAACCTAAGGCTTTGCCTTTTCACTTCAACGGCCAAGCCAAGAACCGCATGGTTTACCACCAGTTATGCCCACTTGTCATGCCCCTTACCCCGAACGGTAGCCCCTAACGGTTGCGAACCATGGCGAAACCGATGCGATCAAACCCAAGCACTCAAACTGGGTGGACGTCTTTTGGGCTTGGAAGTCTCTTATTTGTTTGAGACCTGGTTGGCGTTTTGGGGAGCAATGAGCGGTTATCTAGTTTAACGTACGGATGGCACATATCTTTTGAGGCTGAGTTCCGTAAGCAGCCAGACCTCGTGTTTGTTTCTTGTTTGTTTTTTTCTTGTCTGTCTTTCTTTTCTTGGGGGGGGAAGAACGGCTCCCCTCAAGACAACCACAAATTCTTACCTCGCGTGCTTGCTGTTGTGCGTTTAGTTTGGGGGGAGCCCCTCCCCAACCCAAAACAAAAGAAACAGTCTCCCATGCAAAGCCCCCCCCCAAAAAAAAAAGGAATCCCCCGATTGGCCAGCACGACCGCTGCCCCTCTCACGCCCGAAAGCGAAAAGAACATCGTTCGCGGGCCAGGCACTCAAAGGCTGGGCCAGCAATGAAACGGTGGCGCCCGTGCGGGGCCGAGAGGGCGCTTTGAGAGAGCGGGCGGCTGCGGGCTTCGAGAATGGCAACTTTGAGACGAAAATAGCGGACCCCAAGAGAACTTGTTTTTCTTTTCAACAAATCTGCCAACTTTCTGGGAACAATGGGGGATGTGCCTGTTTTGGATTCTAAAGACGGGTGAAGAAAGGTTGGAATCAAGCCTCAGGGACGCAACAAATTGAAGAAATACCCATCCCCTTCCGCCTTCCGTAAAGTCTGTGATTGCAATTCACCCAATGACAACCCTGCCAAAGGGACAAAGTTTTTTTTTTGAGGGAACCAAGGGACACCAAAAGAACGCTGGAGTTCAAACCACCATGGCGTAAATATAACCACCATGGGGTAAATATAACCACCATGGTTTCCCCAAGGCTTTGCATCATCCAAATTGGGTCAAGGATCCTTGAACAGAATGGGCAAGGTACGGCTAGAGAGGCCCAAAATCGAAGGACCGCAATGGGCAATACCACCGGTACACTACTTGCGTATGCTTGGGTATGTGTTTTGTTAGACCCCCACGATAGTGGTTTTCCTTGTGGTCCCTCTTCAAAACCACAAAACAAGTGGCACGTGGTTCACTTGGGGAAATGGCGGGACTATCCAAGTCAAGCAATTACTGCAAAAAAAAGCAATGCCATGGCAATGCTCGTATGTGCGGAGACTGAGGATGTACTTTGGCCGCTCTTTGGCTCTTGGGTTGAAACCTCAGAAGGTACCTAAGCTAGACACCCGGGGCTAAAGTAAATTCCTTGGGGCTCACGCCTCAGCAAGAAACTGCAGGAAATTAGTCAGCCGAGATTGGCTTCGTGCGCGGATGTTGCGACCATCCAATTCAACATGGGTTGTCATGGCGAACCAGGTTTGGATTTTATTCAGGCCGGTTGGAACCAAATCAACGAATCAAACCTTTTTTCAGGCTCTTCAATGCGCTTCGGTTCGTCACGAGCAAAATGCAACCTGCCTGGGCTGGGCTTGGCTTTCGACCTGCTGGAAAAGCCTAGCCGCGTTCTTGGCATGGCAGTTCAGGAGTGGATGCTGAAGGACGAGGATGACTGCGTGGCAAGTCCCAGAGCGGGAAGGTTAGATGCTGCAAGACCAATGCGCCTGTGTTGCCTTTTCCCTGGGGTTCAATCCACCATTGAAACAATGGGGGTTCACATAGCCACCATGATTTACTTAAGGATTGTCATCATCCAGTGTGGGGCAACCTTTCTTTTAATGGGGGTTGAACCCTAGGGTTTCTTTTCCCTATGGGTTTGCAAGGACAGGGTGGCTCGTCTTTTTTTAGTGGACCCCCCCAAAATGGCGTCAGTTTTCCCATTGGTTTCCAGTTTAAAGCCACAAAACAGGGGGTACCCTCCAAAAACAGACACACCCATCTCCTGGCTCTAAAGAGAGATCGGTGATCTTCCCTTGGTAGTGATGTTCTTTGTGGAGGGATACGGGGAAGCACGCCAAAAAAGGGGTTGAAGAGTACCCCTGCAAGTCACTTTGCTATACCTGAACTTTCTTGGTCGCAGAATCACGTAGTCGAGTAAGTTGCCTGAAGAAAACTGTCCTCAGCCTGGCACATCGCCGGCACTTGCGGGACCGCGGATCCGCTCCACGCTCGTCACAAGCAGTGGCCGCCAAGGTAGAGGCACGCTTTCTGGTAGAGAAGATCCGCAAGAGCGGCGATCGGGGCACCAGCGTTCTGAACTGCCTCGCCAATTTGGTGGCCTTCTTGGCTTGTTGATGCAGAAGAGAAGATTCACTCAGGCGATCAATGCCATTCTCCGTGCTTAATTCGACGGGGACCGGAGCCTGTTCGACATCATGGCTGAGGGAGACGACGGGGAGCAACTCTGATGCTCGCACTTCTTTTGCGGCCGCTGGCTGTTGCATCAAACGAACCCCATGCTTGCTGGTTCTCAGCATGGAATCAGGGAGGCTGGGATGTTTTTCAGAACCGAAAGGAAACCAAAAGCGAACCTAGTTGGTGGTTGTGATTGGTAATTTGGGGATTTGAACCTCTGGTTCTTGTAGGGGGAAAAGGGAAACAACCCCTAACCACCCCTAACCACCCGTAACCACCCCTAACCACCTCGAACCACCAAACCAAACCACCAATTGAGGGTAAGGTGACAACTCCATGTTCGTGCGATTCCGTTTTTGAGCCAAAAAGCCCTCCTTCTGGCTTCATGTTCCGCCAACACCAAGAGGGTTACACCACAAAGAAAACAACTATTAAATGTGTAGAGCCACCAAGAACCACTGAGATCTTCACAATGTGATAGCTTGGGTAGACTAAATGAGAATGTCGCTGTTGTTGCAGGTATCCGTTTGAAAGGGAAGCAGAGGGGAAGCCACCAAATTTGTGGGTCCCCCATTTTCAAGACGCACTATGGACCGACTCTGAAAATCGCATTTACTAGGCCATGGTCCCTGGATACCCAAGGAGCTATAACCCCACACAAAAGGCTCCTCAGACAATTGATTTTGAAAAGCGCTCAATAGCGCAACTGTTTGTAAATTCTAAGCCACAAGGGGACGGACAAGGTTTGTATGTATTTTTTATTTTCCCGACCGGTTGGGAAAGAGGGAAGCTGGCAGGAAACCAAAGGGATCAGCCAGGGTTCCAGCATGACTGGGTGTCGGTGGAGGAACTTTCGCAAGAAGTGGACGGTCCCCAAAAATTATGGATTTCCTTTGGCGTCCCTTTAAACACCTTTAAATTAGGGGTGACCTATTTTCAGACAGCCCCAAATGTCGCATCGCACATTCGCCACAGCCACCCTCCTCCCCCCCCAACAAACAAACACTAACAACAACAAGATTAGACAAACGGAAAACATGTAGGGTCACCAGAAGAACCAAACAACATGTCCAAATCCAAACGTGCTTTGTTCGGGGTTCCCTTTTTGAGGTTGAGAAGTCGAAAGCCCTTTCTCGCCGCCCTTTACTCCTCCGGGAGAAAAACACCTGCAACGAGAGAGACCTGCAAACTCCCAAAATGCCTGATTTCCTTCAGGTGTCCCTTAAAAGACACATCCATGTTGAGACAGACCCTTACTCCCTGAGTTTCGGACCTTCATATACTTTTGGGGGGAAGCCCATCTTATTGTGGCCGGTACACCAAAAACACAACTTTTGGTTGGCCAGTCTACTCGGTTCCCCCCCTTTCCCACTCCTCCGCCCAGAAGCTGCAGCTGCCGGACCTGAGCTTACGGGACACGCTGCTGGAGAAAGCCGCGACCCGCCGGGGTGCCACAGAAAAGTCGGTCGGCTCGGATCCGCTGGAAGTCGGTGGGATTTTTTCGCCTGGAACCCAAGGCCCAGAATCAGAGTGGATTCCCCTAAATCCAAAATCCAAACTCATAACCCTGATCATAACCAAAACCACTCTGGAACCCAGAGTTTTCGCCTGGAACCAAACTCCAACACCCAGAAATCTCTCAATTTTTTGGGATCGATCCCGCCTGAGTAGAGTCCAAAGAGAAATCTGGCCGTGGTTGTCAAAACCGTTCTGGGATCCCATGTTGGTTGGTAGGTGAATTCACCCATTTTAGAACCTGTTTTAATGGTTGGATTGAATCGGATGTTCACTGGGGGCTAACCGCTTTGGATTTTGACCCATGGCCAAATCTCATTTGGGGATCCTGTTCTGTATGCCAATGGTGTCTCGGCGTTCGAGAGGCCCAATCAAGGGTTCGGTCGGGTTGCCGGCTTGAAGCCCATGACCCGGATGAATAAAATGACCTCAACCACACCAAAACGGCTAGCCCATTGGGATTCATGGGGTATACAACCGCTATACGAACCTATAGAAAGGGCACGACATGATTCACCTTGGATCCAAGCCTATTCAACTGGAGGATTATTCATGGGTTGTCATGAAATTGGGTGTGGCAGTTGTTTGTTGCGAGGAATTGTTCTATGGCAAGGTGAGGGATGCGGGGGTTTACCGAGTTTTCTCTTGGTGCCCCGCTTGGGGTTTTAAAGTTATTGTCAAGTTTGCAGAGGGTCCCTTGGTACCCTTTAAGTAGATAGACTTAGCAGGGTCAAATTGTGTGTGAATTTCACCTTTGGTGCAAAAGGAATCTTAGGGCAAGGGGTTTCTGAAGACTGTTGACCCCGGATTTATGTACTACGCGCTAAAGAATTGCACGCCACACACTTTGTTGTCCTACGATCATGGCGTAGTTTGGTTTACTCGTACGACACATTCCCATTCTAAAAGATACTCCTTGCCGCGTGCGCATGTGATTGTAGTCCAGCAGCACTGTGGCTTTCAGGCTGTCCATTGCACCTTGGCTTTCAGTGTGACGCAGCCACGGCTGCCTTTGACAGCCCCGCAAAAAAGCAACACACAGTGGCCGAATTGAGTAGCAAACAGATCGACCAAAGCTGGGGAGCCCGTCCCTTCGGGGTCCATGGGGCTGTGTGTGGTTGTGCTGGAGTTGACTCACTGTTTATCCAGGTTGCAGGCGGCCCCGTACGGTCGCTCTTGCTGACGAAAACAAACGAAGCGCTCAGACATTCGGATATCGTGACACCTCCAAACAAACAAGCAGCCTCTTCCAAGAGAGAGAAGGCAAAACCATATATGGGTGTGCCTGCCACCTGGAACCACCCTTAAACATGTGTTATTGCCCCAATGGGTCTGAACCCCTGAAGTCCAAGGCCCAACTTAATTTGGGGTGTGCAAGTTGGGCCCGTATATTCAAAAAGCTACCCGTAAGCAAGTCACGTACAGATAGGCCTTATAGAGGGATGGATTTTACTCATGGGTCAAAGGTTGGTGTGTGTGTACATGGATTGTGTGCGATTTTGAGACACTGACCTTGTTCTGGATTCCATGTTTGGCTAGACTTGACACCAGGGACCACTTTTTCCCCGTTTGCAGGAGACCTTCGATTTTTTGGGATTTTTTGAGCCCTTCGCCCTCAAGCCAACTCAGGCTTGACAGGTGCTCCAGGCGGTTCGGGTTCGGGGGCGGTTCTGTCCGGTGTTGGCGTTCCCTGTTCTTTTTGGGTGGCTCGTTTCTTTTTTTCCTTTGGGGGGGGGCTCCTCTATTTAGAGACAAACCCATTGGCGACAAAATGTAAAGGCGGCTTGTCGTTTCTTTTCTTTTTCTTTTTTTTTCGGGGGAGAGCGGTGCGGGGACCCCTTTTTGGGTCTCTTGAAAAAGGGAACCGAAGAGAAGCGATTGTGTTTTTGGTGGGGGTCCTCTATTATTGGAGACAAACCCCATTGGAGACGTTTTTTCAAGGGGATCTAGCACTACCCGGAGGTTCTTATGTTTTTATGCAGGAGACTTCAGCAAATGGACTGTTTGATTTCTCCTGTTTGGTCCACTTTTAGTTACCCAAGGAGCTTGAGGCGTAGATGGTTTGGGGGACTAGCTGCATAATAAGTAGCCCTAGACAAGGGGCGGGTCAGCAACTCAGCTCGCTGGCTCATTTAAGCACACCAACTTTTGCACGCACAATGTCAGCCACTTCTCACTCAATATTATTTCTCCATTTGGGAGGGATATGGGGGGGGGCTCTCTAAGTTTCCTGGAAACATCAGGCCATTTCCCATATTAGACCGGCAGCAATTTGGTTAAATGGGTTTTGGGCGGTTAGACAGGGAAAGCTGGCGTTTTAGCAAACCCATATACGCGTGAGTGCTGGTTAGGCTTGCTTGATCTCAGCACATGCGTATGCAACATGCACACGTATATATGTATGTACACATACATTTACATTCGAAGTTTGCACATTTGCAAATTTTCCCCGAGCACGCGAAGAATGTGTTTATCCACAAGTGTTGTATATAGTTACGTTGTTGCTTGTTTAGTTGTCTGTACCTTCTTCAGTGTTTTGTCTGTTCAAACAATGGGCCAACACCTGGGAACATGTGTGGTGTCCGAAAACGACGGGTGAAGCGAATGGACTCGGAATCAGCCCTTTGAACGATCCGCACAAACTCACCGAACGCCTGGACCACACCCCCTACAGATGCCGCGGGCCCTCAGGGGGAGTGTTGCGCGCACTTCTGCACGAAGCCTTCGGCGAAGTCGATCGCCGATCGCCGGTCACCGCCGTTTGGGCCGCGAGGCGACTGGGACAACCCCAAGCGGGTGGAGAAACTCGCAGATGGGCAGGCGAAGGGAAAGAGTCTCGCGGAGTTCCTGGACCTGGGGTAGACTTGGGGTACATTTGACGCTTGACCAGTGGCTCAAAGTGAGGCAAGCAATAGAATATACAGTCTACAACTTGGCCTAACTCCAACTATGGGACTTTAGTCGTGTTTTGGAAGGATTAGTTTAGCTGGCAATCAAAAAGGTTAGACATGCTTGGCCCATGCATCGGTTTGAAGCATGTGTGGTTGCTTTATTGCTTTGGTTGCTTTAGTCGTTTGCGCTGTTGCGTGGCGGCTTCTTCTCTTCCGTGGCTTGTTTGCATCGTGTTATGTTTGTTTGGGGGGTTTCTTGCTTGCGCACCTAAAGGGTTGACATTTTGTCACCTGACTGATACTTCACAAGCAACCGCCTAGTGGCGATGCTTGCAGAAATGAAAGCGCTGGCCCTCTCATCCTGTGTCGAGAATTCTGATCATCAGGCTCGGTCTTTGCGGGGCTCAGGGCTCAGCGTATTAAAAAACTTAGGGCTCACCATCATGTTGTCCGTGGATAAACCCCTGCTTGTTAACAGGGGTGTTCTCTCCAAAAGTGATAATCCCCCACTAAAAGGGGACACCCCCTAGCAATCAACCAGGAGTTTGCTTGATTTGGCACCAACATTACAGCCCAACAAAGACCTTCTGGGGTTAATCCTTTGGACGGCCCAACCCACTTAGCGTTTAGGTTCTGCAGCTTGTGATACCTAGAGCAAGTGTTGTCAAGCGGCATAGGATGCGATTCACACTTCGGTTCACGGAAAGTGGCGATTGCAGAACAATGGTGGGTGGGAAATGGGAACCAAACGGCTGCACAAAAGATCGATGGTTCGTCCTCCTTTGGTTATTCCTGCAAAAATTCATATGGAAAGAGAAAATGGGTTCCTTCCCAAAACAGGGGTCCTTTCCCAAAAAGGAGGTTTCCCCTACACAGGGTTTTGGCGTTACAGCTATCAACCTGCACACGTGTAATGCATTGGGGGGGGGGTAGTCAAATTATTCCACCAAGGATGGCAGGGTGATGTGCCTCGGGACAATGCGCAATGTTGAAACTGGGCTGGGTCTTCTCCGAAAGGCTCAGATCTTTTTTGTGATTCATGGACAAGAAAAACACAATACACGACTCTCCTTGTGGGAACCCCTTCTGGGTGCTCCATGTGAATGTTCAACGGAATGAAGGGCTAACGAGTTGCAAGTTTAGTGCTAACGTTATCACTGTTGGTGTTAAGGTATCCCACACCCCCCATCATCATGTGGACCTTTTTGCCAGACTTGTTTATGGACTTACGGGATCCGGTCTGGAGTGCTTGCTCACGCGGTAAGCGCCAGGCAATGAGCATTTGGCAGCAGAGTGCCCCGTGCGGGAGCAGCCAGGCAGCGCCTCCGGGGATGGGTCGTTGCGCGAAGCCAACGGCGCTGAAAGTGGCAGGCTCCAAGTTTTACCAGGTGGGGTGTTTTTTTCCCCCCCCCCCCCCCCGAAAAATGATAGTTTTTTTGGTTTCCATTTACACCAACCCCGAAAAGGGTGCCATGAAAGAAAGACAGACCCAGCTTGGTCCAAGGGGAAAGCAGAGAAACGAAACACGATGTTTGGGGTCCTGTTTTGACATATACTGGTTGCCCTGGCTGACCCTTCAACACAGTTGTTTCCAAACTGTGCAGCCAGTTTTAGGCACCTGAGAAGGTTACGTAAACTTCAAAGGGCCTGGCCCTTTGGACAGTCTCAGCCCTGCTTCGTCGTTGTGGCTGAAAGTTTGGATTGTTTTTTTGTCTTCGCCGCCCAGGGGTTGGTTGTCTGAGCCAAACTGTCCTGCGGTTGCAAGGGCCCCCCCGCCCCCCAAACCCAATAGCGGCTAGTGGCGACTTATAGGGTCTACCTGGGGGCTATTAGTTGGAGGGTCCAGGCATGCTTGTAGGAACCACCTACTTGTGCTCCCAGCTCCTTGCGTCATCTGCTTGGTTTCATTAACTGCTTCCCGTCTTTTGTCATGCTTGGTCAAAAACGATGTGACCGGATTCCCCCGTAAGGACCTTTCGGAAACAACACGTCCTGTTGGGTGATGAACATGTTTTGCTGGGCTTGGGGCAGCCCCGGGCGCCCTGTAAATTCAACCAATTTCAGGGCTGCGGCCCAGTGCGGGCTCCCCCTTAGTGCCAATCATCGATACCACTGTTGGACTACAACAAATTTTATTTGTTAGACAAACACACTTTCTGGCTCTAGGTTGCTCCAAATTGCAGTGCGTGCAGTGCACGTCTACTTTAGTCAACTGAGACAAATGTCTTTACTAAAGTCATTGCCATACTGGTGGTGTCAACCCCGTCCCAGATAAAAACCGGGCGGATGCGAGCCCCAGAAGATTCCCAAACACACGAACCCGTGTGTGCATGTTTCCAAAACGGTCTAAAGCAATGCAGGCACCTATGTCTAACGTGACAATCCGATCCTGTGATAAAGTAGCGTGTTTTTTTTCTAGAAAGCTAAAACCCTGCGCTTCCTCGACTATACTTTTTATCGGCCCCGACGACAACGAAAGGCCAGGGAAACATAAGCTGTAGAAAGCTAAACAGGCAACATCCCCAGCACCCCGACTGCATGTGTTTTACACGCGCAGCCATGGGGATGGTTTAACCCTCAGAGCCTGGTCCCAGATGATAGGTGTGGGAGGAGCTTGGGCTATGCGTGTATTTTTGTTCCCATGGAAATCCAAATGACACCATGCAGAAACGTAACCTCCCAAAATTGGAAGACCACTCCTTCGCTATTCCCGCTGACCGTGCTAGTTATCATAACCCTTGCCAAGTCAACCGGTTGGATACGGGCTGCTTGGTCTCGCACGTGGAAACGGCCGCGCTTGGGCACGTGGCGGCTTGGCGGTCCCAGAACTACCTCTACGCCAACGGCTTCAAAGAGTCCTGGCTTCTGGGTGGGAACCTGTGTGCACTCCGCAAGAGGACCGCGCAGAGGATGCTGGATTTGGGCATTCCGCATAGGCTCAGATCCTCAGGGTTTGAGCCTGGTTATGAAAGCAGCGCCAGTGGTGGGCGCTTACTCGATCGATCGCATAGGTTCGGTCAACACATGAGCAACGGTCAATATTGACCATCATGTAGTGTAGTAAAGGGGATGACCTGGGTCACACAAGCCCCAAACTACCACTAGGAAATGGGGCTCACAGAAATCCCTCGCGAGTTGGGGCTGTGCTGATCATTCTCCGTAGTCTACGGTTCACTGGAGCCACAATCAAAGATGAAGGTTGGCAAGGGACGATCCCAGCCATAAATGGGTGCCTTCGCTGACTGGTTAATTCTTGAAGCATGGATTTGTGGATGGACCCATTTTTGTACCGATCAGTTTTGATCATGCCTCATTGGGGGTTCGGGACATGGATTAGGCTCTGAATTCAAGTACCAAAACTTCCAGTTGCAGAAATGAACATGTTTTTTCTTTTGGTCTTCCAGGGAATCTATCACTACTAGAATTATTTATATTTTTTCCTAGGGACTTAAGCAACTGGAGGAAACCCAAATGCAGGGTTGAGGTTGTGGGAAGGGTTGGCTCCCACGTCAAGCTGCGCTTGGAAGGCAGTCATTTGAAAGGGCTCGGTTGCACAGAAGGCTCTGAGTCCTAATTGTCCTATGCTCGGGTGAAAGTAGGTGGCAGAATTCCCGGCATGTGGTATTTCTAGTGAGGGGTTGGCATCATACCCTTAAAGCAACCAAACACACCTGAAAAAGGGGTACCAACTCCAAAACAGCAGCCCCAAGTGGCCGTGGGTCAACACCAATGGTACCATTTATGGGGTAGATGCACCACCCATTTTAGAACCTATTTTATTGGGTGTGCTGGATGTTCACTAGTACGGCCAAGTGGGTTTTGACCCATAGCCAAGTGGGTTGGCACGCGCTTCGCAGGCGCCCCTCTTCCGCGCGGAGTTTGAGGTGAAGGGTGCAGGCCCACAAGAGGCCAGCAGCCGGCCACTTCGCGGGAACTGGGGTCATTATATTTGGCGGTTTCTGGGGGTTATCAATCAGAAAATGCGGAAACAAGCCAAGGAGCCGGATGGCTGGATTTTGACTTTGGGGTTATCAAAGTCAGAAAATGCGGGTTGTTTCCTTTTAACCCGCCACTGAACGGGGGTGACTTTGATTATGGTAAAACAATGAGGCTAGGGGAATCGGAGGCATTCGAGCCAAGGCCAAAGCGGTTGTGTCATTTTTGGAGTTCCTGGATCAAGTAGCTACTTTTTTCCAGCCACTTGACCCAGTAGCCCATCATTCGGCAAGAGTAGCTGGAAAATACAGGCACCTGGGGGTGCAGGTTGGTGGCATTTTCTTTTCCATATGTTCCTGGGGTCTGATTTTTGTTTATTTTAGAAAAGACGATCAATAGAATCCGAGCAGAACTGTTCTGTGGGCCAAGTTGTGAGTTGGATCTTACCGGGACACCAACACAACTCAGCCAGACATCCACCGCTTGAGAATCCGATTCCAGTTGGCACTGTTCCAATCCGCAAGCGAAAGTTTCACCTTTGGTTAAAGGGGTCCAGCTCTTTGGTGGTTTGCGGTTTTCCAATTTGGAATGTGGACAGTTCTTGCTCAACACTCTATTTTGACCAGCCGTAAACCGATTCTTCTTGGCCATGTCAGGTGGTTCGGTTCCTGTTAGCCCATGTAACCCTTAATCATGTTGGTACAACCAAGACCCCCCTGTGATTCTTGGGATACGCCACCTACCAAGTGGTGCGAAGAGGATTTGTCCGTCCACATCGGGGTAGTTTTGGAAGCAATGGTGGAGTCTCGAGAAGTTCATCAGGCCAACCACAGAAATTAGTCGACAGCATTGTCCTTGTTCCCCATTCGAAGGGATCACTATGCTTAGCCTGGCTGGATTGAAATAGCCGTTAGGTTTGCCACTTTTACTCGAGTCTTCGATTGGGTTGTTGTTATGGGCACCAATCCACTGAAATCAAGATGGGTGTCGCACAATACTGTCTTTGGAACTGTCAACCATGCCTTGTGAATAAGCGTTGGTGTGTGTGTGTGTGTGCGTGTGTGTTAGTGTCCAACAAACACACGAATGTCGGCAACTGTTCACATAATATCATGACCTCTTTACTTGTTGCGGAAAGACACATTTACATTCGACAAAATGCGCAAAAACCAGCCCAAAAGAAACCCGCTCCAAGTTCCAGGGCGAGGCAACGGGCCCTTGTGTGAAAGCAAATGTTAAAAAATAAAATAAAAAACAAATCACCTTCATTGTTTGAATCACCTTTGGCTCCCTAAGCCTAAAGTGCAAATTGCGCCTTTGTTCAATCGCAAATTGTGCAACCAGCCGCCCTGCCCAACTAACACACACCCCACACCCCACACCCCACCCCACCCCCCATCCCCCCACCCCCCCACCCAAAAACAAACCAAGCCAAGCCCGGACGCGTCGCCAGGTCTTCCATGCGATTGCGGCCAAACTCCAGGAGGTGCGCCTTCTCGATGGCTGAATTCGGAGGGTTTTTTGTTCTGGAGAAACACGGACCCCCGCGGGGTACGTGGGTTGTTTTGTGAATCACTATGTGGGTGGGGGTCAATAAGTGAGGGGGTGAATAAGTGGGTGGGTGTTTTGTGTCACTCCGGGGGTGGATGTACTTCCCTCTTCATGGCATATTGCGTGCATCCATCCCAACATTACGGAAATGCGTGCGATAAATAGAGGATTCCACCTAGAAGTGCGCGATGATCCGGTGTTCACTAGCAGCTCTTTGCGGTTATGTGTGCGAATACAGCTCAAGATGTTGTTGGCACTAACAGAGAGTTTCATTGTTTGTAGGATGCCCCGGTGTGTCTTTTTGCGTACCCTATTTTTGCAGGTCTAGATGAAAACCAAAAGGGACAGCACCATAGGGGGGGGAGAAGACACACACCAAACAATTGGAAAATGTGTCCGTTTGCATCAGCGACAGACACTTATTGGAGATACGTCAAGACTAGCGGCGTCTTTGGGATCAGTGCCATAGGTGGGAGTGATCCCTTGCTAGGTCCCCCAGTAGTGCCCTTTTTTTGGGGAGGGTTCTCCTGCTAAAATAGACTACAGAAAAAGGGTACCCATGGTGCCCTTATTCCAACCTCTCTACTGGAGGACCTAGCTTGTGTCGCGCAACTATTTGAGGGTTCTATACTATAGACTATATCTCTCTCTCTCGCCCAAGTGGTCTATATCTCTCTCCCGCCCAAGTGGTCACAACCAATCGTTGGCCCCGCTCACACCAGCTCCCCTTTAAGGGCTAGGCACACTGTCCACCAGCGAGCTCGTCCTGGTAATGTTGATCCCAGCTTACTATGGGGTGGGGGCCCCTCCAATAGTGGTCTAAATCCAATAACTAAACCCAAAAAACTCCTTAATTCATCAACCAGGGTGCATTGATTTGGGGTCAACATGATTCCCAGGCATTTGGCTCCCTGACCGCCAGGTTTTAGCGAGCTCTGAGTTTTTGCTGTGAGGGAGTCACCAGCTTCACCCTCAGCTGGTGTCTTTTTTGCAGGGTGCCCTTCCTACAACTAACATGGCACCTGTGGGGAGGTACCTGGAAGACTAACTTTCCTTTGAAGGGATGCCCTGGCAGTTGCCGTGTTAGTGGGAGGGAGGGGAATCCGGCTTACTTGTTCTGTTCCTGCAAAAAGATGCACCCTGGAGGTATGATTTGATTTGATTCAGATGCGTCAGGACTCATAGGCATAGGCCAGTGAAGGTTGGCACCTCGGGGTCTTTGGGTAAAAGCATTTGCTGAGACCTGCTGTGGATGGGAAAAGTCCATTTCGCAGCAGTGGGGACTGATGAAACATGAGAACCCTTTGTGATTTGTGGGATAAACATGGGTAAGCCACTTACTAAGTGGTGCAAAATTGATTTTGTCCATCCACAGTATGATATTTGTTGCTATGGGTCAAGCACTCCGCGGCACGCCATGTGTTTTCACATGCACGATTGATAGACAATAGGCTCTCTGGAGTTAGGCCTCGTCATCAACCTCTGGAAATATATGCCTTGGGATGGGTGCTCTGAAAATAGCCAAGGGGAAACCACCAATCGTTAAGCATGCCGGTCAAACACTGCGCGCGCAGTTGCGCCAACAGTCTGAGTTGTTGTTGACACATGCGCTTTGTCTCGGTGGGACCACTGAGTTTGTGTCTGCAGCGGGGTTGACAGAAAAACCCTGGATAGAATTGAAGGGAATCCGTTTGGTGATAAAGTTGGCATCGGCATGATCCTTATTGGTATCACATAATTTGAATGCGGGCCACTAATAGCGAGTAATAAGGCCTATTAAGGGGCTAACAGGGTTCCTTGTGGAGGGCGTTTTGTCGGGGTCCCCTTTTTGGGAACAAGCATGCTCACCAGAGAAGTCTTGCCAGCCATCCAGCGCATCCAAAGCATGATCAATGTGGGTTTCATAAGGTTTGCGTTTCACCATAACACCATGTTGTTTTGGAGTCTCCGCAGGAATTTGATTGGGTCCTGGAGGCTTGCTCCAATCAACACAGCGACACCGCAATGGTCTATGTTCATCAGACTTAGCTGACTATTTTATCTTTCCCCCTTTGGTTTCATTTCCCCTGTCAATTTGCACCTAGCCTACCGCTTCTCACTCCCTGAGTTCTTCTTTTTTTGGAAGACCATGTTGGTGGTGGACAAGAACAAACAAGTTTAGACTTATTGGCCGATCCACTCGGGAAGGGAGTTGTTCACACTCTTTGGCCTGTGGTTTTCATGCAACGAGCTTTGGCAGTTGCCGAGTCGCTTTTCGGGAGGCGCGCTGGAATCCTTCGCTGCGGAAGCTGAACCTCACCGGCTTCCACCGGGGGGTGCGGGGCATCCACGAGGAGTCGCCGCTCGCCGCCGGCTTTCGTGGGCCCGGAAAATCCGGGTCATAGATGGGTGTGGCTCAAAATTAAACGATCGGAGGGACGAACCGCAGGTTTTGGTCCATTTCCCACTTACCAGGACAACCCATTTTGGTACCGGTTTTTGGAGCCACAGCCAGATGTCCTTTTTGCTTGTTTTGGTAGAAAACTAGATGGCGATCCCTGGTTTACCTGCTGGTTTAATCATCTTCCAGGGCCATCTATGTCCCCTAGAAGCACACCTATGATCTGGATCATGCGTGAGTGTGTGTGTGTGTGTGTGTTTGTGCGTGAACCGCCTGAATCAAGGGTCCGCCGTTGCCACTTCGCTTGGGGCTTTTCCTAGCGTGGGTTGTCAAGCTGGCTGCCCTCAGGGCCAGCGAGTCGCCCAGGGGCATCTCACCAGCTTTCATGGTGGGCTCTGCACTTGAGCGGGTGGGCAAAGACCAAAAGCATGAAGAGTCAACGGACCCCTCTCTCTCTACCACAATGGCTTTCTGGTGTGTGTGCTTTTTGTTTTAGGGGGTGGGAATTTGTGTATCTTCTATTTGGGTTTCGGGATTTGTGTACTTATTTCCCCGGTTGGTTTTAGCTGGAATCTAATGACTAATGGAAGGTTTTTTTTTCCGGACGGCTGAAGCAAACTGGAAGCGATAATGTGTTGTTATTGAAAGGCTTTTGCAGCGGTCCTGGGCTTTGGGGCCTAAGCCGAACCAAAAACCCACCCTAAGCCCCAAACAACCTGAACCAATCCTGCCAGCCCTAACCCCACCCTGAGCCCACCCCAAGCCCACCGGACACCAACTACCCTAAATCTTACTAGAAACTCACACTAAGCCCACCTCAAGCCCACCCCAGACCCTTCTGAAACCTCTAGACCAACCACGACCCAAACAAGAGGACACCCACCATTTTGTGAGTTCCCATACCAGCACCCTCCGACTACTGCCCAAACGGCAGTAGATAGAAAATTTCCAAAAACGACCGTAGTTAGAAAAACTACTGTCAATTATTTTATTTGCGGGATGCCCATAGTCTAACTACTGCTAGCTACTGTTTACAACGGGGAGATGCCATAGCAGGGGTGGTATCAATCAAGGGGTGGCAGCAAGTGCAGCAAGCGCCTCACAGTGTGTCACCCGTTTCACCCCGTGTCACCTGCGTGTCACCTGCGTGTCACCCCGTGTCGCCCCCGTGTCGCCCCCGCGTCGCCCCCGTGTCACCCCGTGTCGCCCCCGTGTCGCCCCCCCAGAACGACAGTAGATCGATGCGAACTACTGTCGTTTGAGCGTGTCACCCCGTGTCGCCCCCGTGTCGCCCCCGTGTCGCCCCCGTGTCGCCCCGTGTCGCCCCCGTGTCGCCCCGTGTCGCCCCCGTGTCACCCCGTGTCACTCCGTGTCGCCTGCGTGTCACCGTGTCACCCCGCGGTCTTGTTTTTCACTGTTTGGGGCAACATGAAACGACCGTAGATCGCGGATCTACTGTCGTTTATTTTATTTTCGGAACTACTGCCAAATACCCGGTAGTTCCGAAAATAAAATTTAGACGGTGGTCGGAGGGTGCTGGTAGTTCCCATACTTTTTTGACATACCCATACAGCTTGGACACATCTGCGCTGGTGTTTGATGCTTTCCAAAGTGGAAGGGCAAAAGACTCCGTTGGTACGGTCCAACAATTTTTGCGGAACACTGCCATGTTCCGTAGTTCTTTCTTTTGGTTCCCCCCTTACCATGGGTGTATCTTGTCTTTTGCGAGCTTTTTTGCCTTTGGCCATGCAACTAGGTGTGTGTCATTTCTGTTTTTATTTGAAAAGGCAAACCAACAGGAGAGACCACTTTGAAGGATTCCGATTCCGATTGTGAGAACCGAGCCCAGTTGTTTCAGAGTTCCTTTTCAATCGACCAAATGGTTGATAAACCTGGCCCACTGTTTGGTATTTCAGCAGACTGCCTCCATGTCAAGTTCGCCTTGCAGGTATGCCAAACCTATCCCGCCAAAACTTGTTTTTCCTTGTTGATGTTTCCAGACTTTGGGACAGGTTCCGGGGTTCCCAAATGAGCAGTGTTTTTTACGGTAGTAAAGGGACCAAAAGGAGAGTGGACATATCAGGCCCCGCATAGGCACTTAACTGCACGCACGTAGGCACGCGTATCCACTTTTTGACAGTTGGCTCGAGTAGGCGCTGCGGAGGCTTGACTTGACAATTTGCCCATTGAAAGAAGGAAACAAGCGAAGATGTGGGGATACGCAGAGAGAAGGGCAGATTCGGGCCTACGCTTAAGCTGCAACTCATTGGGGTGGATGATGATTGAAATTGGCAGGTTGTAACCACTACTCAAAGGGCGCTTGGGTCGTTTTGGTCCTACAAACAAATCCGAACAACAAGCAGGGCTGTTTGGCTCAGCTGTCTTTCATGGAGCTTGGCCTTTTACTGTGCGCCACGGCGGTTGGCAAGCAGAGCAGACAATCCTGCTCACAGGAGCTAACACGGGGAAGACGTTTTGCAGCGTGGTCAGAAACATACCGTTTTCTGTTTGTGAGTTCGGTGTGTCCAACATAGCGGGCCTCCAAGTTAAGGTGGTTTCCCTTTAGATTCCTGCCACGTTCGATTCACTGAGCCCCTCGTTGACTGCTCGAACACACGGGCCTTTGTCTGACCGTGCTGCAGCCAGTCACACAGTTACTTCCTCCAGGAGGCGCCGAATGAGCCGCCCTTGCGTGTCGACAGGCAGCCTAACCTTGGCAGGCCTTCTTATTGACCCATCTTTGGTTGCCTCTTTCATTGTGATATTGCAATCACTACATGGGAAATCTTACCCATGGTCAGATCGAGGGCCCTAAACGGAGCATTGATCAACTCCCATTCTGTGGATGGACGAAATCCTGCACGACCGAAGAAACCCTGGTTTCGGATGATTCCCCTGTAAAAAACCCAACGAACAATAGTTTCCCATGGATCCCAAGTGGTGCGAACGGATTCTGTCCATCCACAGTATGTATCGTTATTGATCAACTCCCATATGATGTGGCCCATATGGGTATGGCTCAAAAAACCGGCACCAAAATGGAACCCTGGCAAGTGGAAACATGGACCAACACCTGCGTAACCCCAGCTCTTTAATTTTGAGCCACTGCCACATGATGCTTTTTGGATTGGAACGGGACTCCAGGAGTTTGCCACCACCAAGATCCTGGGCCTTGAGTTGACACCTCGGGAGCTCTTCGAATGGCAGGCGGGCGCTCGAAATCGGAAGGGCTCCGCTGGATGAATTTGGGGATCCGAGTAGATGGATTTCGGCCGTGGTCCTAAACTTTTGTGAGGGCCCCTTTTCTCACTCCCTGAGTTCAGTTTTCGGACTTGATCGTCGCTTCTTGGGTTTGGTTGCCATTTCAGTCGCAAAAGTTTGGTTACTTGATTTGGCGAGTCGACTCGTTCTGAAGTGAGTTTGAGGCCCAAACACTTGTGAGGAGCCCGCAAAATGGTTTTTGCTACAAGGAAGGCAACCGGATACCCCGAATCGCAATAACATGGCCAAGCACCACAACGCTTTAGGGCTACCTTCGCCCAGCCACAACTTCCTTCTGCAGTGGTTAAGCCTTGAATTCAACTGTCCCCGACCCGAATCAAAGTGGTTGGATTTCCACCCCTTTCTTTTGGGTGACTTAGCCATTTTGTAGAGGATCAGAAGGTGACGCCCTCTACCCCAAAGAAATGCCCTTCCTCCATCAAAGTGATGTCTCCAAGATGATTACAAGGAAATCCTCCTGTATGCCGGCTTCCTCTGCATTTCCGCTACATGATGGGGTAATTCTCCTGAGATGTCTTGGCATACTAGCAAGCGGTCCGCAATGCAGTCGCAGCTGCTCTCGCGCATGCTTCTGAAGCAGAAGCAAGCGGCGTGGACTTTTCTTTGGTGCGTGACATTCTTGCAGCCCAGCCGAGCCCCATCCCGGCTTCCTCCTCATTTCCGCTGGTTCGATTCTCCAAAGAAAAAACGGATGGCTAACCCCTAAAATTCGTCATGAATTCCTCTTATACGTAGCGATGGATGCCTCTGGGAGGTAGACGGAACCACCCACTTCAAAAGGAGCTCCACTCTACAGATACATCTTGCAAGGGAGTGCCCCCATTTAATGGAGCTCACTTCTCGACTTCTAACAACTCCCCCTTACGAGTGGTCCACCGAGAGGTTCGGCAATGAACCTTTTGAATCTCGGAGCAAAAGGAAGTGAGGAATCGAGCGGCCATTTTTGAGTGCGTCTTCTTTTGAGGGGACACCCCATAATGCTGGTTTTCCCTTTGTTTTCCCTTTGAACCCACAAAAGAAAGGTGCCCTGCACAGAAGACAGACCCCCATCCGTTCGCGAGGCGGCGAGCCACAATGCGAGCCTTGAGCGATACCTCGTGGCCGTGGAGTCGGATGAGGCGAAGTCGTGCGATACCGACCGTAAGACCCGAGTTGGTCGAATTCCCAGACTGTGGTCACCCTGTTGGGTTAGCTTCCCAGTGTTGTGGCCAGCGAAGAAAAACAAGAAGGCGTGGTTACGTTGTGCCAATCCACTGGATCGGAAGCAAGTGGTGGCAATGTTCGCGATGTAGCAACCAGACCCTGACCGTGGGGGGATCCGGGTCTCCTGTCGAATTCGTATTTTGATGACTACAGATTAGCGCGGAACACGGAAACAAAACCATTTCTAGAGGCAACCCCTGGGAAATGGACTTCCACTGGAGTAAACTATGCATCAGCTGAGCACTTCTTGCTGTGTCAAGACTTGGAGCGCAAATCAGCCTTAAGGATTGACTCCACCCACTGTGTCCTCGGCTTTCAACAACTACCTGAGGGTCTCCTTTTGACCCTTAACATACTGTTGGTGACCCAACAGGAAAAGGTCATGATCTTCATGTTTGAAGGGTCATGGCGACTCCAGGTATGTGACTTATCCATGTTTGGCTGTTCTGTTTTCTTTTTTCTCCTATAAGACGGACACCTGTAAGGACTGGTTTTGAACCTTGAGTAAATGATCCTCAAGGCTTGCTGTTGTTGATACATCCTCCACACGCTAATATGTTCTGTCAAGAGGTTATACGCTGGTCCTTTTTAATGGGCTTTCCTCTTCTATTGCACTCTCCTGGGCATGGAACATGGGATTTCAAGCCACCTTTTTTATACCAATAACACCTCCTTTACATGTGACAAAGATGGTAGCATGATGGAATCACAGCTTTGGATTGGGATTCTCCTTTGACATTCAGAGCAGAGCTTAGGAGATTCGTAGATTAGCTTCAATTGCCGAGATCCTTGGAGTTACGGAAAACTCCGGTCAGACTGCCTGGACCCTCAAACTACCCATAAAAAATGGGAGGGGGAAATCACCAACCATTTTGTTTTGGGCAGTATAACACATGCCGTCCTGCACCCGCCGCCCTATATGGCCGTGGTTGTCAAAACCACTGGGATCCCATTTTGGCGGTCCCGGTTCACCACTCATTTTAGAACCTATTTGAGTGGGGATTGGGATGTTCACTGGGGTTACGGGGTTTTGACCCATGGCCATATATCAAGCAGACCGAAGTTCTCTTTTGGAGGGTTGGGTCCTAGAAAAAGTTGTCTGACACTGCCATGGTCCCCGGGGCTTTTCTGGCTCATGTTGACCCCAGGGCTTCGCATCCCTGAAACGGAACACCTGATTCATGACAGGGTTTACTTATCAGGTTGGCACGAAAGCCGAACTACTAGCAACTACGCCTAGTCAAATGAGCTTGCCCGTGATCAAGATGCCGTAGAGATGTCTGAATTGAGGTTGATGATTGCGACTTAGTCTAGGTCCCCCAGTAGTGCCCTTTCACCATTTTTTTGGGGGAGGGTTTCCCTACTAAAATAGGCTACACAAATACTCTTATTCTAACCTCTCTACTGGAGGACCTAGTAGTGCAGATGGCTGTGTCCATTGTTGGCTACCCTCTTTTCGTGCTGACTTTCGGGGTACCGTAAACTTCAAGAACCAACCTTACGCTGAGCCAGGGGCAAAAGATCCAAGAAGCGCAGACTTGATCATCATTTTTAAACGGGATAACACGGCTAACTGCCGACATTGATTATACGGCAATTAAATCCGGGCGCCTTGCTGCCTAAGGAAGTACTTTCACTCCTTCCAATCCTTCCAACATCCTCAAAGGGTACACTTGGTATGGCTTAGTAAAACATACACACCCACATAACACAAAACCATTTACTGTTTAGTTTGGCTCCAAGTCCTAAATGAAGCATCCATCACTGCCGTTTTGGGGGTCCAAATCCTAAAAAACAGACACCCCCCATGTCACAAAGATATAAGCTCACGTAGCTTTAGGGCCTCTGGAGCCCAGGTTTCCAAAGGAGCGCTATCCATGGAATCGACTGGAGGGCTCCGCAGCCAGGATCCGCAGGTGCCATCCTTCGATCAGTCGGCCGGGAACGCCCAGCCGAGTCGGAACGACGTGTCAGAGGTAGCACATAGTCACTAGACCCCTGGAACAGACCGGCCAAGCAGAGAAAATACGGGGTAAATAAGGCTTGACAGTCATATTTTCATACGCCCAATAGAGTAAATAAGGTGTGCAGCAGTGTCATATTTCTTCTGGTTGAAATCAAGTTGGGTTTTCCATTAAACCCACAACAAGTTGAAAACTGGTTGCAGAGGGGTCAACATCAACCAGGCTTCAAGATGTTCAAGACGGTTCAAACCTTGAATCTCACGTTCTGCAAGGCTTGTTTGCGAGCTATGTCGTGACTGGTGGCACAGCCAGAAGCTGGGGAAACGCATGCACGGGCGTTTCCTGAAGCTCCCGCTTAAAGGGTTCACGGGAGAAACGCGTAACGCTCAGAGTCAGCATGCATCTTGTTGGGCAAACGTTTTGAAGGGAAAAGCAACAGGAAGCCAGCTGTTAGAGGGCTCAGTTCCGCCTTTGTGGTGTTGACCCTGAATCATGTTACCTGCTGAGAAACTTTTGATTGGAAGCCATCACCAAAAGGTCATCCGATTGGAGGTCCTGGGATGCTTTGGGGAATCGAAAGGAATCCGCTTTCTTACCCAGCTTGTTAGGTGCATGATTTTACGAATGACCTCTTTTTCATAGGGCATTCAGTAATTAACTTCTTCATAAGCTGTTGACCCAGCTTAGAACCAATGGGTTTTGGGCACTACTCAGTGCTCAGATGAGGCAGGCCAGGAAAGCATTGCGAGGTGGGATCATTTGTCCCTTTAATACCACCTCTGAGGGTCGATGGCACCCGACTTTGGTGTGGTTTCTGAGTTGGGCTGACTGGCCTGTTGGCTGGTCCTGGTTGCTTGGCTGGCTGGTTGGTTGGTTTGTTGGTTGGTTGCTGTCCTTTTGGGTTTTTCACCGCAGAGATGATGAGATCTTTACCACCAAGAGCTGATTCGGGTGATGAGACTCTTTTTGCTACTGACTGATGCTCTGCAGACTGGATACAGGCTTGGTTGGACGTTGGTGGAGCTTGGCGATGTGGTGAGTGTGTGTGTGTGTGTGGGTGTGCGTGCATGTTGGGTTGTCTTGTTTCCAGCCTTCCCGACTTAGCCTCAGCTGACCGATTCTGCGTACAAGGTGATGAGAGGCAGCCAGTTCTATTTGTGCTTGTTCCCGCGTGAGCTGACTGTTTTTTTTTCCTGGCTTTGCACACGTCCAACTACTCAGTGTCCATCGACCTTCACGTCAAACTATCCTACTCTCCCATGAGTGATCGGTTGTGGAAAACAATGTCCTTTGAAAGGGACCCTCTGGCGGATTCCATTATGTGCACGGGAGTGTACCTGCTTTAGCCGGATTCTGCTTCAACTTGCTACGCAACTAATAGGAGCGGTCGCGGCATCAGCAGAGATGATGAGATCCTTTACCACCAAGAGCTGATTCGGGTGATGAGACTCTTTTTGCTACTGACTGATGCTCTGCAGACTGGATACAGGCTTGGTTGGACGTTGGTGGAGCTTGGCGATGTGGTGAGTGTGTGTGTGTGTGGGTGTGCGTGCATGTTGGGTTGTCTTGTTTCCAGCCTTCCCGACTTAGTCTCAGCTGACCGATTCTGCGTGCAAGGTGATGAGAGGCAGCCAGTTTTGTTTGTGCTTGTTCCCGCGTGAGCTGACTGTTTTTTTCCTGGCTTTGCACACGTCCAACTACTCAGTGTCCATCGACCTTCACGTCGAACTATCCTACTCTCCCATCCGCGAACATGGAACCTGAGTGAGAGGTTGTGGAAAACAATGTCCTTTGAAAGGGACCCTCTGGCGGATTCCATTATGTGCACGGGAGTGTACCTGCTTTAGCCGATTCCGCTGCAACTTGCTACGCAACCAATAGGAGCGGTTGCGGCATCAGCAGAGATGATGAGATCCTTTACCACCAAGAGCTGATCTTGAGTGATGAGACTCTTTTTGCTACTGACTGATGCTCTGCAGACTGGATACAGGCTTTGTTGGACGTTGGTGGAGCTAGTCGATGTGGTGAGTGTGTATGTGTGTGTGTGCGTGCATGTTGGGTTGTCTTGTTTTCAGCCTTCCCGACTTAGCCTCAGCTTACCGATTCCGCGTGCAATGTGATGAGAGGCATCGAGTTCTATTTGCGCTTGTCCCTGTGTGAGCTGACTGTTTGTTTCTTTCTGGCTTTGCACACGCCCAACTAGTCAGTGTCCAACAACCTTCACATCGAACTATGCGTCAGTGCAAGCTGACTTGTCAAGCCACTTCATGGAATGTTTGGACCCAACATCCTGGCCACCTCTCAAGCGATGCTGAACGCACTTGTGAATTGCGCGTAAAGAGGATGGCCGCCACTGGACTCTTATCATCAGTGTCCCGGCTGCAGAGCATCAGCAAGCACGTTTGTCCTCTATATGAAACTATTGTCACTGCGACGCATGTGTTGCAGAACTAAAATGCCGTTGAGCAGCCGCAGACTAGTCAGTTGGACAGGCTGTGTCAGGCTTGTTTTTCAGTTTGTTTCCGACTGATTGCCAGTCGCATTCTTGCCCACGCCCACCCGCTCTTGCATTCGTGTAACTTGCACAATGGATAGCAAGCGGTCTCGGAATCAGCAGAGATGATGAGATCTTTTACCACCAAGAGCTGATCTCGGGTGATGAGACGCTTTTTGCTACTGACTGATGCTCTGCAGCCGGGATACCGATGATAATTGTCCAGTGCCGGCCATCCTCTTTCTGCGCAATTTACAAGTGTGTTGGGTCCAGACATTCCATGAAGTGGCTTGAAATTTACTTGACGTTGCTTGACATTGCTTGACATGGCCAGAGTATGCACGTTTGTCCTCTATATGAAACTTATTGTCACTGCGACGCATGTGTTGCAGAACTAAGATGCCGTTGAGCAGCCGCAGACTAGTCAGTTGGACAGGCTGTGTCAGGCTTGTTTTTCAGTTTGTTTCCGACTGATTGCCATTCTCATTCTCTCACACCCACCCGCTCTTGCATTCGTGTAACTTGCACAATGGATAGCAAGCGGTCTCGGAATCAGCAGAGATGATGAGATCTTTTACCACCAAGAGCTGATCTCGGGTGATGAGACGCTTTTTGCTACTGACTGATGCTCTGCAGCCGGGATACCGATAATAATAGTCCAGTGCCGGCCATCCTCTTTATGCGCAATATACAAGTCTGTTGAGCATCGCTTGAGAGGTGGCTAGGATGTTGGGTCCAGACATTCCATGAAGTGGCTTAAAATTTACTTGACGTTGCTTGACATTGCTTGACATGGCCAGAGTATGCACGTTTGTCCTCTATATGAAACTTATTGTCACTGCGACGCATGTGTTGCAGAACTAAGACACCGTTGAGCAGCCGCAGACTAGTCAGTTGGACAGGCTGTGTCAGGCTTGTTTTTCAGTTTGTTTCCGACTGATTGCCAGTCGCATTCTTGCCCACGCCCACCCGCTCTTGCATTCGTGTAACTTGCACAATGGATAGCAAGCGGTCTCGGAATCAGCAGAGATGATGAGATCTTTTACCACCAAGAGCTGATCTCGGGTGATGAGACGCTTTTTGCTACTGACTGATGCTCTGCAGCCGGGATACCGATGATAATTGTCCAGTGCCGGCCATCCTCTTTCTGCGCAATTTACAAGTGTGTTGGGTCCAGACATTCCATAAAGTGGCTTGAAATTTACTTGACGTTGCTTGACATTGCTTGACATGGCCAGAGTATGCACGTTTGTCCTCTATATGAAACTTATTGTCACTGCGACGCATGTGTTGCAGAACTAAAATGCCGTTGAGCAGCCGCAGACTAGTCAGTTGGACAGGCTGTGTCAGGCTTTTTTTTCAGTTTGTTTCCAACTGATTGCCATTCTCATTCTCTCACACCCACGCGCTCTTGCATTCGTGTAACTTGCACAATGGATAGCAAGCGGTCTTGGAATCAGCAGAGATGATGAGATCTTTTACCACCAAGAGCTGATCTCGGGTGATGAGACGCTTTTTGCTACTGACTGATGCTCTGCAGCCGGGATACCGATGATAATTTTCCAGTGGCGGCCATCCTCTTTCTGCGCAATTTACAAGTGTGTTGGGTCCAGACATTCCATGAAGTGGCTTGAAATTTACTTGACGTTGCTTGACATTGCTTGACATTGCTTGACATGGCCAGAGTATGCACGTTTGTCCTCTATATGAAACTTATTGTCACTGCGACGCATGTGTTGCAGAACTAAGATGCCGTTGAGCAGCCGCAGACTAGTCAGTTGGACAGGCTGTGTCAGGCTTGTTTTTCAGTTTGTTTCCGACTGATTGCCATTCTCATTCTCTCACACCCACCCGCTCTTGCATTCGTGTAACTTGCACAATGGATAGCAAGCGGTCTCGGAATCAGCAGAGATGATGAGATCTTTTACCACCAAGAGCTGATCTCGGGTGATGAGACGCTTTTTGCTACTGACTGATGCTCTGCAGCCGGGATACCGATGATAATAGTCCAGTGCCGGCCATCCTCTTTCTGCGCAATTTACAAGTGTGTTGGGTCCAGACATTCCATGAAGTGGCTTGAAATTTTCTTGACGTTGCCTGACATTGCTTGACATTGCTTGACATGGCCAGAGTATGCACGTTTGTCCTCTATATGAAACTTATTGTCACTGCGACGCATGTGTTGCAGAACTAAGACGCCGTTGAGCAGCCGCAGACAAGTCAGTTGGACAGGCTGTGTCAGGCTTGTTTTTCAGTTTGTTTCCAACTGATTGCCATTCTCATTCTCTCACGCCCACCCGCTCTTGCATTCGTGTAACTTGCACAATGGATAGCAAGCGGTCTCGGAATCAGCAGAGATGATGAGATCTTTTACCACCAAGAGCTGATCTCGGGTGATGAGACGCTTTTTGCTACTGACTGATGCTTTGCAGCCGGGATACCGATGATAATAGTCCAGTGCCGGCCATCCTCTTTATGCGCAATTTTCAAGCGCGTTGCGCATCGCTAGGATGTTGGGTCCAGACATTCCATGAAGTGGCTTGGTTAGATGTTGGTGGAGCTGGAGCTTGGTATTGCGTTGGGTTCGGCTGCACTGGAAGCCTTGCAGAGTGTGCCTGCCTTTTTGGCTTTGAATGAGGGCTATGCCGTTGAACAAGGTTACTTGTTGTACCTAGGCAAAGGCAGATCGAAACCCAGGGTGATAGATGTCCCCAAAAAAACAACAACCACCCCTCGGTTTTGGTCTACCTTGCGGAGAATAGTCAAAAATAGATGGCGCGCATGGTAGTCAGGGTATTGGGCTTAGACGGTGAGGAGTTGCTTGACACTGTCCTTGCTTGACATTGCTTTACTATTTTCTTTTTTTAGCACCAGCCAACCATGCCCATGCTTGCGACTCTCTCCGCTTTTGCCCCTGTTGGCTCTCGGCTGACGCTGCTGCATTTGTAGACAATGCACTGGAGCGAGGCAGAGATGATGAGATCTTTACCACCAAGAGCTGATCTTGAGTGATGAGACTCTTTTTGCTACTCACTGATGCTCTGCAGACTGGATACAGGCTTGGTCGGCATGGCTTGGCCGCGTTGCGTTGGGCTGTCTTTTTTCAATTCAGGCAGCAGGCGTGGCTGTCTGAGTGAGATGCGCAGCGTGGTTGTGTGTACAGTGCATGAGGCTGATTCACATTCCTCAGCAATGCTCTACATTGCTTGATTTTTGTTGGCTTTGAACAAGCCGAGCTGATCAATATCAAGCAGCGTTCATGCCTATTCAGCTGGGTACCAAGGCGGTTGCGATTCGTTGCAGCCCAATCTGGGCTTTTGCAGCAGGTTGCAATTATCAGATGACAGAGTTGTGCGGATCATGCTAAACCGTGTCTCGCTTGTTTGCTCATAGATTGCTACGCCAGAGGATGCTTGACATGCTTGCCTGCAATGCTTCCCCATGCTCACGCATTGCGGCCCACGCCCATCCCTTCTTAATGATTGCCCCGGTCTTCTGTTGCCTAATTAACTCTGCTGCAACTTGCAGCGCAATGGATGGAAGGGTGGGCCCTTGGAATGAGCAGAGATGATGAGATCATATACCACCAAGAGCTGATCTCGGGTGATGAGACGCTTTTTGCTACTGGCTGATGCTCTGCAGATTGGCCGAGCAATCCCGCACATGCCTTTTCGCCATCGTGGAGAGCTTGCGGACAGGGTTTTCTATGATTTGGATGGGTGCTTCTTCCAATCAGGAACCAGGGTAGGAAATGGGTTCCTCATCTTGAGACAAGCGCGCATGCTTGCAAATGGTACTCTAAGCGCCCTTGTACTTGAGGACATGTGGGGTTTGAGGGACCTTCATGATGGGTGATCTCATGTTTCCCCCTGATCGGTACTCTCGCCAGAACAAACCCTGAGCTCGGCCCCAACTCATATTAAAAGCAAATGGAGCTAATTCAACTTGCACTAGCATTTGGACCCGTCCCCCGCCCACTAACGGGGAACGATGGAATCTTTGATTAACCTCCACACAAGTGGTCCGTGACTACTCGTAGTCTATGAACCTGAACCTGATCAAGTTTTTGTTTAGCGAAGAGATATACATCAGCAATTCTAAGCCTGACCTGAACTCATATCAAAAAACATCATGATTCTCCACAACAACCAGGGACACCTTCCCATATAAATAAACAGGGGTTGACTAATAGTGGGGTCAACATTAGCACAATTCCTTGGTTACTTGTTATTTTTTTGTTCGGGAAAAGTCAACCTGGTGTAGCTAATCCAGCGGCAAAGCCTCGTCGCTCGCAGGTCGTGGCCAGACAGTGCCTGGCCGCCTATGAGGTCCTTGGGGGAAGGGCGCGTCTCACCGATCGACAGTGTGTCAGGTAAGCCCCGATTGGTGGTTTGCATTGGTGGGAACTTGGGATTTTGAACCCTGGTTCTTGTACCGTGGAAACCATTCCAATCCTGACCACCAAACAACCAAGCCACCAATGCGTTCCTTTTGGGGAAATCAACTGGGAAAAGAAACGTCTATGCCTCAAGTCAAAAAATCATGGAACCCTGTTTTGGTTCTTGGCTACTTGTTTCCCGGACATTGGGAAACCACTGCTTCGGCTGGTTCTGGCTGTTTTGTTAGGTTCTGTCCATTGTGCCATGCGCAAAGAACACAGCTTGTTGCTGACATGCTAATGGTTAAAAGTGCTCCAATCGAGCTGTGGCAGGCCGCGAAAGAGTCATTCGGGTATGTTGATTTTTGCTCGGAATCGGAAGATGGGTATCCTAAGAAAAGGACACGCCTATTTGGTGGTATAAGGGTCCATTCCTTTTGGTCTGAGAGTACCCCACAACCCGATTCTCTTTATTTAGATCCTAGTCCCTTCTGACATGCATCAATGATCCATCAACAAATGCGAAGTGAGCCCATTGGCGTCCTGGTTTTGTTTCGCGTCGCGACTGGCGACTGCGCCGGTTTCCAGCTAGCAACGCGGGCTGCCATGGAAGGGCCAAACGCGCCACTCGGAGTCGCCGTCGCCTTTCCATCCGCCAGGTGGTGCCTGGCACAGCAGGCGGGAGGGATGGGGAGGTTTGGTGGCCTGGAGGAAGACTTTTCTGTGGGAGTCTGCGTTTTTGGGCGGCTTTTGTTGCCCTTTGTCAAGTGTTTTCGTTGTGCTTTTGTTGAGGGTGTCACTTCGTTGGATTGGTTTGGGGAAATCAAAGGAAACTCATCATTTTGGGGGTCCCCCCCAGTTGCGCAAGGATTTGGGCCCCGGCAACCCCGGTCTCCCAGCAGAAAGGGTCCGCTGCTGAGCCTCCCTTTGGACTTCCCAAGGTTGAAGTGGAAAATGGGCTGATTGAAAGGGGCTGTTCCACGGGCGTGTCTTGATCTTGGAGGGTACCCTGGAAAGGTAAAAGAAAGGAAATGAGAGATAAAGACATATGTAAAGGATCAGCATATCATGACAACTCCAAAAGAGAAGAGTTAGAAGAAGAAGAAGAAGACCAATAGATAGATTTCTGGGCGGGTTCAAGGAAAACAAAAGGGGTACCATCCATTTTGTGGGTTAACCTATTTTGAGACAAGCGCCTCCTCCTGTGGGCGTCAAACAATGGCCCATGACTTGTTCATGTCCCGGACCTCCGGTGTGTTTGTGCTTCTTCTTTCTCCACTGGACGTTTGGATGGCCGTCGCAAGGGTTCGTCGGTCTCTTCTTTTTCTTTCGCCCTTTGGCCAAGTGAGTTGAGAGGTTTTGGTTTTGGACAATGGCCCCTTGACCTTTCTATTGGCTTGCCCCAACTCAAGATGGAACTCCGGGGAAGTGACCCGTAGACATCTCCAGGTACAGTTTTGCTTGTTTTGCGACTTCGCCTCTTTTTTTTCTTTAGCTGGGGTGTTTGTGACCCTTGAAACTGCCGCGACGAGTACCGACCTTGCTGCATGTGCATATGAGCAAGATAATCTGTCTCTGCGGAACCCTCAAAATGGTTGGTCTCCTTTGGTTTCCCTTTAAACCGAGAGAGAAGGTACCCCTCGGAAATATGGTTTACCTTTATACCCCGTCTGAAGATGTCGCGACTCCAAAACGCGCAAGGCCGAATGGACAGCCCTTTGATTCCCCGGGTACCATCGGGGCTGGGGGGTTCCCCACGGCTCACGTGCCTCCATTGGGACGCCCCCTCCCCAAGTCTAGATCTAGGGGGCATACAGGTCTATCAATGAAGCCCAAGTTGTTTGTTGTGTTCCCCCTCGCCTGCGCCCTTGGCTTGTTTTTCTTTGGGATGGTCATGGATGGCCTCTTTGCCTTGTGCCTTGTGCCTCGTGCGATCCCTATGAACCAATGAACCTCACGCGTCGCTTGGCGTCAGATGGGAAGCTGGCGACGCGCGTGCGCATGGCGCAGCACCTCAACCCCAATGTCCGGCCCTCGGATCGCGACATCGCTACCGTCCGGGACGCGGCGCTGTGTAAGAAGAAAGGAGAGCGCTTTCCTTTTGTTCTTGAAATCCTAAGAGGGGTAGGTTTAGGGGGGGTGAGCAACAGGGTTCCTTGAGGTTCCCCAAGAAGAATGGTTTTCCACATAGGTTTCCAACCCACAGATTCGTGACGGAAGCCTCCACAAAGTAGGGAATCCCTAAGGGGGCGGGGGTGGTCCAATCGCCAAGGCTCCCTAAGGCTCCCTAAGGAACCCGAAGGAACCCGAAGGAAACTTAAACACATAGGGGCGTGTGCTTGGCTGTACCCCTCTTTCAAAGCAGTGGCTTGGGAGGTTTCGCAGAAGGAAAGAGAAGTTGAGAGTCTTCCAAAAGCCGTCAGCTTCCATGATTGTTGGTTTTAGGGAAACTGGAAGAGAAACCCTTCATGAATTGCGGGTTGGAGACAAGCCCATGTTTGGGGCGTGCCCTGGCCATTGACAGGCCTTTCCAAGCAGGACAAGAGACCCGTAGCTTGTGGGAAGATAGACATGTTTCTATCCCAAACAAGGATAGCAGGGCCATGAATTTTAATCGAGAACCACCAAATCGTGGATGCCCACAAAGGGTCACCCATTAATTTTATCCCACAGGAATGTTACCTTGCTCCTCGTTTGCTGTTGCGGGGAGCTTCTCCTACAGAAAACATGGAACACGTGCCAATGTTGGAGTGACCCTGGCCGACCCCTGGGGCGGTAAGGTATTTTGTTCATTCCCTGCCGAGAACCGTCCGATGATTCACTCCTTTCACACACTATCACGAAAGAATCAAGAGCTTGTACTCTTACAGGTCGATGGCATACGACAGCTATTTCAGTAACCCGTTTTCGCATGGCGTCGCGGCAGGTGTTGGGAATGAACAAAAAGGGGATTCCAACAAAAGAAAAACCATCTCGGCGATGGTTTTTCTTGGGGTCATTCCAATTCATGTCCTGCTGAGAGCCAGCAAGAATTTGACAACCCACAAGGTGAAGAGGCTTGGTCCCGAAATGGCCCCTTGTCAGTCTGTAGGGTCTCCAAAAAGCACTTCGGGGTATTTCAAAAATGGGTACCATGACCTTGCTGAAGTCACAAGGAGACTGCAGGCTTTTTGCCGTGGCCCCGAAAGGTGCATTGATTCCCAGTTCCTTTGGTAAGTATGAGAAATATGGGTGTTTTTTTTGCGGGTACCCCCGTTTGTGGTTTTAAAGGGAAGCCAAATGGAAATCCTCCACGCTGGGAGGTCCCCGAAAAAAGAGACACCCATGTGGGGCTGTTGTTGGTTTGCGGAGGAGCTGGGCGGCACGCAATCATCAAACAACAGCATACCCACCCAATACCCAAATTTACTATGCCGTCGTGCGGAACCACACATTCTTGTCCGGGGCTCATATGAAAAGGAACACCGTTTGGCCTTACGTTAAGTTTCAAAGCAACCCAGGCGTAAGTGGGAACCCAACAGTGACATTGAATGCCACCAACAAAAACCCGGCAGCCCATCTTCGCGGGAGCTACGTTTTTTTGTTGACGCCTTCCCCTTGCCGTCGGTGATATGCCCTGGCAACTTGTTTTATCTCCTTTGCCTTATGCCCGCAACGAACACCAGCGATCGTTGTCAACCCAATGAGCTTTGCGCCCGAGGCTTAATCAACCGGTTGAAAATAAATTCAGAAAACGGGGAGATGCTGAAGTACTCTTTTGCACCCTCCCGAACACAACACAAGCTCAAAGTGCACGTTGACCATCTGGGCAGCGCTAGCTCAAAATGCTCGCGTACCGGGCACCCAAATGGCGCCCTTTCTTCTTTTGTTCGTTGGTGTTTCCCTTGTAGAATCCAGTGCCGCATAAACACATAATGATTGCAATTCTCGCCCGCGCGAAAGTTCACCAGGGTCTCCCAACTCGAACCCACGGTCTTGCCTCGAAAGTTATCATGGGTCAACATTAAACCAGACAAAAAAAAGGAAAACACGCAGGTTTTGGTCCATGTTTCCACTCGGGTAAACCATCTGGGGATTACCCTATTTTCGCCCCACAGCCATCCGCCTCCCGCGCCGAACGAGGCGGGGCTGGTGAGCCACTTCGAGTTCCTCTGGGAGAAGACGGCCATCGCCATGCTCGGCACCTGGGCCTCCGAGGTCAGCGAAGAGGCGAGTCGGAAGTGCCGGTCCACTCGGGGGAGTTGCTGTCGTCCATGTTTTTCAGATTTTATATTTGTTTTGTTCTTTTTTCATCTTGTTTTTTTTTCCGCTGTTTGTTCAAAAAGGGATCAAAGGGAGTCTCTTGTACTGGCTTGTTTTTTCTCCGCTGGGAAGGGAATCTAGGTATTCCTGTTGGTTTTCTTTTGAAAACTACTAAACAAGGGGTACCATCAAAACAAGACCTACACATGTACCTTTCATTTGCTTCATATGTGTAATTGTTTGTTGGTTTTAAAAGGAAGTTTGTTTGGTCGAAAGTACCGGTCGATCGGATGAATAGCCCCATCCACATGGAAACCGGCTGTGTCTTGCAAGTAGAAGGCTATGATCCTAAAGAACAGGAGAACAACCCATTCCGATGCGGAAGGTGTCACGCATGCAGGATTTTTACTGGGGTAGTCAATGGCCCATTTTTGGCGGGCAGGGTAACCAGCTCGAAATTCGGCCCTTTGTGGGGACGAGTTCAAGGACATTTTAAACAACCACGGCTGTGGGTCAGAAATAGGTACCCACAATTGGAACCCTAGTATCGTAAATGCTACCAAGGACTCAAACCTGCGTTTTTGTTTGGTGCTTTAATTTTGACCCCCATACCCATGTTGGTCAAGAGTACTATCCCCGGATGAAACAAAAAACAACACACACACACACCCTACTAAGGTGTCGAGCCCAAAAATGATCCGGAATCACGCAAGAAGACCACGCACGACTCCCGGGGACGGGGACCATGACCATAGGCCACAGGTGCTTTCACGGCACGAAGCGGGTAAATGAGCTCCAACAACTCCAGCGCCTATTGTCTTGTTTTAGGGTACCCCTTTTTGGTGTGGTTTAAGCGAAAACCAAGAGGAAGCCTCCTTTTTTGGGGTGAGTCCCCTACCAAAAAGACAGACCCATTTGGTTTTGATGTTTTTTTAAAGTACCCGTCGGCCCTAGAATACTTGTTCTGATCCCAAGGGCTGCTGTATTCCTTTTTTTCCCAAGAGATGCTTGCTGGATTCCATGTTTGTTTTGTTTGCCGGCCCGGTCGCTTTGTTGGACAAGTGTGAGCATCCATATGGGAAATGTATGTCGCGACGTCAATTGATCTGGAGGTGCAAGCGATACATCACCCGAAGTGAAGGTTCTTTCTTTGGGTGCAATTCTTATTTCTGGTGAATCATTATGATTTGGCACAATGTTGACCCTGGATCCAGGTAGAACCCGTCCAAATTGTCTGGGAGTGCTCCCTCGCAAAGTGGTCTGAATCCCCACTAAACAGCGACACCCTATGATTCAACCAGGTTTAAATTAATCTGGGGTTCCCATGAACAATATGTTTGACTCCGTGTCATTTACCACCGCCCCACTTTTTCTAGAAACACTGGGTTGACGAGTACGACTTGGCTGAGTTTTGATCAAGCAGAGCTTGCCATTTTGCCCCCCAAAGGGCCTTAGGACCTGGGTCTTAAGCTGGCAAAGCCACCGGGTGTTCGGGAACGAGCTCTCGGAACACTTTGAACCGACGACCGAAGACTCGCAACTCGATCTCTCCCAACTGTTGTTTATTTTTGTTCTCCTTTTTTAGAAGTTAAAAGTTGTTGAACTATTGAACCGTGTGTTTTGATGTTTGAACCTAGCCATATTGCGTTGTTGCTTGATTGTTTGAATCTCTCTTTTTTTGTGTGTATTACATATATATTTATAACCGTTCAGATCCTGAGGACAAGCTTAGGACATGGAGCCTTGAGAACGACCTGGGAATCCTGCCCAACAGACATCTCTTGCTGGTTCAGAAGGAATGACCGAATCCGGGTGTTGGGAATGAACCGGTTTTGGGGCTCCCCAAAAAAAGGAAACCACCAGTTGGATGGTTTATAGGCGTCGTTCAATTTCTCATTCCCCTCTCGCACCAGCAAGAACCCCTGCTTGTGTAGAGGGTAAATGGGAAACCTCCGGGGAACACCACCAAGCCACCGGGCTCCAAACCACCAATTAAGAGGGTAGGGTGAAAGAAGGGTTTCAAAGAAAGAGACACGTCCAATCTTGCTGAGCAATCAGCAAGGGAATGGGAAATGGCTCCCCTTAATGGTTTAACCACCAGGTGGATGTTTTTTTTCTTTTCGGAATCATTCAATTTCTCATTCTCGCACCAGCAAGAACCCCTGCGTTTGTGGAGGGTAAATGAGAAACCACCGGCTGGGGTCATTATTTTGACGCTTTTTTTTGTTGGTTGTTTCCCTTTAACCCACCACTTGGGTGACTTTGATCATGGTAAAATAATGAGGCCAGACCGGAGATGGTTAGTCATCATTGCTGAGCAACATCTTCGGCCCCGCAGGCCCGGGACCTTGTGGCAGAGCGGCACTGCGGCAAAGGCGGGAGCATTTGTTTTTGCGGGACGGGCGGACGGGCCCCTTTTTTTTCAGCTCTGCTGCGAGCATATGGCCGTGAACTTTAAGAAGGTACCCCCCGGAAAGTGGTCGGAGGCCGTAAAACCCAACTAAATGATGTCCACCAGAGGGTCCCCAATTACAAATCATGCCCATATGACACTTGTTGCATATTTGTCTGACCGAAGGGTTCTGTCGATGCCGCAGTTTTGCCGGTGTGCTCAACTTTGAGGGCAGAAACTCATCGAAAGGATTGACGAACGATACCTTTCGTAACCTTCTCTCTGAGTTGGAGCCTGAAATGTGTGTTTCATCATGGTAGTTGCGATTAGCTTGCCAGCTGGTAATCTAAGGGTCCTGACCCCCCGAGAAAAAAAAGATAAGAACAAGATCCAATCCTTGCAAAGCTTTCATAGTGGGCCCCTAGAAATGTGGCTAGTCACTTGGCCTTCGGTGTATTTTTACGCGTCCCTGAGTGAATGCGCCAAACTCAGTTGCCCAAGAGTCAGCCCGGTTTCTTTCCAAAGGGTCCCGTGAGGCTCAGGGAACAACAACAATATAATGATCGTCATTCATCATCATCATCAGCGGAGCCAACATACATGATCATACCAGCCATCATATGTTCAGAATGAACCCCCCTACATGAGATTCAATATCCAGTTGTTTGGTTTCGCTAGCTATCCCTCAGAAGGACAGTTATATTTTAAACACACTAGAGCAGTCGCATCCAAACAATCAAAGCGACACATGGTCCGAAATGTCCAGGTCCCTTGGTATCGGTTTTCGGGAGGGGGATTGAGTCACTCCTTAGGTACCTGGGGTACTTAAGGAGTGCAACCACTTCAAGGGTGGTTGGACATGAATCCCCACCTAAATGATGTCCACCAAAGGGTCCCGAATAAATTTTAAAGCCCACAGTCAATATGTGATTCTTGCCTTGAAAATGGACCCCCAAGGGGTCTGGGGGGGGGGGGCTTTCCGGGGGGGGTTGGCTTTCCCTGGATAAGCCGAGGATAAGCCAAGGATAAGCCCTTAGTAAGGCCTTATCAAGGGTTCATAAGTCACAGCCCCACCCCAGTTCGCCCTTCTTATGGAGGTCCATTTTGTTCATTTGACCCATTTGGAGGGTAACTGTGAAGACAATTAAACATATATATATATATATGGCAGTGAATTTTTGTTGAGGGGTCTGTAACAGAGCCGCGGCGGACATTCGTTACAGACCTCGTTACAGACCTCTGTAACAAAACCAGCTGGCTCGTTACACACCCCTCGTTACACACCCTCGTTACACACCCTCGTTACACACCCTCGCTATACACGCCCTCGCTATACACGCCCTCGTTACACACCTCAGATGAACAAACCGGGCCAGTGACGTGACTGCCCTCTTTTGCCGCAGCTTGGCTTGCGTTGAATAGCTGCAATCAAGTGCTTTGCTTCGCCTCGTTACAGACCTCGTTACATAGCCGTTACATACCTCGTTACAGACCCAACCCCAGCCCAAGCCAGCGACCCCGCTTTTTGCCGCAGCTTGGCTTGCGTTGAATAGCCCCACGCAAGCTGGTGCTGCGGAGGCGCGCTTTGCGTACTGTGCTTCGCTTTGCCTCGCTACAGACCTCGTTACAGACCCAACCCCCAACCCGGCCCAGCGACCCCGCTTTTTGCCGCAGCTTGGCTTTGCGTCCTGCGCTTTGCTTTGCCTCGTTACAGACCTCGTGTATACATAGCCATTACATACCTCTTTGTGCTGCGATACATTGTGCTACTGATACTGCTTGTCAGGAAATGTCTGCTCCGTTACAGACCTGCGTAACAAGGACCTCCGTTACAGACGTCCGTAACAAGATTCGTGGCGCGTCGCGCGTTACAGACCCCTAAAAAAATTCATAGCCATATATATATATATATTAATACATATATATTTATGTATATTCATATATCTCTATATATATATATATGTATATTGCACACATGGATTCTTTGGGAACAGGCTTGCCAAGTGGTTGCGAGCCCCGCGCCTTTTCGCCTTCAGACAGCTGCGCCATGCCGGGCTTCGACTTTGAGCTCCTGGAGCTGCTGGCGCCCCCGCCGCTGCAGAGGCGGGGCTCGCGGAGCTCGCGGAGCTCGGGGGCAGCGGATGGGAAGTAATCGGCGCAGGTCGCGCCTGATGGTCCCAAGGGAAACCAAAGGGGGGCGGTTTTTTTTTTTTGGGGGGGGATTTAGGCTTACAAGGTTGTAATTAGTTGGTTCGATTGGTGGCTTGGGGATTTGAACTCCAAAAGGAAACCATTGGCGTTTTTTGTTTTTAAGGGTTTTGACTTGGTTCTTTGGTTACCCCGTAGTTGGTTGGATTGGTGGTTTGGGGATTTTGAACTGGCCCCATTATTCCACCAGTATCAAGTCACCCGACAAGTGGTTTTTTAAAGGGACACCACCAACCTGTTTCTGGCTTTGATAACCCCCAGACATTGCCAAAAAAATGACCCCAGCAAAAGGAAGACAACAAGGGGACGGGATACTGTCTTTTGAACATGGATTCGGCCTGTATATTCAGGTTTTCCTCAATTGGTGGTTTGGATTGGATTTGAGCACTGGTTCTTGAGGGTAAATTGGGGACCGCGCCTGGGTGGTTTGCAGGTTTGAACCCTTGGTTGCTGTAGTGGGTAAATCTTGACTGCTATTGGGTTGCATCCAACTTATTGAGAAATCTAGGGGTTGTCCATTGAACCCACAAAAGTTAGACCTGCAGAGGGGTTTTCCATTGAACCCACAAAAAGTTAGACCTGCAGAGGGGTTTCGCCAGCAACCAAGAAATGGGGCACCACCCCGAACCTCCAACCAAATCCAGACCATTCAGAGACGGCATCTGGGCTATTTTCTCTGTCAAACGACCAAAAGAGCACATTTGTGTTTGCGAGCTGGGCACTATACCCTTTCATTTTTGTTGGGTGTGAATCCCGACTTGACGCCTGCCCATCCTTCCCCGTCGAATGTGTGCCCATCGAAACAGCTTTGAATCTTCGCCTGGGAAGGCGTCCAGGGATTCGGTTGGGAATGGGTTCGGCTGTTGGGCCCCCACCGTACTCCCAATGCCAGTTGTTGCCAATGTTTGGATAATAATATTTAATATACGTATATATATATATATATGTATATGTACGAATCGTCAAGAACATGAAACTGGAAATTGCGATTCAGGAGCTTTGACAGTCGCACAACAAATCAATCCCTTGCATATAATTACCCACCCCCTGCCACAGAACTATTGGAGGTTGCTGAACACTCCCAGAATTACGTAACCCTTGGTGGTTTGCGTGAATTTCCGGAGGTCCGATTGGTTTGAACCATATATATATATGATTATATATATATATATTATGTGAACATATATATATATATGGGTATGTCTTCAAATAGGGGTGGTTAGTTCCCTTTGATTTCCCTTTTACACCACTCCAAAAGAGGTACAGTCAAACAAATCCGCACGCATATATATATATATACAATGCATACTGCCTTTTGCATTCCGGCTTGTATGTAGTTGAATGTAATCATGAAATCGTGGGGATCCACACTTGCACAAAGCTCATTGAGGCCAATTCGTGAAACAGCTCCTTTGACTTAGCGGGGTCTCAAAGGAGCCGACATGCGTTTGCCACATGCAAAAGAAGCCGACGGCATTTCGATGCCAGAAATGGCCATGAACCCTGAAGCTGGTTGAATTTTCGGACGACCTGCTTGCTTGCATGTTGCTTTGCTTCACGTCTGTAATTTACCAGGTGCACATCACTTGCGGTTGGCTTTGAGTCTGACGCAGCCGCATTGAGCCAAACGTGGCCAGTTGTTGTACTTGATGTCCTTTCGCGCCAGGAATGAATCCCTGACGATGGCTGATGTGCTGGCGCGAGCGCCCAAGGCGGGCGTCGTATTGCTCTTGGAGGTGAGCAGCCCTAGGGTTCCTTTGCCCCCAGAATGAAACCTTTTGAGTTTTAACTAATTGGGGATTCTATGAAGCCCCATTGTTGTAATGGTTGGTTTGAACAGGGCCCTCTTTTTGGGGGATGTTTGACCGAGACATCAAGGCGAAGCAACTTGGATTTCGTTTGAGGAGGCCATGAGTTGAAGCCACACAGAAGCCAGGCGTGAGCGCTCCAAGCCGGGTGCTTCCAGTCGGAGACACGTCCAAAGCGCCAGGTTTGCCTTCACGTAACTCTACTTGCTGGTGCTCAGCAGGGAATGAGGCTAATGAGGGAATGTTCCTGTGAAAACCCATTCTCTATGGTTTTCTTTAAGGGAATCCCCTTCCGGTTCATTCCCAACACCCGGAAGGTCATTCCCTACCTATCGCACCAGCAAGTCTGTGAAGACGTATTTGAGGCTTTGTTGTCGCGGATTTCTCGGGAATCGCGCCCAAGGTGCTTACTTTGGGCGCGACTCAGCTTCTCGTCATTTGCCCACATCATTTTGCTTCCAAGGCCTCCCAACAGCAACTTGCTTTTGCTCAGCAGGGAATGAAAAATGGAATGACCCATAGACACCATCTCTTGTATTTCCTTTAAGGGGACCCCTGCGTTCATTCCCTGCCGAGCACAAGCGAGGCAAAGTGTTACAATTTTGCCCTTTGCCAGCCCCACCCGATTGGAGGGATCAATATAATTGGTCACTACATTCAACCACAATCCCCACCCCCTACAAACGGAATTGGGGGAGCGGGGTGACCCCTGGAATTCCGTTTACGGTTCCATGTTCCCTTGTATGGGGAAGACGAAGTAAATGGAATTGGGGACCCCCCGATCCCCCTCCCCCACATGGGGGGCAACCACAAATTTGCGAGCCCGAATGTATTCGTGAGCTACCTCCTTGGGGGTCAAGCTCCATTAAAAGAATGGTTGAGGCAATTTGGATGAAATTCTTAGGATAGTGGCGGTTATATGAACCCTACCATTCTTGCAGTGGTGGTCACTGGACCCCGGGTCTCCCGGTTGCCTTCGAAGCTCCGCCAGACCTTGCGGGGCCGGCGCCTGGGCCAGGGCGCGACCGCCTGGCAGCGGGAGTTCGCTCGCCTCAGTCTGCCCCACGCGCTGAATACCACCGACCTGGCGACCACCGCGCACGAGGCAAGTGGCCCCGGGGGGGCGGGGAGGCGGGGGGGGGAGGGAAGGGAAGGGGCGTAATCACGTGAGCTTTCTTGATGTCTATTTGGGAGCGGCTCCTTGGACTTTGACTGTTTGGTTGAAACTTTCTGGATTTGTCGTACCCACAAAAAGTTGAAAACTGCTTGCAGAGGGATCAACAGCGATCAAGGAATCAGGGGTCTAATTGAAGGCCCAAACCGCGGGAGAGTCCGTCACAAAGCTGCGTCTTGGGTTTTGGGCTTCTATGCTCGGAGTCGTTTGGGTTTTGGGTTTTGGGTGTAGGAGTGTAAGCATGTGTAGGGGAAGATGCAGGAGCCTTTGGAGGGATTCCGAGGCTGGGAGGGCCCCGAATTGTTCTCCTTGATGTGGCTTTGAATTGCAACGGTTGGAAACCCTCGCAAATGTTTGGCGGAGATAGTTCCAGCAGTAGACTTCTGTCTACCAAAGGGTCCGTAATGTAAACGCTGGCCAATCCACCAACAAACGTGGATGTAGACAGGAACTCTGTCCAAGAACAAGTAGCCTTCAGAAAGGGGGGTTGTTAGCTTTCATGTTTGTTGGTGGGAGCGTGGCCGTTTCCAACAGGGCGCTGTGTGTTGTTTGGCTTGCTTTTTGTTGTATGTTGTTTCTTTTTCCTTCACCGTATGTAGCACTGGGTCCCCAACTCAATTCACACATTCTGAGGGCTGGATGGCCATGGATGCCCTATGGATGCCCCTTTTCTCAACGACTGCCAAATGAGTGCACATCCGAAATCGTTGTCCACCACAATGTGGGTGTGTCTTTTCTTAAGGGGAGCCCCCAAAAATTGGTGGTTATCCTCTGGCTTTCCCTTTAAATCCACGAAAAGACGGGGCCTCAAAAAAGACACGCCCGTGTGGGTGTGCAGAAAAATGACGCGTATCCATGTGCGCAAAAGGCGATGGATCTCTTTCAGCTGCTGCAGCACAACGCGACAGAGGCTCGATGAGCAGAAAGAGCAGAGCGAGAGGGTCGAAATGACTATGGCACGGGAAGTAGAGTGATTGCCCAGAGGATTTCCTAGCAAAATGCATGAGGGTATGAGTTAATGATATGAGAGTGATTTCCAGGATCATGAAAGCTCAAGTAGTCGGCAGTTGCTAAAACCCTATCGGTACCTTATACCGTTACCCACAACTCAAAGAAACCGTGCTTGAAAGATACTTGAACCCGTTGGGGGAGATAGTTCTGAGGGGACGCTCACCAGCTCCCATAAGCCCTGTGTCGGTGGTGTTTTTCTTAATGGGGATCATAACCAGTCCAGAAACCTGCATGAGCATGCTCGTACTGAAAGTCCAATTGGTTTTGGACACCGCTATGGGCGTGTGTTTGTCTCATAGGTTTGCGGGCAAATGATTGCGAACTCTTCCGAGCACGTGGGCACTGGGGTTCTTAATTTCTTCTACTTGAATCATATATATATATACACACTGTTTGGCCAACTATAGTTGATGTTTGACACAACGTCAAAGGGCACCGGGGCAGCCTTTTCAACACAAATTCACAAAGACGAGGTGGTCCCCCCCTTTGTGGCATGGATTGAGGGACGAAGCCCACTTTGGCACGTGCAACATTCCATTCGGATGCAAACAAAATCGCTCTTCGTCTTTGACTTCAGTTTTCCCGGCAAAGAGCGAACACGTGTTGGGGCCAAATGGTGTTGGTGCTCTGTGAAGCGATGCGGCCAACAACTCAATGATATATATATATATATACATATTGCCACGCTCAGTGTACAAGTCTGTAAAGAAGATGACAAGAGCTAAATGGTCAGGTCGTGCCATCACTTTCACCAATCTGTACTTTTTTGGACCAACAAAAAAAGACATTCGTCTCCCAATGGAATTTGCGTTGATTGAAACGGGAGCTGCCCCATCCTTTCAGCAGAGCCGGCCATTTTTCTGACAGGTTGGACCATTTTCCTGGGACCGTCCGTGGGTTTGATGTTGAACCCCAAAAGCAGAATGGAACCTCCTGGAAATACTCCGCAAACGAACGGAAGGAACCCAACAAGCGGCTTCAACGGTGGCTCAGAGGGGTTCCAGGCTTGTTTGGAGAGTTTGGACGTTTGTGGAAGCCTTCATCTTACTCTGAGTCCCTGAGTCAAAAGACTTGGCCGCCCCCCCCCCCCTCACCCCCCAGACGCCTTTTTCGGTGGCTTCTGGGGTTCCACATTTATCTGGAGAGTCAGCGCGCGCCCAAATGGGCTTCCAACCTTTCTCCTACTTCTCCTTTTTTTCGGTAGATTATTTGAATGGAAACCACGATTTGCCCCCTGTGAAAGGTTGGTTTGTTGGGACGCCAAATGGGGCTTCCATGTTTCTCTGAGTCAAACAAAGCCACCTGGCCCCGGACGCCTTTCCGTGGCCGGCAGGAGGAGCGCCGGCCCTTCGCGCGGCGCGCATCTGATGCCATGGACCTCCAGAGCCAAGGGGAGGCGAAGCGGAGCAACCGACCTGGCGCGAAGCTCTTCCTGTCGGCGTCTCTTTTGAACCACCCCTAGGTCCCCCAGTAGTGCCCTTTTACCATTTCTTTTTTGGGGGAGGGGGAACCCCCTAAAATAGACTACAGAAAAAAGGGTACCCTTATTATAACCTCTCTACTGGAGGACCTAGACCCATAAAACCCTCAAACCACCCGTAAAAATGGGCTGCTCCAAAAACAAACAGCTGCGGTTCCTGTCTTATGGGTGGTTTGAGCGTCCATGCACCCCGAAATGAATTCACCCCAAAACAACATCAAAACAAACACATTGCATATACACACGCGCACACACGTCTGGGTTACAGCAAGCACACAAGAAAAGGATGAGGAGCCTGTTGCTGGTGTTTTCCGAAGATGTTGACATGCACTTTCTGGATAGTTTGTGGCGAGCTCACCGATTCAGGGATAGAAAGGGCTCACCATGTTAAAGATCCATGATTTGCGGATTCCTTATTTCAGGTCTTGGACGTGTTGTACACGTTGCAGATGCCATGCCTTCTTAGGATCAGTTGCTTTGCCGACAGCAGGAGGCTTGGGATCCTGATCTCAGCGCCAGGCGTTGGCATCGCTGCAGTGGAGAGTTTTGGAGGTGCGAAGCCGGGACTCTGGAGCCAGGGCTGTTTTGTTGAAATGGAATCCACGAATCTGTGATACGACAAAAAGGAGCTAACCCCAAAGACTAACCCACTAAAGGGGGAGATTCCAACTTGTAATAGAGACTACCCTCCTAAAGACGAACCCCCTAGAGGGGGAGATTCCAACTTGTATCACAGAAGTGGTTGGATGAACCCCCGGTCCCACAACCCTGGCTGGAGCCTTCAGCATTCTGCCTTGGGCAGAAAAGCTCTGAACTACGGGCTGGTGTGTCTTTTTTCAGGAGTTGGACCTCCCCAAAATGGCTTCGGTTTTCCTTTTGTTCCCCTCCAAAGCCACAAAATGAACAAAAAGGGAGGGTTCCGGGGACCTTCCTTAAAACAAAAAATCATTCCCCTGTCGGGAGTTGAGCTGGGGATGCTCCTGGGCCCCATAAAACTGGGGAGGGTCCCTTGATCCGTGCAAGTTTCGCTGTGAAGGTGACCTGCCAGAAACCTGCGGACCTTGAGCCCTTGCACTCATGGCCCTCCGCTGACTAATGACCGACCTCGCCCCCTGGAAAAAGGCTATTTCAGGGGGCTTGGGGGGGAGGGAGGGAGGGGGGGAGGGAGCCCTTATTAAGCCCTTATTAACCCCTTATTAAGGGCTCCCTCCCCCCGTTCTTTCTCCCCCCCAGCCTCGATTAATTATTGGACAAAAGGAGCCATGTCACAAGATCCCGCTCGCATGACGGCAAGGCGAGACTCGCGAGGCTGCGGACACCCTGACATTCAATATTTTGTGGAAAGACTTTCACAAGGTTTTGTCTGGACATATCACCAAATGGGTGTGTCATTGATGATATATACCCGGGTTGGGCTTGTGTTTATTGAATGAATGAATGCAAAAGGGAAGCCACCACTTTCCGGGTCCCCTTTTTTCAAGACGCACCCAAATGGGTCAGCCTCCTGAGTACTGGGTATACTCCACAGCCAATGTTCTGACCCTAGGATTCATCAACCCGGGTTTCCCCCAGCGAAGCATGCTCGCAAAAACGTGTGTCACTCCCCAAAAAAACCTCCCCGGCAAATTAATGCATGAATTCAGCGGGGTGGTCCATATTAGTCTAAACCAAACATGAGCTGTTCAGTGACGTCTTTCAGCCGTCGGCTGTCTTGTGAAGAAAATAGAGCTCTCTTGTAGACCGGGTTCTGAACGGGAGTCAAAGGACACCAAACATGGTTCAGTGAGCGAAGCCTCTTCGTGGAAACATCCAAGACAAGAATAGTTTTTGCCTGCATAAACCCAGGTTGAACAATTTATTATCAACTGGTTAACAGCCAGTGTTTGGTCTCTCACAATCGCTTGCTGAGACCATCGCTTCACCATTTTCCGAGAGCACAACATCCGGATAACGTGACATTTCACATAAGTTGGGCGGATACGATTTCCCGACGAATATTCACCGTCCGAGTTCACTCATTCGTGTCTCCCAATGGAACCGCGCATTTCACGCTAAATCGATCCCCAGTACTTGCGACTGTGCCTGCAATTGTTGGGGCCTGGGTCATCAGCGTGTCAACCCAAATCGAACAAACCATACCAAGTGAAGCATCGGTGTAGACGGGTGTGTGGACATACTGCCCATCACACCCCCCAGCATCGATTCGGTCAACACGGTTGTTGTTAGGGCTAGTCATCCACCTGGTGGTATGGCTGTGGGTCAAAACCAATGGTAGCATTTTGGGGTAGGTGCACCACCCATTTTAGATCCTATTTTAGTGGGGATTGGGATGTTCACTGGGGGTACGATTTGGCTTTGGACCCATGGCCTTGCATGGATCCAACCGTAGGACTCTTGGCGGTGGCTCAAAATCGGTGCATCTCGAGAGGCCATCACCCTGGAGGACTGCAACGCCAGTCTCCCCGACATCAACGGGGCGCGGGGGTTCGATTCCGCCGATTCGCCCGATTCTGTGCCGGCCTGGGCCTGTGTGCGGATTGGTGTTTTTTGTTTCGCTGGCTTTTGCTTGGCCTGAGTCTCTTTTTTTTTTTTGGTCTTTTGATTGGCCTAGGTTTTTCGCGGAGTTGTTTTTTGTTGCTTTTGATTGGCCTAGGTGTTGTTGGATGTGTCCTTCTTGCGAGTGGACAACTTGCCTCGTTTGCGTCGTTTGTCTGGTATGGATTCTGGAGTTGGTTTGTTTGCTCGTTGGTTTGCCCCCGATTCATGAGTGGCAAGTTGGCTTGTTGTTTGTTGTTTTTTTTGCTTTGTTGTCCGTTAGGTTTCAGAGGATCACGGGCATGCTGAATGTGTTTTATGGCAGTATGTGTTCGAGCATCTAGTATATTTTCTTAATATTTCTTTCTAGTATATGTTCTTAATATTTCTTCTACACACCAGTTTCAGATTGCTTTTTTTGTGCGATGTTCGTTCGGGAAACAGAGGCTCCAGACTGACATTCCAGCAGCTTGTCATTTGGGACCCGAAGTACTGGCAAAACCCCGAAAGTGCACCGAAGATCTTTTGGTTGGACATTCTTATTGAGGTTTGCTAAAGCTTACGGCACTCTCTGATATGTGCCATGACCACGAGAACTGCACACTTGGAGGCACGGCCATCCGCCTCTCATTGGTGTTTTAGACAAACAACGTGACTGCCTCTAGGGGACCATGACCATTGTCTCCCACAAGCAAGTTTCACAGGCGTGGTTGAAGTACTGTGCTCTTTGTAGAAATGTGGTGTGGCAATGACTGAACCACAATGTGAGGACTTGAGAACTAAACAATTTGAACATTGTAGCTCATGTTGAACAGAAGGATGTTTGCCCGTGGTACTCATTCTCAAGATCCCTAGCTAAGCAAAGTCTTCACAAATGGGACGAAGACCCCTTGTAGGCTTTGCCATGTGGGTGGTCCACTTGTCTGTTTTAGGAAACAAGTGAACCGTTGATTTGATTTGGGTCGCCCAGTTTGCATCCTTCAAAATGGGTCGCGACCCATGCCAAGTGACGTGCAATCAACATTTAGCTAGATTAAAGTTGGTAAGAGATAGTCCCGACCACAAATGGGTGCGGCCGTCCTCTGGATTATTTTACTGGTTTTGCGTAGTCCATGTTTTACAGTTGTTGATTGTTCTGCGGGGGTAAAACGAGCTCACAATGGTAAAGGCCCTTCGCTTGGGGACCCAATTCTGAATTCAGCATTTCAACATAGTGTAAGATTTGCAAATTAGTTGTTTTCATTTTGTGTGATTGGTGTGTTTGTGTGTGTGTGTGTGTGTCTGTGTGTCTGTGTGTCTGTGTGTCTGTGTGTCTGTGTGTCTGTGTGTCTGTGTGTCTGTGTGTCTGTGTGTGAGGATTCAGACCACTTTGGGAGAGAACACCCCGCTAGGGTTCTACTTAGATTGTTCAGGTGGAACGGTTGGTTGCACTGCACACGTGAATCCGTCAGAACACGGGCAACCACGCGCCTCCCCTGGTTCTCCTCATTGGAATCGCAGTAGCGCGGGCCTCGGGCAGGGTCGTCGGTTCCTTGAGGAGGTTTTGGGTTTCGAATGAGCTTCCCAATAATTGGTGGATTGGTGGTGGGATTTGATGGATAGGCCAAGCTGGGGCAAAACAAAGCTAAAGAAAGGCACCCCACTTCACTTTTCCCCTAGTTGCTGGTTTGGATTGGTAAGAACTGGATTCGGATTCGAACCCCTGGCTTTTGTGGAGGGATTCGAAACCGCTCATCCACCAAACCAAAATCCAAGCCACCAGTTGCGGGTAACCTGATCACGGGTTCCTGCGTCGAAGGGCGGCCAGGGAGGATTTGGAGGGGGAGCCAAACTCACTTGCCCAAGGCGAGTCGACCCCTTGACCTTGTAGTTTCCCCTTGTGGTCCGTTTTGAGTCATGGCCCCATAAGGTTGACCTTTCGTCTTGTGGGTCTTCTGGGCAACTGGGCAAAGGGAAGCCAACCGTTTTGAGGAGCTGGGATTTAAAGACGAGTGAAGGAAGAACTGAACAAATTTCAGATGAACCAATAGCATGGATATGGACGCGGAGGGACGTGAAGTGGTTGGCTCTAGTATCATTTCCGTTTACTCTGCCTTACCCCTGCTTCCCCTGCATCTGGCTAGTTCGGTTCCAGAAATGGAGAGTTCAGTCTCAATCCTTCCTTTTCCAAAAAGGCCTTTTGCGTTTGTTGATGCAAAACGTGATCTTCGTTGCGCAAGACTTCTTGCTTGGGGTTTAAACATGGCGCATCCGGGAGCATGGACAATGTCGGGCCCACCAGTTCCCTGGGATCTCTTGCATGCCTTGGAAGATCCGGGATTTCCTCAGGGAGGGGAGTTGAGTAGAGTTGGTTGGGAACTATACCGAGGATTTCTAGATTGCAAACAACAAAAAATCAGCTTAAACCTGCTTGCGCGCAGTTGCTTCAGAAATCCAGCTGCGCTGTGTGTCTTCGAGCTCGAAGAGCGAGGGCAACCCTACCCGTAGGGTATACTGCTGACGTGTTTTGTTGCACCCCAAGCTCCTCCTCAGCATTGCCTGAGCCTGCATCACCTGCACGCAGGCCGGCCCAAACACTTGGACCCCGGAACATCCCCGGCCTCCCTGGCCTTGCGACGAGCTTCTGATGCCACGTTGCCCGACCTTCAAGAAACACTGTAAATACCAAGCAAATCGCCACGGCCGGACAGTCGCCAGCATCCCCGCCAACATCCTCTGCATCCTCGCAAACTTCGCCAGCATCCAGCATTCCTGCATCACCAGCATCTGGGCGCTCCAGCATCCCTTCCCTCCCCTGCATCCCCTGCATCGCTCAAACCCTTCAAAAGTGGCCCACTGAGAATAGGTTTTGGCAGTAGGCGGACATGGCAGGCAAGTCTGCGATCGAGTGAGTGGTTTTTCTTGCGCAAGTGCGGCCGCCGCTGCTGCGCGGAAGACATCGCGCATACCGTGTTTTCTTCATTTGTCCACGGGTGTCTGTGGGGCTGGGACGGGCTGCCGGGGATGCATTTTTTTGTCTGATTGGCTTTTGCTTTGAGACCCGTACGGCGAGCGCACCCGCGCGCGCTCATGCGCGCGCGCGCCGGACGCAAGCGCCGGACGCAGCAGGCACACATGTACTCAAGCTAGGGTGGGTGAGTGCATGCTCCGTGTCAGGGGGGTTGGGCAAGCAACCTTGCAGCCTCTTGCGCGTGTGGGTTCAGAGTTCCTCTTAGTGCTCCCCATCTCACCTGTCCGACCGGCCAGCGCAGATGGTGATGGCGAAGCCCTAGGATTGATTTCGTGGCAGCGGGCAGCTTTGCAAGGCTTTGCTTTGAGCGCGCGTTGGCAGTTTTTGTTTCATTGCGCGTGTCTGCCAGGCAAGCTGACAACAACACATCTTGCCAAAAAGAGGCCGCTTGGCTGGAAATGTGCTGCCTGCATGGAGTCTGGCGGTCTGCCAGCCTCGCGACTGGACCCGCGCACGGATGGGGACAACGGCGACGCACAACCTCTCCTTACCCGGACGTCTGCACGGTGTCGTCCAGATCGCTTCGCCCGGATGGAGGCCTGAAACTGTGCTTTTTACCACGTGCAACGTGACGAGCGCGCGTAGGGCTTGTGGTTGTTGCTGTAAGACCTAAGGGCCCACCTTCTAAACCCCTTTGAAACTCAAAGCGCAAGGAACGCTGTGAAGGGGATGGGGCACATTGAGACCAGAGCCTGGCCCCGTCTGTAAGAAGCATACCTATCCTTGAGATGCTCAGTAGAAAACGAAGTTGTTGTTGTTCCGGAAGTGATCCGAGCTTGAGATTTTCTGCCCGGCACTGCACTTTAGACAGGTAAACTCAAAAGTGGGCACGCTCCTATGCCATGCTCATTCCTCGGGAGCCATGGCTAAGGGCAAAACCAAAAGGAGGGTGTTTGACCAATAGCTGCTTTGATGTGTTTAAACAGGGCGTTGACCTGACCCAGTCAGACACAAGTATGTATTGTTGTTGACGGTGGTATTTTTGGTTTTCCCTTAGAGGGATGGGAGAGCCATTTGGAGGTCTATTTCAGACACCCAAAAAATGGTCAGCTTCCCTCTAGTTGGTGGTTTGGTTTGGTTTGGCGGTTTGGGGTGGTCTCCCATTTAAAAATTTACCCCCCAGAAAAACCAGGGCTTAAAACCCAAATCCAGTTCCCAATCCAACCCACCAACTAGGGGAAAAGTGACAGCCTTCTTTAGGTGTTTGTTCCCAGCTTGGCCGATCCAAGCGTCGATGGATCGGCGAGGCAGTTCTGGCGTTGCTGGCAGGGCTCACCAGCTGCTGCTGCATCAAGTTTTTTCGCATGCGTCGCAATAGGCTGGAGGGGTGGGGTGGGGTGGGTGGGGTGGTGGGGTGGGTGGGGTGGGTGGGGTGGGTGGGGTGGGTGGGGTGGGCGGGGTGGGCGGGGTGGGTGGGGTGGGTGGGGTGGGAGGGGTGGGTGGGATGTCAAAAGGGCAACGCCTACCACCCCTAGAGATGTCACCTTTTTGGTTATTCCCCTTTTGTTTGTTTCTTAGTCAAGGTTCCAAAAGGTTGATCTTTTGCTTCTAGGTCCAAACTGGGCTTCGTGAGTTTCGAAATAGCAAAAGCCAGCAACCATGTCAGCAGGACGAGCCAACATGGGGCTTGGGCGCTGCTCCAGGAAGATTTCTTAGGAGCAGCCTTCGATCAATGTGGCTACATAGTGGGTTGGGTACATAATGGTACATTGGTGTCCTTTTCGGTTGTTTTGGTAGAAAAATAGATGGCCCTTTTTTACCTGGTGGTTTAATCATCTACCAGGGCCATCTATTTCTCCTAAAAGGACACCTAAATGTGGGTTCATGTGTGTTTTTTTCCCAGGGAGGCGGGGATAGCACAAGCATTTTTGCCAATAGCCATGACGGTCCTTCGACCTTTTGATCTCCTTTGGGCAACTAAAGTAATTAGCCCAGAAACCCACTTGCTTTGGGAGGTGGTCGCGTGTGGTTGTTTTTCTTGGAATCGGTGAAGTGGGTAACAAGAGAGGCCGTTGCCAACCACTTAGCTACCGGCAGTCCGTTTGAGTACGTAGACCTTCCTTCCAGCCACTGTACGTTTCCGAGGGAAACCTTTGAAACAATAGGTTCCCTTTTTTAAGGATGCGGGTGCGTGTTTTTTTCAGGGTGAGTTTTGAAAAAAAGGTTTTGATGCGAAACCACATGTGTAGCGTCTCTTATTTTTATGCTTTGGGGGGTGGGGGCCTACGTTCTTTTTGGCCAAGCCATGTTGGCTTACTCGCTTTGGCTGGCCACTCAGAGCTCCCTTCCTCACTAACCTGAAGGCTCCAAGGCTTCCCACCCCTTGGGATTCGCCCTCGGGTCTTTGAAGGGGCCCAGGCCTGAAGCAACCTTCAAACCCAGGGAAAAAGTCCCCAATGATGGAAACAAATTCTTTCAAGCAACCTGGATGATCCCAGTGAACAGGTCAGGGTTGACCCGTGGGTGAACGCCCGTCGATTTAAATAGGGTGTGTGTGTGTGTTTTTTAGACGTGATGAATCCAGCAGGAGACCCGCCCAAAAAAATCCACCAAGGCCTCATGAATCCAGCGTTCCCATTACGTGGTTTCCCTTGAGTGTCCCAACCCAAAATCGGTTTTCCTTGAAGAGATACCCCAGAAGGATACTCCAAGCAAAGAGACACTCATGTGTGGCATGGTCAAATCACTCCTGCACGTGCAGTTTGTTGGGATGGTCATCAACCTCAACTCCTCATACGGAAAGTAGTTCCCCTCAATTCCGCAAAGCACAGATTCAACCACACCCTAAAGTTCAAGTGTCCGCCCTTAAAAAGCATTCAATTACCTCCCAACACCTAGGTCCTGCAGTTTTTAGTGCCCTTTTACCCTTGTTTTGGAGAGGGTTCCCCTACTAAAATAGACTACAGAAAAAGGGTACCCTTATTCTATCCTCCCTGCTGGAGGACCTAGGAAAGAAAGGTATACAGAACCGCATTCGAAAACCCAAGATGACATCCGCAAGAGCTCGCTTTCAGGCAAGAAGTTCCGTTGGGCGGGACGTTTGAAGGGGGCATGAGTCGGTTTCGGTGGAACGGCGTATGTTGGGTCCTTCGGTTTTTGGCACTCATGGTGTAAGGAAACCCTCCCCATCCCAATTCGCAGCTTTTCAGGCAGGCGCGGCAGGCCGCCAGCTTGCTCCTGAGCGCGGCCTCCAGCTGCGCCCACTCCGAGAGGATCGGATCAGACCATCCGAGAGAGGGTGACTTCAGTGACCGGGGCCGACCCCACCGAGAGAACACGGGGCCCGAGTTTGCTTTTGCTTTTTCTTTCCTTGGCTTCCATGTACGTTTCAGAATATGAGTTTGTTATTAATGATTATTTCCCCTGTTGGTTGTAAAGGGAATCTACCAGTATACTTGGAATATGTGTATTTTTTCCAGGGGGCCCAAGCAAGTGGAAGTTATGGCGCAAACCATCAGCGACAAGAGATGGAATGAACAGATATATGCTTACGTTTGGGATAAAGCAACCTTCCAGAAGGTACGTTGACCGTTGACCCCTTTTGATGCCATTTTTTATTAAGTGATAGTGTATTAATGGGGGAACGGCTGCAACACATGGTCTTGTTTCTGTTTTAAGTTGCTAAGGGCTCCTTACAGTGACAAGGTAGTCATAGGGACGGCCCACAGCATCACCGAACGGATTTTTCCACATGGCCCGCTGGACTCAAGCTTGTGGATCGAGCCATTGACGCAGGGAATTGGGAGCGCTTTGTGAGGAGTGGAATGTAAGGGGCCAAAAAGTACCAGTTCATCGCGACTAAATATGGGTCTGTCTTTTATTGAGGGAACCTTGTTTGGGATGGCCTGAAAGGGAAACCAAGGGGAAAACACCAACTGGCGTTCACCCATTTTAAGACACCCCCGTATGGTTTTCAAAGTACCCCACTACCCGATTGTCCATGATCCTGCGCAAGCAAAGTCGCCATTTTGCCAGACTTGACCAACAGCTGGGATTCCGCCGCATTGTGAGTGTAGTCGGACCAAAAGGCTAGGTTCACGGATGTTTCGAGCGGCTTTGCGAATGAACCGAAAGGGGATCCCCTTCAATTGAACTAGAAGTTGGATGCTTTGTAGAGGGCATTCGCTCATTCCAGCAGCAAGCCAGTTCTTACCTGGCACTGTACATTGTGTGTGTGTGTTTTTTGCAAGGGAAGTAATATCTCTTCGCAAACTTCACGGGCTCATTCAGCTTGGCTTTGGCTTTCAAGGCTCGGGCTCTGGAGCTCAACCCGGAGATGCAATCCAAGACGACAAAAAGGTCTATTAGGGGCCAATTTCAATTCGGGTTCCTTTTGGGGCTTTTTGTTGGGGGTCCAAATCTTTGGTGGGCCGGCTCGCGACAACCATGGGAACCAGTTGGTTGAAATTTTAAAAAAGGCCGGATATTTCTTGTTCAACCCGGTAGACATACGACTCCGCCCGGAACACTGAGAATGACCACCGGGGTTCTACTTTTTGAGTACTCAAAATACGTAGAGTTAAACCTAGGGGTTCTCCTTTTGGGGGGAGGAACCCCTGGGTTTAAGTCTATTTGGGGTAGTCAAAAAGTAGAACCCCGGTCACCGCAGTCTTCAGATCATTCGCGACCAGGCACCCAGCAGCCTCGGAGGCACGGGTTGCTCCGTGTCAACTGGGAAAGTCGCCCCTTGGGTCATGGCTAACTCCCTGAGTCTTGTTTTCCCCCCCCCCCAAAGAGAATAGAATAAGATAAATGAATAAATAAACTAAGCATGGTGGTGCTCCTTTTGGTTATAAGAACTTTATGCTTCTTGGGTTTGGACCCTTTAAGTGGTAAACAAGAAGCTCTGGGCTTTGTTTGTCCCATCCACTCCGGAAGTGAGTTGGCTTGGATTGGTGGTTTGGATTTGGTTTTTGATCCACGTTTCTTTGCAGACAGTACATGGGGAAACCACCCCGGAACACCTCCAAACCAATCCAAACCCACCAATTAGAAAGAAGCAGAGTGGCCGGTGGACACAGATTCAGCCAGCGGCATCAATAGGAAGGGGGGCCTTGGGTTCCACCCAAGGTTGAAGCCTTTCTTTGGCATGCTTTACAGGAGGGAAATCAACATGAACAAAAGGGACAACCCCTATGAGTCAGATGAGGTTCGTCGAAATGTCTGCAATGTAGTGCCATGGGAGGGACAAACTGGTCACTAAAGTTCAACCACGATCAACCGCGCCCGAAATTACCAAATGAGCTCTTGGAACCATATATCACTGGGCAACATGGTTCATGGGCTCACTCATTCGGTGGGTAGAACCAGCGATGAAGGATCCTTGGGGAATCTTGGGGTAGTTTCCGAGTGCAGAAGGATCAAGACATCTCGGCACGCGAGCCGGATCGCATCGATGGAGGCAAGCACGGCAGCCTCCAACTTCCGCGGGTGCAGGCCTGAGGTTGGCCTCGGTTTTCCCACTGGGTTTTACCACTTTCAATGGTTTCCCTTCAAAACGCCAAAGAAGGAGTACCCTCACCCCAAAATGGCGGTTTTGCCGGTTGGTTTCATGGGTTTCCCTTCAAAGCCACCAAGAAAAGGGGTACCCTCAAGCCCAAATGGTGGTTTTCCCGCTTGGTTTTGAAAGAAAAGCGTGGGTGGCTTTGTGCGTCTTCTTGGAGGTCTCCGGAATGGCGTCGGCTTCCTGTTATTACAGCCAGCCTCCAAAAAAGACAGGCCCATTCCTTTGTAAAGGTACCCTTTTGGGATGGTTTTGAAAGAAAACCAGGGCAAAAACGAACCCATGTTGGGGTCAACAACAAAAACACATACCCAGTTAGGGGTTGATGCAATACTTCGTTTGGCCCCAACATGACCATGGCCAGCTTTTCCCACGTAGTCAAATCCTTTTTGGTGGCTTCCCCAACCCCCTCTTGAAGAAACACAGACTCATGGCAGGGAGTTGGCAAATCCCCCGTAAAATATAATGAACAGATTGGGGTCGAGCACCCATTTGCTCCTTTTGTTGGAGGGGGTTTCCCTTCAAACTGAACTGACAGGGTGCGCCTGTTTCTTTGATTCCGAGAATCCTTCAGGGCACTTGGGCTTTGGTGATTTGCTTGGGAACCCCGCAACCCCGACAGCTCAAGCACAAATGGTAATATGTTTCGTCTTTCGCGAGTGATGGCCATCGTGGCACAACATCCACGCCAGGGACGAGTTGGGATTCCAACTCGTGCCAAGTTCTGTCCATGTTTGGGGTAGGGCCCAATTTTAAATGGGCGCGCCAACTGTTGTGAGGGTACCCTTTTGTGTTCGTTCGAGCAAAGGCTGAAGGACACCTATGATTTAACAGGTAGGGTGCCCACGCCCTATGATTAGTATCTGGTTTCTTCGCTCGAATGTGTAAGATGGTTTTTGTTGTTTTTCCTTTGGCACGATGCTAGAACAAAGGTTAGTTCTCCCTCAAGGCTAGGGCTTGAACCCTACGTGCTTTGGTTCCTTGGTCAAGAGTTGCTTGTCCTTACTCAGCCTAGACTCTTAGGTTGCATTTTGGCTCCAAATCCGCATATCGCCAGATCTCACGTAGGTGTAGTTTTTAAGTCATCCGCGGATGGAATCCTCATTTGTAGATGAATCTCCTTACCCTCCTACAAATTGACGTGGAACCCAAAAAACCCGACAGGAATTCGGGGGACTCCACCTTCGGGTTCCTTCCGTTAATTTGCATTGGTGTCTCATGAAAATCTCAAGCAGAGCGTCCCCTCTTGCCATAAATGGGAGCATAGTTTGTTCCTTCCTTTTGGTCGGTGACGCCATCTAAAGGGATTCCCCTGATGACCAGAGGTGCCCTTTTCAGGCTAGTTTGTTTGACAATAGATGGGTGCCGCTGGTTTCTGTTTGGTTCTAATCATCCACCAGTGCCATCTATTTGCTGCGATGATGACCATCGATTTCCCTTGGTCGGCGCACCAGACAGCCGGTTCGAGTGTGACTCATCCTGGTTGGAAGCCACGCATCGGATGTGCTGGATGCATCAGCTTCGTTTCGGATACAAAACATGGTCAAATCGTCTATGGAACCCATGAAAGCGCCCGTTTGTAGTCTCGGAAACTTCCCGTGAGGTGCTCCCTTATGGGTTTCTTCCGTGAGTTTGCAGGGGGATTTCATTAGTAACCCCAGTGGGTCCAAGTGGGTTTGGCGGTCTTCCGGGGCCTCTGCCATTCACCCGCAGCAAGAACCAGGGGTTCAACTCCCCAAGCCACCAATCGAGACTGCCCATTGGGAAGCTTGATGTACTATGTGTTTCCAGAAGGAGCCGCAAGGGGATTGGCTCTGCCCAGGGGGATTCAGTGAGAGGCTGTGCCTCCCTTTCCGCGACCAATGCAGATCCCACGTCGCCCAAAGGGGCGCTGGGCAGGTCATTATGCGACGGGCGTGGCCGCAAATTCAAACTCCGCGGAGTTGTTTGCCCAATTGGACCGCAGAACTACTGGTGCCCAGATGGTAGCAATTCCTCATTGTTCTTGGCAAGTGTTTTCTTGCTTTTCATGTTTGGTTCTGTTCATTTTTAGCAGAGGGCTGCAAACAACAAAGTTGGTTGCTACCATACCAAGGGATACTTGTACCCTTTGAGTTGGGTTTGGAGCAGTCAAAGGTGGCGACATTTTGCAGAACGAGGGGTGAGTTTCTGAAGCTTAGCTGCGGTTTGCAGTTTCCATTCTCTGATATTTGTTCCAAGTTCGACCGCGGAACTTTTAGTGGTCCGAGGGGTGAAGCAAGCACCCAAGAGGATGTGATGGGTTGGGAGGAGTCGGAAAGGGTCATTTGGCGCTTAGAAGCAGACTCTGGAGTAATCCATCTCGTGCAGCAGTGGTTTGGACCACTCTAAGATGGGACACTTCCCTATTGACTTACATCTGAAATGAATATGTTTTATGTTTCCGTGGCAGTTGATCAACCAGGGTTTCTGAGTTCTCCCTTGTGAGCGGCTTCCGGCCCTGCCTGTTGGGTTACCTAACATAAAATCAACCCAGGCTGCCGGGGACACAGGTTGCAAGGTTCTTGTTTTGTTCCTTCCAAGCGCTCACAAGTGAGAATCCGCAAGCTTATTCCCGGGGGGTCAGGCAAGGCCACCACGAAAACAATGGTTGGGTTCATATTTCACCACCATTGCTTACCGTTCAGGATGGTCATCATCCAATTTGGGTAAACCTTTCTTCTATAGTGGGGGGTTGAATTTGGTCCAGTTTTTAGTCTGCAGTGCAGACGACACCTCTCTAGTGCATCACCTGAACCTTTTAACGAAGCCTCTCCAACCAAAGGCTTCGGTAATCCCCTTGTGCCATGAAAACCCCGACCTTTTGGGCCCAATGTGCAACGGGCTTTTGATAGCCTCAGTAAGACGACAACTCCACCAAGTGGTTCCATGGTTGCGGTTTCTCTCTATTTCCCTTGAAAGGAGAGGGTCCTTGTCCGATTTTAGACAATATTTTGCACATCAAGCCCATGCGGTTGTGTCTTTTTTGGAGTTGGCACCCCTCTGTTGGTTGGTTTTAAATGGAAACCAAAAGGAACCCCACCTGACAAAAGACACCCATGTGTCTTAAATTGCAACATGCGGCTGGCTCGGCTCTTCGTAGCCGTCGAATCAACTTCTCGTCGCCCAAAGCGAAGCCCCGCCATCAGTGGCATCCGTCTTTTTCCCTTTCCTAGAAGAACATCAAAGGCCCCAGAAGCCCAGGTGACATCGGGACCCAACAGTCCGAGAGGGAACCTGCCTGCCACCGAATCTCCTTTTGAATGCTCTCTGAAAGATGCCTCACGCCACCTTTGTGGGAAGAGTTCCCTAGAGCCCTACATCGACCAACGCCCGGTGCCCTCTTTCCCCAAATCCATTGGACTTCTGAGTCAGCCAATCAGCAGTGTGAAGTATACCTAGGCCTCACCCAGTCAGACCAAGCGAATTCATCCGTCATTCCACGAGGATCCAAGTCCTTTTGGCAAGAAGGGTGCATGAGTTGTGATTCCCCATGTGGCTGTGGCTCAAACACACGTGCCAAAATGGCAACAACAGGAACTGCAAACATGACCAGGATCTGCGTAAGCCCCAGCTGCTTACACACCCATGTTGTAAGCGGGGTAAAGAGGGTTTTGTCTCTGAGATGGCACCACCTCACCCGTTTTGAAAGTTTTCGCTTTGGGCTTCTCGTGAAGCGCCGCTCCAGAATCGGAGGCGGCCGTTATCTCTTAAGACCACGTGCTGACCTGCGGTGCAGTCGAGCTAGAATCATAATAGGAGAACCATGTCTCTTTTTTGGGGCTCCATTTGAGTGTGTCCTATCTTGAGGATACACACTTTGTGGTTTCAAAGGGAACCAACAGGAAGGAACCAACTTGGGTCTCCCAACAACAGACTGACCCATCTGAAGCTCCACGTTCATGTGCGGCAGATTCCAATAGTCTGGGTTGCCTCAGGATTGCACCGCATTGCAAGCACAGTGGCACATCCGATGTGATGTGAGCAGTGTGCAGTTGACCTCTCGAATTTCCATGAACGCGCTTTGGATGTGACGAGACACGTTTAGACGCAGCGGGCTCGCCGCTCGTCGTGAAATAAAGATCGTGCCCCCCCCCCTCCCCGGCCACCTGATGTTTAGAACAGTGGCACCCTTTTGTCATTGTTTCGGGACAGGCGTTCCTTTACGACCACCCAATCCTATGGTCCCAAGATATTTGAGGTCTTTTGGGGTCCAAGGCCCTCATATTTGAGGTCTTCGGCTCCTAGGGCAGCCAAAAAACAAGCGACTCTCCGGCATTCAGCTAGGGTTCGAATGCAGCGCCGAAGCCTTAGAGATGTAGAGACAAACACATGCTCAGGCACATCTGAGTTGCTTTGCATCTCACTCCTTGAGATCCGTTTCGGACGTTGAACACTTTTTGGGTTTGGGAAGACCATTTTAGTGGCCAACAACAAGTTTGGCCACGTCTTTTGGCCAATTCACTCGGGAAGCGAGGGATTGGTGGTTTGGCGGTTTGAGCCCCAGTTCCTTTTGAACCTAAATGGGGAAGGTAGCCCCTAATGTCCAAACCAGCAAACCAATTCACCAACTCGAGGTTGAATGCATTAATGAGGAATTCATAGACCCAACACTCACTCTTGGCTGAGTTCATGGACTGTAAATGCAAGTTTGGACTTGTTGTTTGCCAATCCACACCGTCATCTTTGTCAAAACGAGGCGCAGCACGATGTGTGTGGGGGTTGGAGCCGGCATTGCTGAAAGAACCCCCGCCCTCGAGTGATGAAGGCCCGTTCCAGGTGAGGCCTCTTTCAACTAGAGCCCGGCTGATAGCAGTATCTTGCGTGTATGTTTTAGGTTTTACTAGTGCTTGAAAAAATAACTAACATTATGAATGCGTGCATCAACTATGCATCATTCTTTGGCGAGCGCGTAATTTTGCAAGAAAATGGGCCATGACCCCCCAAATGACCAGCCATGTTTTTGGGGTCCAAAGGAGACTGGGATAAAGGTTGTATATTTCGGCCAACAGGGGTGTTTCCTCAATTGCGCCAACGGCGATTTGAACGTGGAGCCTCATTTCGGACACTCATCATTTTCTTCTATTTCTCACTCCCTGAGTTTCCGGACTTTAAACTTTTTGGGAAGACCGCTTTAGTGGCAAACAAACAGTTTGGTCAATTTTTGGCCCATCCACCTAGGAAGTGAGATGTGCCAGTTGGGAAATCCACACTTGGCGCACCCATCTTCCTCCGAAGAAATTTGAGGACCCCCTCGGTCCTCAAGGTGCCCTTCTTTGCGCAGGGCTCCTTAAAAGATACCTTTTGCAACCATTTGAAACATGGCTTTCTCCACCAAAATACAGGGAACCACCATTTCCAAGGCAATGTTCAGGTGTATAATGTAAGGATCCCTGCTGCGCTTTGGGAATTCGACTTTTGTGGGGCAAACATAACACCTCTGTTGCAACCAGTGGGTTGAGACCCCCTTTTTTTCAATCACTTTTTCTGGAAGGGTTCCGATTCCTTTAATTTCAAACAACAGAAAAGGGGTGCTGTTTTTTTTTCCTTTGGCCACCTGGCAGCTGAGACACTTCCATTTTTGTTTTAGATTCTGTTGGATCTTTTTCCCTTGTTGGTTTTAAAGGGAATCGATTTCAAAACTGGACATTTATTCTCATGTGTTTTCAGGGGGCGGAAAAAGCAACGCCCTATTACCCTAAGGATCCAAGTACCTTTTCAGGTCTTAGTCTTGGGCTTCCCACATCAAAATCAACCAGCCACAAGAACGCGTGGTTTCTTTCCAACTTTCGTCAGGGTACCTGGGTACCTAAGGATCCCTCTTAATCCTTCTGAAACCTCAGCTCCAAGGGCGCCGAAGGCCTGGGACCCCACCAGTTTCCTCTAGAGGAAACTGGTCCAAAACAGGAACCCCCTTTCATCCAGAGCCTTCGCAACAGTGAGCGAATCAGCTCATAGAGCTCCAGGGGTACCTTTCATTCCATTTCCCATTCTTTCCAGGACTCCGAATCTTTCTAGAAAGCCTCCGGAAACTGAAGGAAAACGGGGGAAAAAAAACACGGTGGAACAGAATGGAGAATCAACCCCTAGAGTAGCGCGTCGGACCCCCTACCCACCAGAATGGTTCTCACCCTTCTGACAAGAATCAAGAAGCTACCTTTCGAGCCTTTTCTTGGGTTGTGTGTGCGGGGGGCTTTGGTTTAGCCCGAGTAGATCTCCGTCAATCCCATGGGTCGCGCTGCCTTTTTGGCCTAGCTGGATGAGAATGGAGCCATGCAAAGAGCCGCAGGCAGGTGGGAATACTCTCAGCCTGTGGTGGATTCCAATCGTGGACGCCGGTTGGTTGCTGTCTAAATACCAACTACAAAAGGTGAAAACTACGGTTTAAGCCACAAACGGAGGGTTTCCCAACTACAATGTCTCAACACAAGCAGCCAACAACCAGAGCACTTCACTAGCTGGCCTCTCTGCATATTCTAGCGACATTGACACCAGCACTCCTTGACTTGACACAGCTCATCCAGCAACAAAGGGTTGTGTGCCGACCAAAAATGCCAGGGGGATGGTTGTAAGATGGCTGTACTCCGAAGGGAAGCACAAGGGATGGAGATGTTGTTCACCCTGAGGTTACCAGAATTGGGTTTTGGGACCAAACCTTCGCAAGCGGGGGGGGGGGGTCACACGGCTGACATGCGGCTTGTGGGTTGTAAGGACCACTACCACCACTCTTTGGTACGAGCTGTTCTGCGCAAACATACGAAGACCTGTGAGGCAGCCGAAGCACGCAGACATGATGTGACAGAAAGGGGCACACACACACACACTGCTCAGCAGCCAGCCTTAAATGGGTTGCTCAAAATCAATGCTGGAACTTTTTGCCAGGTGTTACGGATTGTAGTGGAATTACATTGGGCTTTCTCAATATTCCTGGCCCCAAGTGACC